AATAATAATATAAAAGAATATTATTACTTTTTTTTTTAATAATTATAAAAGCTACTATTTATATAAATTTAAATTATATTATAAAAAAAACAATATTATTACCCTTTATATACCTCCCTATTCCTTTTACCGCTTTTAACTACTTAATATTAAGGTATTTAGCCCTTTAAAACAGTTATATAAAAAGTAAATCGAAAGCTTTATATAGATATATATTATTTATATTTAAAAGAAAGATTTTATAATTATATTTCTTTATACGTTTAATAAAGCAATTATTTTAAATAATATATAAAGGGATTTAAAGGAATAAGTTTAATACTATATAATTTAAATTATATTATTAATTAATTAAATTGTTCAATTATACCTTAAATCAACTCTTTATCCCTAATATTATTTAATCCTTATATAATTATAATTCTAAATAATCCAATTAAAATTAATTCCCTTTTTAAATATATTAAATAAAGGATTATATAATATTAAAATAACTTTTCTACATTTATTATTAAAAGGTTAACTTAAATTATATATAATATAACTAATATTATATATCGTTTTATATTATTAAAAGGGAAGGTTAAAAGCTTTTATAAAGTAAATTATAAACTTAATAAACATTATTATACGAAAAGAACTAAATTTATAAAGTGGAGGATCTTTTACTATTAAAAATATTAAGGATTAAATAAAGGTATAGGGTATTTTTAAGGTAGAAAATTGCATTATATATTAAAGTAATCGTTGTATAAAAAGGAAGGAAACTTATACCCGGCGTTATAGGGCTTATAATAAACCCAGCTATAATATATAAACTTATAAAAATGTTATAAAAACGTTTAACGATTTAAATTTAAATTAGTTTAAATTAATTATATAAATAGTTATTAAGATATTTTTAAATATATATATAAAGGTTAAAAATGTAGCTAGGTTAATTAGGTGGCCAGGTTAAATAGGAAATGCATTAATAATAATTATTAAATAATTATTAACTTTATTTTATATTAAACTTTTAAAAAAGCTATTAAAAAAAATAAATGGATTATTATTTTTAAAGCTATTAATATTATTAATAATACCTTATTATTATTAATAATTTAAAAAGATATATAAATATAAAGTTAATAGTTTTTAAATTAAAATTAAAATTTATTTAAAGATTAATACTTTAAATATTTATTTAATAAATAAATTAATAATTTTATAATATTAAAATAATTATAAAACCTTTTTATACTTTATATTTAAAGCTATTATAATAATATATAATATATATTAATATATAACGCATCTCCTACTTAACCTAGCCACCTAATTAACCTAACTACATTTTTAACCTTTATACACGTATTTAAAAATATCTTAATAACTATTCGTACGATTAACTTAAATTAATCTAAATCTAAATCGTTAAACGTTTTTATAACATTTTTGTAAGTTCGTACATTATAACTAGGTTCGCCGTAAACCCTACAACGCCGGATATAAATCTCCTTCCTCCTTGTATAATAACTACCTTAACATATAACGTAATTTTCTACCTTAAAAATACCCTATACCTTTATTTAATCCCTAATATCTTTAACAATAAAAAATCCTCCACTTTATAATTTAATTCTCTTTATATAATAACATTTATTAAACTTATAATTTACTTTATAAAAGCTTTTAACCTCCCCCTTTAATAATATAAAATAATATATAACATTAATTATATTACGTATAATTTAACCTAACCTTTTAATAATAAATATAAAAAAGCTATTTTAATATTATATAATCCTTTATTTAATATATTTAAAAAAGGAATTAACTTTAATTAAGTTATTTAAAGTTATAATTATATAAGGATTAAATAATACTAAGGATAAAGGGTTAATTTAAAGTATAATTAAATAATTTAACTAATTAATAATATAATTTAAATTATATAATATTAAACCTACTCCTTTAAATCCCTTTATATATTATTTAAAGTAATTATTTTATTAAATATATAAAAAAATATAGTTATAAAATCTTCCTTTTAAATATAAATAATATATATTTATATAAAGCCTTTAATTTACTTTTTATATAATTATTTTAAAAGGTTAAATACTCTAACATTAAATAGTTAAAGGTAATAAAAGAAATAGGAAGGTATATAAAGGGTAATAATATTATTTTCTTTATAATACAATTTAAATTTATATAAATAATAGCTTTTATAGCTATTAAGGAAAAAAAGGTAATAATATCCTTTTATATAAAGCTTTATATATTTATTAAAATGCTTAATTTAATTTATAGCTTATTTATTTATTGTTTAATTATTTTTTATAGTTATAATTTTTTAATTGTTTAATATATTATTATTTTTATATTAAAATATAAAGTAATTTTTCCCTACTAAAATAATATATAGTAGAATAATTTAACTATATAATAAAATTGCTTAAATAACTATAAACTATTTTAAATTACTTAATTAAATAACTTATAGTTTTTATTTATATTTAATTAAAATTATAACTATTTTAAATATAATTTTACCTATTACAAACTTAGTTTTATTAAAGTTATAAATATCTTTTTTTTAAATATTATTTTTATCTATTATCTTTTATATAAAGATAAACTAAATATAATATTTAATCAGATTTTCGTTTAATACCCGTTAATAATTAATTCTTCAATTAAAATATATTTAAATATTTAAAGTTCGTTATACAAAGTTTAATGTCCAATTCTTTCTAATTAACTTTTAACCCCGCAATACCATTAATCGATCAGCTATATCTCTTATATAACTATATAAAAGCGGAAACAATTTTATTATAAAATTAAAAATATATCGTATAATTAATTATTCTTCATCCGGAATTAATCAAGCTTTTAAAGGTAATATTTCGCTTATTAATTTAAAACCTTTCGTTCAAAGGGCAAATATTATATAAGGAACATTATAAATAGTAGCAACGCATTGGATAAATAATTTCGGGTTTCGTTTAATAGCTTGGAATATAAACTATAAGTTGCTTTCTTTATAAAGGGTTTCCATAATTGTTAGTAGAAAAATAAGGGATTTTTTTTATATGCATACGAAGGTTAAAAATGTGGCCAGGTCAATTAGGTGGCCAGGTTAAGTAGGAAATGCGTTAATAGCTATAAATTATATATTAATAATAAATTTCTTTAAACTTACTTTTTAAATAAAATTTAGCTTTTATTTTATAAACCTTATTATAATTATATATTATAATTATTAAATATTAAAATTTTAATTTATTAAAAAAAAAGTTAAAAAATAAATTATAAAAAACGTTTATAAATTATTTAAATATAAAGCTTTTAAAAAGAAATATATTAATAATATATAAAGCTATATATAAAAATATAATAAAGTTAAATATATTAAAAAAAGTATAAAAAATAATTAAAATATATTTAAAAAATTAATAAGTATTATTATTTTTAAAATATATAATATTTAAAAAAAAAAAGTATTATAAAAGTAATAATATTAATATTTATAATTAAAAAATAATTTATTATATTTAATTTATTAAAAATAGCTTTAAAAATTATAATTAAAATACCTTTTAAAAGTTAATAATTATAAATTAATATATAGAAATTAATTTAAACCTTCCTTTTATTTAATAATTTATTATAAAGGTTATTTTTTATAAAGGTTAATAAAGCTTTTAATAAAAAGGTTAAAATTATTATATTTTTATAAATAAAGATTAAAGTATTAAAAGTTAAACTTGGAAAAAATTTTAAAGTTAAATAAAAAGTAATTAAAATAGGTTTTAATAATAACTTTATTTATATAATATATATATAAAAGGTAAAACGTAAATTATATAACGCATCTCCCACTTGACCTGGCCACCCAATTGACTTGGCCACCCCCCTAGCCCATACAAATAACGTCGGTGCGCTAATCACGTGATAATTTAATAACTTCACGAATATTGGTCGTATAAAATAATAAAGTATACCATTAGATTTGTAATAAAGAGAGCTATTTAACGGTACCCTTCATCAGTTTATACGACTTATATTCGCTGAGTTATTAAGCAATACGCTAAAGTAAGCGCTAAATTAATCCTTGCTTAGCACCCCTTTAGCGTATTGCTTAATATCTCGCTTAATAAATTTTATAAAAAATAGTAAAAAATACCATTGGATTCCCCTTTAACTAATGGATTTAAAGGTACTAATTATTAAATCGTACGATTAGTATTCGTAGAGTTATTAAAGATTGAAATAATGGGGTTTTATATAGGTTAAGGGGGTGGCCAGGTCAATTGGGTGGCCAGGTCAAGTGGGAGATGCGTTAATTATTTAATATATATTAATAAAGCTACTAATTAATACGTTTTAAAATATAAAGATATCGATATAAAAAAGGTTATTAAGGTTAAAAATAATAGATTTGATTGAAAATACTAAAAAAAGCATCGCGAATAACGTATTCGTTAAGAAAATCGTTTCAGAAGTTGGGTAATTAATAGGCAGGGGGGGTGGTCGTGATAGGGGGTGGTTGTGAGGCAGGGTTTTTGCTTACGGACAGTGAGCTTGGAGTTTGGGCCAGCTGTCATGTTGGAGATACGACAAATACTACCTCCACCTGCGCCGGATATGCCAGACCCTATACCACCTACACCGCCTGGTTGGGTATATAGACTACCTAGTACGCTACACCAATACATAGGTCAATGTTGTACAAGGGTAATAGAAAGATCTAGATCGCTTTAAAAGGCAGTAATGAACCAACAATCAATAATTCTATAATACTTTCAATCAAACGTTCACAAAGGCTTAGCAGCAGGTACCAAGGTATCAATGCCTACAGGATGTGGCATTGGCAACAGACCGGCTTTGATGCCGAGCAGGGTTACATTATGAGTAGGTAGACATTATCGTCCTCAGTAGGCAGATAATGTCGGATTTAGCGCTGCAGACCAGATATCTAACGCTCTAATATCGGCTCCTTGCATACACAAATCGCCTAAGCCGAACCTACAATTCATTGATCTCTGTAGCACCAATGCTGTTAGTCTCTAGGGCACCTATCAAAGTACTTGATTTCATATTGAGGCTAAGGGATCAAAGGCAACGATAGTATATTCAGCCATTGACCCTAAAGACGAAGTAAATGCTAAATTTATATATCCATTTTATCAGCAGCTCTGATCACCAACTTCCTTAAGCCAGTCCATATTACTTCACTGCCCCAGTGCCCCTCTATCTTGAGTGGTATTATGAATAGCAGAGTCACTATCTACTTCGCACGTAACCTTCCCGACTGCGCCCGGGTGGCTTGACACTGCCCTAGACCTACATGCAGAACTGTAACATGGCTCAGCCAAGGCAGCCACCCCTTAGATAAGAAAAATGACACACTCCGGGCGGGGAAATTCTGCCCTGCCAATCAACGCCATCATTGAAATATGGCCTCCTCTGGCTTATCACTTACGATACATTTTTCTCCTTCATTCACAAGTCAACGTCTTAGATGGACCCATTGACTATTATCGGTGCGGCGGCGTCAGTAGGCCAGCTGGTCGACTTGGCCGGCAAGGCCGCCACATCTGCTTGGAATCTCACTCAATCGATCATTCAAGCCCCCGAAGAAATAACAAAGCTCGCAGAGAAACTAAATCGTTTCAAGCTACTGATTGAACAGACCCAAAACCAGAGACTCGACGCTTCATCCATCGATGAGCTTTTCCCCTCAGATTATCGCGATGTTCTCTACAAACTACTGGAATCCAGTGTGAAGGCTCTGGAGAACCTGGAGAGTGTGAAAAAAGCCCCCTTGATAAGTTCAATTAATGTAAAGGGAAGGGTCCGCTGGGCAGCTATCGACAAAAGAAAGGCTCGTGACCTTCTGGCCGATATTCGAGATGCAGAGAATAGTTTAGATACGGCTTTGAGTATGGCCACAATGTAAGTATGCCATGAATATTTGACGGTGTGGTTACAGCCAGCTAATTGTGTAAAAATGATTAGGCGAATAGTGTCGAGAAACCAGGTATCATTAGCTGCATTGCGGACCAGTCAAGAGATGTTTCAACCATTGTTGATAAATGAATTAACGAAGATCAAGCAAATGATGGATGAGCAACTATCCAATGCCGTGGATAAGGTTGGTCACATAACGATTGCCAATCCTTCATAACAAAGACTTCTGGCTAGCAGTATCTGACAACTGGATGCAGATTACTATCCGCGCTGAAGCAACGGTTGGGGAGTCCCAGAACAGAGTCAAGGCCGATTTAAACGAAGTGGCCTGCTTAATCAAGAGTATCGTAGCATCTGGAGAGACCCACTCCGATATGCTTCGGGTGAGTTGTCCCCCTCAACGAAGGCATGCATAGTTTACTGATGCCAGGTTATGATAGAACTTGACTGATCTCCAAAGGGATCTGAACAATGATGTAAATTATCTGAAAACCAGGAGTCCTGATCAGCGAAGCCAGGCCCTTGCTTCCCGTCGGCAGATGCGAGGGGCTGGGTACTTTAAGAAAGGAGACACGGTGATGAAAGCACAACGGTTTGATACTACCCATCAGGACAATCTCGCTGGTTCTTCTGTTTCAACAGCAATGCGCACGCCCATCTCGATGCAGATCCTCCGCTACGAGATGAAGAGAACAAGACAGAGTCTCTTCTGGCAGTCTAGATCGTCTGACACCTCGCCCAGCAAGAACAATGCTTTGCCTAAACTCGATATGTCTGTTGAGTTCACATCAAGCCAAGTCAAACGGAAGCTGCATTTTGTTCTCCGCGCAGGGATTAGGCTCATACGACAACAGATGATTCAGTTCAACTTAACCATACAACACGATGCTAAGCACTGGATGTCGCTACCACGGTTGGGGTTGTCACTCAGGCCAATTTACATCAGGCCAGCAGATGCCCCGATTTTCCAGGCATGTCACGATTGGGACTTAGAAGCCGTTCGATATCTCTTAGATACAGGCCAGGCAACAATTTATGATGTTGATAGTGAATTACGGCGTGGTTTGCTCGAGGTTAGTACTTGTCGAATGGCTACTTTACATTCTAACTAAGGAATGGGCTGTATAGCATGCTTTTCGAACAAGGGGAAAATCGAACCCTGGTCACACCGAAGCCAAACTGCAATTACTTATGCACTACCTTCTCGATGTGGGCTATGATCCGAATGTCTTCAACGGGTCAAACTCATTGTGGGTGCAACTAATAACATTTCAAAAAAAGACATGAAGCTCCATGCTAATTCCCTTGACTGATTAGACCAGCGATATTATACGCATTTTATCGGAATAAATTAGACTCTGTTACCCAGCTTATCCACCGTGGGGCGGAGATCGACTCATTTAGTGCTAACCCTACATCACTGTTTCTGTTCTTTCCTTCCCGCTCATATTTTCTTGAGCGGTTTAATATTCTGGTTTCGATTGGATTTTCCGACTGGAAAGTTGAAAGTGGGTCCACGTTGGTACATGCAGCAGCCCTCGCTGGTGATTGGGAATGTTTACTTTTCGCACTGGAAATTGTGGGTCTCGTCCCTCGAGGAAATGAAAGGCTGCACTCTCCTCTGTTCTACCTCTCCATACAGCGCTGGATTGATGATGATGATGTAGCCTTGGGGGCTGCGTTGGTCGAATGTGGGGCGGATATAAATGACGGGAGAAATAGTGGGGGTGCGCCACTGCTTTGCTCTAGTGTCTATGAGGGACTGGATAGGCTGGCACACTTTTCCCTATACTGCGGAGCAAATCCTGGTTTCACCAACGGCCACTCAGTAAATGCGTGGTATGAAGCCTGGGAATGCCTCCTTCGAGAACGAAGCATTCAGTTCGTTCGGTACGAGCTGTTACTGACCCATCTTTTACTTCACGGTGCAGACCCTTTCGAGCCGACCCCGCAGATTCATCATGATAGTGTATGCGATGAATGGGGGTGCAATCATACCTACTCGCGGTATACCTACAATAGGCAAGTTGTGAGCCCGGAATTTGCCAGAGCATGGAGCTTCTCGTCTGGCCGTCTTGATGGAGGGCGTCCCTCGCCTTGCAGACATAAAATGGAACAGGAATATGAAGCTTTTGAGGTGGACAGGGTCCCGAGAACGGAAATCAGTTGGTACAGTGATGGAATAGTTGAGCGGATTGATCCAGTACTACATGAAGATGAAGATGCTGATGGGGAAAGCGAAGTGTCCGATGAGGATTACAGCGACTCTGCCGAGAGCGACAGTCAATCCTATGATGAGGAATCTATGGATACAATGTCCGCTAGTTGGGATTCAAACGACAGTTGCGACGACACCAGGGATTCCAATTCCCTTTTTTATCAAAATATCTCGACAGCAGAGGGTAGGCAGCGAATGTCCACATTTCCTGCTGTTCAGCTTCTATGCAATGCACTGAACCGGGCTGGATACCGCGCTGAGATGGATTCAGAGGGCGATATATGGTTCGAGGATGAGGACGGGGATAAGTACTACGATGCCGTCGAGTTCCAGTCAGACACTGAGAGTCATGAGCCGAAGGATAACTGTTACATCTGTGGGGATATGAGGAAATATGGTCTTGGCAGGATACCCGATGATATTGAACGTGGCAAGCAGAAGGTGTACACGTATAGAGAGGAAGTAAAGGCAGGTAAGAGGAAATGGTGTATATAGTTGCTGTTGCACTTTGTCAAGGAAACTAGCAAAGTCAGAGTTAGATATGACGCAGTCATATTATTTGCGCATGTGTTCCAGAGTATTATGCTGATTCCAACTACTTTGAGAAGCGACAACTACAGCGATCTTAATGAAATGGTTCTGGCCACCGGGATTAGTTTTGAACCCGTAGCTACAAGTACTTCAGCCAGGGTAGCAATAAGTTCAATGTACAAGGTGTTAGTAATTGTGTTCAGTTATGCTTGTTGTATCTGCAGAGATAATCTATGCCACATTCTTAATATACATAAATGCCTCATACTAGGCGTCTGAGCTATATTTCCACCGTATATGGCCTGCTATTATTACAGTCACGAGCGACACTTGCGTGATCCTAACGCCACTCAGCTTAAATCCAACACGAACTTGGGTGAACCTGGGCGGGTTAGGTGGTGTTCACTTTCGTTAGCTGACGAGTGGCGCAAATTCTGACTGGCCAATTATGAGACTGTATTAATGCTATCTCTCAGACTAGTGGTAGAAATTTTGGAGATTTCAGGCAACCCAAAAGATTGCAGGAGGTGGGTTGTGGAGATCTTTCTCAGTCTTCCTCCGAAGCCTTTGACTGACCGCGATGAGAAGGAAAAGACGGCATACCTTTCGTACGGAGGACAAAAACGTACATTAGAGAGAAAGTAACTACAGGTAGTAAGAAACTCATAAGTAGCTGCGTAGAAATAGAAATGTGTGCCTGACTGCCATAACTCAGGCTACGAATTTGAAGTATGGCCAAGCTCTTCAATTTTCTTAGCCATGGCGCTTCTGTTGGGCCCTTGACCATTACCTGGCATAGATCTCATCGACAAGATGGAGTTCTGACTTCGAAAAACCTCATACAGTTCCCTAGTTCTTGTTTCGGTTGGACTAGTCAAGAGAATCTTAATTGGGTTGTGTATGAGCTCCCCGTCCTCGGCTAGCTTGATCAACATGTTGATCACTTTGCATAACCCTTCGCAGTATGCCCTTCGCTCATAGACATGTACCTGGTCGATTATAACTACAAGTGTCGTTGAGGTTGGTAATTTGCGAACTAAGATAGGGAAGAGATGAATTAATTGATCGAGGTCGCTATTCTCGATCTCGCTAAGAGATATGTTCGAGTTTGGTGTATCAGGGCACACAGATGGGCACTGCCGCAGCATCTGAACGACAAACTCCCGCATCAGCCCCCTTGGCCCGGTATTATGATCATTTCGCTGGCCGAGGTGCTGTCCGCAGAAGAAGGCAAGGCCGACAAACCCAGGACGAGTCCGTAGTGCTTTCACAAGAGTCACACACAGCACCGATAGCGGCGAGATCTCGGGATAGTCATTGGGATCATAATCCCCGTGTACTAGGAGCCTGCTCGATCCTCCGTAAACAACCCAATCACGGAACGCCGACGTGCTGATGACCTGCTCGGCACGCCCGCGATCCTCGCTGGGGAAGCCGCCAGCTCGGTCAATGACGGCTTCCATATCTTGCTCGTCAACGTTAGAGCTGCAGAGAACACCGAGGGGCGTCTGATGGGCGTGGGTACGCTCCGGGCCCAGCTGAGCCTCCGGCTCCGGTGTAGGGGCCCTGGACTCCATTGAGTGTATAGAGATTACTTCGGGGCTAAGGAGCTCCTTTCTATGGGTTAAGGTGGCTACATGAGGGAGCGGTGTTAATCTTATGCTAGCTTTTGGTTTAAAACTCTTTTTGAAGGACAGCTCACTGGTAGCCTTTTGAATATCGTGGGCAGTTAACAGGCTATAGACTTCGTTCGTCGCTTTCATGATGTATTCGTTTTGGAGCATGATAATTTCGCTTCCTTCGAAATTAGGCAGATAGAAATTAGTCTCGTCTTCAATAATCTCTTTGTTGCTGTGATTGATAGGTAGGCACCTACTCTTCATTTGATTATACTGAAAGCTCTTGTCACTTTCCTTGCTTAGCTCGCCTGCGGCAACTTTGATATGTTTCAGAGAATCTCGAAAGGATTTCAGATAATCCTCGCCCTCAAATATAGACCGACCGATTCGTGACACTAAGTGTTTAGAAACTGTGTCAGTTATGATGTTCTCTGAGTTGCGTCTGTTATCATTGACAATAGGTAGAGAATACTAAGACGAAGAGGAACTGTGCAGGTGCAATTAAGTTTGAATTATATAATGAGTCATCAAACAGACCTCTCCAGCCAATGTAGAAACCGATAGCTCCCTCAGTGGCGTTGAATATGGCCACTAGGAGTTTAACAGAAGAGTCGACGACGTTTTGGTCATCTGGGTACATATCCAAATACTGGTCCATATCCGCAAATAAGGACGTCATCGTATTTTCATCGAATGTATCAGTGAGTTCTTTCCGGACCTTGGTCGCTTCTTTCCATGCCTGTGTGAATAGTCAACGATACCGGTACTCCACATCACTCAAATGGAGTGACAAGAGACACATATACCGGGAGGCTCTGGGAATAGGGGTTTCGTACTTTCATCAGGATATCCACTGCACCTAGAACAGGAGTCGCAACAGGATGACTTGGCACCAATTTAATTATCTGTTGCACTGGAGAAGCAACAGTCTCACCAACACGGCGACCATGTCCAATTAATCTCGCAATACACCCATGGTCCCATTTACTGTCGCGTCCAAGGCCATCATACTTCATGCGGGCTCGGTCAAGGACTGTTTTAATGTCTTCCCACGTGTTAGCATTTCGGATGCTGAATCCCTTTTCTATTCTACCAGCAGCTTCTGCGGTCTCCTCGAGGCGAGCTATAGCTTTCGGCCAGATCGGCTGCCAGAACTCCATCGCAACCACGTCAGGCGGCAATTGGCGAGTAGTGATCTGGCGTGAAAGTTGGAATGACACCGTCTGTGGTGAATTTATTGGCGGGTGAACTTGAGTCGGCGCAGTATTCGATAACGCTGTGGCAGCTTTATCAGGTCCAGTCACCAGGGCCATCGGGCCGTAAACCGAAAGTCCAGTTTTGTCTGGAATTTTGATAACGAACTTATCCATATCTTCGTCATACGCAGCGTCGGGGTGCTGGAACACGGGGTGGTACTTGGACAACCTCGTGTCAATAAAGTCAACGGCAGGAGAGTGCAGGCGAATGGATGATGTGGACTCCGCAGAGCCACCTGCGCCAGACATTGGATAGAGTTTGATCTGGAGCAAACACACAGGGTCAAGAGTGAGGATAAGGTAGAATGACAAAATACTCTGGATAGCCCCTAAGCCTTCCGCGAAATGGGAATATCAGAATTTGCTCTATCTCGGTCAGCTGAATAAGTATCCAACTAGATTCCAGATTCCTTCCTGCCGAAAGCAGCGCTTGGATGCATTGCGCATAATACTGGTGGCTGTGATACCCTGCATTTGCATTCCTATAAGATATTTCAGCTAATGTTCTGCGAGTATTTCTCATTTTCATTGCAGCTTTTCACTACTATTATAGTGCTTTGCAGCTTTGTGGCTTTCTCTAGGAACTCCGACATCCAATAGAGTAGTACCCTGTAACCTTGTCTTGCTAGGTGGCTTTAGAACTGCACTTTCTCGGGCGACAAAAAGCAATCTTCTCATTTCGCTCCAAATATGCTGACAAGGCTGGGAAGTCAGATTATTTTGGATAATCGACTGGCGTGTCGCCGTGCTCACCGCGGTCGCTGCGCTGATTAGGTGTTGGGGGGATGGCATTCTCAGCCGCTCCAAGTCTGGCGGATTGTCCAACCAGTCAGTTCAAGTGATGAGAGCACGTTCGTAAATTTCCGAGGTGGCAGGTAATATGTAATCTCATGATAACCAGGGGTTCCATGGGGACCCCAGTCGTGTCCTTGTATAATAACCGCGCAGTTGTGCCAGTTCTCCCAACTGTGTTATAATGAGAAATTTTACCGAAGCTCGAGAATTTTCGAAGCTCCTACGTTAGTTTCTTTCACCTCCTAGAGACCGACAACACCGATCCCAATTATCAGAAGTGTACAAATCATCTTCGCAGTGATATTATTTTCAATCTCCACGCCTGCACTTCATTGCCTAAGTGTTGCATGTACTAAGTAATGGCGGACAAGACAACCCCAACGGAACACCACCAAGACAATAACATTGTCACGGATCCCAGCGTCGATTCTATAGTCCAGGGCCGCGATACTAGCGTTGGAAAGAGTATGATGGATATGCCTTACGAAGGCGCTAATGCCATTAATCCTAGTGACAACGTCGTCGATGGGAGCGAGCCTGTCTTGAATTGTAACGAAGCGTCACATGGCAAAAAAGCCACAGTTCCTTTCGAGCAATACGAGGACCTCGCATCGAAGATCAATGAATTGGAGCGCAAACTGGGGCATGTCGACACTGTTGTGAAGAGAGAGTTAGTAGAGCCATTGATGAAACCTCCTCTCGATGGCCACGGCTTCTGGGGTGATTTCGACAATGATGACTTTGACAAATTTTATTTGGCAGGTGATCTTGACGAGGAACTCGTTGATTTCTTTAGGACGTTTAAACACGCCAATCGAGAACTTCTGTATGTACTACGAGCGACACGGGAGCAACGACTTAGACGTCGTCAACACTATATGGAACGACAGGAATTGGAAGCGGCGCGAAAAATGGCGGAAAAGACCAGGCTCGATGATAATACCACCAAAGTGAAGCAGGTGTCAAAAGCAGATCTGTTAGCCACCCTGGCCGCACAAATGCTGGAGGATGGCACTCCTGCAACGACACTTCGGACCCCATGGGAAGCATTCGAAGCACGCGATCCAAGCACTAAAGTGGTAGACACAATTGCCAACCCTATCGAACTGCTCATTGGCGAGCCTGAAGTGGCATTTTTCGAGTTCTTTGACAACTTCGAGCGAGAATCCGATGACCAGAAGCTAGGACCACGCTCATTATCCCCGAAGGGTGTTGATGACAAAACCCCATCCGAAGAGGCACCGCTTCCTGAGCGAGTCCTGATCTATTCCAAGGAACTTCTCAGCATCCTTTCTGATATTCACAAGGGCTCGATGAAAGCTGACGTGACTAATTCAATCCTCCGACCATTCAAGATGTTGGTCTATTATGAGAAACAGATCCGCGACCGTGCGGCCGCACTCGAAGCCAAGTTCGCACACGCCACCAACACCGGCACCGAAGAGAATCCCGCGAACACGGGTAACTCTGAAGACGATATCGCAGTCAATGGCTCGCTTGCGATGGCGAGTGACCAAGCCAACAGACAAAGTGACGGCAAAGATGCAGGCCCCCTGGCGGCTCTGCTACATATTCGTTGTTTGCTCGAATTCTTGGACAAGGACATAGGGGCTAAGAAAAAGCATCTCAGGAGCACAACCTGTGAAAAGGTCACGTTTAGCGACATCTGGTATCTCTTCCAGCCGGGAGAAGAAGTTATCGACCAGGACAACAAACAGGCTTACCGGGTCTTGCGCGTGTCAACGCCCAAGCACAGGGTTATTTCACCATTCACGATGTTCCACAAAGCCACTTCAGCGGATGCCGAAGAGAAGCCGGCTATAATCGACTGTGTTTATATTGACTTTGATGGCGAAAAACTCGGCCCAGTGACCAAATCTTTTAGCATTCCACGGTTCGATCAGGATAAGCCCGTCGAAAATCTCCCTATCTATCCCCTACGGATGGTCAAGGGCGACGACTATCGGGATAGACTCATCGAACGAGGACGTATGCTATGGGATGTAATAAAGGTCAAGCCTATGTATTATAATGGTCATACCATTGATACTAAGGAGGAGGCAGACAGTCAGGTTATGATCGACTTCAACGAAGCTCTAATACATGCTCGAGAACGCAATCTGGAGTGGACACCCAAAGTGGAAACTATCAGTGCGTCTGCCGAGGAGACAAGAGCGGGTAAAATCGAAAGTAGCTGCCGGGCTGCCTGCTGTAGAGGCCAGAAAGTGCACGACGATTCATACGTTGATAACAAGCAGACCGAAGACTTCATAAAGGGTCTCCTGTCGCAAACTAGGGGCGACCGGTCACCGCTCATCATATACCCACGAGCCTTACGGGAGATGCTCGATTCCAAGAGCGAGCCCAAGCCCGACGAGCTTGTTGTCATGTGCTACAGAGTTTTTGGATTCATCCTGAGAAGCCAAAAATGGGGTAAGTTCGTGGCATTCCGGGCACAATCTCCCCCGCTGCTGCTTGGTTATTAGTTACCAGCAGATATTGGGACCAATAGACTAATAATGTGTAAATTTCTCAGCGCAACTTGACCTGACGTACCTAAAGTACGAGAATGAGGATAACAAGCGCAGTGTTCTTAACGCTTTCGACAGCCTCGTCCTCCCTGATGGGCACAAGGAGATGGTCAAATCCCTAGTGACGCAGCATTTCCGTGATAAGAAAGCTAGAAAGATGAATACCGAAAAAAAGGTGGTAACTGACGCAAGGTCTGACCTTATTCGGGGCAAGGGTGAGAGAGAGCCGTCAGTTGGATATGAGTCTTCGCATTACTGACAACCATGGTCTCAGGACAAGGGCTGATAATTCTACTACATGGAGCACCGGGTGTTGGAAAGACCACAACAGCAGGTTCGTTAATCTCAGCAGAATCTAACCTTAGCTTGAATGGTGACATTACTGACCGATTGTTGCCATAAAATAGAGGGCGTAGCCGAATTATTTCACAAACCACTTTTTCAGGTCACATGTGGTTAGTACTCCAAAGTGGTAAACTACATGACTATTTATTGTCGGGCTCTGACACATGAGGTACAGGAGACCTCGGAACCACGGCCTTTGACGTCCAGAGGGAATTGGAAAAGAATTTCACGCTTGCTAGTAGATGGGATTGTATCCTCCTTCTGGACGAAGCCGAGGTGTTCCTCACCTCTAGGGAAAGGAAAGATTTCATAAGAAACGGTCTCGTTGCAGGTGAGGTTGCTCATTTCCGAACTTAAAGCATGCTTACATAATAACTATAGTCTTCCTTCGCGTCCTGGAATATTACACTGGCATCCTCTTCCTGACAACTAACCGGGTTGGTGATTTCGATGAAGCATTTGCTTCCCGGATCCAAATGAGCCTGCACTACCCGAAGCTTGATCTCGACAAGACATTGCGGGTCTTCAAGGTTAACCTTGACCTTATCGAAGAGAAGTTCAAACTACAGAACCGAAAAATCTACTTCGAGAAGAAATCGATCCTGGACTTCGCTGAGAAACATTTTAACGACAACAACAAGCGCGACGACAACAACCAACGCGAAAAGGAGGGCTTACAATGGAATGGACGCCAGATCCGCAATGTCTGCCAGACGGCTCTGGCCATGGCGGAGTATGAGGCGCTCAATGAACAGTTATCGGCTGACATCGCGCCATCGGAACACGTACACCTGAGGACCGACCATTTCAGCACCATCGAAGCCGCCTATGACGAGTTTGCTATCTATCTCAGCGCCGTCTACGGCGTGGACTTGGAGGAGCGGGCCGGGCAAGGGATGGCACGCGCCGAGGCATGGAAATTGGAGAAACGTAGGGAGAGGCTGGGTCGGGTTGGATAGATTAGAAGAAGTGCAGCTGGGGATCGGAATTATAGGTAATGACCAGCGTCATAGTGCTAAGTATAATTTATATAGGGTTTAAGCAATTCTTTCTCGTGGTCATTGATGCTGAAATACCGCGATAGTGCCAAAGCGCCTTAGCGTTGAGCATTTGCATTTCATCAACTGACAAGACTGTCTTGGGCTTCTAAGCATGACACCTTGATTGGCCAAACGGCATCATGCTGTATAAGTACAACGCAACGTTGAAAGGTGTCGACGTTCGTGACTACGACAAGGTCTCTGCTCGTGGAGAATCTCATCTCGTCTTCCCTGGCTCAGCAACATCTGAGATGCGATCTAACCGTAGCTCAGTCTATCTCAGGACCCCTATAAAGTAATCCCTTCAAAATGATTAATCAGATTTCAATACTTATACCAGCTGGCCTAGTTTCTACTGGACTGAAGGAGACCATTCAGTGGGTCGCATGTTGGCATAAGGAGCTTCCACATCTGGATTCCCAAAACTTGCAACTTTGGAGTATCATTTGTATGCATATACATAGGTAAGCAAGCCAAAAAACAACTGCCGAGCGCGCAAGTAAGGTAAGCCAATATCAAGGCTCACCACTGAGAACTCCCCGTCCACGACACAAAAATAGGTGTATGTACCCAAGCCCAATGACCAGCCAGATCTCATGGCCGAGAGAGACCAACCGTACAGAGCGTAGGCAAGTAATCCTCCCCCGCATTTCCCGATATCACCGTGCCATTGCTCCACGTCCACGTGGATGACAATTACCTTCCCGATTCCACGCTACGGAACAGGAAGACCCGAGTTGTATAAGTAGAAGGCAGATAACTGCCCTGTTTCATTTCGCACCTCACTTCACTTCGCTTCCTTCCACTACCTACCTACCTATCTTCCTACCAAACGTACTCGGTAAGTACATAGCTAAGTAGGTGTTCATCGCGCATTCGCGCCTCGTCTGGAGATATACACCTCCAATCCCTCCTGGACGACGAAGAACGTCGCCTTGGCCTTGAGTTCGCACGTAGGGTTGACGAGCTGGAAGTCGAAGTCGCGCAGGAGGCGCGGACAGACTTTGTTGATTTCCAGCAGCGCTAGATTCCGACCGATGCACACGTGTGCGCCGCCGCCGAACTGAAGTTTCGAAACAATGTCAGCAAGGGATTACACGTCTTAAGTGAAATCTTCTTTCCGGGTATGAAGTGGAATGGGGGAAAAGGAAAGGGTGAACTCACCTGGAACATATACCGCTCCATAACCCTCGCACCCTCCTCATCCTCCAACCATCTCTCAGGCCGGAAGAACTCAGCATCCTGCCCGAAGACCTCCGTATCGCGATGCAACACCCACCCGTTCACAGCCATCCGCGTACCAGCAGGGTAATGCCGTCCATCGATTTCCACACCATCAGGCGCGGGGGCATACCGCGTGATATTCAACCCCACAGCAGGACGTAATCGCATAGCTTCTTTCAGACAAGCCTGAAAGTACGGTAGATTCTGCGCCTGCAGCCATTCGATGTTTCCGGTGGCGGGGATCGTGCCGTCTGATACGGCGGCGTCGATTTCGGATTTTAGGAGCGAGTACACGCGCGGCGCGGTCAGCGTGAGCCAGAAGAAGGATTGCATTGTCGAGGCCGTTGAGTCGGAGCCTGCGAAGCTGTGTTGCGAGCGTTGTTAGTCTCGATGTTCATTCAGGGGTAGAAGAGGGATGGGATGAGAAGCACGACTTACATGGCCCCATGCGCGACGGCAAAAATATCGCCCTCATGGAATTTCTGCGGATCCTTCAAATGGCCCTTAATCAGACTAGCCATGAGATCCTCGCGTCCATCGCCACCAGCCCCTTTCCCCTCCCTCTCGACCTCAAACGGCCTCCTCTTCGCCATCTCCTCCCTCGCGATCCTCGTGATCAGATTATTCCCGGGATCCAGCTGCGGGACAAACTTGCACAGCGGATTCCTCCTCAGAAACCGGTCGAACTCGGGGATCTGCCCGATGATCCCGTTGTACTTCTGGCTGTTGTCGATGGTCCGGATGGCGTCTTCTTTGTCGACGCCCGCGGCGAGGAACCCGAAGGACCGCCCGAAGGCGACTTCGCCCAGGACGTCGAAGGCGAAGTAATGCAGCCAGTTGCCCAGGTCGAGGATGGGCTGTGGTTTCTTCCCGTTGTAAAATTCCTCTTTCGAACCCGTCGTGGGATCCGTGCAGAACCCTCCCATCCGCGAGACGAGGAACTCGATCGTGTCGTCGATGAAGGGGCTCAGCTGTCTCATGGCGGCCATCGAGTACGGCACGTTGGCGACCTTTTTCTTCATCGCGTGCACCTCCTCGCGGATCTCGGTGAAGATATCCGGGTTCTCGGGGGGTGGGAAAACGCTGTAGAAATCCGTCTTGTAGAACCGTTTGCCTGCCGAGAGCAGGTTCCGCGCGACCTGGGGCGAGGAGAACGAGACCTCGTTTGGTGCGATGCGGACCACGGGGCCGTATTTCCTGTGTAGCTCGAGATGGTCCCAGTGCGTGTTTTCTTGCACGGTTGATCGGACTTTCCAGAGGCGTGTGCACGATGCGAGGAACGGGCCGGGGATAGATCGTAGTGGGGAGACATATCGCCGGTATATCATCCGGGTAAAGATAAAGGCTGGAATAAGAATGGCCCAGTACGTGGTGATGGATTGGAGAGTGAAGGCGAGGAAGATGCGCACTGGGGAGATGGTGTCTTCGTCAGGCACTATCATCTTGTCGTTGGGAGTTGAATCCATTGTTGAAGTGCTGCTATAGGGACCACAAAGTGTAAAAAGAATAGCGACAAGAATGTCTCTGACGTTCTTTAGAGACCGCTGAGGGCTGAGATGAGGTCGAGGTGCCTGGGAACACTCATACGCCGGCTCCTGTTGAAGGAGGAGGGCAAGCAGTTAATAGATTGATAGATTGATAGATCGATAGATCAATAAATTATAGAATATAGCTATGGCACGACAAAGCTGCTCACAACGTCTTGACAATCATACGAAGTACAAATTGCATACACCACGGAACGAAGCGTATAAGTCATCAACAATCTGCGGGCCCGAGCTCAACGAGCCTCCCGCAGCGAGCCAGATCTAGGGAAGCAATCTAAAATATATTACGGCACCGACAAGATGCGGCCGTACCTACAGCATTGATCGGCACACCCGGCCTGCTCTCGCCATGAGCCCCCTTTTGCAATCGACGTCCTACTGTGTACGTATGTCTCTGGATTACTCGGTGGATAATTATAGCCGCGCTGAACGAGGCTCCCGCCAATCAGCTAACTGCCGATTGAGGGTTGGTCAGAAGCGAGGACACGGCGTGGTTCGAAGAAGGCAAGATTGTGGATCGATTGTGGAGGATCCCGCCGCTAACTGTCTGGAGCCTTGGACCGAAATGTGGCGGGGACACTTCCTGATTGCGGGGAAGGAGGTTTACAAAATGGTGACAGACGCATAACGGATTACATATTCTCGTATGCCAACGCTTCTATCGGCAATTGAATTGCCTCCACCGCCCGGCGAGAGAGACAGAATGTGTGACGCCGGGAAGGAAGCCTGGCTAGCCTAGCGATCTTGTCTGTTATGATGCAGCAGAATCGTCGCGATACTATTTGGCCGTTTCACTCAGTTGTGCTTGGCAGCAATATATGGACGTGCAGGATGAAGGGTATCCGAGCCCAATCACAAAACAGTACAGCTATAGCTCACCAATTAATGCTTTGATTGTTAGATCCATTCATCTGGTCCCCTGCAGATTAGCACACCACGAATTGTAAAGACCCGGGACCTACGTTGAGCTCCTTGCATATACACGTGTTGAAGAAGACCGTTACATCAGTAGTCAGCAGTGTAAGTAGATATTGGATTGGATTATCGCCGGCCCGAACTATTCAGCCTTGCGCATGATAGAATAACCGTACTATATAGTGGTATCTTTTTTCAAACGCCAACCCCGAAGCATTTTTAGTCATGAACTTGTCATCAGCTTGCGAAACATAAAACGCCTCGCTGCCCCATATCGAAACGTCGGCTGACCTATTCCCATTTCTTGGCCTCGGCACCGTCAGGCGGCTGGGTTTTATAAGTCTTGCTCTTGGCGTCATCCCAGCTCGTGCTCAAAGCCGTGCCATTGCTCTCGATGAAGCTCTTCATCATGGCTCGTTTAGTATCCTCATCTGCATCCTTGTAGATCTTCTGAAAAAAGTTGTTGACATCGCCGTCTTTTGAGACGTCCTCGTCATCATCAACATCCATCTTATCCCAGTTTTGGGGTCCTTTCTTTGAAGAAGTGGGGTAAGCAGGTCCACCCCCGGAGCTCTCTTTCGTTCCAATTACCGGGTCTGACATTGGCTTCGCGTTACTAGAAGGTAGAGCCGAGCCAGAAGGAACAGCCGCCTCCATCTTTGGCTCACTTGCCGGACGGGTTTGATCATTGAACACGGATCGTAGCTTCTCAATGAGGGCTACATACCAAGTAGATGGACTACTCGCATAGTCAGGAAGTTGGAGCTTAGCAAAATTATCGAAACTGTTGCAACTATGTTAGTGAAATGCCACATCAGTACCAAAGTGGAATCGACCTACCCGAGGGATGTAACGAAGATATGGAAGGTATCGAACGAAGGCCCGCTGCTAAAATCGTTGACCGTGAGGTTGTCTACAATTCCAGCATCCTGACGCAGCAAAGATGGCCATTTACCTGGCCGCTTTTTCTGGAGACCTAACTCAATCTTCATTGACTTCACAGTGTATTTAGTAGCTTGTGGGTTAATCTCATCAGAGAGCAAAAGAACTATAGGACCGCCGAAGGCGCCGATTGATACACCCTGGGCTGCTGGACTGATTTTGACAGTATGAGAATCAGACTCGATGGCGACCTGTCCCGAGGACAAGTTCTTAACGAAGATATCAACATTTAAAGCCATGTCAGATTGGTAATAGCTGTACCGGATCTTGTGTTTCTTGTATTGGGTCTGGTAGAGGGACCAGGCCTGCTTCCAGGCGGCCGTATCGCCCCCAGCAGCGGTATTCTCAGTCGTATTGTCGGTCGTCTTATTTTTAGAGGGACCGGGATACATATCTGTGACATGGACCTTGCGACCATCGTCACCCACCGGGAGCTTCTCCATTCCATTCAACGATTGAAGGCGCCAAGTAAGGGCCAGGTTTCGCTGGGAGAGCTCCATCTTGCGTTTGCTAGTCATCGGATCAAGGGCCGCACGTTTCTCTGTTTCTTTGCTTCTGTCGGCCTTCTCGGCTTCCGCAGCTTTCATTTGCGCGGCTGTCACAAGGTAATTCCCGTTCTCGTCAACCTTGTTCCGCTGGTCGTCATCTTCCCGTGCTTTGGCACCCTCGGCCAACCGCAGGGCCCACAAAGCACAGACGTCGGCATCGGCGTACTTTTTCATGCGATAGAAGGCGATGGCACGTCGGAGCTGGGCCTCGGTCATTAATTCTCGGTTTCCACGTTCGTAGGCGATGTGAAGTGCTGTCTCGGCATCCCGGAGGGCAGCGTCGTACTGGTTGGTCCGCAAATAAGCTTTGGAGCGCTCGGCATACCAGAGGGGAGCGTCACGTTGTTTGATGGCGTCGGTCAGTTTCTCGATGCCCTCGTTGTAGGCGTGATCTTTGATCTGCCGTATGCCGGCATCGGCAAGAGTGGCACTAGTCATGGTGCTTGGTGAGCTTTGATGGTATGGCGGCTGTCGTCTCGTCACGCGATACTTGTTAAGTTAATTCCCGATTAGCGCGTAGCTCGAGTTTGCTCGAGGTATATGCGTGTGTCCGTATAGGCGTGAAAGCAATCAGGTGGGGGAAGATGAAGATGAAGACGAAGCTGTTTGATGTTGGTGGTGGAAATGGGGCGTGCACTTGAACAAATGTAAGCAGCACTTGATGAATCAAGACCAAAGACCAAAGAAGCGTTGTATTATTGTTCAAATTGATATTTTCGATGAGTGCAGACACGTTGTTTAAAAGCAAGGGATGTGAGAAGAATCAAGAAGCACATGGAAACAGAACAGGCGGCGAGCTTCCCAAGCAAAGGTACGTAGATGCTGCACATGAGGGCTAGGAAGGTGTTTGTTGCGATGGTGGGGCGCGGGGTAGTTGCCTGTGTACCTACCGGCAGCTCCAACCGAGTTCCTACCTATACTTTGTATGGAAAGCACAACAAGCTACCTAGGGAGATACCTGCCTGCCTGAAAGGTTCTTCTCAGGGAGCGGGAAACATCGTGCGCCACGCAACAACAACATGCATACACTACTGGTAAGTAAATACCCGATGATAGAGTTGAAATCCACAGTTAAGGGATGTCATTAGCATAGGTATCTTTACGCAGCCTGTTTCGACGCTAAAGAGGTTAGGTAGGTAGGTACCTAGTGAATCTAGCGTCGTGTGTGCCGCTCGCCACCACCTCACAAGAACCTCACGATAATCAGCAGAATTGAACCAAGCTGAAACTAAGCTCTGTACGGAGCTATGTACAAGGGTAAGATAATTCGAGATAATCATTCAACACTTCACACACCGATAGTTACTGCACGTAATCTTGATCCTTCACGAACCTAACAAGCCCGAGTCGAGCCTAAATATATTAGCTATTACCTAAAAGCCACGGCGCCACGTCATTCCTCATTTCCAATTGCTCCATTTTCGTCATCGCTTCAAATGACCGTTTCGTCAGGGTACTTCGTCGCGAACATGCCCAAAGCCTTCATGGTGAACGTGAACTTGTAATTAGGATACGAAATCATGCAGCTCTTGTTGAAGACGCCCTCGATAGCTTCCTGCTCCCATTCGCCGTTGGGCTGCTGTCTCTGCATGATCAACTTGACTCCCTTCTTAATCGGTTCAATGTCGGGGTAGTCCGCGTGCATCAAGGCGATTAATGCCCATGCCGTCATGACGACTTGAGACCCGGTGTTGTGCTCGGTATACACCATCTTTTCGCAGGACTGGAAGCGTATGAGTAAGAAACTTCTAGGAATAAAAAGCAAGGGGCTTCATGTGAAGTAAGGGGGAATTAAGCAAACAACTCAACATACGCGATAGCTTTCAGACCATCCACCATCCGCTCTCTGCCGGGATATCAAAAAGTCGCAACCCCGTTTCGAGTAGTAGCTGTTATTGTACTTCTCGCCAATGCTCTTCAAACTTTCGAGGGCGAACATCGTAGCATATGTGTAGCAGATAGCCCAGTTTCCGTACCACGAACCATCTGGCTGCTGAGCTGTCTTGATCCATGCCACGGACCGCTGGACGAAGCCGTCGATTTCTTTCGATCGATGGTCCGGCCAGTGCTTCTTGAAGAGTGAGAGCGCTGTTACTACAGCTGTTGTGCATTCGACGTAGTCGTATTCCACCATGATGTTGCCGAATACTTCGGCTGCATTAAGCATTTCCAACATTTTGCTACCACGTGTGGGCTCATATGAGGAACATGCGCCGGAAGCGTTTTGGTACGTCAAGATTGTGTCAACGGCGTCAAAGATCCGTTCATCATCGAGAAGTTGAGGATAGCCGTCGGTTTTCTGTAGTAGAATCACCGATTTCAGTGCCTCGGAAACGCAATCACACACCGCATAGCCTTGATCCCTGTTACTAAATGCCCAGGCACCTTTACGCTGCTGTCGATAACATGTCGCTTGGTCTTTGCAGTTCTCGCGAATCTGCTGGTTGTCGAGGAATTCAAGGGCTTTGTTGAGCATTGGTTTCCATCGAGCATCTTTCTCAAGCCTAGCGTCAACTGCAGCTTGTATGAGGAACGAGGTATCCCAGCACTGGACGCCATTGGTACCATTGCAGAACATGCCCTCAGCATTCACCCACATGGCATCCTCGAGTCTCTCGATGTGTCTCTTAAAACTGTAGGAATCTGAGCCATCGCGGATGTAGCATACAACTGTGTTGAGAGCGGCATTCACCGGGGCTAAGTCAGCGTAGTCCGTGTTCGCATCCTCCATGTCGATGAGCTTGCTAACCCAATCATTTGCTCTGTTCTTGACGAAATTGGGTCTAAACCACGGCCAGACATTGACTAAAGCCCAATTCGCTGTGTTGAGAACCCACGACTTGGGGTGGTAATTGTCCAGGGGGCAGATCGTGTTTCGGTTACCAGCCCAGTCAATCTTTTCCCAGTTTTCGACGAACAACTCCTCGCGCAACCCACAAATAATATCTGTCTCTTCGCAAGACCACTTCCTGTCGAATATGTAGCCCATGGGAAGGAAAACCTGTCGCATATGGATCCACCACCTCCAGGGTGCGAATGGGACCCAGTCGGGTAGAAGCCATAGCTCCGGTGGAACTGGATTGACGATGTCCCATTTGCAGACACCGATAACACTTAGCCAGAACTTGGCCCAGTGAGGCGCATGCGTTACACCTCCGAGTTTGTGTAGTGTTTTGCGCGCCTTGACCATGACCGGGTCTTCGGGATCGACGCCGACGAGGCGCAAGACGGTGTAATTCAGCGAGGTCCCGAAGACGGTGCTTTCGCCCTCGATATGTAACCCCCAACCTCCGTCTTCGGGGTGCGCGCGGGCAAAAAGGTAGTTCTTGATCTCGGTAGCCACATACCACGGGATGGGCGTCTTGGTCGCGTACCAGGTAATGACTACACCGGGTAAAAGAAACATGGGACCTCCATACTCGCATCCCCACTCACCGGAAGGGAGTTGGAGCTTTTCGAAGAAAGCAAGACCGTTGCTGACAGCATCGAGGGGCTTTTTTGGCGTGGGGAGGGTCGCAAGGTTCTACAGCAGGTGGCGCTCGCGTTAGTAGATGGTTGGGCTTGGATTGGCTGAGCGGGCGTAAGGTTCTCACGGTATCTAGGCCGAGGTACCACTTATCGGCGACAGACTGTGGCCATTTTGCGACGGCCTTGTCGTCCTCGAGGTAGTGCCATGTGAGCCTACCACTTTCATCGAGGAGCCTCCAACGCGTACGGTCTGTTTTATCGGCGATCTGTAGCTTTTCCGTGGGGGTGCTGGCGTGACCGTTCCCAGCCTGTTTCCTCGAAGACCTGGTTTGAACCATATCGGCTTCCAATTTTATGAGGGGCACGAGCGTCGGGCGACTAGTGGGAGAGGTTCGAGAGGCAATTGAGGGGTCTCGGCGAGGACGAGGGTAGGCAATAACAGTTCAACGATGTTCTTTTGGTGGGAGAGGTCAATTGAAATCTGGAAATGGCCAATTCACTCCCCAGCCAATCTTGGACACTTCCCTAGGCTTTTGGTATCATTCGCCAAGCATGGACATGGTGACAGGTCTTGATTTACATATATTTCTCAAGGGAGCTGAGATTCACTGGCATTACCGCATCAGGTAACGGTGACGAAGACGAATACGACAATGCAACCTGGAATGGAATTGGTCAGTGTAGAATATGCAGGTACAGTTGCTCTTGGCTACCTGTTTAGGCCTAGCTTAGCAGCCTGTCAGGGCATTCTAGGCTACCTAGACTACAACCTTATTTTCAAAAGTTAAACGGTCTGTAAATCAGCTGATCTCCAAGGCCATTTCTCACTTTACAATACGGCGAACCTAGTCCATATAGCAACGCTGTGAGAATCACCAACTATCTGACCTGTTGTAGCTATTACTACACAAGATCCAATTATTGTAATTATTACTACCTAAGTACAAGGTAGGAGTTTGAATCTCAGGCTTGGCGCTGTTGACCAGTTCCGTTGTTCGCTTGGACCACATCACTAGATCCATCACTAGGCCGCGACTACCCATGCCTGCTTCCAAGTTACTCGGGCATCCAAATACCGGGAAATAGCTTGAGGCTATCTCCTTCTTACCTAAATACCAAGTAGATACAATATCAAGGCGCCTTCCTATGACGACGATGTGCCTTCCCCCAATTTGACTTACAGCTTCGGAACAATGAAGCTCTCTGATATCGGGAACACAGACTCCGTCATGGTCGCTCCTCTGCCAGACATGATGCAAAAACTGTCTCATCCGACTAGTTAGCACGTGCACACTTCATCTTTGAGGTCCGACATTGTGTCAGGCCATTGATTGAGTACGATAGCATCGTACAAGGCAGTTATAATTTCATCTTCCATATACGTTGAGATGGAAGGCGTACACAGCAACGATAACTCAACGCTGGGAACTAGACCAAATCAGCACACCGGCACCATCATTTCCAACATCGAAAGTATCCTAGTGGCAAATCTCGAAGCACTCAGAGAGGCTCGTCCTATGTCTATTCCAATTCGCAGTCGTATGACCGGCAATGTACGGCTAGTTCGCTTTCCATCCACTAGGCGAGGCGAGGCGAGGAAATTCAGTAGGCTTACGGAACTCGATCGCGGGCTTGACCCTCTTCGTTGGCTAACTCACTCTCTCTTCTCCCATCAGCCGCTATTCTTTCGATTATCCATTTATGTCACGAGGCGCTCATCGCCGGTAGAGTAATCACGAAGAGGTCTGGATTCCTTGTCATATTTGTCACCCATCTCTTGTAGCTACTGTGTAAGAATCCCCACCTAACCACTGTAATCGTAGAGACATCTACTACCAGAACCCAGAACTTTATGGGAACCAAGACTATGTGAACAGATTGGTCGACGATCTCGCCTTCACGTTTGATCTAGGAAGAGATGCATTGAATATTGTTAGTTCAACTAAAGCGACCCGATGCCACCCATTTAACCTACGAGCAGGTTGCGGCAGTTAAGGGACTCATCGTTGGCGGTCTCAAAGTCATATTCCACGATGATTCTACTCTATATTGCAACCCGCATGATCGCGTAAGCAAGCACTATGTTGACTGCCATGGGCCTTACTAAACTATCTAGCACAACATTCTCATCCCAGAAACACGAACCATATTAGGCTTTGATCTCGGTACCACGAAGTGGCTTCTCGTGATAGAAAAGGAGGTCCGTCCAATGGCCTAACCCCCAGAATATTGCGAGAGCTAACGATCTGCGAAGGCAACTTTCCGTGGGCTTGCTGCATCTCGATTCCACGAGTTGGCGGCGGTTGGTCCAGGGCTACTTGTCACAGTGAGTTCCACTGCCTTATCAGGTCTACACATCATTCTATAGTTGAATATTGACCTTAGTCAAAAGGCCAAAGGTTATCCAGATCTCTCTACACGGCAATTCCTTCATAAGCTACAGACGTCATTTCCATTATTGCCAATGTTTGGACTTGTAGACTTCGATCCGCATGGTGTTCACATCATGCTTACGTATAAAAACGGAAGTCGATCTTTGCAGCATGAGCAGAATACAATACTAAGCCGATTGACCTGGCTGGGCCCAAGAAGCAGCGATGTTCTCGGGTTCCGAACACTAGAACCGGCGCCTACCAGAGAGTGCACCCCTGTCGATACCACGCTGCCGCTTCGCATTAGAGAGAGGAGAGTTGCTGTGAAGCTGCTCTCTTCAGCCATAGAAAGCGATGACGAGTTTGTTGCGAATAATGATCTTATTCGCGAACTGCAGATCATGCTCTTGCTCAACACTAAAGCTGAGATTCAGGCGGTGGATGACGCAGGCGATCTGACCAAATGGCTGGACAATGCTTTGACAAAAGAAATGAAAGTGCTATGATTTAACGAGGCTCTCGCTGTTAATATTCTCTGCCACTATAGCTGAAGATATATTCCAACATCTGTGCCGTCGGAGTTGCATGTTTCCTATTTCTTAGTGTCATAGTCAAAGATTACACTAGACGCTGTCTAAGTAGGGCGGGCGGGATTGGACACATCGAAAGTCACGTGACACCCGAGGTACCAGTAAATGGATGCGAACAAGCATCTAATCTGGGTCACCAACGAAAACAGATCGATTAGTTCTCAAAATTTTAAGGTCTAATGTGAAGTATTGGTTTGAATAAGATCTAGTTACATTTAGATCCTGAAAATCTGAGTTATCCTCAACTGTACTCACAAAAGCCTTCACAATACCTAAGTACCTACGTAGCAAACTCGCTACGCACAAAATTTTCGGGGCGCACCTGCACTCATAGCTCTTACCACAAGCGCGAGAAGCGCGAGGGGGCATTCTTAAGGCAGGCACGACTGTGAACGCAACAGAAAAAGGTGCTGCGGCCATCACGCCTGTCACATCTCACTGTTTTGAACAAATCGAGAGCCTTGAACTGCGCATCCAAGAAAATCAGCAACCCTACTCTATCATTGAAGAAGAATTAGGAGAGCCTGCCAAGCCGAACATGGCGCCGTCACTATCCGAGGAAGAGATCGACGATCTCGTCTATCTGGCGCGAACAGGGGAGGATGCAGAATTCACCCAGATATTGCAAGAGCTCGCGACGCGTGAAGGTGCCACAGCGGCAGACATACTGACGGCTGCGAGAGAGGAGCAAAGCAAGGCCACATGTTTACATATGGCGGCGGCAAACGGACATGCGAGTATGTTTCTCAGCCCCTTTCCCCCCCTTTTGGCGTCTACTCGGGTGCAGATTGCTATTGTCACCAGGTTCTGCAGGGGACGGAGGCCCTTAGCTAACATGCATCCTAGAAACCGTAACGCTCATACTCTCGTATCTCCCGGTGCCAAGCAAGCCATCAAAAGCAGCAGTGGCCCCCCCGTCAGAAGACACTGATTCAGAGAAAACGAAAGTAGAAGCAGAGCCAGCGTACATCGATGCGCAGAATTCATTCGGCAATACTGCGCTGCACTGGGCGTGTCTAGGGGGTCATCTTGACATTGTCAAGCTTTTGCTCTCGAGAGGGGCTTCGCCGGCGATGGCGAACGATAAGGATCAGATCCCGCTCGATCTGGCGGCGTTCAATAACCATATGCATGTTGTTGAGTACTTTTTGGCGCAGAGCAGGGATATTGAGGGCGATAATGCACAAGAAGGAGGCTTGGTCAAGGAGGCCGAGGATATGGATGTTAAGGAAGATGGAACTGCGGGTGTAGGGGGATAGAGTGGGTAGATCAATGATGCATATATGAATGAATACGAATGAATAAAAGTTAATTGCCAATGAGTAGTGATACATTTTCCTGTTTAAAAGAGATGATGTCCTGAACAGCCAGAATCCATCTTGTGAGCTGGTGGTAGGCTTCTGACTCGACGCTGCTGGAATCGGCTCACTACCACTCGACCTGTCAACGCAGCTTGAGTGAGTAACTACGTTATTCCTCATTATCCAAAAGAAAATAAAAATCGCAAAGAGACCCAATTTGAAAGTCAAGACTTCATTGTGATGGACGTCCATGTCTGTTTTCATCAATAATTACTCCCGCCTCAAAGTCTCGCAGCGCATCCTTCGTAGACCCATCTCGATTCTCGACCTCATCCAGCGCAACATGAACCACCACAGCCCTTACCTCGAACGGATGCGACACTTTCAAACGAAACACCAGATTAGCTCACTCCATACCACGAAGCACGCCGTAATCAAACATCGACAAACTCACCTGTACTCCCAAGGTCCCCTCCCATCCACCGCTTACCATGCCACAACCGACTCGCAAACGGCCTATCCGTCTGGCCCCTAGGCTGCGTAAGCGCCATCTGCGCAATAATCACAGGCAGCAGACCCCCCAACCCCCTCGACAGCGGCGCGCGCGGGTCCGTGTTCCTGAATACCTCGGGCACCAGGCTCGGGATCCACGAGGGCTCGCACCCGGCCACGACGCGCGAAGACCCCAGTTTCGAGATCTGCGTGATCCCCGTGACATCCGGCTGCGAGAAGCTCATGACGTGGAGCAAGTGCCCCTCGATATGCGGGTTCGGGTTGTGGAAGCCGTACGGCACGATCAGCGTGCTGAGCGGGTCTTCTTGCATGTACAGGCACGGCAGCGGACCCCAGCCGTTGAACACGGTGAATTGCGAGTACTTCGCCATCTCGTAGTGCGGCTCGTCCCTGTTGCGCTGGTAGATGCTGCCGGAGGGCTTCAGCGGACTGTCGGGGTCGACGTTGTCGCGGGCCCAGGCGTACCCCCGGGCTACGCTGATCTCGTCGTCGCGGTAGCGGAATACTGTCCCGGACATTTCGCCGATGTACGCGTTTGGGTCGAAGGGGGGTAGTACGAAGCCCTGCGTGTCGATGTTGGGAGGCGCGTTGGGATGAAGGATTACTTCGTTGACTACGAAGAGGAAAGATAATCTCGGCTCTGGTGGGATCGTGGCTGATCCGCTGGCCTTTGATGTTGCTATGTCGGGTTTGGATCCATGCTTATCTGTGTGTAAGTTATATGGTAGTTCTTAGTTGCTGAATTTGAATAACTGACCTGGCTCCCGGCCTGCTTGCTATCATTTTGGTTGCCCATACTGACGATTTTGAGTGCTCCTTGCACGACACTTTGATTTCTGCCTTCAGATTTGGGTTATAATGCGGCGTAAGTATATCTATAAGGGGTATATACATTAATGTTCATTGTATATATGCTGACTTCTGTAGTCTATCCGTTATCGTGATGTTGATGCTGAAGGTTGGTGAGACACTTAGTCTGTGTGCGTCATTCGAGCCAGGTCATATGTCAAGCGTGAGAGGTAGAATTCCGAGCGCCTGTCTTTGCGAGACTGTGAAATGTAACAGCACTTCAACCAGCGTCGATATTTACTGTGAGGTTCCCGTCCCTTGATGCGTGCTGGTCGCAGAGGTGTGGATTCGGCTGCAATGGATTCACCTGCTGTACGTAAAACAGTGTCATCCCGTGACTGACTACCTGATAACCTGTCGGAGATGTCGGCATATTTGTAGCAAATATATGTATTTAATCGCAGCATAATGCACTATTATTGTAGTCTATGTAGGTAACTTCCCACACAGAAAATGTTTGATGGGTCCTCACACCACCGCTTGCCTGGATTTGAAGGGCGAAGTTATCAATATTAGCTGGTCATACTGAGTTATTTCTCCGTCATGAAAAGACACCGTGAGGCCGGCTATTGGTTCAAAATTGACGAGCTCGCTTGTGTCACTAAAAAGGAGACCTCGCCCGCCTGGTCGGGATATTAGAGCGAAGATCTGGGACAGTACAGGCCAATACACTAAATCTGCCAGATTTTTTTATTTCTTTCTTTAGGGCATCGATTAAGATGATGGGACCGTGTTTTTGGTAGAGTGAGACCTTTGTGTGTTCCAGAACTGAATTGCCAGCATAATCATTTGTCGATTTCGACCGTTCCATGACAATTAATCGCGATGTGTGGCGATCCCTTACATCAAGGCCTTTTGCGATTCTGAAGAGGTCTCGCTCTATGGCCTCGTGAATGAATTAAGGGAATACCGAGTACATCTCACTGGAGTGAATACCGTATCATAGGGTCTGCTGATTCCCCCCTAGAAACTTTTAGTCAGATTACCCGCCTGTCATACTTAGTGACAAACAAACATGGTGCCCAAGCCGCAAGTATTTTCTGATCGACAGTGGGAGAGGGACGCCTTAACATGAGTAAGTGCTGGGTAGGGAAAAGCTGGGGACAATTAACACTTTTAGTTAAAAACACAAATGACCGATCAAACCTGTATGTAATGTAATCTCTTGAGAGCCGTCTACGAAGAAAGGCTCTTTGCTTCCACTCATGGCGTATAAAACAAACCGAGCATGGCGATGTAGAGCCCCTCTTCCGCTCAATCATCAGAGAGTCAGAGGCCGTTCTGTCTAGCCGGCCGTAGGAACACAACCGCGTGGTGACACTTGGTGTGAGCAGGTCGTACTAGGGAGGTCCTACACCTGAAGGAGTTTTAACCTATCAGGGTGGACTATGCTTAGCGATGCTATGTTTCCCATCAGAAATGTCAAACAAGTAGGTCACCTTACTACATGAAATCTCATGAAACAATATTGGCCACAAGACTTTGATCGTCCATATCCTGAGGCCATAGTCGTGTGAATCCTAGAAGCCTGTAGCTGGGCAAAGACTAAATTTTAGTAGGTCAAATATAAAGTCTAGACTATATAGCGGCCTCCGTAGTTTAGGGGTTTGCTCTAGGCGCATCTAGTGCTAAAATTCCATGTTTCAACAAATCCCCTGTTTCTAGCAAGAGGATAGGAGGATAGATTAGAAAGCAAACAGTATGGAAACTAGAATTTGCTATCGCATTGAAGCAACTTGGATGCACAATAGATAAATGCGAAGCCTTCCGTTCAACAATAGAATAGCAAAGATATTGTTAGATGCCAATTATGATTGAAACCAAAACTTGAACGCTCTGGCTTCACGCTGGTTAATCCTTGCGTAACAAATATAGTGTGAGACAAACACCTCGAAATTGTGCTCCTACCAAAAGAGTTGGTCACGACATTATTCTGTACTACCAAAGATGCTATCATGGCGTCAGTTGATAAGTTCAATTTGTGCTTATGTAAGACACCTGATTAGACTACAATCTGCCAACTCATGTCAAACGCTGAGCGACGTAAGGGATAGTCAATAATGGCAGTCAGAGCGGCTCAGTACGACAATACATGTAGTCAGAGAGTTTTCATTTTCAGAGGATAAGGGAGAAGCCTAGAAAGATCCCTCGTTGCCAATTGTTTGTTTCTCATTGGCGGGGAGGCTCCCGCTATTCCCGGCGGCTTTGCATCAATTCACAAGCACGCAGTGTCACAGTACTATATAGTGAGTGCAGAGACGTCAAGCCTTCGACTTGATAACTCGTCGTTACCTTTTGGTGGCGTAGTGGCATAGTACTGCACTCCTTATGTCATTCCGTGACACGCAGCATGAACAAGTCAGAACATTCTCGAATTGGCTGTTCATACATAGTAGTTGTCTCTTAATCAATTTTTTCGGATAATAGTCGAATACTCGTTGCATCACGGCATCAGAGAATACTCTAATGTTGTATGCTAACAGCTAAGGCGCCATCATCCTGATGGTTTGAATTTGGCGTACTCTCTACGGGTCAGGGGCCTACAATCAAATTGTTGTCACCACAACAGTTGAAATCAACAACTATAAAGGTATCAATAACCTTCTCGATCACATACAATTTATTCGGCTCGTCAGTAACTGGTCAAAATCGCAACAGCCCTTTTCGTTATCCTAGAAGACTAAAACTTGGGTACAAAAGGCGGTCGGAACACACCATTACAGCAACATACTATCATGGCTTCAAGCTCCATCAATTATCCAGAATGTCTGCCATACTGTCTAATGGTGGAATTGATAGTAATGATAAGGAATGCCAATGTGGTGACCCATTGAAGTCATCACCAGAGAGTCTCTGTAAGAGGTGTAGAGCGATCCGAACAGCAGCGATGTGGTATGAGATACATAACAAGAAGGAAGAGGAAAGGGCAAATGCGGCAGGCCAGTTATCGTCCGGGGCCTCACAACCCTATCTCTCTATGTTAACCCACGACTATTATAGCCAGCACACTCAATCACGCCAACAAATTTATCAGCAACAATATGCTGCGGGCAGTCCATTGAGATATGACTCGTCAGCAGCGTATGGACAGACCATGCCATTCAGCGAGTACCGCCATTCAGCTTCAACAGCTAGGTATTCAAATGTCTCTTCTCAGACTCCCCGCACCTATGGAAAAATGAACGCTCGCAATACCACCGCTGGCCAGAGAAGTGCCAATTACTTCAGATCCCATAACAACCAAGCATCTAGCTTCAATCCAAATTACCCCAAGCCTTATGAAACTCAGGCATCTGGTTTTAATAACAACCCGGAGAGCGGTGCGACTAGTTCCAAACATGTCCACTTCCACAATTAGCCCTGCGATTAGGACGCTAGATAATTAGGGGTGCTAGAGAATTGCCGGCCGCTGGAAGCAGGGATGGAAAGTATAATACAGTAAAATCATGGTTGTTTAGCTTACGAGGCGTTTTGTCGGGACAAGAATGGCAGCGAGAGGGAAGATTTCTCTTTGGAGGCGTATATGTGCTCTTGCTGGAGTTTTCTAATGATTAGAGGTGCAAGTTAGATGATATGCGACCGTCTTTACTCTAGGATGAGGAATGAAACAGTTGTCTTCGAGCGGAAATCGGCTCATGTTGTCCTCAACCTAATCCCTCCTCTTTATCCCCTTTTTGTTATTGTGTGCTTGTGGCTTAGTATTAGAGATCAAGGAACTTGTATTCTGACTAGGAATAGCCGTGGCACATTGATGATGAAGAACATGACTCATAAAATTTGTAGGAGTTACCTCGCGGAGATCAGCCAATTGGGAGTACTATTTCTAACATGAATGTTCGTCCTAGTGTCTTGATAATAGAAGCCGATGAATGCTTCCTTGGTATGTTAAGTCAAGTAGGTAATGATGAGAAAACATAATAGAAACCGCGATGGCCACATTATTTGCTGGCAGTGGCTGAAATGTTAGCATAATTGTCATTGTGTAATAATCAATATTGCCCCAACAACCATTCATGCGCTATCCAACAAATCGCACCATTGAAGGGATAACGTGTATCCACTCCTAACCTGCACTTTACAATATACATATAGGTACTATATAAACTCTTACCAACTACCAATTCATGTGTCAATTGTGCTGTTCATCATCTACGTACATGGGTCAGTAGACAACAGTGGCTCGTGTCCAGCAACGTGTAACCAGGTAGTCTGTCATCAGCTCTACATACGTTTTCCTTTATTATCTTGACCATCAAAACTATTGTGCATCACAGTGTTCCTGCTGTGTTCAACTTTCCCTCATATTACTTTGATTCTCTCGATCTGCTGAGACTCTTTATAGATTTCCATTGTCGCCATATTCCACCATGTCATCGTGCCCTTATATTCCGCCAGAGATAATCCAGCACATCGCACACCATCTCACTCATGATTGGGTCGATTGTCGAAACAATACAGTGTGGCGCCTCGTCCCAGGCGCTGCCAGCTACGCCACTGTCAACAAGGTTTGGCAGGATGCCATTGAGCGCGAGATCTTTTCCGAGATTGACCTTAGGCTCAGCCGTCTCGCCGAGGCTGATGCCATCCTAAATGGGAACCCACGACGCCGAAAGTATGTGCGTAGAATCTCGCTCAGGGTCACCCCGTTTTTATATTATCATCCCAAGCCGTTGTATCGACAGATCGGCCGTCTACCGCCCGAATTTGTCAACGAAAGCCGCCGCGTGCTGCAAGCTACGTTGGAGGGATTCCTGTCGGTGCTACGCCACTGGGCCTCTAGCCCCGCTATTACATTACATCTTGACCAAGGTTACCGACATCGTTATGTCTATTTTACCTACGATCCAATCGAGATTGAAGCACGGCAGCGGATTATAGAGCTTGCACCCGTGCATGCGATTACGGAGCTAGAGATGTGTTGGGGAGAGCAAATTCTTTCCGCTGCGGCTTTGTGCAGTCTCCTAGCGAAGCTGCCGGCACTCAGGAAGGCCAAAATCCGGTTCCAAGATCGTGGACTTGAGTCGCGAAACGGTAAGAAATGCAAATTAATTATATATATCGTTCTCTGAAATTGCATATAGGTGGTTATTGAAGTAAATATAACTGACTGTATTTAATATAGAACTTGCTCAAGGGCTTCTGAATTTCACGCATTCTCTTGATGAACTCACCATCGATTGCTGCGGCTACCCGAGGTTTCCCCCATACGGAGCAAATGGATGGGAGGAAGATAGGCTCTCTCACGCGCTCGGCATCATTTCCCAGCGCGTACGAGTACTTTGTCTCTGTGGAGTCTACCTCAGTACAGCCGTATTCCTCCAACCTATGTCAGACCCTGGAATTGCACACTGGGCAAGGCTGGAAGAGTTCAGGGTTTATAACCCGCGTGTGTGTTCTCTGGGGGAGCACATACAGTTCTTGCAGCGTAAATACAATTTTAACGACAGACACGCCGAAATTAAGCATCTATACTTGGCTGCGGCACGTGCAGCGCTCGAGATGCCTTTGCTCAAATTCATGACATTCGATGTCTATATCAAGTCCAGAGTATTAGTACCATATAGCAGTCTCAGATACTATCGCGATACACGTGCCAACACCGCGAAAGCGTGCTGGAGAAGTGGCGAGGGCTTCGTACCCGACGCAGAGTTGGTGCTTGCATGGCAGGAAGTGGCATGGAAACATCTAGAGGGCAAGGAATTAGAAGTCGAAATTTCAATTGATCGTCATTTTTTTACGAAAACCCACGCACTAGTTTCGTGCAGCTGCCCATGTAAATGGCCACTAGTACGTCTCTCCCAACCCAAACGTCATGTCCAAGAAGTCAATATGGCCGCTAACAGTTTCTATAGTGATTGAAATCCTACACAAACTAATTCATACCCTTGACTCATGGTGTTGGCATATATAGCAGTAGTACTAGGTATTTGAGTACCCGGTGCATCGGTTTTTACTCACACATGGTATTGATATTAGTGAAGGGATAGTTTCGCTCATTCAACAAGGGATGAGATCGGCAAACCTAAGGCAGTGGGTAATTTGACGGGAAGAAATGGTATGGGAATCGGCTGTATTATACACGAGATAGATTCATCTCTGACTACCAGAATCTAAGTGTTTTTCCAGAGAAATTCGTTTCAAGCTGTGCTGAGATACCCTCCGTTGTTATGCTCTTCTTAACTGTGAATAACTACGATTTACTAGATCGATTGTATCCCGGTATTACAGACTTGCCATCACATATAGTATATCAGTTTAAAACGTTTCTGATCATACACTCTGATGTCCCATCACTTACGTTCTCCCGATCACAGCGTAAGTGGTACGACTATACTATCATCACGTCTTCATCTGGCTCGACACGCTTTGGCGATATTTTGCACCAACCGAAGCTTCGTGTGGCCAATGGTACGTATCTGCACGGGCCAACTTAAGCCAATAGTTGCTAGATGGCCATTACGCGCCTATTCTAGTTTTCCTCCCTATCTTTTACTTCATGTAGTGTATTTATTCAGAATTGAGGGCGGATTCGAAAGTGCTTGTGAGTAAAAGCCGATGCACCGGGTACTCAAATACCTAGTAGTACTGCTATATATGCCAACAGTACTGAAAAAAACTAGAAACATCTTTGCCAGAAACCTGGTCCCCCTTTGCGCCACCACACACCCTTATCCCGATTCACCAGTACTCCTGTCCGCCTGATGCTGGGGCGCCAGAAGTTCTCTCCTCAATGTAACTAATAAGGAATTCAGGGGATAGTCTTGCCACCATGGGGGAGTTGTCGTCATTAATATCTTCGGGCAGGCTCCCTGTAAAGTCTGAGGCTACGAGATACCCGGCCGCGCTGTCGGCGTTGTGAAACGAGCATTTGTGACCCGTCAAATTGAAACTGCAACAAGCGCAGGCGGAAGACTTGTTGCCACCAAGGGCGCTTCCAGGAATGAAGGATCTGCATGGGAAGAAAGGGTACATTCCGGTATAACCTTTGAGATGAGCCTCCCGCATCATTCGTTCACACCTTCGGCATGGGACTGCGTTCTGAGTGCCAAAAAGTTGGATGAAAAGGGCAGAGGCACGGCGTTTATCTCGTAAGATCTGGAACACGTAATTTCCCCAGGGAGCGCCTTCGGAAAGCTCTACAAGGAGTGGGCGAGCTTGGAAGTTCTTCGTTTCTGCCTCTTTAGCCCAGCGAACGGTCTCCCTCCAAGCACTCACGGTGGTGAAGAAGTGCTTTTGAATGCGCCATCGTACGTATTTGCCCCTTGCCTTCCCACCTAAGATGTCGATTGCCAAGGCACCGACTGCCTGGGCCAGAACATGTTAATAGAAATAGAAAGGTGATACGGTGGAGGAGGGAATAATATGTGCTGCTACTTACGGACCTCCAAGCGCCGGAGAATTCCATAGCACGGACATCCTCTTTCATCGGCCAAACATCTTTCACATCGTCAGGGCCGTCTAAAACCAATGCTGGAAAGGGGCTAGAGTCTGGCTGCCCAAAAGGAACACGTTCACGAATCTTCTTTTCCTCAGGCTTGCTAAGCAGCTTAGACATTGTATTGAATGAGAAAGGTGGCGATTAGAAGGAATTAATGGCTATAAAACAGAGTTTGAAGCTGGAGAAACAATGATGTAGTAGGAAGGATTGGCTTGGCAACCCTCCCAGCTTGTTTACTTAGAGATGAAAGGTTGCAAAGAGGCACTTACGAAGTTACAGAGTTACAAAGTAGGAAGGAGCCTTGCGGGGAACTACAACCTATTCCACGTTGCCAAAAGCCACACAAAAACTGTTCCCGCAAACCTACCTCTTCAAGTTTCTGAATTTGCACATACTCCTCGAGCAAGCCTTCACCCAACTCAAGCCACGACGCCTACAACCATCATCCAAGTACACTTTATTTCTGCACTCACGACCCTGATCAAAATAGCCCTACTTACCCCCAAATCCCAGCATATACTCGCTACCAGACTCGACGGCTGCAACTACTAACAGAGTACCTTGTAAACTCTACCAGGGGTTCAACCGCCCAGCAGTATCACTTTAGGTGAGCCATTATGTTAGCAAGCCAAAGACAAACGAAAGGCGGCAAGACCACAGCACAAGAGGGCGCACCAATGAGTTTCTCTCATTTCCCCAATCCGACCATCATGCATGCCTCCCAAGAAGAAATACGGTTTCTGGGAGTAAGAATTCGACGAGAACGAATGGGTGACGACTACCGACCTGCTATTATCACAGGTGGTCAGATCGCCCCCGAAATCCCCTACTTTATCACTCCATACAAAGAAGAAACGATGATTGACGATAACGCGCCTCTGTTTGACGATTCCGCAAGAATTAATCCTATTGACTTGGGCCAGCTCAAAAGACATAAGTACCTATCCAACCGATCCATCTTGCCCTGGATGCAGACTTCTTCCGCTATACCTGAACGTACGTGGCTAGCCGACACACTGCCGTCTCTCATTAATGTTTTAATGAAAATCCGGAGTCGCTCGCAGCTTTTGACATGTGAAGTGAATGCGCTGTATACACTTCTGGTGAAAGGGCTGGGTAATGAGGTCGCTACAGAAAACGAGTTCGCGAGCATCTATGGGCCAGACCCAACCAAATGGCCTAGTGAACTCCCCAAGTCAATCATCTCGCAGGTTAAGTCTGGGGCTAAGTACGTCGCTCTAGGGATTAAGGCACCAACTTCACACTGGATATCTTTTCTGTATGAAGTCAACCAAGGGAGCCTCTGGTTCTTTGACTCCCTAGAAGCAAATAGGCAGTATAAGCATCGGATCTTTCGGCACTTTAAGATGATCTGGACCTCGAAGTTCTTCAATCTACGACAAGATCCCAGACGCGCTTACGATGCCAGTTACTTTTTTCACCGCGACTATTGGAGCTGTGGAATAATCTCTATCCTCTCCTTGGCAGAAATCTTACATTCTCCTAATGCGATTGAGAACCTCCCCAGCAAGCCCGCCAAAATTGGTAGTAGCTACATTGATTATGTAGCGCTACTTATAACAAGAGCCACCGGCTTAAGACTCTCTCCTTCTTGGACCAGCCCTAATCTCCATTTACGAGTGCCAGCCCCCAACCCTGATCCGGCCGAAGGTGAACAAGTCTCCGTGGTGCTCGGGGATGAGGAAGCCGAGGTATATCTCGCAGAAAGCATCAATAAAGCAAGTTTATTTATTATAGATGCCATCGTACCAAGAGCGCCTCCAGCCAAAGCCTATTATGATACCGACGATGGCATTATCCCCGACGCGCAAACTAGTATCAAGATACTCAAGGACTGCAAGGACATTAGAAGGCGCACCCAACAAAACCACGACCATTGGAGAGGAAATGAAGCCCGTCATTTGGTCAATGCTGTAGTTAGAAGCCGAAGAGGATGGTATCTCGAAGATACAGAAGTACTCGCTGTGCTGGAATGCCTTCTGTACGCACGAAGTGAAAAAGGGACTGGCCAGATCCTTATCGAAGAACCCTATGGATATCTCATGGAACAGGATGAAAGCGATATAACGCTTATGGTGCGCCAGTGGGATCTCCTCATTGTATCCAATGACGGCTCAGACCCTCAACTTAAAGGAGAACTCGCGATCTTCGGGTACACTAATGGAAATTCCCACTGGGGAGTCATAATTATCTCTCTCAAAGACAATAATGCATATCTTGTGGATTCTTTGAACCCGGGCCCGGCCACGTCTAGAATGATATTCGACAAGTTCAGACTCCGTTATCACATCAGATACCCTAATATGCCTAAGCCTACAAAAATGACGGTTCTGCCTTGCTACCGACAGAGGGATAGTCATAGATGCGGCCTAATCTCCCCCCTTTATCTATATTTCTTACTTTGTAACCCAGTGTACCTTAAGCCTACCTCGTCAGCAACAAGCGAGTACCGCGTGACCAGATGTATTGAAGATATTATACAGAGGTATGTAGGAGTTAAGGTTACTAGTAGCGGCCGGGCAGACAAGAGTGAATACGGAAACAACCTACCTCTCCCTCTGGAGATGCTTATGACCGGGCGTCAGGTAGACAAGGAAGAATGAGAACAATTGAAGTAGTGCTGGCCAGAATTCCTGAAGCTATTAAAATATTGCACTCCAAGGCGCAAGCCTCCTCTATGACTCTCTCTGGCCCGAAGCCCCGTCCCAAGCAACAACCTGCCGCCCCGGAAATGAAGCAGTACAGGCAGGGCGATACCATGGCCGACGTCATTCCCTTGGTCTTCAATAGATCCTCTCAAAACGAACAGAGGGCGTTGCAATACTCCGATCAAACCATTGCTTGCCCGTTTGCTGTACCGGGAGACAGATGGCTTGACGTAGCGCGAAGACCCCAACCTATACATCCTGATGAATGGCGGGGGTGGGATTGGTACGAAAACAACGTTGATGCCTTAAGACGAGCGCAAGAGGGGGAGCGAACATCACGTAGCAGCCGTTCCGCTGGAGAGTCAGTTGAGTTAGATTCTAGAGGACGTCCAAAGCCCCCTGCAGGGAAAGGTTGGTAAGATCAGATTCGGGGATTTTCGCGATTATGAAGTGAGATACTCTGAGGACTGCAGATATCTCAATTAGGGAAAATTGAAGGGATATGGAGTAATACGTTCGTTAGCAAGGAGTTTAGGAGTTTCGAGAATTTCGGATTATCTTCTGATGATAGATAGACATGACTTGCAGGAGTAGAGCACTTCTCACTGCTTTCCCAAAGTTGGCTTGGTGTCTTGGCACGGCGTGCATACAGCTCACTTTACCTGTTGCCTTCTAGAAGAGGCTGTTACTCAGAATGCCATTTGACTCACACGTCGATGGTATGAACCCATTCATAGGTGGTATTTGATTAGCGTCGGCCTTATTCCTGAGATGTTGGTTAGCCTGCATAACAACGTGTAGTTCTTCTTAGATCACCCCACCACGCAAATTGCGCCTGAGCGGAATGAAGCCGCAGACGAAGTCCACAATCTAATCCGGTATGCTGAAGTTAAATACGCAATATAACGTTTATATACAACCACACTAACAATTTATACCCTTTTAAGAATCTTGCCTGTTCCATGCATGCCTATAATCACTCAACGGGCCAACTTTAACATACAATATCGAGTATAATAATTCAGGATCGCCTCGTCTAGATCTGGGACAAGGGTTAGTATAGTGGGGTTATTAAGTCGTACACAACTGCCAAATTGAAGCATTCCGAAAGACGCTAACGTCTAAATACGACGATGTACCATGCATGAGGCGAATGTTAAGGTTTCCGTGATGGTGAGCCGCAAGAGAGCCATGCAAATACACCGACGGATTTGAATAAACGAGTTGGAGCTCATCAGTAGGACAATAACGCTCAGGCATTCCCCTCAACCACTCATGATGGGTCGAGAGTCTTCAATGGTTAGCAATTTCCCCGGTTTCGCATCAATACTAGCGCGCTCTGGGGTCCCTCGCGCTAGGAAACCGATTGCGTCACCTATAGAGGATACCAACATCAGTTCCCCGAGTTATCCTTGACACCGATGTACGGAAGTAATCTCATAAACGTGCTAAGAACGTGGAGATTTGGGGGAAACTAGTGCGATGGCCTCGTGGCTAGGATACAGCCACTCTTGGCTTGGAGAACTCTCGCTATGAGGGGACTATGTGGAGACTTCTTCGCGATGGCTTCGGCCATTCGAACTTTATATTCGACGCTGTATTGCTTTCGGTCCGATCTGCTCGACTTGAAATGACTTACCTAATATCATATTCAGCAGTCCAGGCTATAGTCTAGTTCCTGGGCAATACCCCAAATGACTGATAAGAACTAGATCGTGGGGTGGATCTGTGGAGATCTTGAGACCATCTGGGGAGTGCCGTGTCTTTGTCGTCATTAGACGCGGTATGGCCATACGGCCTAAGTAGGTAGACAAAGCAAACATGGTTCAACTCCCCGCTCCAAAATCGTATATAATGCCTCATCTTAACCGTCATGTAAGTGTATCCTCTCGAGCATATTCGAGATCTACACTCAAATATGGCGGGGATTTGGAAACTTGCCAGCGTGGCACTCTTCGCAGTGAGCATCACGGCCCAGAACAGTACATATGTTAACCCGGCTGTACCAACCGGGACACCGGTTGCGGGGGTCTACACGGGGTCTCTGAGACCTCAGATACACTTCTCGCCGCCCAAGGGCTTTATGAACGACCCCAACGGCATGTTCGTGGACGCCAATGGCACATGGCACCTCTACTACCAGCTTAATCCGACAGGCATAGTAGCAGGGAACCAACACTGGGGACACGCGACAAGCAATGACTTGTACCACTGGATAAATCAGCCCATTGCCCTGTTCCCGCCCGAGGAAACCGTCTACGTGTTCTCCGGCAGTGCTGTCGTTGATTCGAATAACACTTCCGGCTTCTTCCCTGATCAGGACAATGGTGTGGTTGCGATATTTACCCTGGCGCGGTACTACGACGATGGGTCCGCGGGACCCCAGACGCAAAACATCGCATACTCGCGCGATGGTGGATATAGTTTCGAGTACTACGATGAAAACCCCGTGATAGACAGCACCAGCTCGCAATTCCGCGATCCGAAAGTCTCGTGGTACGAGGACCATTGGGTCGCTGTCATCGCTTACTCGCAAGAGTTCAACATCGGAATTTTCACGAGTCCGGATCTAAAGGACTGGACGTTCGCGTCCAACTTCACGCCTCACGGGTTACTGGGGACGCAATACGAGTGCCCCAACTTCGTGAAAATGCCAGTGCGCGATGCCGATGGGGCTGTCATCGATGAAAAGTACGTCATGGCTATCAGTATTCAGCCCGGAGCGCCTTTGGGCGGTTCGATAACAGAGTATTTCGTTGGTGACTTCAACGGAACGCACTTCACGACCTCGGACGCTGTCACTCGGCTTACGGACTTCGGCAAGGACAACTACGCTGCCCAATACTTCTACGGGATCCCCGACGGCCAGAACCAGATTAATATGGGCTGGGCATCGAATTGGCAGTATGCGCAGAAAGTGCCTACGGGAAATCTGGAGGGATGGCGAAGCATCATGACTACTCCTCGCGTCAATTATTTGACCGAGGCGCCGCGGATCGGATTGGTTATGATTGATGAGCTGTACGATTTAACCCCTATCCTAGACGATCAGCTGAACGCGTCGATTTTCAATGGCAGTGGGACGCTAGCTCTGGATTACTCGTCCGTTGAGTCAGGAGCATTATATCTGGAAGTCAACGTTACGAACATTAATACCACACTACTGACGGAATATTCCACATTGAACGTCTCATTCGCGTCTCCGGCGTCGGGCGAGATACTGCAGTCTGGGTTCTATTTCAGCGGCGACACTCCGTTCTTCGTCAATCGAGGAGGCATCAAAGGATTCGATAATGTCTTCTTCACGGATAAATTCAGCACTTCTGATGTGTACAGCACCGGATCGGGCGACGGCCTTGCATCATGGAGCATGAAGGCGGTGATCGATCGAAGTATCTTCGAGGTCTTCGTTGATGGCGGAATTCATGCTGGGACTGTACTGTTCTACCCACAACAACCTCTGACGGCACTTAATCTAGCAGCGCGCTTGCATCCAGGGGCTCGTATTTCTGTCAATGTACGGTCTTTGAAGAGTACTTGGGCCGAATTTGAGAATGAGAACGGGACGGTGTTGGGTAATGTGACTGACTCTCGGAGCTAATTGTGGAAAATCACCACGAAAGCTTACTCTTTAGCGTGAAGCGCATATCAAGCTCGAAGGAACAGAAAGTTCTCATTATGTTTAATAATGTAATTTGATCTAGAAAATCAATTAGAAGTCGACTTGTTCATTAATTCGCAATCAAAATGCAATGATGCGCTACCAGTTCCTGTCCTGTCACAGATCCACACATGCTCAATTTTGTCTTCGAGGTTTGACAATCCTAACAGGTTCGATACATTATGGAGATAGACTATTCGATGACTAGAAGCATCATTCAAATCTGTTCATATATGAAATACTCGAATGGTAGAAAAAGCCTGTAGCCGCTATGTCAGCATCCTATTTAAAAGTCTAGTGCTCGTCAACACAACCTTGGTCCGCATTTGCTGATCAAATCTGCCTTGTCTAGCTTAGATTTATAGCATCTGCTCACTTAGGGCCGACTCTGTAGAACATCAAGCATGTATTCGATGTGCAAACAAGGCAGATCTGGCGCTCATGACTCCCCTGGAGATACCCTAATCGCCCGTGTGAAACATCAGTGAGAGGAATATTGGTCAAAATACCAGAACTGGAGTGTCCTGTGTGCCGTGATGAACGAATCAAATTGCTACGAGGCTGTGATTCAGAATCACAAGATACCACACAAACTTGCCTCGTTCGCAGCAACGCTGCCGTCTCCTTGCACAGGAGGTTTTCTCCTCTTCTCCCTTCATATCAAACATCTCGATGTTGAGCTTATTGTTTCGAGATGAGGGCGTCAAAGTTAGATATCATGGAGTCTTTCAAAGGAGTATCCCCTCATCGCCCACTCGACAAGCACGGAAAGGAGATCCGCATCGTAAGACTCCTACCGAATACCTTCAGCGCACCAATCGAATGCGAACTCGAACACATCATCCTCGAGCCAGGAGCCGACTACGAAGCAATATCATACTGCTGGGGAGACGCCTCGCTCACGCACCCGATTCTCCTCGATGGCGTTTCATACCCCATCACCCTCACCCTCCTAGACGGATTGAAATACCTACGCCACACAACGTCGCCACGCAAGCTCTGGATCGACAGCCTCTGCATCAACCAAACCGACCTCGCCGAACGCAGCCGCGAAATCCTCCGCATGCGCGAGATATACAAGCTCGCGAAAAGCGTGGTGATCTGGCTAGGCGACTACGCCCCCTTCACCCGACTCCACGTAAAGCGCATCTTCGACTACGTGGCGAAGCTAGCGTCCTGCAGCAACGACGAACAAGACGCGGCGCTGATCCGGGCCACGGGGTACGACGAGCTGTGGCATATGCACAGCGAGCTGCGCGACTTCGTCGGCACGCGGAAGTGGTTCGGCCGGATCTGGGTTCTGCAGGAAATCGCTGTGCGGCCAAGGCCGTATGTGAAGGATCTCGCGACGTCTCCGGAGCTGGTGTGTGGAGATCTGGTCTTGCCGTTTGCGTACCTGAGGGCTGTGGATGAGTATTGGGTTACGAATACTGAGGATAAGAGGATTGGATTGCCGCCGATTTGTCCGTCGCTGGATCGGATGCGTGTTATTTGGTACGGGCATCAGAGTATCCTTTCGGATGGGGAGTCTTCGAGTTTGGCGCAGCGGCTTGCGTGGATACTTGCTCTGGTATCTGCGAGGTTTCATGCCACAGTACGCATTTCCTTGCTCGGATGCTTGGCGAGACTACTTAGAGATTCTTGCGTTTTAGGCTCGAAAAGATTATGTGATTTCTTGTTCAAAGCAGTGGTCTAATGTCCCAGTTCTTCTAGGATCAGCACGATATCGTATACGGGACCCTCGGTCTCCTCGAGGCGGAGTCATTGCCGACAGAACTAATGCCGGATTACAGCAAAAGTCCTAATGAGGTGCTGATAGAATGTGCATCTTATATCATATCAAACTCTCAGATCCTCACTATTCTTCAGTATAACTCAATGAAAACCAAAGGTCTTCCGACGTGGGTGCCCGATTGGCGACATGATTCCTGGTGTCCCATTGTGCTTGGAGCAGAGGCTCCAGAGGGATGTCATTGTCGCATTATACGGGAGATCGCGGCTCTCGAAGTGGATATTGTGGCTATCACTGAAGTATCTCTCGTTGGCCCACGTCTTACGTATAGAGACTCGGCGGAGTCTCTCGGGAACGTCTGGTCAAATTTTTTGTTAGATGCCGAAGATAGTTTAGGTAAGATCGAGAACGAAGTCTGGGGATATAGCAGCTTTGGGAAAGCCTTGTGGAAATTGCTATTAGTTTTCGACCTCAGTCGACAAGATTTACACGAGCCCGGTTGGCACCTTGGAGTTGCTGAGGAGGTCCCGCCCCTTTTCTTCCGAGAAGCTAGGGTGTCAGCCACAACGCGACGACTACAAAGCTGTTTGATAGAAGAAGCTTTAATGTCGATAGGAGCTTCAATTGCCGATAAATACGTGTTCCGCGGCATTGACGACTCACTTGGTATCATGTGTCAGCCCAACGTGCGGCCGAATGAGCACGATATGATATGTACAATCAAAGGATCTTACGGCGATTTTGTTCTCCGAGAATATCTGGATGGATATAAGATCATTGGGAGATGTGAGAGAAACAGACGGGGCAACTTTACTATTGGCGATATTGGAATACACCGGTGGGCTGGGACCACCCATTTGTATGCTTTCTATGAAAGACTCTGGAGTGATAGTGACGATCGTCAAATACTACTTTATTAGATTATGCACTCCATCAGAAAAGGGAGCTCTTCGCTATGCAGAGAGTATTGTGTATTGAGAGCTGCGTATACGAAAAAGAGTCCAGGTGAATAATAGCAGGGAGTCTTGGTAGGATATTGCTCTTGAATTCAACAAAAGAGTACTTTCGGTTAGCGAGTCTTTACTTACTTGCTATTGGACACTTTTCCTTCTCTTCTTCGCCTGATATAGCCTAGCAAAAGGGTCCGCTGACATTTTAGCTGATCTGTTCAATGTTCCTACTCTAGGCCATAATCGAACTTCCTATCCCCTTGATGCCGCGGATCTTTACCACATCTCTGGTGAATTGCCTTCTTCAAATCTCTAGCACAATCTGACTGTAACATCAAATCTGGCGGCTGCTGAGCTACGTAATCTCTCATGGATGAGATTTTAGATAGGCCAGAATCCCCTCCTTTGGGGTGCATGTATTTCCGTGGTGACAATCTCATCTTCTCAAAGTCTAACGTGGATGATTGACTTGAACTTTTAGGTGTGCTCACAAATCGATCACCAGCTTTCGAGGATTCATGCCAGTTCTGATTGCGTCTCTTGTCTTTAGGTGCAGGAGATTCCCTTGAACACGAGATATGATTCGACTCTGTCTCATGATGATATTCCCCATGTGTTCTATCACAGGCACGCGCGGAACCGGGATGGGGTCTGTGAGTTCGAGAATCAGGCCTTGGCTTGATTACTTCTTCACTATTACGTGTATGGCCGTGCATCGAAGGTTTCTCTATGTTCAGCCCTGGAAAACACGTTGAGTCGGAGAATAGGCCTGCAATGGGAGCGAGAGAGATTTCTTACCATTACGACACCTATCTCTAGACTCACTGAATTGGGCCATAAGGGTTGACAGATCATCAGCTGTGCCTTCTTCGTGTCAATGCTGATGGTGGTGACAAAAGTCTGTCCCAGGAGTGTTGGCTCAGGGCAAGAATGGTATCAGTGCTGCGGTTTCAATTGGCGAGTATAGGTATCGAGTTCACCGTGCTGATACATTCAGAATCCCATAGGGAAGATGGAGGCTTTTCTGTCGACTATGAATATGTAGGGTATGAATGCTGATGTCTAGAGTGGCCCGCTCAGGCCGAGTAAAGGCTGATCGTTTCAACATGAGGTCAAAGGGACAATGGCATTGGCATTAGATGAGGAAGGAAGATCCAAACTGAGAGGTGCCTTCCTATTTTTGACGCAAAATGGGACTACCAAGTCCATGGAAGGAACGGTCGTTCGGGTTTGTTGGGAAACATCTGTTTATTCGGGTCTTCATCTAGACATCTACCTACCTCCTATGTAGGCAGGATAAGTCCCGAGATACTACAGCGCAAGTACCCTAAATCAACCCAAGAAGTTTCTCGTCAGCTCATGTTTCTATTTAGAGGCCAACGAGTAAGTTGATGAATTCCAATGACATTATCATCGAGATGTCGTATCAACCCCTTAAAGTAAGGTGCATTATGGTTCTCCATCTCAGGCTATGCTGTCCCTTCTCCGCCGGCGATTGTTCTCTCGCAAGTACATCCCGACGAAGAAAACAAAATTGCTTTATACCAACTGACTAGCAAGCCATCTGTGATGGGCTGAATTGGTATCTATCTCTAGAACCCTGATGCTCTGATAGCCCACGACTCCTCAATCGCCTGGAATCTATCTTCCCGGGTCCGAGTTCTTGTCAAAGTTTGCTAGTCACACAACATGCAGAGGGAAAACAGAAGAACCCATTCAACAGGTACCATATAAGCAAGTAATGGTATGGAGCATTCAGTACTGGCAGATTCGAGTTGATAGGGGTGGGTATGAGAACAACTGGGGACGAGCACATATCGAACCTTAGCCCAACAAAAGTGAGCATACAATATCCTACAAATTGTGACAGCCAACTCGATTATAATTCCCAGATATCGATGAGAGCTTCCAGTGCAAATTGTGAGTGACAGCTCTGCCTTTACTCGATTCCCAGTTCGCCGTCACGGTTTGCAGCGGTCAAAGCCGATTAATACCGACCTGCCTACCTTCCCATCACACGTAAGCGCTATAGGACATTACCTGCGTGTTAAGTAGACGGAGGTAGCAAAGATAAATACGCCTTATATATATGCATAGCAGAATCAAGAAAATTAAGCTTGTGTGGCAGGTTTCTCGCATTAGACATATCAATACTAGACGTCCACTTAAGAAGTTGCATTGTCAGAGGCTGCTCCACCTATAATTATGAGGCTCATCTTACGCGAATCAAAGGCCGTAGAGATATAAATTGATAAATTAGCCATTCGACACCAAAAGGAATTTATTCATATAATATGATGCTCAAGATTCATCAGATGCTGAGCGTTCTCGAAGATCTCGCCTTACCCCTATCCGCTCTGCTGGCCCCCGGAATACGGGGCAGCACTAATGGGCGACGATAGGCGGCGACCTTAGGGGGCGACGTTAGGGCATTGGCCCCACAATTTCCGCTGCTAATAGGCGCCGGAGAAACTAAAGATCCAGCTATTTGTCGCCCCAAGCTGGGAGCTGAGGATTGGATACCTGTCGCACTTACCACCCCGCCAAGCTAACTTTATGACATTACCTAAGATACCTTACTGAACACTTCGATCCCACCCTAGATATCATCCCATACCTAGGTATCAAATTGAACTTCTGTGCGACTCACAGAAAGGGCAGAATATCACCACCGCTGCCTCTCGAACCGTCAACCAGATCTCGCTATGGTTCTTCAAGACCTCGGGCGACGCATCAGCGGCGCCTTACATGATGCCACGAGAGCCCCCAATCTCGACGAGAAGGTATGCCATCAGACCACACACCCCTGCTCCAGAAGCCGTCGCAAACCCCCGCTGTCACTGTCTTGCAGTCCACTGACATGTAGTTTCATATGGTGTAGGCCTTCAAGGCCATGCTCAACGAGATATCCGGCGCCCTCCTCGAAGCCGACGTCAATGTAAAGCTCGTGAGCCGACTCAAGAACTCCATCAGTACCACCGTCAACTTTAAGGATCTCCCACCCGCCGTCAACAAGAAGCGCCTAATCCAGAAGACCGTCTTCGATGAACTCGTTAAACTCGTCGATCCCCATGCCGAACCCTTCAAGCCCAAGAAGGGCAAGTCGAACGTCATCATGTTCGTTGGTCTACAAGGTGCCGGAAAGACCACCACATGTACCAAGCTCGCCCGCCACTACCAAGCGCGAGGCTTCCGAGCCTGTCTCGTTTGCGCCGACACATTCCGAGCCGGTGCCTTCGATCAATTAAAACAAAATGCCACAAAAGCCAAGATCCCCTACTACGGTTCCCTCACCGAGACAGATCCCGCCAAGGTGGCGCGCGAAGGTGTCGATAAGTTTAAGAAGGAGCGCTTCGAGGTCATCATCGTCGATACCTCCGGTAGGCATAGACAAGAGTCAGCCTTGTTCCAGGAGATGATGGATATCCAGGACGCTGTCAAGCCCGACGAGACGATCATGGTGCTCGACGCTTCAATAGGTCAACAAGCAGAAGCTCAAGCAAAGGCATTCAAGGAGGCTGCAGATTTTGGAGCGATTATTATTACTAAGACCGACGGTCACGCGAGCGGAGGTGGTGCCATATCCGCCGTCGCAGCTACCCATACACCGATTGTGTTCATCGGTACAGGAGAACACATGCTAGATCTGGAACGATTCGCACCACAACAGTTCGTCAACAAATTATTAGGCATGGGTGACATGGCAGGCTTAGTAGAGCACGTCCAATCGCTCAAATTAGACCAAAAGGAGACGATAAAGCACATCACAGAGGGCATATTCACAATAAGAGATCTCCGCGATCAACTCAGCAACATTATGAAAATGGGTCCCTTATCCAAGATGGCAGGGATGATTCCCGGCATGTCAAATCTACCCGGTATGGCCGGCATGGACGACGACGAGTCGAGCGCCCGGTTAAAACGCATGATCTACATATGCGACAGCATGACCGAGAAAGAACTCGACAGCGACGGCAAGATGTTCATCGAACAGCCCACGCGCATGACGCGCGTGGCCTGCGGCAGCGGCGTCAGCGTGCGCGAAGTCGAGGACCTCCTGTCGCAGCAGCGCATGATGGCCGGCATGGCGAAGAAAATGGGCGGCAGCATGAAGAACATGCAGAAGGCGCAGCAGGCCATGGGCGGCGGCAACAAAGCGCAGCAGATGGCTGCCATGCAGAAGAGGTTGCAGAGTATGGGCGGTGCGGGAGGCGGCGGTATGCCGGATATGGCGAGCCTTGCGCGCATGTTTGGAGGTGGTGCGGGTGGTGGATTGCCGGGCGGTATGGATATGCAGAAGATGATGGAGAGTATGGGCATGGGTGGTATGATGGGTGGTGGTGGAGGGCGCGGAAGACGGTGATCGCTATCGAGCGTGAAAATAAAGAAATGAGAAAAAAGAAAAATATTTCAAACTTATTAGGCTTTGTTAATGATTCATCGATGTTGCGAAGTAAGGGGCTGTGGAATTCAGCTATAGCAGGGGGCAGACAGACAGACATGGCATGGCATCGGCGTTCTTTTGGCTGGCGGCGTGTAAATTCTCAGATACGATTCGTTCATTTTTATTATACGTGATAGATATGTATGTAAGTAGGTATGTATGGAAAATGAAACTGCCGCATACATATCGGTGACGAGGATCAAATCTATCAATGAATGAATCGTTAAACTACTTTAGATAAAAACGGTATCTCATGCTACTGATAAACTAAACTATATGCTATCCATCCATTCATTTGATAAACACGATACCAATCCAATTTTAACCTCCTTTAGCTACAAATACGTAAATATGTAAATATGTTCTTCTCCTCAGCGGGATGCGATTTAAAGGGGATAAATGTTCTGATAAGATCCATGCAGAGATCCTAACCTAAGCCAAGCGTGCTATTCCATTCCATTCCGTGAAGATGCTAGAACCAAAACCTAATTGATGTTTGAACTGATTATATTATATACAAGTGTTGCAAGGGATGATCAGTTGAGAGAATATGATGATGTGATGGTCCTCACGCGAGCCCGTAGTCGGCTGAGTAGTCCGTCGTGTCGTACGCGTAGGCGCTCTGGTCCATGTAGGCGGATTGGTCTACGTATGCGCTTTGATCTACGTAGGCGGATTGATCCATGTACGCGCTCTGGTCAACGTATGCTGACTGGTCTATGTAGGCACTCTGATCGACGTAGGCGGATTGGTCGATATATGCGGATTGGTCTACATAGGCACTTTGGTCTATGTAGGCGCTCTGATCTACGTACGCGCTTTGATCAATGTAGGCGCTTTGGTCAATATACGCAGACTGATCGATCGTCGCGCTCTGGTCGATGTAGGCGCTCTGATCCACGTACGCTGACTGATCCACGGCCACACTCTGATCGATATACGCATTCTGGTTCATCGTCGCGCTCTGGTCTACGTACGTGCTTTGATCGACGGCGATGTTCTGGTTCGTGTATCCGCTTTGGTCGATGTATGACGATTGGTCGATGCTCGCGTTCTGGTTCACATAGGAGCTTTGGTCGATTGCTGTGCTCTGGTCTATGTAGACGTTTTGATTCACGATGGTTTGCTCTGGTGCTAGGGCGGTGCCGGGGACTTCTCTTGTGCTTTCTGTTGGTGCGGTGGCTGTTTCTGACGCGTAGGCTTGTTGCTCTGTAGCTGTGGTGTTCGTGGTAGCTGATTCGTAGCCGTATGCTTGATTAGCTGTGCCGCTTGTCGATTCGTATGCGTACGCTTGGCTTGTCGTCCCTCCTGCCGATTCATAGGCGTAGGACTGGCTTGTTGCACCGCTAGCGCTCGCATCCGTCGTAGTTGCGTAAGCGGATGTATCGGCGGCGGTTGCGTGGCTTGTGGATGCCCCGTATGTGCTCGACTCAGCGGCGCCGAAGTTTTGTGTCGCTGCTCCGTCTGTAGCTGTGTGGGAGTTTCCGCCGGTGTATCCTGAAGGGTCTGTGCCCATTGCTTGAGAGTTCATCCCTGGGTACCCGGAAGGATCTGTACCTGTCGCATTCATCCCGTTCATGTTCATCCCATTTGCATTAGTCCCGTTCGGATCAGCACCGGCACCTGGGAGTTCTCGACTTGCAGCGCCTGGTTGAGCATGCGGTTCCTGTCCTGCTGCTCCTGCTGCTCCGTGTCCGCCCGTTTGTCCACCGTGGTCATACGCAGCGGCACCCGCACCTACACCGGCTGCAGCAGCGCCACCGTAGGCCGCACCGTGAGCTCCGGCACCCTCGTTCTCAGGCCGCTCGGGTCGCTCAGGTGGTTCAGGACGTCCTCCCATTGGACCGCCTGCTGGGCCACCCATTGGACCTCCCATAGGGGGCCCCATCGGTGGCGGTGGTCTCTGCATCATGGGCATTGGCCCGGGGCCCATTGGCATTGGAGGCGGCGGCATCATGCCCGGAGGCATAGGTGGCCGTATCCCTGGTTGGAATGCGGGCCCCGGAAACCCAGGCCGCGGACCTAGACCTTGGCCGAGAAAAGGGGCCGCCATGGGCATCGGCTGATTGGGAACTCCCATCTGAATTGGTCGCGGTGGCATCTGGGCTCCGGGGCCCATAAGCTGTTGTTGTTGCATAGGATGTACTGCTGGAGGCGACATCATAGCTGGCTGAGCCATCGCTGGCCTTACTATGGGTTGTGCGGCTGCCGTTGAGTGTATTACGGGATGTCCTGCCGAGTGCGGTGCTGCGTGTTGGATAACCTGTACCGGCGACTGTACAACTTGGTGTGTTCCGGGGTGTATGCCCTGATGTGAATTATGATGAGCGACTTGATGTGCCGGTTGATGAGTTACAGTGTGTACTACCGAGTGCGTGCCAACCGAATGTGCCCCGGTTGAGTGTGCTGCTACTGGATGTGTGGCGGCTGGATGGGCTTGATGAACTTGGTGAGTTTGATGTGCTCCAGCATGTGTTGTGCCGGTATGCTGGCCCTCGTGCGTCTTACCACCCCCTTGAGATAACCCTACTGCCCCTGCGATTGACCCCATCTTCTGCTTCGTCCATTCTTCAATCTTGTCCTTGCCTTCGTGTGCGAGTACCGCCGTCGTCAAGCCACCTACTAACCCTACCCCTACCCCGGCCATGGGAGTCTTAGTGATCTTGCTGAAGAAGCTAGACTTTGTTTTCGCGGGTTGGGCAGTTGGCGGTGGAGGAGAATGAGTTGCGACAGTTGGGGGAGGCGCAAAAGCAGGCTTGCCATTGCTAGGGTCTGCTGGGTTATATGGCGGAATATGGAAGCTAGAGTTGTTCGCGTGTGTCGCCGGCTTATATGTCAGATGTGGTGATGGCGTGCTCACAGGTGTTTGGGCTGGTGTTGGATATGCGTTCTGCTGCAAAGACGAAGCAGGGGCAGGTTGGCCAAGCGCCTGGTTATAAGGGCCAACTGAACCATGCTGCTGTTGGTGAGCCAGCAACTTTGGGTCATGAGAAATCGGAGGTGACGGTAGGCTGTGAACTGTATGATGTTGTTGACCTTGATGAGGTCTGTTGCCGTAGCCTTGACCAATGCCAGGCGAGTTTTGTGGTAAATGGTGAGGTTGACGGGTAGTTGTCGGCTGCTGCTGGCCGATGTTCAGATTCGAGAATGCCGCGGTGAGGCCATCATTCCCAGGAGCTGAAGTCGTAGCTGTCGACGTCTGGACATAAGGCTGGCTCGTCACAGGCGGCATATAGCCGTGTGCTGCTTGGGATGTCATCTTTGAGCTTCTCACTGATTTATTTTACTTTGCCAATGCAAAGGTCTGAGAGGTTCAAAGGGCATTCCTGTCCGGTGTAGTGACCATATCCATTATAAAGGGCTGCCTCCCTGTGCGGACAGATCAACCTATTTTGCGGCTGAACGCAGTGTCACTGGTAGTCTGACACGCCTGACACGCTTCATACCGAGGGCGTGATGCCAAGCATGGTATTCCGCCGCCGCATGGAGGCATGGAGGCATGAGAGCGGCGTATGTGGCCCTCCATCTCCTTCCCACCGCTCCGGCACCGACTCTATTTGATAATACCTACTTGTCGTCTTAACATATTTCGGGTCTTTGCAGTGGCGTGACGACTAATACCCAGAGCTAAACGCATTTGCAGAGTGCCTTGCGAGGGAGTTTGCCTTCCGCTAGGGGACTGCCAAGCGAAGGCGTCCAGCCTAGACTTTCAGCTTAATGCACAATACCGAGACTAGGGATAGGTTCTGTCAGCTTTTCTGGGACACCATGTGATGTGCGATTGAGGGTAAACGACCATGATTATCTGTATACATTCAGTATTTGATCCTAGATACTCACATCATCAAGGGTAGGTAGGTAGGAAGTTCCCTCACTTCCAGGTCTTTCGAAAGACCGTCACCAAGCACCCTTCTTCTTGACTAGAACTTCTCAGGCATCTCACACAGCTTCGTGCGCACACCTATAAGGCTATGAGAAGGAGAACCAGCCAATCTTCCAAGTAAGACATTTCGAGACGGTAATACTTGGTGTACGTAAGTAATTCGAGGGGTTTCATTTCGGGCTTAGAGGGTAAGTAAAGTGTCCAACCCGCGCTGCTGGTAAAAGAGGGGAAGTGGAACGAAAAAAAGACCCATTCCCCTGTCGCACCACGCAAAGCCACACACCTGCCCTGATTCAGCACCAAAAATAAGTAAGTCAAAAAGCATATCATTAAAAGCAAATCATTTGTCAAGGAAATCGAATTTTCTGGGTGAGTTCGAGCTTCTGAATCTCTGATTTCGCTCTTTTCATTATGAAAATATTTTGGGCCCTGTTACAAAACGGGCGGGACCCTTTTCGAGTGACTGTACATGTAGGGGAAGTTAACACGCACGGAACTTCCAGTTATGCTTGTTCTTGGACTAGTAAACGGAGAGACCATACCTGGTATTGATATGGGACCTTTCTGGGGATTATTTATCAGTTTATTCAGTAGGATTCCCAGCGGAAGTATGTTCATCACCTACCGTACTTCAATATTTCAGATACACCTCTAAGCTAAATATGGCTTAGCAGCCTAGGTACCTAGGTAGGTAGCCCAAAGGAGTTGTGCAGCTTCTTTCTGGTACCACTCGACGTTGCAAGACATATACATCTGCCCGTTTCATCGGCCGATATCTATGCCATCACACGCATGAACAATCACACGTCACCTACTTCAGTATTTCTCGAATCTCCATTGGTCTGGTGTCGTGTTTGAAGTTGAGAAAACCCCTGCCCAGACGATGCCGTTCTAGACAAGCCTCGCCGAGTCTGCCAAGTTTTTGGGACCCATGACGTGAGTGGGTGCAGAGTGGATGGGCCTGAGCAGAAAGTCTGGAGTCTTGGTGGACAGTGACAGCACATCTAACCCAATTCAAGCTTAGCTGGCTGACATAACTATCCTGGATATAGAGACAGCTCTATATGTAGTATCAGAGTAGTCGAGGACCGGCAGTATCAAGCTATGAAGCTTTCGATCTCGATTTGCCGTAACAGTAGGACGGAACGTCGGCAGTCGGAAAACGGCACCGCCAGACCCTATCAATACCATGTCTCGCCTGTCGTTTGGGTGAGCTGTTTGCTGTCGTGTTTCTACTTACATAGGTACTGTAAATCACCAGCGCGCTGCATCCCTTCGCTCCTCTCCAATGTGACGTCACGACTGGGCATGGGGACGCCAGAGTCGCTGTCACCGTAGCACAGGTGCGATGACGATGATGGATAAATCGTACCATGACGACCACGGCATAGTTGAGTCAAGGTAGGTAGGAAATGAGAATTATATATGTGTGCCAGCTTCTTCACCCTACTTACCGGTCGGTTCCTGTCTGCCATCCCATCAGTGCTTCTAGCGTGGCCTTCTATCTCCGAAAACAGCATCGGTGTCCACACTCGGCGACCCCTTTGGAGGATATCGTTATTTAATATCACGGCAACATCTCACTCTGCATCGTATCACCCGTAGCCATGGGCTTTTTCAATCGTCGAGGTCGCGAGGGCACCGACCACCACCATCGTGCGAACGATGTCAGAAAGAGCCGACATGTTGACCACACTTACAGCATGGCCAGTCGCCCAAGCTTTGGTCAGTGGCTGAAGGTCACTTGGCTTGATATACTAACCTTTGTAATCATGGGTGTCATTGGCTTGGGTGTAAGTTTGACACCAAGTATATCCTATTTGTGTCAGAAGCTAAATACTCCTAGATTTACGAAGCACCGCCAGCGCCCACACGGTCATTCGCAGTCACCTTTCCTTCCGATGGTGAGGTTGTATACCCGGAGTTCGCATACCCCTTGCGGAAGGAAATCATCCCAATCTGGTTGGCCGCATTCCTAGCCGCTATCGTCCCCATCCTCGGCATTCTCATCATGCAAATCCGCGTCCGCTCTTTCTGGGACGTCAACAACGGCATTATCGGCCTGCTCTATTCTCTGATTGGCGCCGCTGTCTTCCAGGTCTTCATCAAATTCCTCATCGGTGGTCTCCGCCCTCACTTCCTCGATGCCTGCAAGCCCGACATCAGTCTAGCTAGGAACGGTCCCGGTGTCGAAGGTTCGCCATACAATGCCGCCGGATTCAACCAGCTCTACTATACACGTGAGATCTGTACTGGGGACCCCAAGGAGATCAACGACTCACTCGAATCGTTCCCTTCGGGACATTCCACCGCTGCCTTTGCAGGCTTTGTATACCTCTATCTGTACCTCAACGCTAAGCTCAAGGTTTTCTCAAACTATCACGCTGCGATGTGGAAGATGATCATGATCTATATCCCCATCCTTGGCGCCGTTCTTATTGCGGGAGCGCTTACTATAGATGAGTACCACAACTGTAAGTCACGCTCTTACACCCTGCCTCGACCCCTTTGTAGGGAAACTTATTTCTTCCGGCGCGCTCTCGTATCTTATACTGTAAACGGGCAATTAAAATAGCTAATACATTCACTTGCAGGGTACGATGTGGTCGCTGGAGCAATTATTGGCACTGTGATGGCATTTTCATCATACCGCATGTGCTACGCTGCCATCTGGGATTGGCGCTTCAACCACGTTCCTCTGAACCGTAGCCAGGCTTGCCGATACACCCATGACGGTGAGCTCATGGACGCCATGTGGACGCGGAAAGCTGGCTGGGGAACGGGCTCGTCATCCTACGGCGATAAGTACAATGGCTATGATAATGGCATGTATAGTTCTGGTGCTGCGGGTCCCGGTATCCCTCGCAAGGCAGTGCCCAATAACCAACGCCGGGCAGACGACATTGTCTAAGCTAACTATCGAATCCTGTTGAACAGGTGACGGCAATGGAGACATTGGACAAGCAATGATTTAATTTTTAATGCTAGCTTCAATGCTGATATACTTATTGTTACTGTTCATAATACTCCAAACGCGTTGGGAATTTGGCGTTGGTTTAGGCGGCAATTTTTACGAAGGCTCGTGGAAAGATGGCGACGCGAAAGTGAAAACGCGCGCATGAACGAGATCATGAATTAATACCCAGTAGAGGCCTTACGAGCTTTCCTACTCAATCAAATGTTTACTCATTTTACGCACAATTGCATGCCATTGTCAGAGACTATGACGCTTCCAAAGCTTTCATCCGGGATTGAATCATTGGAGCGCATATACAGCTCCGTTTACCGTTACCCTCATTCACCGTATCCCTATAGAGCTCCCCGCATTTGCCAAGTCTCTTTCCATGGGGTTGTTGACAAGTTTACTTAGAGATACGATGGTCTTGCAGCGTCACGTTCCCCGCATGAGATGCCCCAGATTCTGCCTAGAACAGCTCTTTTGCCCGGAGAGAGCTACCCCGGGTATTTCCCCACAAGTCATCTTTCACGATACCTCCTATAGACGGGGATCATTCCAGAAAATGGAGTAATTGTTGTTTTAAGTAAGAAGGTAGCCGATGCGACAGGAACACGAATATGAAGTCAACGACACTCCACGCGTATGGATCATCCGAATCGGGGCTGCCTCCCGAAGGAGACGATAATATCGGCACATGATCTTCCACCTTGACCGCACGTACCCACGGGGATATAAGTAAAGGCTGGGTGGGAACCTGCACATGAGATTCAGTCGAGCTGCAGTGCAGGTAGTTGAGCCAACTTTATAAATTCTGCCCAAAATGCGTCTCGCCGCCATATCAATACTCTTAGGGTGTCTACACGCAGCCGCAAGCGCCGTGCCTCGACCAAGGCCACTTGTGCCAAAGTCCGCGGCAGCCGACGCCTACACAGGCTACGCATTCGCGTATTTCACCGGGAATTCCCGAGCCGGCGAGAACATCCATCTCGCCGCGAGCAATGGCAACAACGCGCTCAACTGGGTCGAACTCAACAACGGACAACCAGTCCTCACATCCACGGCCGGCACGAAAGGTCTCCGCGACCCGTTCATTCTGCGCTCGCAGGACGGGTCGAAGTTCTTCCTCCTTGCGACGGATCTCTCGATCGGATCAGGCACATCCTGGGATGCCGCAGTGCGCAAGGGAAGTCGATATCTGGAGATCTGGGAGACGACAGACCTGGTTACTTGGTCTGCGCAGCGACATGTCCTAGTATCTCCTGCGAATGCAGGGAATACGTGGGCGCCGGAAGCGTACTACGACGATAGTATTGGGAAATACGTCGTCTTCTGGGCGTCTTCACTGTACGCCGAGAACGACCCGAATCACACGGGCCGATCGTACCATCGCATGATGTACGCGACCACGAGCGATTTCAAGACGTTCAGCGCGGCGCAGATATGGCAGGACGCAGGGGACTCGCGGATCGATTCTACGGTCATCGAGTATGATGGCGTGTATTACCGCTTTACGAAGGACGAAGGCCGTGTCACGGGGTGCGCGGATATCATACAGGAAAGCAGCGCGTCGCTGACGGCGCAGCTGGGTTCGTGGAAGTCGATCTCGTCGTGCATTGGGAAGAACGCGGGCACGAGGGCCGTGGAGGGTCCGACGGTTTTCAAAGCGAACCCGGGCGATGTCAATGGGGATAAGTTCTATCTATTTGTGGATGAGTATTCCGGGCGCGGGTATATTCCGCTTGAGACGGCGGATATTGCGAGGCCGAGCTGGAAGGTCTCGCGCTCATTCAAGCTGCCTGCTAGTCCGCGGCATGGGACTGTGATTCCGATTACGGCTGCTGAGTTGGCGCGGATTAATTCGGCGTATAGGAAGTGAGTACGAGACAATGATAGCAGTATGTCATTCAGAAAAGATCGTTTCTACCATATTGACACAAATGGTCGCGTCAAGAATATTAAACTCTCTTTAATTAACATGTCATGTAACCCCGTGCAGCTGATAGCAAGGCGCAGCTACAATAGCTGATTCAGCTGCATAGCAGCACAAAGGAAACGTGACGTAGAGTCTGCGACATGCTTCGAGCTGCTACCCCTTTTTTTCTTTGTTCAACACTCATATTGTTCGAGCTCCCAATTTTCTCAATGGGCTCTTGTTTCTTCTAGCTAGGTTTATGCTATATAGAAGCGATTATAAAGCTGAATGCTAAAGGCACGAAACAATGTGCTTGAAATCTCTTAGAGGCAATGTGATATCTCATTACTTAAGACTCGAAAGTAGCGAGAATAGGTGAAGCTTAAAATCTCGCCTCTATCCCGCGAGTAATCATCAGGTTATATCATCATTACCATTATCAGTTAATATATACAACTTCATACCCCTCTTATCCTCACCTCATTAACCCCCCAATCCACGAAAAATGCCACTCGGAATAACCGCCTTCGACTTATCTCCAGCAGAGAAACACGCCGTGATCGGACAAATACGATCTCTGGTCCTAGGCGCAGGAGCCCTAATCGCACGAGCCAAGAAACATCGCAACCCTTCACCCCACGATTTCATCGAGGCATTGGACCTCGTAAACCGGGCCCTAGTCCTCGCCACAGACGAAGACGCATGTGATCCCTCCCTCGCTCCCCTGGCGACGTGTTTCTTATATAAAGGACATATCCATCTCGCGCTGGGCAATTTCCAAGAAGCCCATGCGGCGTACACGGAAGCTGCTTCTTCATCGGAGAGGAGGCGGTTCACGGATACTGAGACCTCGAGAGATGAAGCTAGACGCTTACTGAATAATTGGGACGATACGATGAAGAGCGCACAAAGGGATAGCGGATATGAGAGTGAGGCCGGGGGCCCTGGCGAGAGATTCGTGCATACTGCGGGCCATGGGATCGTGTTGTCTGGGACGATACGCCCGGGGCCGGGAAAGCGTCCTGTTTTTAAGACGGTTCCGAAAGATCATGATAAGTAAGTTCTTGCCCTGCTTTCAACCTTGTCTCACCCTCATTTACAGTATTAAAAATGAGAGCTAATCAGTCAATAGAACTAAACCAGTGTTTCCCAGGCCTAGGCTAGTATGTAGAGAGATAGAAACCCTTATCTTGAAGTCTCCGATAATGAGGCTTTAGATAAAGTGAGAGATATATGAGAATCTATACAATGGAAGTTTGATTTTTGAGGAATCTTTTGACTAGATAGATTAGTGCGTAGCTGATAGAGCGGGTAATTGACACCTGATTGAAGAGGCTTCTATTTAGAGTTCACTTTAAAAACTGTGTAGTATCGTAGCTGTCAGCTAGGAGTACTCGTGAAAGTATGTCCATTATTTTATGTGTTCTAGTTTAGTCCATTTGCAATTCCGAGCTCTCTGGCCTGTGGTATCAGAATCCTTCCTGCCCAGTAGATCCATAGTACATCTTAGCGAAGCGGCTGGACGGGTTATTAAGCAGCTCAGTCGGATGTCCAGTCTCAACAAGCGACCCCTGGTCTAACACTAGAATATGATCAAAGTCCAATAGGCTCGACAGCCGATGAGCAATCATGATGATCGTGTGTTCTTTAAACTCGTTGCGGATAACATCTTGCATTTGGGCGTCTGTCTTGGCATCCACACTGTACATCGTTAGCCGATCATTCATCGTTCTCCCAAGCTTAATGTCAGGACATACCTGCTGGTAGGCTCATCGAGAATCAACACCTTTCCAGGCTTAAGGATAGCTCGCGCAAGGCAGAACAGCTGGCGTTGACCATGGGATAGAGAATCCGCGTCAATGCAGGTATCGAGGACCTCCTTCGTATCTGGGTTGTTGCCCCCAGCTTTATTGCGCAGTATGTCCCAGAGTTTTACTTTTTCCAGCGCGACTGAGATGCCCTCATCGCTGGAGGCCCCTAGAGGGTCGATGTTGGATCGAATGGATGCTGGAAATAGGAAGGGGTCTTGCGTAAGCGTGATGATGTGCTCACGGACTACAGAGCCTGCGAGGGTGGCCAAGTCGACATTGTCGATGAGAATTCTTCCGCCTTTGATCTCGATCATGCGAAGGATAGCTTGTACCGTTGAACTCTTCCCACTAATTAGGATCACATTAGCTAGTTTCTTGTACTGTCTGGACGCAGCGCAACTCACCTCCCGGTTCTCCCAATAATCCCAACCCTCTGGCCACCTCTAATGGAGAAGCTAACATTCTTAAGAATTCGAGGGCTGTTATCTTCATAGCTAGCTGATACAGAATCAAATTTTAGAGCGCCGTGTTGTGGCCAATCCAACGGAGGTTGGCTAGATTCCTCCGCAGTTGATTCACAGGGTGTGTGTTCTGAGAAATCTTTAATCCGCGCAATAGCGCCAAGGGAAGTTTCCAGCAGAGTCCAGAATTGCACCAAGGATGTAAGCGCATGGGAAAGACTTGTGAGTTGAACAAGGGCGATGCCCAAGAAGCCGGGGTTGACCTTAGAGCGCAGAGCGACGGCCAAGCCGACCAAGAGGACTGCAAGTCCTGCGACGACAAGGTCAAGGACTAAGACTAGCCATCGCTGTATGCACAGCAATAGGTAGAAGGGTTTCTGTGACTGGTCGAGCAGTTTGTTTGTTTTGTCTGTGTACGCTCCAGTCCATCCGAATGCGCGAATGGTCACTATACCGCTCAAGGACTCGATGAAATGGGAGAATAAAGGAGCGCTTGTCTCAAGTCTAGGGTAAAGATTAGCTAGCGGTGATAGCTTGTGGTGTAAACGCAACTTACTCTAGCAAACGCAACTGTCTCGATGTGCGGAGATAGAACCGTTGTATGAGATACAAGACGAAAATGACGAATGGCAAAACAGCAGCAGAGTATCCCACTGCCGTTGCCGCTAGCACCGTCGCAACTATGCACTGTCCGGTTTCTAATAGTGTTAGCTTGATACTGTAAGGTGAAAGTAAATGAACTACTTACGAAAGGCAACATTGGTAATGGCCCCAGGCAAGGTCATATCTGCAAGCCGAAGGTCTTGACTGAACCTGGAGGGCAGCTAACGTTAGGATAATTACAATGGAAGCAGAGCCGACACTCATCATACCTGTTTACCAATACTCCTGTTTCCGTCTGTGCAAGGAAAGACATAGGCGCGTTTAGAGCTGCCTTTAAAATGGAACTGTGAAGGTGCTTTCCTCCATTGGGCGTTATGTCGACATACAGGTACCTAGTAACACATCAGCAGTGGTCTGAAAGCTAGATCAGTCTACTTACGCGATCGAGGAAACCAATCCGACTATCTCAGCAACGCTGAAAGCGGCGAAGATACCGAGCCAATATCCGAGACGAGGAGGACCCCCTTGCTCATTGCTTTGTGCCCACCAATTCAACCAGACGGCTGTAGAGATATTAGCTATGAATCGTGATTTTAAGAAGGGGGGAGAAGCGAGCTTACTCTGTACACCATACGCTGCTTCATTGACGGTAACGAAGGCAAGAAAAATGAGAAGTTTCCATCGACCCAGCGCAGCTGTGTAATACTTGTATGTTGCCCAGTCTCCCGTCCGGCGGCTTCCGTCTTGCTCCTGCGTTGCAACCGGCGCGTTTTGAGAGCCCGTGATATCTTGATTTGCTGGCGAGGGCTCGTGGTCTACTTTTGTTGAAGATTGCAGATTATTGATCTTGAGACTATGGACATAGCATCCTGGGACGTTCAGCTCAGAGAATGTTCCCTGTTCAACAATCTTTCCGCTTTCGTTCATAGCAAGAATCAAGTCTGCTTCAGGCAATAGTTTGACTAGAAACTCCTAAGTAAGAAAAAAAACATCACCAAAGGAGCAGAGCCTTACTAGAGTGAGTTGCCAGTATCGCTGTAGTGCCGATTTTCCTGAACAGGCCGTTCTTCCCAAATACTCCCCTAAACACAGCCTCTTCTGTCGCTGCGTCCAAGCCACTAAAGACATCGTCGAGGATGGCGATTGGTTTTCGAGAATAGACTGCTCTTGCGATGGACTAGAATAGAACTTTAGTGAAGCCATCAGTGATGGTTGCTGCTGCAACTTACTATGCGTTGCTTCTGACCTCCGCTAAGCTTGACCCCTTTACTTCCAACAACAGTCAAGTCCCCGTGAGATAGCCTGCTGATGTCAATGTTGAGTGAACAAGCATTTACGACAGATAGATACCAGCGCTCATCATATTCCGACTCGCCAATTATGTTGGCTCTGATGCTCCCACTTATCAGCCACGGTGTTTGGTCGCAGAAAGCGACACGTGAGCGCAGATTAGCTATGTGCCCACTGTGGTATGGTGTTTCCTTCAGGATTCCTTTGAGGAAGGTAGACTTGCCACAACCCACGGGGCCAGTGAGAACGGTGAGGTGGGTTTTGGAAGACTCGATTCGCACCGTGGACTCGGAGACAAGATGCGGTGACGACTGGGACCATCCAAAGCTTGCGTTCTCGAGTGATACGTTGACTGACCCTATCCGCTGCGGGGCCGAGCCTAATTCGATACCAGCTGAGCTAGGACCATGATCGCTAGAGATTGCATAGTCTGTATTCAAAAGCGACTGGTGCTTTCTGTCCGCTGTGTCGTTGAGAAAGGCTTGAATTCGTTGAAAGCAACCCAACGCGCCCCATCCCTGTGGAATTGCGGTCAAAATGCTGGACAGGGGCATAGACACGAGTGATATAAGCGCAAGTGAAGAGATAGCTTGCGAAACAGATAGCGAATCGGTGCCATTGATATGTGCGACGATTGCGTAGGCTCCGAAAAGGAGAACCTTGGCAAGAATTTCGGGAGCATTGACTGTCAATGGTGTTAGTGCGGCATGCTTAAGTAGGTCAGAGTAAGTGCAAACCAATAGATATGTAATAAGCTTGAACCTGTCGGTACTTTTTCGATTTTGCAATCTCATCGTCTCGAAGGTTTTGGATCGTATCGAACATGTGTCTTGTTAGGCCCAGCATTTTGACATTCTTCATGGAACCAAGGATTTCCGATGTGAAATTGATACGTGTCTGGATATACTCAAGCCATGTCTTCTGGGTCTTGGAGACTTTGTTGGCGATTTGTCCGGATAACAGTGTTCCAGCTAAAAGTTCCAGTTTAGAATCTGCCCGAATTACGAGGTTGTTGGGTTATGGAGGTACCGATGGACAATATGAGAAGGACAACGAATACAGCGCCAAGCTGAAGATAAAGTAGATAAGTAGCGATGGCGAGCTGAAGAAACGCAGGTACCGTCTCAACAAGAAGATAGTGAAACGTTTCGGCAATTCTCTGTACATCTGTTCCCATCAAGGTGACAGCTGCTGAATCATTCAAATTCGTCACCTGGGTTCTCAGCATCTTTCGATATATAATGGAGATGAGGCCGCCGCGCATCATCGTCATTAGTCGATAGGTAAGATGGGATGCCCATCCCATCGTGACCTAAGCAAATTACGTCAGAGCTGGTACTAAAATAAGTTGGCCTAGAATGTACAACTTACTGCAAGGCCTATATATACCAAGGCGAAGGCACCTATCAGACCGTAGCCAATGTCATTGTTGTTCTCAGATTGTGTATTTTGTACGAAACTCACAGCCTCTCGGATTAGGAATGGCTGCGATAGACTGAGTGCGACGTAAGCGAGTTTGGGGAAGACGATCAATAGAACGTCCCATCGAAAGGTTAGAACCGTAGCTAAGGCTAGCGCATGTGTTCTCTTCTGATTGCCTATCAGACGTTAATAACCTTCCAGGTTCACTGACTTGGCTTTAACCTACACTTCTCCCATTGTCTTGTTAGATCCTCTGCCAACACCTGCGAGTCTAGCTTCTCGCTAATGGATGGCAGATCAGTGAGAGAGAGCACCTTTCTAAACCCAGACAGAAGAAGCGAGTTGAGCCATATAAATAATCCGCGACTAAATGGCCCGCTTGTACTTTCAGGAGGGTATTCGTGATACCCGTCTTTCAAAAGCCGCCGTTTCTCGATCGCTTCCAGGGAGAGTAGTGCGATTTTGACCGTAAGCGAAGCCGTTAGAGTCGCAGCTATGCCATCGGCGTCCTGTAGAAGCCATTGCGTCCTCACCCGAGCAATGTCTAGAAAGGTTGTGAAGAGGAGATAGAAGGTTATGATGAAAGACGGTCTGATAGACTTGGAATGTTCCAAGTGAGATAGCAGCGCAAGCGATAGCCCAGAAGTCAGCGATAATGTCGTAGAAGCAATGGAAACGGAGCTCCTAAGCTCTGGCTTCGCCCATTGTACCAAAAGCGCAAGTTGAAGACTAACATAAGCTGCTATAGTTACCTAAATCATACTAAGTATCCTTTCCTAGATGGTGAAAGTGCCTTTGTCATCATACCAGTTTAGCAGCATATAAGGTATCCTTCCGGGCTATGATCCGTCGTCGAAACAGCGCAAAGGTGCGGAAAGGGGCAAGGAGCAGGAAGACGGCAGCAGGCAAGATTGCCAAGATCAGTTCTTCGAAGTGAACTGTGATGGGCTCGCTCAGATTAGTCAAGGTTAGATCTAGAACTGCATCCAAGCCAATTCACGCACCTGTGAAGTCGAAGCCCCCCCGACAACCATCCTGAACACCCGGCCCAAAGGACCTATCCCCGCAAAGGAGTATCTTGGTTGAGTCCATTATTGGCCAGTGAAGTCGCAGAGAGTGGCGTCAGCGAAGCCGACTTGACCTCATAGACTTCGCTGTGACGACCTTATGCCTCAGGTCCCTTGTTAAGTCCTAGATCATCGGCACTTTGCCTCGGTTCGATGCGAACTTCGCTAAAGCTCGTGCGCGCGTCCAACAATAAATACTACCTAGGTAACTTAGTAGAACACAGCCTAGCCTAAGAGAGATAGGGTTCCAAGCAACCGGTAGGCGGCGTATCGAGCCTAGAACAGGGGTTGGACTTCTCTACCTGCTTCATAAGGTTAGACTGTAACTACTTACTAAAGACTGCAAAGAGACCAAAGCGGCGAGCGACCGCGCATCAGGCCGCGCACCATAAGCTTGGACAGACTTGGAGTCCAGGTGAAATGACAATTCGCGTCTTGTTCAAAAGTAGACATCAATGTTGGGGTAGCTGTCTCGGCTGTCACCGGGCTTATTAGCTGAAGCTGTGTGGTTACCAACGCCAAGAATGCGACCCTACCATCGATACCTACCTCTCCATCAGTTTCTGCATCTTCAAACTCAACATAATATGTTCTTTTTGGCTTCACCTTGGTATGCCTGGAACTTCTGTTCAAGCCCCTGTGGAACTTTGTCTCGTCACCGAAAATAATGGAGCTGAATTAGACTGCGGGGGTGGCATATCAAGCTGCCGCGATCCGAACATATGAGAATGTCACCGTATCCGCGAAATGACGTGCATTCTTTTACCACCGAGAGGGGAACCCCAAGATCTTCTTATTGGTGAACCAGACAATATGGTTTATATTATGGGCTGCGTGTGAGCTCTTACATCTTACTTACATGAATGATCGCGACGTGGAGACAACGAGAATGACAAGCCTGACGGCCGAGAGATAAGGAGAGTGAAATGCTGCTTCAATCGGCTGACAAGAAATGCAATAATGCCTATCGGCATAGGTCCATTTCCATCCACTTCTGGCTCTATTGCTGACCCCCTGACTCCTTGTGCTGTTCCGTAGTATTCCCTATACCGCTGTGTGGTCTCTCGTCCACCTTGAACCATGGGTTAGACATCGTGTTGAATGCCTGGAAGGCTCTCTCGCTGACTCTGGCGTCTCGTCCGCGAAGAACTACCAGCCACTTCTGAACAGGGTACTTCTGTTCACTGCAGCCCTTCTTCCGAGATCCATGGTTACATGGTTGCTGTCCGTCATCCGTCAGAGCATTGGCGATAGGCTCCAGCAAGACTATTTTCCATTCGCGCCGAACATGGGGGTTCCTATTGGTTGCGACGTAACGGCAGTCTAAGAGGGCGCCAAGCTTGGATGGGAGGCAGCCTGGGAGCTCAAAGATACGTTTTGCCAAATCTTGGCCATACGTGTCTGAGTTTACGAAACGCCCGAGGCCACAATATCGAGCAGTCCAGTCGTCCTCTGCCGTAGCAACCATGTGCGCCAGCTCGACTTGGGAGTATGATGGCATCGCCCGAACTCCCGTATAACCGTCTTTCATTGTCTTGTAACTGGAAACAAATTTCATACCAAGGATGCGCTTGAAAGCTGTCAGCTCGATGGTAGGCCGTACAGAGATGACCTCCCAGGCTTCGAATACAATCATAGAAATACGGCTGTTGATTCGACTACAAGAAGTCAATTAATTAGCTATCTGCACAGTAGTTCAAGTAGGTCGTACTTACGAGTTTGCCGAATGAGCTGTCTTTTTTTCCATGGCGACCGCATTCAAGTCTGCCTCTTGGTCATCATTCTGGAGAGTCGACGCATCATCCTCGCGTGGACAACGAGTGGAAACAGCTTGAGGTAATACTGTGTTGTTTGCGGTGCCCGTTGCCTTATAGGTATTTAAGCTAGGTTCCATAGTCTAAATATTAATTTACACCAATGGAGGATTGAAATATATACGTGATGATGCGAATTGTCGCCAAACTAGATCGAAGGGTGGTGCTCCCCTTTTTATACGCAATGACTACACCTATCGACTCAGCGCATGTTTTGCAGTAAGTTATAGGCAAATGAGGCTTCGTATATAGTGCTCGGGCGTCTGCCTAGCCGGGCACCCAATCGTTTTCGAAGCTAAATTAAAGCATACAGAGTGGCTTCAGGGCATGCCGGCCTCATGCAGCACATGCAAGATGTCATGCATTTTTCTAACACTTACCGAAAATCTGCTGTTCAGCTGTGGATTTATTCAATCTATCATATACTTTCTCTCAAAGCAGGCAGCCACCCTATACGGTCTCCTACGTGTAGGCGAGGCATTATGCAGCCTCTAGTAGCAGGGCAGCGGCCAGACCGGACCGTAACATCGCCTTCGCAAGTTAAACTTCATTTGGGAAATTGAGAAATACGTTCACCGAAGTGTGTATTGGAGCTCTCGTTGCCGCTGACAGCCGGTCCTCATGATCTGGGTGTCCGAGAGCCTTACGCCCTAGATAAATATAGATGTAGGGGCAATGTTTATGATAGGCTCACTTAGCGGAACATGAAAACTTTGAGGTGGCTGCATTGCGATGCTCTCATCTTCCTTTGCCTCTTCAAAGACCCTAGTGTTCTTGGCTTGGGCTCCTACAACAAGAGCTTCTTACAGGGAGATGCTGGGCTACTTTCTCCAATAGTATAATCACCTTCAGTTTACACCTTTTATGACTCACTATCTAGGACGTGGGGGCTTTATGCCTGACTTTTCTTATATATTGCCTACCTGCAATCCTTTAGGAATGAATGGTATGGTACTAAGCTGAACATCCCGCTTGAATAAAGCCATGCTACTCAGGGTCTTTAAAGCAGCGAAGAGGGGAAATTCTCCAACTGCATAAAATATTATTAAAACTATACTAATTCGTCATAACGGCAATCAAGCCGTAATCAGTAATGGCTGAAATGGTGGCACAATTTTACCTTGAGTTGAGGCTTTGTGTCAAGCAGGGATAGCATTGTCATATAAGCAGGGGTCTTATGACTCGTGCCATGAGCGACTCATTTTAGCACACATGGGAAGGACTTCACATCAAGATCTACAGGGTGACCGACTAGTCGGTGTTACACTCCCAAATAATTCACTTACATCATCAAGTGCAATAAATCAACAGACACTCGGACTCAATTGTCAATGAACATTGGGGGCCGAAGGCTCGGAGTTTCTAAGTACTCAAGAGCAGAAGAGCCTTGTTAGATTGGCAACGCCACTGAATTGAGTCTGATGACACATCGAGGACATGGGAAAGAACCTGACAAGGCTATCATCTTAGGTTCTATCTTCCTATCAAGGCTTCCAGCTGCTTTGAGAGCATGTCAATGGTCGCTTCACCTTTCTTTATTCTACTTCATCGCATCTATGCCTCGATGAGTCGGACACGATGAATACTGAAGCATAAAGAACACACGAGTGTATTCCTGGGTGTTTGTATATTAGCCAAGCGAACACTACCGACAAAAATTTTTGCGTGCGGGGATTCTCCTGCATCACCATCACGATGTGCCGAAGCAATAAATGATGTTGCAATACCGTCTCCAACAGTGACGTAAGGGTTTTGGAAGGTTGATTCTGTATCTACTGCGATTCGACTGCTTCGTACGGTTAAGCAGTCGGGTTATTGAAGGGAGAGAATAGCCTGTTTGAATACCACCGCCGCAATGGACGTTATGGGAAGCTCTTCTTGTTCATAAAGCCGTGAGCGACCTGGCACAAGTTTAGCATCTTTTCCTTCAACATACAGCCTTAAAGCAAGGGTAAGCACCGCAATGTATTTGCGCAACGTAGTTGGAGCATTGTCGTTCGTGACATCGGCTTCAGCAGCATGTACTCGAGAACTCCTCAAGAATGTCACAGACCAATACATCACAGCACAAACAAGAGGGTCCAGTAGCGATCTAGCGTCTCTCACGGCGTCAAATTTCACCTACACGGAGAATGAGGTGAAAATGACCCTTGATCGCAGCGTGCTGACAGAGCGGATCATAATCGACCACGATCGCTCCATTTTTGACACAGTCCAGTGCGCTACATTTACGGAGCTCATTGCGGCAACGAATATTCATCAATATGTGATCGGCACGCGTATGGAGATCAACTCCAACAGCAAGATTTCGAAAATCGAGTCGGTCGTTACCGATCGTGGGGACTGGGCTTTCAACGCCACGGGATATAGGTATTGGGACTCGCTCGAGAGCTGGGATCCGATCCCGGTCGAAAAACAGGACTCGCGGGAGGTAATTCAGGCCGCTGGGGATGCTTATTTCGACCGATTCAAGAATGAAAGCATCGTGATCCCCTTTGGTATCCCGTGTTCTCGTCTTGAAGGGGGGGTCTCTACTGCACCGCTTAACCTGACTGGGGACTCGTGTACGGCTGCCGGACTTCCGTCTACCCTCGTTGTTACGAATCGTCGCTACGTGGTCGATCAGGAAATGGGAGCCGTCGACATCTTCCTCGGCTTTCCGGGGTTGGATAGGTCGCGAGGCATGGACACGATGCCTGATAGCCATGTGTTTAGGGTCGAGTCAGGAAAGATACGCTATATTCATACAGTTTCGTTGTGCGTTGAATCTGGCTGCGGGATGGACGGCGCTGGCCCGCCACAGAAGGTACGGTCGCTGCCCGCATTTTGGAGGCCACGACGTCCTCTTCGTTTTGATATGGCTGTGAGACGCGACGGCGGATATTGAGTTTACTTCAAGATCTATGCAGCATGTTTAGTTTGAGTCGACAGTGGGCTCTTCGTCTCGACTAAGATTAGGGGCCGCAAAGGCCGGGTCCATGTGGACACGCTTGGCGGTGGACACCCAAAAGTCTATGGGCCCTTGGCACTGACTCGGATCCTAAAGATAGGTGGTGAAAGTCTTTTCTTTACCAGGCTGTCGAGGAGATCTTTTGGTCCCAGAAGCGTACTGCTAAAAAATAAAATAAATAGTGAGGCAAATAGACGGATCCTACGAAGTACAAGTAAGCTAGTTTGCAGTGGACGTCTCTCCTGAGACGTCTTTAGGGATGGAGGAGGCCCCTCACTGATGAGCCAGCGTTACCAGGCTTGGTAGTGCTAAGTTCCACCTCATCTAGTATATAGCACTGTAGTACAGGTGTTTTGCATGCGTTATTGATTGGATTTTTGATAGTTATAACGATTTACAGTTCCCGATGAGGTTGCATATGTGGACAGCGAGTACAAACACCTTCACGGTTCCATGTGTTCTGTATCTGTCAATCCCTTTCTTGTAGTATCAACAAACAATTCTTGGATTGGAGTACAATTAGTGGCTAACTATGGTTTCATGTCTTCACATTCTATTCAACGCCGACAGTAACAATGCTAACCATGTCAGCATCGCAACAGACCTTGATGATTGAATGATTCTACTTTCCTTAAGATACATCGACCCGGTATATCAGAATACCAAACTTAGCTGTATTACACTGTAGTAGTACTAAGTCGAGATTGATGCATTTATTTAATAGTTAAACAATATTGATAAAACCATTAAATATGTTGGATATAAGAATACAAGCTGTTAGCAGCTGATGGTAGAGATGACAAAAAGGGGCATCAACAAGCTACTTGTGCTTTGAACTTTTGGCATACCTACTTTTACTCGACATTCGCAATGCTTTTCACCTTGAGAAGTACACAGGGCAGGTTTTCCATTCCCCGTGTATTAATAGCAGTTCCAAAGTGACTGGTGAAATATTAGTCCTGGAAAGGTAGTTGCTATCTGGCTGCACTTGTAAGGAATGCTACCATCCATCATTCCGTTACAACTATTGGAGCCAGGCCGGCTTCTGTTGGCTCGAGTCGATGATGATTGGGCATAAAATGCAAAGGTTGGAGTTTTATGCAAGTGTATCTGCGACCTGAGACAACACACATCGCACACGCACAAGTTACAGGTAACATATGTATAGCCTACCTAATTTACGTTTCTTTTCTTTATAAGAATACATCCATCTCAAGTCAGCCAACTCCAACATGAAGTAGTCGTGTGCGCTTCAGTCATGCGATCAGCCGCTGCACGGACAGTGCGAACTTTGCAGCTGGCATTTCTGCGCAAAACATGTGGTGTCAGCGCGGCATACTTGTCTTACAAACGAGGTTCGATTGACGAAACAGTACTTGAAAAAAGCCAGAAGGTCTGACATTATTACAGCACATAAACGCAATATACGAATCTAGAGATCCAGCTAAGGTCAAAGAGCTAAACACAGCGCGGCGAACGGCAGGCGAAAAGGTAATCTCCAGATTGTTAGCCAATATCAATTGCGATGCCCTTCGCTGGCGTGCAAAGGCTTTACGAGATGGTATCAACTGTACAGTTAATCTCCCACCACCAGATCAAGCATACTTCAACACTGATGTCCTCGGTGGGTATAACTGCCATGGCTCTCTATTGTGTTTGACGATGGCAAGACTTGGTTAGCAAGGTTTCGACTCCCAAATCACAATGAACCTCCATTGCAGGAGAGGAACTTCGATAGGCGTAGTGAGTTTGCGACATCTCATTTCCTTGCTGAATCTGCCGTTCCAGTCCCTGAGGTGTACGACTGTGCCGATGACAACGACCCTATGAATCCTGTTAGTGCTGGCTACATTTTACTCAAGAAGCTAGCTAGCAAACTATTGGCCTCTGGCCAATTAGCATCTATCTCTATAAACCTAGAAAAGCATCCTCTGAACGCCTTCGGGCGTCTACAGCTATCGTCTATGGGGCTACCAGAAGTTTCACCAGCCTTTTTTGATTACGACTCAAATGAAAACTTGATTCCATTCGGCCCATTCAGCCAACCAAACGACTACTACAGAGCTCTTGTCCAGCGGAAAATTCAGCTCATTGGAACCGTGGAGACCGCAAATTCTGCGCCTCTAGATCAATATCTTGTCTACAAGAGCCTCCTTGACACTCTCCCACCAAATGAGTCAGGACCTTTTCCCATCCGTCACGTGGACTCTAGAAACGCGAATTTCTTAGTCGACGGTGACTACAACATTACGGGCATAATTGACTGGGAGCTGACTGTTTGTCCTTCTAAAGGATCGGCTTTCCAATCCCCTCTCTTGATGTACAACTTAGGGGGGCTCTACAATGAAGGTCTGTCCACGCCGAGCGAAGATGAAAAGCGCTTATTTTAGAATTGACCAGGTCATTGAGACTGATCCTTGGGACCGGGAAATGTTTGAGAGCGTTTTCAGTGGATGGTGGAAAGCCACGCCTGGGGCAGATAGATTTGATTAGGATACGTAGTACAACAAGGCACTTGACGTATATGGCGACGGGGACCTATGAGAATCAGACATGAATCATTGCATAAATTAATTGAGGAGTCAATCCGGTATCGTAAAAGGCCTATAATGTGCTTTTCGTAATCAATTTCCGCTGTGAAAATATTTGTTGTCTCATTTGCGATAACGTTATATGCTTCGGTCGGTTTAACGCTCCGACCTAGCTGACAATCGCTAGGACACTGAATCTTCAGCCAAAGGTCTACTGCATCAAGCTATCTAAAGTACCGACGGTCTCGCCCTGGGAGTCTAGATACCAATTCGCGCCATGCTCAGCTAGGTGATGTATGTCAGCGGGAAGTTAGAGGTGGGATAATATTTACGCTTTGTTATATTGTACACAGCCCACTCCGAATGCCATTGATCTTCATCAGATCATCATGAATCGAGCCAAGCTTTTTCGAATCCGCATCACTCAAACCCCTCCGCTCGCTCGCGGCCTTGCCCCACGACCCACGGCTTAACGCCGCACCCGCAAGCGTGCTGAACACAGCAGCGAAAGCATTGTCGGGATCCGAGACAACACTATACGTCAGTAGTGCAGCCTCGCCAGCAATCTCGGCGATAGACAAAGCCACGCGCACGGGGGCCAGCGTAGGCCCCAAGGCCTCCCCGACAAAAGGGATGAAGAAGAGGATGCCACCGAGGAAGTTGGCGATGAACTGCTCTCGCTCGATCTTCTCGATCTCTTTGGCTTGCTCGACCACCTTGTCCATGCTGTCTACGGCCGAGGCGATGGTCAAGGCCGGCAAGGAGGAAGCGTCGGCAACATCTTGCGTGCTGAGCAGAACGTCTAGGTCGCCGATTTCGCTGAGGAGTTGCAGGCGGAAGAGAAGGTCCTGAAAGTTATCGTACGATTTGCTGACTACGTCCTTGGGATTGAAGACTTCGATCTTGTCGGCAGGTACGGGGTAGTTCCAGAACCAGTCGTCCATCATCTTCATGCACTCCTTAACCTTTGTGCCTGCGTATTGGCATCCATTGGAAAACTTCACGTCGACATCGCCGAATTTGATCCAGTTCTTCTCGACACCGTAGTCTTTGGTGATGGCTGAATAGAACCCCTGTGAGTCTTTCAGGGTATATGTCACGTTGGGCACCTTTGTGTTAAAATAGTCGATACCTTGCGACCCATCCTTGAAGACGGTGGGACACGTCACATCATGGGTACTGCGACCGGCCTTGCAATCAGTCGACTTGTCGCAGCCATCTAAACAGCCGGCGAATTGGCAGCTCGAGCAGCAAGTGCGGTAGCCGGTCTCCTGACACTGAAAGTAATCGCCAGCATGGCCGTTTCCCATAAAGGCATTGATCTGGACAGGGACCTGCTCAACTGTGTAGTCCTTATAAATGTTGAATTTCTTATCATAGCCGCCGTCGATGAGGGCATCATACTTCTGCAATGCGCCTTTCATAATATTTATCTCTATGTCAACAAGGTACTTGTCAACGCAGTATGACGGGACAGTGCTTTTCCGGCGCATAAGTTCGGCTAGGCTAGTGAATCTAGCGTCGCATTCCAGGAAGTATCCATCGTCGATTTTAGCAACATAATTAGGATCGTTGTCACCTTCGCCAGTGCCGCTGGATGCTTTGTTAGCATGTGGTTGAGAGAGAGTGAGCGTTTGGGTTGTGATGATAGAAAAGAACACTCACTCCACAAACTGGTTCAGATCGACAGCCCAGTCACTTGTTCCAGCAAAGTTATATGAGGCGTAAAGGCTTGCCCTCGACGACTTGATTGAATCGTTCATGTATGCAACCCACTCAGTGTCGTTGTACACTAGAATATTAGAGTCGGAGGAGACCCATTGTTTGTTCACCCTGCCATGCTCAATGATTTCTTCGATCTCTGCGTTGGAGAGGTAGCCACTGGTGCCAGTGCAGCGACCTTTGGCTGCGTTAGATACCCTCGGAGAACCAGTAAACTTGCATGAGGGACCAGTGCATCCAGCCTGGGACATCTTGAACGATCTTCCGTAACTAGAAATGCCCACGACGATTTTGTTCGAAGGCACACCTGCTTTCGTAATTAACGACAATGCGTCCTTAGTTTCGGTGATATTTACGTGTGAGCGAAGACAGTTTCCGGTGGGACAGCCAGGGGAGGTCCATTTGTTGCCGTAATCCCATTGACCATGGAGATCGTATGTCAAGTAAACAATGTAGTCAATCTTGGCCCCTATCTCTTTGATAGGGAAAGCCTTGAGGTACCAATACGATGCTGGAGCTGCGACTGAGACAGACTTGCTAGTGCCTAAAGTGGTCTTAAGGCCAACCAAGGTCTGATGGAGGTCCTCACCAGCGTCGGGGTCACCAGCAGGAATGTCGGGAATGTCCGGAGCCTGTACTCAGAAGGCATGTTAGTATTGGAACAGTACCGCAGTTTGGGAAGAGTGGTCTGACTTACGCCAGGGTACTCCCAGTCGATATCTACACCATCTAAATTATGTTGCTTGAGGAAAGCAACAATATTTGCCTGGAACTTGGCCCGGTTGGCAGCCTTGGTGGCTTCACGAAGAATGTTGTACGTGCCGGGCTTGGTGCTAAAGTCCCAACCACCAAAGGTGATGATCCTCTTCACGCCGGTCAAGGCCTTGAACTGGTCAAATTGGTATTTAGAGCCGCTAACATCGATGGCAAAGCTTTGAGTGATATTAGCAAAGGCAAAGTGAATGTGTGTATACATGGACGTGTCGATTTGATCCACGTCCATGCGCAGACATGGCCGGTTCTCGTTCCAAGCCTCAAAGTAGGCGACATTAATGGTTTTGGCCGGGGCTGAACCCTTGATAATGTCTCGACCACAATGTGAGATACCTATAGCGGCAAATTTATTAGAGAATGAAGTTTTGCAATCAATACGGGGTATGCGCGTATACCCGACGTGACTTACATGAGTTTTTCCCCGGCTTGGTTGTTCCGGGTGCCCCAGTGGTTGCTTTATTGATGACACAGAAGTCGTCTGTAGCGCCACATTGACCCCATACATTACAGCACACATTCAAAGGGCAAGGGTTCAGGTTCGCCCAAGTATCGCTACTCCCGGAAGATGGCTTTTTAGTACCGGGGACCTGGGGCCCACAGACAGCGTTGGACACGGACGGAGGGAAAGGAGGTGTTCCGGTACTGAGACAAATCTTCTGTGCGGGCAAAAGTGCCGAGCAACCATTCCAACCCCAGGTTTTGCTGTTATAAGTCTCGATATTGGCCTGGGTTATTCCATGCGAGACAGCTATGACCGAGCAACCATCACCACTCTTCACAGTATAGGTTGCGCAGGACCCGTCCGAACCAGGCTTGGGCTTGATGTCAGGCAGCTTCCCATGCGTACAGCAAACAGGCTGGCCGACCTGCAGAGTTGAACAAAAGTTAGAGGCAGGATGCAGCTTGGTGAAATCGGCCGCCTTAAGCCCGCACTTAGAAGCCAGCGAACTGCAGGAGTCGCCACTGACGACGGACTTGGTTTTGCAAGTCCCGTCAGCGTTAGCGGCAGGGATGGGATCAGGCAGTGTACCGGATGAACAGCAAACCACTTGGCTAGGGACAAGAGTGGTGCAGAAGTTTTTGGCAGTGTTGTACTTCTGCAGAGTCGCCGTCGTGATACCGCATCTTTTAGCAACGGCATCACAGCCGTCCCCAGATTTGACCGTCGTCGTCTTGCAAGTCGCCCTAGCACTAAGTCCCGACCGAGTCCATATGTGTGCTTCTTCCGATGGTAAGGGGGAAGCCGAATTTAAGGTAGAAGAGTTGGTATTGCCGGGTCCCATGAGCTGAATAGGAACTCGTAGAGAGACCTTCATGTAATCCTTGAGGTCTCCGGACACACATCTCCCGTCTGCCCAGGATCGCATTACTTCCTGCACCAAGGCCAAATCATCGGCAAACCCAGCAATGACTCCAACAGTATAATCTGCTCCAAGGCCGTCTCCAAGGCAGAGCTGAGCGACCAGAGGACCGGAAGGTGAAGAGCTCTGTCTCGCCTCTAAATCTTGCAAAAAGTGGCCTAAGATCTCATCGTGGACACCATGTTGGTATACTTCAACGCCGGCAAAGAGACCAATGATATCCGTCTGAGAATAGCCAAATGCAAGAACATTCTCCGTACAAGAGGGTTTCTTTGAGCTCAAGTAATTTTGAACTTGGTATGCGGCGGACAGGTGGCCCACGGCCTGTCTTTTGATGGGTTTAACTGTGGTGCTGCTGGTAGGCTCGCCAATGGTGACCATAGCCTCAATAATGTCATGGTTGGGGGTCGAGCAGACTGCGGCCACCTCGTCTGAATTGACATTTTTAGATGCAAAGCTGTAGTCTGCTTGACAACCTCTAATGACAGGAGTAGATACTAGTTGATTGCCATCCACTGTCTCTTGTACACTGAAGCTCAGCAACATAGTCTCATTACAAGCCGCCAAGCTAGCCGTATCTTTGAATAAGAACCATGACGATAAATCGCCAGTGTCATCTCCGCATGGGGAGGGACATGCCTGGGTTGAGGATGTGCGATCATTTGCTGCACGCCATGAGTCTAAGCTTGCATCTGAATTATCACGAAGCTGGAGCGCAGCGGTCGGGGCTATCAATCCCGAGACTGCAATAAAGGAAGTAAAGTATAATGATAGGGAACCGGTCATGATGACAGATGACTAGTAGAAGAGGTTGAAGAGGTTAGTCTTGCAATTGCCTCTATATCAAGGGGTCGAGACCCTATGAGGAGCATGAGGATATGCTAGATTTGTATACCAGGCCTCTGGGAGGGGATTGAATATAAGGTGATGGATGATTGACTTGGTAAAACTCTTCTTTAAGTAGTCCTCTCCGGTGATGCGCTCATGTTTCAACCAATATACAATCATTTATCTCAAGAATCCATGCCTCGCCCCAAATCCGAAACCCTTGCCACATAGAGGTACATGCAGATACATCTGAAATCGCATTCACATTCATGTAAGCGTGTAAGTGTAGTAGATGGGCCGGGCGCGGCTGAGAGCTGTTGGCCCTACTATGCGGTATACCCACTTCTAACCAAAGATCCTAGCACTTGTTATATCCACTTCCAATGATAGATATTATGCTGTTGGTAGCATATCGACACCTGATTGACTCGCTACTCTATCCTTTCCAAAATAGGTTGAAGATTATAACCGAGGCACTGCAGGAACGAAGTGGATCGTGCGAATTGGTCACGAGAGATCGCTGACTACGGCGGCGACTAGGACCGCGTAGCCTCATGAAAATGCTTCGCGGAGATTTTATTTGTCAACATGTTAGCATAGGCCAACAATGGGCCTCATACGATCTATGGTTCAAGATCCCCTGAGGTTCTCGGCCCGTCTGACTACGATAGGATTGAAGCTGTCCTGTACTCCACCCGGTACCGAAATATTCTATAATCACGGCTTCGCCAACGCCCCTTTCAATAGATATCCATCTTAGGCTGATTGTATGTCTTTGATGTCTGTCTGGCATGCTCTTACCGTTCGATATCCGTTCTACAGTCTTCTTCTTTTCTAAATATTGTTCTTCAACCTTAACCGCCGGAGACCTGTTGTCTTTCCTTTCAGAACTTCTCAACATGCAAACCAAACTCTTCGTGGCTCTGCTCTTTTTCCTCGTCACCAAGGTCTTGGCCGGTGGCTACCAGGGAGCGCTAGAACGTGTATGGCTATTTTATGCCTACCAAATTGACGGACTCAATGAACCATCAGACCAGACTCTCGGGTGGAAGTGCCTCAAGTGGGATACTGTCAAGGAAGAATGCAAGTCCAGCAAGAAAGGCAGCAACGGATGGGTCATGTGTAAAGGGACTGCACCTGGGAAACGGTGTACTTTCAGCGAGCTCACCAACTTCCTCGGCGGCACAGGTCGCACCGAAACATTCATGGCCGATAGCAAAGGCAACACTTTACCCCTCACAGACACACATCCTGACCCAGAGGAGACTGCAAAGAGGGTGCTGACACACTACTTGGCCACGCCCAAAGGCAACGTTCAAGATTGGGCAGGGTACAAATTCATTCTTGCTGGGAAGGACAATTATGTGAACAGCCTCAGAAAGGTCGCAAGTGTAGTGACGAAGGCCGGGAGCGAAGGGAAAAACACGGGTACAAACAAGGCATTCTTCGAGATGTTCGCAGCGACAACGACGCAGATCAAGAACGCCAGAATAGGAGATACTGGTCCTTATCTCATCGCAAGAGCAGAAGACAAGCTACATCCTCGTGGTATTACGGTGTACACTGAGAGCATCAGCCCTGGCCACAGTCCTGCCGATCCTACCAGAATCTGGAAGACTGTTGATTGGGAAAAGACCAGTATGTTATGCGTTCCCGGGAGCCCATCTTCCCGACTCCCATAAGAGATCAATCACTGACCAGAGCGAATTATAGTGTCTCAAGCAGTGGCCTCGGGCAAGTTCACTAAAGGTCAGATAATGCAGATCACAGCCCAGGTGAGGTCTGATTACTACAAGGATACAACAGACACGAGAGCCAACGAGCACCGGGTGGTCATCAAGGCCTTCAAGACTGCGGAGACCAAGGCGAAAGGATGTCTGTGATTGCCAAGTTGATTAGGTCGGAGCTGTGGAGGTTGAAGGTGCCAAAGCGCATAATATAGTGTTGTCTAGAATGGCTCCGCCGGCGACCCCACACCGTTCTGTGTCTAATGCAAGGACAACTAACATTTAAGACACGACGACCAATAGTTAAATTAGGATAGAAGGGAAATGGAAACTCGAAATCTCTTCCCCAGCGAATGGAGAGACAAAGCGTTGCGAGGCTTCTAGACATGTATTAGCTGTATAGACCTAGGTACTCCTAAACACTTTTCACACCCACACCTTTGTCACAATCGAAACAATAATGGGTGAATTTGAAATTGCACGGTTCGAGAAGATCTCCCAGCATTCCCTGTGTCAAACGCCTATGCTCAGCCTATATCTGCACACTCGTCTAGATCGAGACATGATGGTTCCAAGTCATCTATATCTTCAACCTTCCCTCCGTTCCACAACCACCACTCGGATGCCAGCACCAGTTGAGATCCAGTTAGCAAGAGCCCCGTTTGTAGTTCCAGGAATCTGACATTTTGACTTGGACAATTTGCATATCCGGAACCCTGAAACGCATCCGCCCACGCCAAAAAACAGTCCTGCACTGCTATATGCAGCACGTTCAGAGCTGAGAAAGGCTTAAATATCGAGCTTGAGCAGTCCTTAAAATATTCATAGAAGGAAAATGTTTCAACGCCAGCTTCCGCAGTGAGCTTGAGGCGTTCAATATCAGCATAGTGGGGCGCAAGCGGCGCGAGCTCGTTATCTGGTAGGCAGATCATGTCTTCCTGAAAATTAACCCAGATATACTTGGTCTCGGCGTTGCTGAATGTGAGGAAGGCCTTCTGGTAGGGTGCATTCTGGCGGGCTTCTCGACAGGCGTGCATGACGGCAGGTGGCGGGTTTGGCGAAGCATAAGCAAAAGTTGTGCCAGGGTCTGCCCGCTTTCCGCTTGAAGAGCAACTAATCTGTAGGTTGCGCGGACCCGCAACTAACGCCCAGATCTGAATACGAATCTCTGTGGGCAGGTTTGGGAACGGATGAAAGGTGTCGGGCATGATGAAAATAGGGGATTGCAGAACTGAGCTAGCAGCTTCGCAGCTAAGAGTCGACGGGGGCCGAAAGGTCAGGTGCTCTTCTCATTTATTAAGATAAGAATTGTTGGTTGATAGCTTCAACCTTGCATTGGTCTAGCTCAGGCTAAACTGAAAACCTTTAGTTGAAGAGGCATTGCAAGGTTGGAGGGAAAGAAGTTGAAATTGTTAAATCAACATTGCCAAGAGTCATGGATATATATTTTCAACCAACAGCTTCTTCAACAGAATTTGTCAACTTTTAGCAGTCTCCCCCCACTTGCCCAACTTAGTAATAACACCGTAAACGACCCCTGCACAGAGTCTACGCAACGGATGAGCTTCACCAACACGCGACGGCCCAGAACAAAGACACATAAACACATAAGCAAAAACCCTGCCTCACGACCACCCCCTATTACGACCACCCCCCCTGCCTACTAATTACCCAACTTCTGAAGCGATTTTCTTAACGAATACGTTATTCGCGATGCTTTTTTTAATGTTTTCAATTAGATCTATTATTTCTAACTTTAATAACCTCTTCTATATCGGTATCTTCGTATTTTGGAACGTATTAATTAGTAGCTTCGTTAATATATATTAAATAATTACGTAATTTATGTTTTACCTTTCGTATATGTATTATACGGATAAAATTATCGTTAGGACCTATTTTAACTATTTTTTACTTAACCTTAATATTTTTTTAAAGTTTAACTTTTAATACTTTAATCTTTATTTATAAAAATGTAATAATTTTAGCCTTTTTATTAAAGGCCTTATTAACCTTTATAAAAAATAACCTTTACGATAGATTATTAAATAAAGGAAAAGTTTAAATTAATTTCCATATATTAACCTATAATTATTAACTTTTAAAAGGTATTTTAATTATAATTTTTAAAGCTATTTTTAATAAATTAAATATAATAAATCATTCTTTAACTATAAATATTAATATTATTACTTTTATAATACCTTTTTTTTTAAATATTATATATTTTAAAAATAATAATATTTATTAATTTTTTAAATATATTTTAACTATTTTTTATATTTTTTTTAATATATTTAACTTTATTATATTTTTATATATAGTTTTATATATTATTAATATATTTCTTTTTAAAAGCTTTATTTTTAAATAGCTTATAAATATTTTTTATAATTTATTTTTTAGCTTTTTCTTTAATAAATTAAAAACTTTAATATTTAATAATTATAATATATAATTATAATAAAATTTATAAAATAAAAGTTAAATTTTATTTAAAAAGTAGGTTTAAAGAAATTTATTATTAATATATAATTTATAACTATTATATATTAATATATATTATATATTATTATAATAGCTTTAAATATAAAGTATAAAAAGGTCTTATAACTATTTTAATATTATAAAATTATTAATCTACCTATTAAATAAATATTTAAAACGTTAATTTTTAAATAAACTTTAATTTTAATTTAAAAATTATTAATTTTATATTTATATACCCTTTTAAATTATTAATAATAATAAAGTATTATTAATAATATTAATAGCTTTAAAAATAATAATCTATTTACCTTTTTTAATAGCTTTTTTAAAAGTTTAATATAAAATAGAATTAATAATTATTTAATAATTATTATTAATATTTTAACTTATACCTATTTTATTAATATTATAAAAATAGTTAAAAGAAATATTTATAATTTTTAAAGCTTTAAAATAATTAAAAAAAAAGTTAATATTAATTATTATTATATTATTAATATATATATAATTAATAAATTATAATTTAATTAACTTAACCTTATTATTTTAAATTAAAAAATATATATATTATTTTTTTTAAAGCTTTTATTATTATTTAAAGTAGTTAATATATATTTAATTATAAGTTTAAATTTAAAAAGTAAAGGTATAAAGCTTAGTTTAATTTACCTTATTGCTTAATTTATTAATTAATATTTATAATAGGTTAATAAAGCTTAAAGATTAATATAGGTTTATTTTTTAATAAAAATATTTTAAAGCTAACAATATAGGTATAATTTATTAATACTTTAAATATATATTATTACTTAAATTAAAGTTTTAAGTTAAATTATATAAATAATAGCTATAATATAATAATTTTTAAAATTAAAAGATATAGCAATAAAAAGAAATCAATTTTAAATAGAATAAGGGTAAAAAGTTATCGTAAGACTTAAACGCGGTCGCGTTATTAAATAGTGTTTAATTAGGTAGTTGGGAGTTAAAGCGCGTTTTAAGGTGCCTAGGGCCCTGGTTGTGACGGGGGGTGGTCGTGAGGCAGGGTTTTTGCTTAGCGGCTAGAGAGATACATGAATGTACTTCATGACAATTAAGCATCAAAAGCTCACCGAATCAGTGCCTATCTGCGCGAATAATCATCTCAAGTTCTCGGGGATGTCAAGCCTAGGCCTTCACAATCATATGATTGCCCCACGCTGGGTTACACACACCGCCGAGAACCAGTCTCACGATATGGAGAAACGAGCCAGTCTCTCGCAGATGCGACGAGGTCCAAAAGTTTCTGCATAATATCCCTCCTCACACCAAGCTTTGCCGTTTTCCTTCTTGACTTCAAGATTCTCATCTTAGCTCTCAGTCTACCCCTCCCTCCAAATCAATCACAACAAGCGATCCCCAGCCGGCAACAAAGCCGTGAGAGCTACGCACACACTCCCTCATCATGAAGCTCGCCCTCGCCCTCAGCTATGCTTTCACTCTAGTTGCAGCGCATCCCTATCCTTCGCTCCAGTGGGATCCAGCCACCATCTCTACTTGTGCTGAGTGGTGGGATAATGGTGGCCCAGAAACTTGCGAGTACATACGCGATTTAGTCGGCGCCACCCCAGAGGAATTTCACACATGGAACCCATCTGTCGGCTTAGACTGCAAGCCGTGGCACATCAGCCAGTCCTACTGCATCTTGACCAAGGAGAAGCTCATCACTTCTACCAAGACCACTGTTTCGGCAACAACAACAACCAAGACTACCTCGTCTACACACGTGCCATCCCCGACGGCGTGGAACGGGTTGGGCTGTTACACCGACGAGGACGCTACTTTCCCTGTGCTAGAGATTGAGGCAATCAAGGCCGACTCTACTCTCACCATCAACAAATGCGAGGATACGTGCTGGAAAGCTTCCAATCGCACCGTGCTCTTCGCTGGCGTGAAGCAGGGTAACCAATGCTGGTGTGGTAGCTTCGTTGGCGGACAGACTGCTAGGAACAGTACCGATTGCAACACCCCGTGTGCTGGGGATAAGGCGGCCATCTGTGGCGGTAAGAACAGAATCAACGTCTTTGAGCCGGTAACTACTAAGGGGGATCCTATTACCACTAGCAAGACCACTTCTACCAGAAAGACTACATCGAGTACCAAGACCACTTCTGTATTGACTTCAACGAAAACTTCCGGTGCTACTAAGGTAGTATGGATGTTGATGTAACATCATTAGTTAGAAAAATATTTCAGCATTCGGAGGTTTCTGCAAAATAGATAGTACTTGTTGTGTATCAAACCTCATCTTAAACCTAAGTTGTCTCGAACGTCGAAAACGACGCCGTTAGACGTTCGAGCGGTCTAATGATTATTATATAGCCCCACCTGCGTTCAACAAGTTGTGTAGCAAGTGTTTACAAAACACCTGCGGTCTGCTAAGGAAGCTAGAAGTAATACAACATAATACAACCAGCTGTTACAGATCTAAAATTAGACTATATGAAATATTGCATATAATGTTGAAGTGTTGGTATAGAAGGCTCCAAGACTGAAGGTTCTGGCATCCGAAATTCGAGTCCTCTATGTTATATTTACCCTATAGGGCAAAGACCTTTATATAAACTTGACCCTATAAAGATAGGAATGCTTAAAGCTAATTAAAATTAAGTCACTCTTTAATCTTGGGATAAATATTATACATGTATGTTTAAAATCCAAGAAGTAATAAAAGACATCTAGTAATTAATAAGGGCTACATTTATAATTTTTATCGCTGTGTCGCTAAAATATAAGCTGGGATTAATGTCCAATGATTAAGTAAGCCTGAGGAGTGGGAAGAGTAGCTGATCCGTTATTACGAAGTCCCTAAGGCGTACTTTCATATATACTAACGCATCGATAATATAGTTCATGGTTCCTAAATATAGAGTGAAACTTAAAAATGGAGAAATTGTTATTATAAGCCAGCTCATCCTATGCTTATATGGATATAAATTATAGTTGGAGAGATCCTCGTTAACCTCAAATTTATATAGTTGAATTCGTTGTTGTCCGTGTTGTCCGAACCCAACCCCTCAGTGAAATAGAGCCGGATGCGGATAGTTGAAGGAGGGTCACAGCACCGACAGACGACCTGCTTGTTTCCGTCTTCGGTTCCCAGAATCTCGGGTCTTGCACACTCTAGTCAACCAAACAGCTCTTTCTTTTGAATCTCGCAGAGCCGCGGCCCCGGTCTCTATACCTTTAAAGTTAGGGTCATATATCGACCGTATCTATACCTAAAGATCGCGGACAATGAAAAGCCTACTTACTCCTTAGTTTCCATTTTGTAATTAAATGATCAAATAAGCTTCACCCAACTAATACTCTTTAAAATGCTCTCTCTATGACGGGGGGTCTTGTAAGTGGGCCATGACATTCACGAAGGTATGATTTTGTCTAGAAGTTGCTCTGTTGCTTTACCTGCAGGATTGATCAAATGCTTTAGTCCTATATTTTGCTTAAGGGTGAAGGGCTTGAGTGTCCGTAGCAAAGATAACCTGATACTAGGTGTGGCAGGTGGTACTAAATGATTAGGGTACCTAACTTTTCTACACTAACTGTACATTGTTTGCCAGTTAGCTCGAGTGTGGCCCAGGTTTTAGAGTTTACAACGATGAGATCACAATAGACGGCTTGAATTGCAACTTCAACATCGGCGCAATCTATTGAGTCAAAACAAGCCGTATGTGATCGCACATAATTGCATGCCCATTGCAATTCGGTGATGACGTGTGGCAACGGGTAACTCCTAGTCTTACTCCCCCGTGAACACAGGGGATCGCTTCTCTGCAAAAGCCTTAAGAGCCTCCGATCGATCCTTGGTCCTAAGGACAACCTCATACGAAGCATTCTCCACAGCTTCACATGAATACGAAAGCGCCCCGACAGCAGCTCTGATAGCAACTGGCCCTCCACCCGTGATTTCCTTGGCTAAAGCAATACCGGCATCAAGCGTCAAGGCTCGCTTCTCTGCAGCGCTCAGCGCCGGCAACTCGTCTTCACTCCCAGCCACGAAGCGCGTGCAGAGACCACGGGTATATGCCTCGCCAGCCGACATCATACGACCTGTCAGTATCAGATCGTGAGCGACTGCCGAGCCCACAATCTTGGGCAGCCTGTACGTGCCACCAGCACCAGGAATAATGCCTAGCCGCGTTTCGGGCAGACCCACGACGGCATTGCTAGAGAAGATGCGCATATGGCAGCAGAGCGCGAGTTCAAGGCCACCTCCAAGGGCGAGGCCGGAGAGACAGGCGATAGAGGGCATGGGAATAGTCTCCAGTCGAGAGAACACGTCTCGCATCGTGCCCAGAAATGCTTGGGTTTCGGAGCGGCTCATGGTCTTGCGCTCCTTCAGGTCTGCGCCCGCGCAGAACACGTCGTCTGCAGCGCTTGCGATGATTAAAGCCCGGATCTGACCGCTGTCGGTGTGTATCTCTTTGATCTCATCGCTCAACTCCTGGAGCATCTGGGATGATAGTGCGTTTTTGGCTTTTGGTCGGTTAAGGTTTATGATCCTGATTATGCCCATGTGTGTTGCTTCAACATCATTTACGCATATTGTCTGTCGCACTCTGACGCTGGGCATACTTTGACTGGGAGAGGGTGTGGGGATCTCAGTGATCTTAACGAAAGACATCTTCTGATCTCCGTCAACGGGATGCTGGGCCGTGATGTTGTCGACTAGAGACGGCACATCTTGTGGAATTCAACAATTAGAAAGTCTTCAGCAATAGAGACGATTGAGTTCTAACGTCCATTCTCGATAAAAATGACAAATAATGATAGGGCGCTATCTACACAGATATGATAAACACAGCTTAAAGAGTGAGGAACTATGCCAGACATCCCTGGAGGCGAAGTTCGCTACGTACCTCTGTTGGTCAAGGCCGTAGCTTCTGCAACACTTTGCACTTCCGGGACAGACACGATATATCTAGCATCCGTGTACTTCTTGAACTCGTCATCGCGCTCTAGAGCAGACAGAGTGCTGTCGGACTCGGTGACCATGAACTCGCAGCTCCCGTCCGTCAGTTTCGGCATAATGATGACGATTCCCGCTTGAGTGCCCTGGGCGGGCAGTCGAAGTGTCTGCATATGACCATTACCATCCTGAGAAAATGCTGGGCCGAAGTCAAGCCCGTGCAGATCAAACTTGAAGTGGCTCGTCAATATGATACCCCCGATGGGTAACTCCTCGTAGATATTCAGACGGATGCCCGACTCTAACTCCGTCCTTGTCGCATAGCCTACCAGATCGCGAAACTTGTCCGCATTCACACTCTGAATTGCGGACCGTAGTAGGCGAGCGGCCTCGACGAGTCCTCGCTCCGGGTCCGCTAGCTTCTGCAGCGACAGGGATGACTTGGTCATATATAGAGCATTGCCGAAGAAGGGTTGAGGAAGTCCGAGGTGGGCACGGCAATCGATTGGCTGAACGACCGAAGACGTGCCGTCTGTTGGGAGAATTCCCGCACGGTTACGAGCGACCATGATGCTGCGCCAGATGAAGGCGGAGATGACATCGTTCGTTGACAGCCACTCATCAGGACCCGTCGAGGCTTTCGCCGCCAACTGCTTGAGCTTCGCGAGGCCGCCCGCCGTGATGCAGAACATCCTACAAGAATTCGGCACGTCGGCGATTTGAGCATGCGAGTTGACCGCATCCGAGGTCCATGCCCCATGATTCTCGAGGGTCCCGGGCACACCGTTTCCCGAGACCAATGCCATGCGATCCGAGCGATACACTACATCGTTCCCTGCTTGTAGAGGCTCATTGCCGGAATCCAATTGCGCCTTGCGCAGCTGCTCAGCGAAGATATTGATAATCTCGGTCACACCCCTGCCGTCGGCGGCGATGTGGACGATGGAAACAACTAACAGCAGGCCGCCCTCGATAAAATTGGCCTGAAACTGGCAAACGTCGACCGGGTCATCTTGGACGTAGGCCGCCTTTGGCAGCGGGCACAGCTGATCTGTGTCTAGTAGGTGCTGTGAGAAGTTGGCTTTGACGAGCTCCGACCAGCTGAGCTCGGAAGAAAGATCCTTGATGACGAGATGAGCGGCGCCCTCGGGTACTAGGTTGCGAAGCCACGGCCGGCCTCCTTGATCTGGCGGAAAGGGGACGATGGATCCTGCCAGAAAAGGCACGCGTTTGACGGTGCGTTGGAAGGCTGTGTGGAGATATCGCACAAGCTGCTCCTTGTCGTGCTGCGGAGGAAGCGAGAAGCACAAGATCCGCTTCGAGTGACCTGCTGGGTAGATTCTGTCCCAGTGAGATAGTCGTAGCTCAAAGGGCTGGCATGGGACTGTGAGTATCCGGTCCATGGTGTGTCAAGGTGTGTCAAGGTGCGTACAACCACGACGGAATGATTTACACTATGTAACGAGTGCGTATTGATGAAGGATTCTAGGACTTAGCGAGAGAGATAGACCGGTAGCACGTAGTATTAAGAATGAGCAAGACTCGTGAGGTGTGTAGATATGTATGCATAATGCCCTCACTTTGATTGTCCTTCCACCCTTGTCGATTCGCATGTGAGCGTCATCCCCTCGGGAAATCTAACGACCACGAGGATGGGACCAGGCGCAGACAACCATGGTAGGTTCCATCTGGACTTACCTAGCTGTATGATGGAGAAGCTGACCCGGGCCATGTAAGTGGGTGCCTGGCTCGTTTGGGGGAATATGGCTGTCGCTGTCGAATCGGGAGGCGGGTATAGTTCTCGTAGACTGCTACCTAGTACCATGACATCTTGCTGACGGGCCATCTTGGAAGTTTTGCGCGGCGGTATTCTGAGTCTGACTGACACACAATCCTGACAAATGGTGCCAGGGGTGTTGAGTTGATCATATTGGCTACCGAGAATGATTAAATCCGGTATGAGCAGTCTTAAGTCCGGCTGGCTGCATGCTCCATGCGACGACGTCGATTCATGAGGGATTGAAGTTCAAGGTAAGGTAGATGTGGAGCTGTCATGGTCCTGATCATGTCTACGACAAACCTCAATCCTGCCTTTGCGATATTTACACTGATTGCTACGGTCGCTGGCAGCGAATGGTTCACAGAGGCCAGGTCCCGAGAGAGATGAGTACCACGTGAGCCACCGTGTGTGTCTCCCTTGCTTCACATCGTGTCACGGCCTCAACTCGTCAACAATCAATATGGCCTTCCGGCACTCCATATCTCTGTCGCGCAGCGCTGCTCGCTCTGTTCAAGCTCTAGCGAGATTCAACGATGCAAGCGCTACCGCTACCACCGTTCGCCTGGCAAGACAGTTCTCGGCTACAGCACATGCGCGGGCGCCATTCGAACAAGTTTTCGAAGCGGCCTGCACATCCCGTGAGCTTCCCGGCGTAGCTCTGCTCGCAGCTAATCAAACGGGTGAGTTTCAAAGAAGAACCAGTCATTCATTCTATGATCAGAAGGTTCTCACTAGCCTTCATCCGCAGGCACACTGAGATACAGCAAGGCCTTTGGCTTTCGCTCGCTGCGAGACGACAAGGCCAAGGAGCACCTCGACGTAGACTCGCCAATGTACATAGCTTCATGCACGAAGCTGATTACCTCAATCGCGGCCATGCAATGCGTCGAACGCGGCTGGATTGCTCTTGATGATGACGTTCGGCCCTTCGTGCATGAGCTGCGGGATATTGACGTCGTGACGAAGAGTAGCAATGATCAAGGCTTTTCATCCCACAAGAATGAAGCACCAATTACCCTGAGGTAAGTCTGTATACCGTACTCGATGAGGTAGAATTCTCACTAACGTTTCACTCGTGGTCCTCGTCATCAGACACTTGTTAACACACACATCTGGTTTCTGTTACGAGTGGAATGAGCCGCTGCTGCAGGCTTGGCGACGCCAGCAACCGGAACATCGACGAGAGCCGGGCACCAGCCTTCGCGGTCGCTTCCTTCACCCTCTGATCTACGAGCCAGGTATGTCATGCATGCTTCTTATGTCGTAGTCTGTAAGTTGCGATGTGCAAACTGCAAGTCCCAAAAAAACATATCTGATCATACCCTCCAGGCACTAGCTGGTCCTACGGGCCGTCCGTCGACTGGGCCGGCGTCCTCATCGAGCGCCTAAGTGGCCTAAACCTTGAGAGCTACATGAGACGGCACATCTGGGAGCCGTTAGGCATCAAGTCCATGACCTTTTTCCTCTCCACCCGACCCGATATGCGGTCTCGAGCAGTACACATGAGCTATCGGGAACCCAAAGGAGACCAAACCGACGCCTTGTCACCGGTGGGGTACGCGGAGGAGCAGCTTGTCCTCAATCCGGACGTAGAAGACTGTCTGGGCGGCGGCGGCATATACGCCGCTCCGTCGGATTATCTGAAAGTCCTTCAAGCACTTCTCGCTGCGGCCTGCCCATCGGCTACAGACGGGCCATCCGTCCCCCCGGCGCAGCTCCTGCGGCGCTCAAGCGCGGAAGAAATTTTCCAGCCTCAGCTCAACGAGTCGGCACGGAATGCCATGTATGGTGTATGCCGGATGCCGGGCCTCAGTATGATCATGGGTGGCGGGCCGACCACAACGCGGAAGGACTGGGGATTAGGCGGGATCTTAGTTATGGAGGATCTGCCATCGTGGCGTCGGCGAGGCACCATGGCGTGGTATGGCATGCCGAACCTCAACTGGGTAAGTCTCGAAGCCCCTTTATCAATCAATCCTTCATTATTCAGTTCGTAAGGAACACTGGTGTGGAAGTCGCTGACTATCGGTATTATGACCGTGTAGTGGATCGATCGCTCAGCAGGACTGTGCGGGCTTTACGCGTCGCAGCTGATGCCGCTCGCGGATGCAAAATCGGCGGAGATGATTGAGTTGTTCGAGAAGGAGATGTATGCTAGACTGAGTTCATAGTGCTCGCTCTGGCGAGTTGATAGCTAATACCGCTTTCTCTAGTCGCTGTGATACTGTTATGTCGTAGAGCTCTAATGTGCCCTAAACGCGGCCTCAATCGCGTCGGAATCTAGCCTCTAAGCAGGTAGCATTAAGTTATATGCCCAAAGATTCTCTGACCTTTACTTGGTAGTGGCAGTGTCACGGTCAAGGACGGATTGAGTCTCAATAGCATTAAGTAATTTTTATTTTACAATCTAATTGCGCCTTGATGCAGTGCGCCTGAAAGGGAATAGGTCTTTTTCGTATCTGGACACCGCTACACGACAACTCCCAGCTGCCATGACGATGTCCTGTACACTTCAATACTCAATCACGTTCACACACTATCGGCCTCTGCCGCGGCCTTTTTCTCAGCCTCTTTCTTAACGTCTTCGGGCCTAATGCTCCTCCACTCAGCACACAGGGCGACGAGGAAGCTAAGCCCGGTCAGAACAGTGCCGAAGATCCATGCCGCCTGGAGGCCGCGTAGATACGCGTCCACAACGATGGCGAGATCAGCCGGGTCCGGGAACACGGTGCGGAGATCGTTGGCGCCTGTAGCCAGGACTTTAGCGGCAGTGACGTTGGGGTTGTTGGTGGGGATGGATTGCACAATGTAGTTGTTCATGATGTTTTCGGCCGTCGACACGCCGAGAGTGCCGCCGATGAACTGCCAGACTGCAGAGATGGCGTGGGTTAGTACGGCGCTGCGGAGCAATAGTTGAGAAGGGTGCAACGGATGAGGTGCTCATCACTTACATAGAACAATCGCCGTTGCCACCGCCACGTCGCTTCGAGCAGTCAAGGCTTGCGCGACGATGACATTGAGCTGAATGACCAGACCCGAGCCGATGGCGGTAAAGACCTGGTAGCCGATATACTTGCCAGGCCCAGATTCAGGTTTCAGTGTATAGATCAGTCCACCCCCGATGGTCAGGAAGATGGCGCCGACGATCAGGAAGGCTTTGTAATAGCCAAGTCGACTAACCGCAATTGAGCCTAAGAAACTAAAGACCGCTGTGGCTTAAATGTTAGAAGCTGGCGAAATTCAATAGTGGTGTTGGTAGGCAGCTCACACGTTGTCAGGACAGTCGGTAGCGTTCGGATACCAGACTGTGAGGCAGATACACCTTGTACAGCCTGGAAATAGATTGGCAAGTTGTAGGTTCGGGCGAAACCAGAGGCCTGGGCAGTGAGATTGAAGAGAGCAAGCACCCAGATAGTTCTGCGCTTCATGATACGAGGTACTACCATTGCCCTCTCTCCTTGAAACCATTGAACAGCTCCGAGTAGTATTGAGAGTGCGCCAAAGCCGACAATCAGGCCAATGACCACTTGGTCATTCCAAGGCTTGCTGACACCGCCATATTGAAGGACTAGCAGGATAGCCACTAGCGTGCCGATGAGTATTGTCATACCCGGTACATCAAACAAGGAGGGGGCTTCCCTGATAGTCGTGTGGGCAACTCGTGAATGGGCAGGTGTCTTGAAGCAGAGGAGTAACAGGATGATGGTCGTTCCGCCAATCTGCACGCAGGCGAATCAGTATATCTCGGACTAAAAGCTGCCCTGCCCTCTCGATGCTGGGTGAAGCACTTACAGGGAGATTGATCCAGAAGCACCACCTCCACGTCACATATTGAGTAAAAATGCCGCCAAGCACGGGGCCAAGAACCGAAGATACACTCCAGACTGAGCTCGTCAGTCCCAGCACCAGAGGTAGCTGCCGTGGGTGGATGGTGAACCCCAGGATGATGAAGCAGCCACCCGTCACACCGGCGCCGCCGACACCCTGAATCGCGCGAGCCACGATCAATGCGATGCTTTGGGGCGCCAGGGCAGCGATCAAGGTCCCGACCTCGAAGACACCAATGCAGGCCAAGAAGACGGTTTTCAACGGAAAGAACTTGTATGCCTTGCCCCAGAAGGCCTGGAAGGTGGCGAGGCCGAGAAAGAAGGCAGAGCCATACCAGCCGATCTGGTCGATGCTGTGGAACTCCTCGGTGATTGTCGGGATAGCAGTGGATATAATGCTCTTGAGATACAGTTAGTATATAGAGTAGATGATTGTAAGTCGAAACCACGACGACAGCAAGCTTGGCGATTGTTACTAACGATGTCTAACGCCACTAGGAATAAAGCCAAGAGCAGCGCGAAGGTGATTAGCGCGCTCAGCCAAGGCCCAGGATACTTGATCTCCGGGGCCTGCGTAGCAGGAGCAGTAGCAGTAGTGGGCGCGCTATTCGCTGCCTGGTCGTCTTTTTCAGACGAGTCTACCACTCCCGCTTCATTGGCATCACCATCGACCTTATCATTCACCTCGACGGGGGACACCGCAGAGGGATCACTCGCAGACCGGTCTGGAGCCATTGCTAAGTTGCTGAAGGATTAGGGTCTTCAGTCGTATGCTACGCTCGTTTGGACTTGGACATCTGCGTCGAGGGAAGAGGGAAGAAGGAAACGCACAACGACAAAAGTACGCAGCAGCAGCAGCACGGCAGTCAATCGGATTGGAAATCAAAGATCATGGCCCCATGTCTCCTTCCGTACCCAGGGGGAGATGCGGAAACGTGCCAAATCCCATGTCGGCTGGTTTCTCCCAACGCGACTGGTGGAAAGGAGCCGAGACCAGGCCACCGTGTCGCATTCTTGTCATGTCAGAGATTGGGGATGGTTCCATGTTTGTATTTCGGAGATAGCTTGTTGTCTCCAGGAACGGGACCGTGATGATGTCCCTACTACGCCAATCATGTGATTGGGTCTCTTGGTGCTCGGAGTTAGACTCTCGGAGCGGACAAATAACCCTGATATATTTCCAAATTCAGCCTCCCACCGGAGATAGTACACGGATTGGAACACAAAGTCCAGTCACACAACAGCTCTACCAGGGACCCCTGCACCACCCACTGCAACCTCACCGACCAGAACCGACGATGAGAACAAAAGTACCCCTACCTACCTAGTTCAAGTATGCCTGCGTGTAGCGTGTAGCATGCCTGTCCTGTCAGGGGGGCGTCGCGGTAGTCATGCCGCAATCGACTACCGGTACAGTACAGGTACAGCGGAGCATGAGGCCATCCCCACAAGCTGCCATCAATACGCCTAGGTACGAAGTATCACCTATCTATTTCTAGAGGGTCGCCAACAGCAGATAACAGCAGAGGAAAGGAGCCGAGCCGATAATGCAGGATTGCGCGCGCGTGGCTGTAGTTGACCATGGCAGAGGCGAAATACAGGTCGTCCTGTGACGCCTGTCTCGGCGCCAAGATCAAATGCACTCGGGAGAAGCCTGCCTGCCTGCGCTGCAACGAACGTGGCCGTGAATGTGTATACAGCCAGTACCGCAAGATCGGTCGACCCTCCTACAAGACCCCATTGAGCAGTGGGGAGCCCAGCGAGACGGTGCAGATCAGCCCGTCGCCAAGCGTCTGGGCGAGCCGACCCTTGCCAGACCCGTCCGCGCCGCCCATTTCACCATCGTGCCAACGGCAACCAGACCCCATCCAGAGCCCCATCTCCGTCGTCTCCAATACTGGCGGGGCTGATGGTCTCAGCCATTCAATGGGCGAAAATGAAGCCGCCTGGCCAGGGCCGTTCATGGACAGTCAATCAATGCCAGACCCTGCCATGGCTACGAGTCATTATCTCCACTTCGGCGGGATCGCAGGAGACCTAAGCCCTACCTCTTTGACCGCACCACTCGGGAATACCAACTGGTCTACCATCGGAGGACTGCCGATTGGATATCCCACCCAAATGGCAGATATGGGGCAGCCATATCTTGGCGACACGCTAGATCCACAGGATCTCGATTTTCATCACTTGGCGATGCCCACGTTATTTCCGACGGCCGATGACTTCGGCTACGATCCAGGTCCTGTTGGCTCCGCAATAAATGCATCATTCACCACTTGGGAACAACAAGACGCGGAGGTGTCTGGATCACCGCAGAATAGTAAGCAAAAGAGCGATCAAGGGTAGCACGGTTCCGAATGAGGCGAGTGTTGGGTGTACTCTACGGTGTGCACACCTGTCTACGGGAAGGCGCACAGAAGAAACATTGCATATCACAGCCTCATATCCGACCTCGGCATTGACAATGACCTCGGCAAAGACAGAATCATCTGATGGGATTCTCGCATTGATAATTATTCTATCGATGATCTATCTAGTGCTGATTGTCTCTAGCTTCCAGGGTGGTCATACGGAAAAGGGTTTTCATCTACGTATTCTAGACTAAGTAAACATTATACTTCCTGAGGGTAAACCAATGGCTTGGGTAATCCGTAAAGCACATCCCTTGTATCAAGCTACTCCAGAAGTTGGAACCTGCATTGTATCATTCTAAGAAAGCTTCCTGCGCCTTCAATCATATGTGGCTATAACAACAAAAGGCCCCGACGCCTGATGGTGTCGCATCGTTGTCAGGCATATGTACATTAGCATGACTAAACACCTCGATATCATTATGTCCATCCTGAAATACTTTATCAAACAATATCCATGTGAAATGATCGTTGAAACGGCTAAAATCATGCCATTCTTCATGAGGCCACCGCAAATAAGAACAGAAGCCATAAGCCTTAGCTAGCCCGTTGACTCTCGACAATAGAATAGGTGTAATCATGGATGAGCAAGTGTTCTTCATACGACTCTCGTATGTTTGTGTTGTATGACTACAATATTCTCTGAAAGTCTGACATGCAAGTGTCAGAGCGATTGTCTGTCTTACGCCGCGTGGGTTGGTTCCCATCCCAGCTTGCGGTGCCTGCTAGGGCTCCCTTGGTACTCATCAAAAATCCGAGAATGCCTCAAATCGCCTGTCATGGTCCTCGAGGTACGGTTTCGGGATATTTAGATATATGTAATTTTTCCTAGGCTTCTACTGTTTGCCCAATTGCTTCTCATAGTACCGCTTGAGCAGGATTGCCTTAACTTCTATCCATTTACAGTAACCTAAAACTATTATGCAGACCTCCAAGATCTCTGAGCCTCGCATCAGCGAAAAAGCACCGCCGACCGTAGTCGGTGTTGTCGAGACAAACGGGAACACCAAAAATGAGCCGTACGTGCCTCCCCGTTACGAATCCGCACCAGCGGACAGGTCAAGACTTGCGGAGCCGCTCAAGTTCCACTTCTCGGGACGCACGGCGCCGAATCGCTTCATGAAAGCGGCCATGACAGAGCAGCTGTGCACGTACGACCCTGAAAATGCCCAGAACAACGGTATCCCCACTGAGAACATTGAACGGGTCTACGAACGGTGGGGCCGCGGTGGCATCGGCCTCATCCTATCTGGCGATGTCAACACCAGCCTAACCAGCATTGAATCCATCGGTGACCCAGTCATTCACCCGGAGGCGACCTTTGATGGCCCGCGTTTCGAGGGCTTCAAGGCGATGGCTCGCGCAGGCAAAGCTCACGGCTCCCTCATGGTCGCGCAGGTGTCGCACCCAGGCCGCCTGTGCGTGTTTGAAAAATCACCTGTTTCGGCCTCTGCTATCGAAGTCAGTAACAACGGGCAAGGCGACGGCATCTATCGCTACCCCCCACCGCACGCAGCGACCCACGAAGAGATCCAAAGGCTCATCAAGGGCTTTGGACACGCTGCTGAGTTCTTGCACCGCGCGGGCTGGGACGGCCTCGAGCTCCATGGTGCACATGGTTATCTGCTGGCGCAGTTCCTCAGCCCCAAGACAAACAAGCGCACCGACGAGTACGGCGGCAGTCTGACCAACCGCATGCGCTTCGTGCTCGAGATCGGGCGCGAGATCCGCCGCCGCACCCCGCCAGACTTCATCCTAGGCATCAAAGTCAACAGCGTCGAGTTTCAGGACACGGGCTTCATCACGGACGAGGCGCGCGAGCTGAGCATCAACCTAGAGCGGGAGACCTTTGACTTCATCGAGATCACGGGCGGTACCTACGAGAAGATCCTCATGTATCACGGGTGGCGCGAGACCACCAAGCAGCGCGAGGCGTTCTTCCTCGACTTCGCCGACAAGATCGTGCCCAGTCTCACGGGCAAGACAAAAGTCTACGTCACCGGGGGGCTACGTACCGTGAGCGGCATGGTCGAGGCGCTCGACTCCGTCGATGGTGTGGGTCTTGGCCGACCGCTGACGAACGAGTGGTTCCTCTGCAAAGACATCCTCGAGGGCAAGGTCGACGCGGCCGTCATCCCTGACATCCCACAGGACAACTTCTGGCTGTCCCTGATGGCGGGCAACAGGCAGATGAGACTTGTGGGCATGGGGGCTGAGCCTGTCGATCTGTCGAGAAAGGAGGTCGTTGATGAGCTGAGGTCGTCGTACAACGACTGGGTAACCCATAAGAGTACAGATAAGGAGCTGGCGCGTTACAAACGGATTGACAAGCCTCATGCGCCCGACGCACGACCCAATTACTAGGAACTTGTGGGTTAGGCCGGGTTTGTCATATCGATTATACTATAGGTAGATCAGACAGGGATTATTAAAGAAATTGTTGCCCCTCTCCTCTCGCCCCTCAAACTCGAAATAGCCATGCATGTAGGCACAAGGAGGAGCAATAGAGATGACCACCTATTTTGCAGAGTAAATCCGAGAATACCCGAATGCCTAGATGACTCGAGCTTATCCCGTAAATCAAATGGGCGTTTTCACTGCAGAGCAGAGGTAGTGTTCATCAGTATAGTTGGCGTGAAGATAGATTCCCACATTTGGTAAGTGCTGAGCAAAGAGGAATGCGGGGTGTGAACACGATCACATCAGATCACGATACCTATGACCGTAGAGATGACGTCGAATTGTTGCTATAGTGCTACTGTGCCACTGTCAGGCAATCTGACACGCGTGTTGGATCTGACCGCGGCAGTCGATTCCTCGGATATAACCCACATCTATACCGCTCTTTGGGAGATGCATACAGCCTCGAAGTGCCGGGGAAATCCAAAGCCCTACGGGGCAGAGCGCGGGATGTACTATGCCAGTCATATCAACACATTCATTACTCGAATATGCCTGAGGAGGTAGGCAGGGTCGGTGATAACTCCGTTATTGCCGGCTAATCGATCGCATTGTCACACATTCAATACGGGTTCGACGCGGAGACTGGGCCACGTGTCTGTGACATCTGGGTGACATACCTAGGCGACGTTTTCCTTTTTCCAACGCTGTAAGTCTGTTGTAGTACCGTACGCGTAGATGATTTGGCCTATCGGGCTCTCGTGCCTCGGGATCCGATGGTAACATTCACAGGGAGGGGAACCCTTACCTCCAATTATACGAAATGCATATCTCCGTCCACCGGGAACACCGACCCCGATTATTAATTGTTAGTATCGTTTGACTGTTATATCTAGCTGCGATGGCGGGGTTGAAACTCGATAGAAATCAATATCCAAGAGCTTCGACCAGAGGTGCGAGTTTCCATTGGAATTCTGTACTGCGTCACCCGGCGCTTGCAAGCGAAAGAACGAAGATAACGACAATCCATTAGTTGCGGGCACCCCACTCACACTGCACGTAATCATTACCTGCCGCCATGTCTAGCACGACTGCGAGGAAGCTCGGCAGTCAGGGGCCAGCCATCCCTGCTGTGGGATTGGGACTCATGGGCTTCTCGATCCACTACGGACCTGCTCCCAGCGACGAGGAGCGTTTTGCCGTTCTCGACCGCGCGTTGGAACTAGGTGCCACACATTGGGATAGCTCCGAGTAGGTTTCGCCGCAGCCCGATAGGATACCTTGGCTGAAGTGGAGATAATTAAGTGGCTGACGATGAGGTTGAATCCAGCATGTACGGCGACTGTGAGGAGCTCCTGGGCAAATGGTTCAAGCGCACAGGCAAGAGAGACCAGGTCTTCCTGGCCACCAAGTTTGGCATTGTCAAAGGCTCTATGTCAGAGATTGACAGCTCGGCCGCTTACTGCAAGAAAGCGTGCGCCGAGAGCCTCAAGTCACTCGGCGTCGACTACATTGATCTATACTACGTCCACCGTGCGAACCCCAACACCCCCATCGAGGAGACGATGCGCGCGTTGCTTGAGCTTAAATCGTAAGACACATTCTCACGAGATCAATTCGTATACACATAAGCAGAGCTAAGCAGCATGACCAAACAGGGAGGGTAAGATTAAATACATTGGCTTGTCAGAAGTGAGTTCCGCTACGCTCCGCCGCGCAAGCAAAGTGGGCCATGTCGACGCCGTACAGATCGAATACTCACCTTTTGACCTGGATATCGAAAGGGAGTCCGGCACTAACCTGATGGCCACCTGCCGGGAGCTCGGCGTGGCGATTGTGGCTTATTCGCCTCTGGGCCGAGGTTTGCTGACCGGCACTTTGAGCGACAAGGAGTCCATCTCCAGTGACGGAGATTGGCGGTCATTGTACCCCAGGTTCAGCGGTGAGAATTTTGACGCCAACATTAGGGTCGCTAGCCAGTTTAAGGCCCTGGCAGATAGGAAGGGGTGCTCTGCCGCCCAGCTATCCATCGCCTGGGTGCTGAAACAGGGCAAGGATGTGCTGCCTATCCCCGGTACCAAGAAGATCAAGTATCTCGAGGATAACTTTGCCGCCACTAGCGTTGGCCTAACCAATGAGGAGGAGAAGGAGATCCGGAAAATCGTATCTGCCGTCGTCGGCGAGCGGGTTCCGGACTTTGCGAAGCCCCAGACCTATGTTGACACTGTGGAGGAGAAGTAGTTATGGCGCTGAAGAAGTAGCCTGATTCATGGCTACGGCATGGTAGTGTGCTTGGACAAGTTTGCTGTCCTGTTCGCTATCGTGTTGGCGAGAGCGTCATTAGTGAAATGATCATACATTTGAGTCAGAAGCACCAGGATTACCTCGGAAGGCAGCGAAGCACCATTTTAATACGCTATGAATCGGATACTGATTAGCATTGAAAAGACTGTGACTGGTCTTATTTATTCATTCTATAGTGAGTTGATCACTTCGTTAACATAGTCTAGTAGCCGAATCTGAGGTAGTCTCAACCTAGACACTTGCACGGATTCAACAACCTATTCAAGTTGCTGGCCTCAATGGAATCCTTTGACAGGGTACCATGACCTCTTATGCTATGAAATTGTATCAACGATTATCGTCTTCCATAAAAATGACCACTACTTTTGCTACCTTCGGCCTTTGCCTGCTGTAGTCGAGGTCGGCTTGATCCTGCCCTCTTACGCTCCTTTGACTTTGACGTTGGAGCTCTGAGTTACTATGCGAGCTGTCGGAGCATATTGCTTCGGATCGTCGCCTGGAAGTCGGGGGAGGGCCAATATCTCTGGATCTCGTTGAGGTGGAACCTCGTCTTTCTGTCTCGTCGCAGTAGGCTAAGATCTGGTTTAGATCAATGCCATGGCGTAGAAGCGCCTCTGAACCTGAAGAATGAGTTGGGGATGGAGAAGGAGACAATTGGCGCTGAGTTTGAGCTGGAGCTCTAACTGATGGCTCTCGATAGTTGAGGTTGGTGTCTAGTCGCTGCTCTACTACTGGCCGCTGAGAGCGACTGGCTACCCCCTTTCTGCGGGGGTAGTATACAATGCATGTCTCGGCGTCTTCAGCTAAATCATTGAGGTCTGGGGGGCTATAGCAACTGATCGGAGAGGTCGATGGGTTAACTCCACCTGTGTTACTGGGTCGATTGGAGAAGCGTGCCGCTTGTTGTCTGTGTAAGGGTGACTGGAAATGGTTTCGAGCTTGATTGCTGATATCAGGTTGGGTGGACATATCCAAGTCGAACGGCATGTCCAAGTCAGTCCCTCCGGTATTGTTCAATTGTCCTATCTGTCTTTCCATTTCATTTTGGTGGGATTGGCGCGATCTTAGTGATCTTGCGTCTGTCCGGAACGCAGTCGGTAGTGTGGTGACACCTGGGTCACCGGGAAGGCCGGCTACTAGATTTGGGTCTACAAGACCATTATCACCATGGTTACTTGTGTTCCACTGAGTATTCCGATATTCATGGGGTTTGAAGAGATCGTTCGCCGTGTAAGCCAGAGTTGCGTCTTCGAAGTTGTCGTTCATGCCTGGCTGGGAGCGGGCAGAATCGGGGCCAGAGGGCATCATAGCTTGTGATGATGAGGAGTACTCGTCGCCGTTCTCACAACTCCACTGATGCTGCTCTTGTGCCTTGTCATTAGATGATAGTTGGCCCTGGCTAGTGTCTTGGCCTTGAATTTTCCGGCCTACAAGAAGTCAGTCTCGCGGCACAATTGATAATAGGACGCCGGGTTGCATCGACTGTATCAACAAGGTTTCCCAGATCATGGCGTGGCTTACGGTGTTTACGCTGGGCGAGACGATTCTGCACTCGCTTGCGAAGCGCAGAGTCAGATATTCTTGTCCAGTCTTCATCCATATCTTGATCCAGCAGAGTTGTTGTGACAAGGGGCTAGGTATAGCGGCTTAGACTATGTCTATTAGATAATATCAACTAAGGGTTTCAAGGTCCATAGTTTCCCTCTCTTTTTTAGGAAAGGTTGCCCAGCCTTTTATAAAAGAATTATTCTATATCATTTAGCTTATTTTTAAACTTAGTTCCTTGCTTGTCTGTTCGCAGCCTGCATATACATATGAGGCAGATCTGCTGATCTGTGATATCCAATAGATACCGTAGTCGATCTGTAAGGATAAGAGAAACCACGGGTCAATGCTTATGTCGGATAAGTGTATGGACTCGAGGCATTTGGTTCTCGAGTCCATAAGGTCGAAGGGGACGGGCGTCGAGTCTAGTGCGGACTAATGGTATTTCCTATGGCTATAGAATAACCACATTCCTTCTATTTCAAGTCATTCATTTTTACCTTAGTTCCTCAGCTATCAATCTCATATCAATAAGACACTCATTGATTGACTGCTATTCGGACTTCTATCTCTGTGCTTACAGCCACTTCGGTACTCATTGATAGCGAACTACGATCCTAGTTCCATCAGGCAAGCATCTGGTATACTTCTTACCTAACAGCAGCGAAGCTTTCCATCTTAGTCACAGCGTGCTGGCGCTACATAGTACTATCACTACCACAAAGAGCAAATGACATTTTTAATTCCTGTCATTGGTTCGCAATTGTTGCACGACAGATGCACATTACAAATCATTTCTGCCCTGGAAGGCAATATCTCCCGTGCCCTCAGCGGTTTCATGCTTCACTATCTGCATCTACCGGTATTCCGGAGTCAGGAGCGTTAGCTTAGACCCACGGCCCATTTTCTACAGAGTTGGGCAACAGACTTAAAAGGAAGCCCACTGAAATTCCCCGAGACCCTGGTTCTAACCTGGTCACACCCTGGTAGCACCCCGGTAACAGCACTGTTACGCCATCGTCAATGCTTTACCGTGGGCCTCGGTTCACGTTCCTGATGCCGGAAGAATAGGTGTACTGGACAATGCGTGTATCGTATGTAACACGGAGACAGCTGCATGGTCCAATGCAGTCGGGCTCACATCAGCATGTTGCTCACCGAGCATAGTTCTTGCATGGGAGTAAGCTAATACTCTGGGTTGTTGACCGAATGGATTGGCAAAGGGGTCGTATTGATGTTGTAGAGAAGGAGTCCTAGGCTACTGAAGGAATCCACTGTGAGGGGTAATATAGCCAGGCCCCCCGTACCTGCTAACAGGGCGATTATTAACACACGATGCTTTGACCATAGATGACTGCATAACCGAACTATCTCTTCAGTGCTCGACTCAGAAGTTGTTACGGAAGACTAAATTAAGTGGAAGCAGAAGTCTTTCAAAAGACTCCCTAGTGTTTTAGAATATGATTGGATTATAATCCCTGCTAGTATTACGTTTTCATGCTGAGTCGCGCACTGAAGGAATAATCGGACTTACAGTCTACCGGTATGTGATACATAAGTAGATACGCTGTGCCGTCTTATTACATCTCCAGATTTGCAATCAGACCAATAAGTGCTGAGCAAAGCATGACAACTAAGCTTTTTAATGTGCGTTCGGCTCGTGTCCCGTATACAAGGTAAGCTGATTTCACCTGCCTACCTTGGTGCTTCGGTCTCTAGATGGCGGATTCCACCTCACACGTGCTTAACAGGGTCGGCGATGTTGATCTGTGCAACGGCAGTGCTTTTGCGGCTTAACTAAAGTTCAGGATTAATGATCATCGGGCATGTAGAACGTAAGCAAGCAATATCCGGGAGACGCAGCGATAGTCTGACACTGTTCCTATCAACAAGCATGCACTTGGGTCACTACGTGCAATCGCTTCTTGAAAATTGTCTCAGTCCTCTAGGCCGCGCTTTTGGACTTCAGGATCGGTGACTACACGAAGGCCGTCCGCTTTTCCTGCATAGCACTGTAGGTCAAAGATGGTAATTTTATCTTGAAAAATGACATCAATTCACGCAGTGATTATTAGTATCTAGGTAGACAACGCCGCGTATCCCCCGTAAGTAGTGTAACAGCACATGCTTCATTGCATTCGAGTTTATGCTTATAACTCAAATCGCGTGGCTATAGCAACGTGGATGCTGCTGTCATAGAGGATCGATATCCATGATTCCTCGCTCGTTCGAACCAACAGTGAGTGGTTCTCCTGTGACATCTTGAACAGAACTTAGCTGCCTGAGGATCTAGCGTCGCAATTATGCACATATACTATAATGTGCGTATACGGATGGAAGGGTGTGGTAGCAAAATGTTACGAAGGAATAGAGTCCTTTGGTATTGAATGCAGCTAAAATCTGAGACGTCAAAGCCCCGAGGTTGCTAGTCGCAGCAAGGTACATGACGAAGATTGCGTCTCGCCAGTCGTTACGAGACTGCCTCCTCGGCCAGCTTCTGAACTGTCATAGTGGCACTCAACAGTTTCAGCATGCTGACTTCCTTGGCGAAAGTTGCAGAAAACCAATTCCGCAATTCCGCGGCCACCATACTATCTATGCCGTAATGGTTGATTGCCTTTTCCACATCAATCTCGTCCATAGGTATATACAACAGGCGAGAGATCTTCCCCACAATCCTTTCCAAAGGCGTGCCACCATCCACCACAGTATCCCGCTTACCCTGCGTGCTAGACGATAGGAGCATTGTGGCTTGGACAAGGTTGCGGAATCTAGGATCGTGATACCAGAGCATGTCCGACAGGGGATAGTTCTGGTCCACGTTTTTCAGCCCGGCAGGCTCGATACCCACGAGAAGATGACTGGTCGTCTGCGGATCATATCTAAACGTTACCTCATCTGATACATCTACAGTCAGCGGCAAGATGCCTTTATCGCAGTACTGTAAGAAGTCGTCTTCATCGTTGCCGTAGAATCCGTTTCTGATCATGGCCTGTTGATACTCGGGAATGTATGACACAATACCGATCCCAAGCACCTGGCTCAATGCCAGACTGGTGCACGGAAGCCCTTGCGCACGACGGTATCGTGCGAAAGCGTCGAGGAACGCGTTCGAAGCTAGGTAATTGCTCTGCGTGGCTGTTCCAAAGACGACCGTCCACGACGACCAGAGCTGGAAGAAGTCGAGCGGACAGTCCTTGGTTGCTTCGTGTAGATTGAGTGTTCCGATGACACGCGGAAGTACAGTGCTATTGAATCGATCAAGTGACATGGACTCAAACAAGCTATCGTTCAGGGTAAGAGCTCCTTGTACCACCCCCTTGATGGGATATTTGGCGGTTTGAACGGCTGCTCGTACGTCCGCTAGTGAAGATACGTCACCTTTGACCACTGAAGCTTCAACACCGTTCTCCTCGAGCTCGATCAGGAATGTCTTGGCTTCAACGCTGGTAGCACCACTGCGTGAGAGGTAGATTATGTGGCGAGCACCACGAGCAACAGCCCAAGTACTGAAGCTTCGGCCCAGGCCTCCGAGGCAACCGACAAGGAGGTATGTCGCATTAGGGTCGAATTTTGCTGTATATGGATCGGTTTCAATCTGTGAGTGTGGTTAGTAGGAGCCCACAGGTTATTGAAATGAACATGTTCGAACGTAGAGGGCGTAGAGGATGAAAGTACTTACAGTGATGCCACGGTTTTCGCTATCGGTATATTCAACTAGAAGCTTGCCTATATGTGCACCTTTCGTGAATGTCATGAAGGCCTTTTCAATCTCGGTCACACTGAATGAAGTAGAAGGTAAAGGCTTGATATGGCCCTCTGCTTTAAGTTGCTGGATCGTTCGCATCAATCTATCGGGGGCGCCAGACGGTTAGTCGAAGGTCCGCGCACATGGCGGAAGCAGAAATTCCTTACCTGGCAGTCACCTGAGGCTTCGTCTTGCTCATAACTTCAAGATCGAAAGAGGCGAAGGTTGCGTTTCGCCTGAAAACATCAAGGCTGAGCTTTCCGTTGTCCAACACTTCAGTTCGTCCAATCTCGACAAATCTACCACAATTCGCGATACACCTCCAGTACTCGTGCATCAGTTCCCCACGAGCACTGCAGAGAATGACATCGATGCCCTTGCCTTTTGTTTGCTGAAGAAGCTTCTTCGCGGAGAACTTGTCGCGCGAATCTAGAATGTGATCCTCACCAATGTTGAAGCCCATGCTCAACAGCTTAGTTGCCTTCTCCGTAGTGCCGACCGTGGCGAAGATCTCAGCACCGATCATATGTGCAATTTGGCACGCGGCCAGACCGACGGCGCCTGTCGCGGATTGGATGAGAACAGTATCCCCCTTTTCAAGGCGACCCAGATCGATGAGACCGTAGATGGCGGTGCTGAAGGCAATAGGCATAGTGGCCGTGCCCTCGAAGGTGTCACCATGATCGAGCCGCTGGCAGAATGCCGCTTTGTCTCTAACAAAATTGCCAAACTTGGCGAATGACTGGCAGTAGACCGAGTCACCCACCTGAAAGTCTGTGACTTCAGAACCGATCTTCGTGATGATTCCCGAGCATTCATCACTCATAGAGTCGGAATGATGACGGCCTGCAAGCACTGCGATGTCTTTGCTATTAATACTGGCGTACTTGACCTCGATCTCAACCTCGTCTGGGGCCAGGCGCTTTGCAAATTCAGAATCAGGCTTGAAGTGGATGGTGCTAAGTACGCCCGGCTTTTGTATAGCGAGTTGGAGAGGTGTTGAGCCCACATCTGCGAAATTGACCTTCTGGAAAGCCCTATCTACATGCAGTGTCGTCTTCGAAAGTTCGCACAATTTATCGTCCGTGGTAAGTCGACTGACATGAAGAATGCCGTCTTTGTAGCGGAACTCGGAGTCATCATTCAGCTTCGAGACATCAGACACTCTTTGCTCCAGTCTCATAATAAGATCAAAAACCTCCACGTCCGAGTCCTTAGGTATATGCTCGAGATCCAGGGTGCTGAGGCGAATGGAATTGTTCTCCGTCTTCAGTCCCCTTGCCAGCCCCGAGATCATTGCCTGTAATGGTTCTTTACCTGCCATGAGGTCACCGGATGTCACCCACAACGAAGACGAAGCGTTGAGAAGAGCCCACTGCAGGAGCTTCCATTCTTCAGCTGTAACATTGAGGAAAAATGGATTCTGCGTCTCCAAGAGGAAGATGAACCGGCCGAAGGGAGCCGCCTGAATATCCGCGAGCGGTCTAATTTCGACTGATAAATCGCCAGATTTGGTGATTTGATTTGCCATCGACTGCGCGAAAGTAGGAGCCTCAGACCGGTATACCAAGGTGACTCCTTTGTTTCTCGTGTCCAAATTTAGCGGCGCTACACTGCCAATGTTGTCTGAAACTGCCGTGGCACAGATCACTGTGGCCGACACGTTGGCCCCTGCGTAATCATCGAGATAGAAGTCGAGCCCTGAGAAACCGGACGCTGGGAGAACTCTCTGCCAGAGCGACTTGCTCAAAAATGGACCATCGTGGCGTGGGAAATTGGGGTCGTAGTCAGCCTTCCAGAAATCACTAAACGTACCCAGCACCAAGCCGGCGCTAAGCTGTGATTGAGTCAATTCGAGGAGTATCAACTTGCCTCCTGGTTTGAGAACCTTACGGATGTTCAAGAGTGTGCTCTTGATATCCGATGTGGCGTGAATGACATTGGAGGCAACAACAACATCCCAGTCTTGTTCGTAGCCCTGAGACTCGCCGCTCTTCTCCATATCAAAGGTTCCGAACGTCATCCCTCCGTAGCGGGAAAACCGCTCTTCGCCACTTGCCAGGAAAGACGGCGTGGTATCAGTAAACCTGTACTCGGAATACTGTCGCCATGCGCTGTCACCCTTTAGCGCCGGGAGAATCTCGTTTGTCGCACTGCCAGTGCCGGCGCCGACTTCCAAGATCCTGATGTCCGGGTTTTGATGCGCCAACAACGCGACTGCAGCGGCAAGACGCCGATTGCCCTCCTTGTAGACTTGCCCCGTCTCGTAGTTGTCGAGAAGCAAATTGTCTTGCAGGGCGACCTGGATACCCGTCATCTCCTCGCTATAGATGGCAGGCAGATGGTTGTAGAGGTGGCACATCAAGCGGGCTTCAGAGGATAGTGGCTTCAGGGCGCTGGATATGCGCTCAATCTCCTGGGCTCTATGGTCATCGCTATACGCCATAATAGATGATGCGGGGGAGTCCAAGTCCGTTGCTGCAATCGCGAGCTTCTCTGTAGTCCAGTCGAGCAGTCTTTGTAGATGCGGCTGCTGTGAACCCCTTTCAAAGACATCGGAATGTGTTACTTTGAAGTGAATCAACTGGTGTAGCGCCAAGTGATTGAGAGAAGGGATGACAGCATCGTCGCTCAAAACGACGGGAGGGAACAGGTGTGCCATGATTTGTGAGCTGAGGTAGCCAAAGTCCGGTTTCCACTCTATGCGCGTATACGGACTTGACTCCTCGATCAGTTTGGGGGCAGCTTGGTCAGACGCGGTGAGGAAGACGTTGGTTGCATCCAAAACCCGCCGGCCCTCCGCACCTAGAAGTGTGATGTTGGCTGATAAACCGCGAACACCCATCAGGGTGGCACTCGCAAATGACTCAGCTGAAGTGTGGCTTCGTGCAGCTACACGGGGCCAGACCTTTATGCTTTCGAACGCAGTGGGCATAAAGGCGCGCTTGAACTTAGTAGCCGTATTCTTGTGGGCGGCCAGAATGGACAGTTGCAACGCAGCATCTACTGTGGCAGGGTGCAGGATGTATCGCGACTCTCCTTTCATTGCCTTAGCTGTAGGCTCCAGGCCAATGCGTGCTTGGGTCATGCATGTTTGGCCTATGGCGGAAATATCAGAAAGGCCCTGGAACATTGGGCCGTAACATAGTCCTGCTCTAGCGAAGCTCTCATACCATTGAGCCGCATTGATGATCTTTTTGGAAGATGCGGTATTCTGAATGGTCGACACCGTGCGGCTTTCGGGAAAATCTAGTATTGTATGTGTTAGGATCGATGTTAGACTTCTTGCCAAAAAGGTTGATCTTGACTTACCGAAGTTCTCGAGGCCTATTTCCACCCTTCCACGGCAATGCTCGACGAAGATGTCAACGCCTTCCTCATTGACCACCGACGTTAGTGTAAAGTCATGGAGCCACTTATGCCGCGAAACGGAGTTCAGTGATGTAGGCCGAAGGGTAAGCAACGTTTCGACCCCAAAATCATCCTCGGGGACGATGAGGGCTGTTGATAAGCTCACGTCTTGAACATCATAGTACTCCACATCGGAAGCGAGCAAACCTTCGGCTTCGACTATCTGTGTTGCTGCTTCAAGAACCATGCTAATGTAGCCAGTTGAAGGGAATACGACATCCTTTCCGAGCTGCAAATTCGCCACGTCAGCTATTTTGGTGCAACAGATGGGCTAGAAGAGAAACACTTACACGGTGATCCGCCAACCATGGCACATTCTTCACAGCTAGCTTATTCCTCCATAATGGCTCAGCTTGGTTCGTGCCTGGTATTCTACTTCCGAGAATATCATGACGCGGATGCGTACGCATTCGCCATTCTCTTGTGTAGCGGTTCTCATAGAGAAGTATTTCATCAGGATACTGCCACTGGTACCGAGGTAAGTCCGTGATAACCTTCCCGAACGAATACTGGTTTCCCCCTCGGTTTTCTGCAGCGTTCACTCGAGCCAGATCAACATCGTATCCCTTAGTGAATAGGTTACCAGCTAACGTCAGTATGTCCTTGACATTATCGCTGTTCCTGGAGATGGCCGAGAGGTATGCAGGGAACTTGCTAGCTATATCCATCGACTTGGCAAGCTGGAGAAGAGGCCCTTTGAGTGCCCCATGAGGGCCAATTTCCACTAGTATATCCACGGGGGCCCGCGTGACTAGTTCTGAGACTCCTTGATGGAACAGCACAGGCGACTCGAGGTTTTGACGCCTGTTTACACACTGGGGTTAGTATTTACTGTAAGAACCAAATTTTCGTCCGATTTTCGGGACCATGCAGGAGCAATGAGGCCAGAAACCTGCCGAAAGAGGAAATAAAAGACTCCAGAGAACTAACCAGTATCGAGATCCCAGTGCTGACCAAGGCGCCGCGTGCCCATAGACCGATGAAAAGAATATCGCTTGAGCCTGTCTAGATTTAGACTGCTTTTTAGTAACTATATGAGTCGCATCCTTTTTCGGCATGTGTATCTTCAGATTTTCTTCGTATTGCTGCCCAAGAGCGCGCATGTGATCCGAGTGGTATGCGTTGTTGCTGGTCTGAAGTGTTCGGCAAAAGATTCGCTTTTCATCCAAAACAGCCTTGAGCTCTTTCACAGCGTCAGCATCACCGCTGAGAGTGTAGCTTTCGGGGGAATTATGGCATGCAACGGCAATCCTTCCATCAAAGACATCTACTAGAGGCTGGATTTGTGAAATATCGCCGCCTACTGCCATCATAAGACCTGGGGTTCTATTGTGGGCCACCGCTTTACCACGGAGGTATGCCGCGACAATGGCCTCCTTCTCTGTCAGGAGGCCGGCTGCATAACCCGCAGCTATCTCTCCAGAGGAGTGGCCAATTACGGCTTGCGGTCGGATGTTCCACTGATTGAGGAGATTGACGAGAACGATCTGCAAACCAGTCACCAACGGCTGTGATAGCTCTGCCGTGTGTACCCTGCTGTGCTCGGGGTCTTCTTTGAGAACCTCTTCGATACTCCAACTTCGACCGAATTCTTCGATTTCGTCAATGTACTTGTCAAGTCTTCGCACTGTTGCAAGGCAGCTAGGATACTCAGCCATCAATGACGCTCCCATGCTAGGCCATTGAGCCCCCTGGCCTGTGAAGACGAAGCCCAGAGTCGGTGCACCCGAGGCAGGTATTTTCACAACGCTGGGCTTCTCACTGGGGAGCTCACTGTCGACATCATCGACTCCTTTGATGATGAAGGATCGGCTCTGGAGTCTGCTCCGCCTTGCGCTCAGCGTGTAGGCAATATCAGCAATGTTCCACTGATGAGATCGCCTGGTCAGTGCAATGTAGTTCGCATGTAGTGTCCTTTCATCATGAGCTGAAAACGGAAGGATGAACTTGGTTTTGGTTTGTGCCGCGCGCACCACAATGCCACTACCGTTAGCATGACCATTTTTCGAGTGGCCGTTAGTGTGGCCGTTCGACTGACCATTACTGTGTCCGTTCTGGTTTCCGTTTGTATACTCCTTCGGGTAGCCGTTGGCATGTCCATTGGAGTAACCGTTAGTGTGACCGTTTGAAAGGGACATGTCACTGATCGGTGATGAGTGTTCCTGGGTTCTGCCTCGAACCGACGAGATTGTTTTAGCATGAGCTTCCTTACTAATCTGATGACGAGATCGATAGCCAGGGAACAATGCATCAATAGATTCAACAATAGCCTGCATGTGCCAGATTGTCAGACACATTCGTTGCATCACCAGAAGTACAACAGGTGACTCACATGAGCATTGGAACCTCCGTATCCAAATGAATTGATACTGGCTCTTCGAATGGGTAGGTCAGGCCATGGTGTGCTCTTAGTGACGATCTTCAGTCTTCCGTCCTTTAAGTCCACATTGGGATTGAGAGTCTCAATTCCTATTGTGGGTGGTATTATGCCACGCTCAACGGCTAATACAGCCTTCATCACGCCAGCGATACCACTTGACGGCTCGCTGTGACCCATGTTAGATTTGATAGATCCGATCAAAAGCGGCATGGAACTCGTTCGCGTGTCGGCAAACACTCTCCCGATGGCGGATACCTCGATCGGATCACTAGTGTTTGTTAGATCTTGACACGAATGAAGTGAATGGTTCATCTGCTGAGAACTAACCCGACTGGGGTGCCTGTTCCGTGGCATTCGAAGTAGCCAGTCAATGACGTGTCTAGTCCTCCGGCACGCTCGTATGCCCGCCGTATACAAGCCTCTTGCCCATCGGGGCTAGGGTGCGTGATGCCACCGGTCCTCCCGTTGGCATTGAACGCAGTCCCCCGAATGACGGCACGTATAGGGTCACCATCCGCTACCGCTTGTGATAGCCGCTTTACGAACAAAGCTCCGATGCCGTCTGCACGGGCATATCCATCAGCTGGAAAGCAGTATGGTCAGCAAACATGAGAACGAAAGACATGTGGCTGATCACTTACCGCGCGAATCAAATGTGTGACATACTGAAGTGGGCGAGACAGCCCCCAACACAGAAGAAAACATTTGACACTCAGGGGTAAGGATCAAATTGGTCCCGCCCACAATTGCTGCATCGCAGTCTCCCGTCTGGATGGCGGAGCAGGCCAAATGCAGAGCGTAGAGAGAGCTAGAGCAAGCAGTATCGAGAGTCATGGAGGGTCCCTTGAGGTTGAAGACATAGTTGATACGATTGCTGAGAATGGTGATGCCGCTTCCTGTCACGGAATAAGGTAAGGCATTCTCGGGGTCACGATAATGCATCAGCTGGTGATCGTAGTTAAAGTTGCCTACGAATGTTCCGGTGTTGGAGCCTGATAGCTTATGGAGAGGAACCCCCGCAGATTCAAACGTTTCGTAAACGACTTCTAGGAACTTTCTCTGTGCTGGATCAAGTGTGAGAACTTCTTTTGGATGGATGCCGAAAAAGCTGGAGTCGAACTGTCGCACATCGGAGTTGAGAAAGCAACCGCCTTCGGTCTTGAATGAGCCAGGTCTGTTGCCATCGGGATGATAGAAAGCATCGCTGTTGATTCTATCCTTGGGAAATTTACTGTACGAGTTTCGCTGAGCTTCTAGATAATCCCATAACTCGGATGGAGACTCGGAGTCGCCAGGCCAACGACACCCTGGTTCCTGTCATCAGAAGTCTGTGTCGGCTTGCGTGATAGTTAAGGGGCTAACTTACCCATCCCTATTATCGCAACCGGCTCCAGGCCATCAGAGAAGTGAGGTTCGGTTGCACCGAGTGGCGCCATCTTGGGATGATATTTGCTCGAGTTGATCGAGAAGATAGATGTGCTATAGAGACACTAGAGTTTATCAAAGAACATATATGATAGATCAAGTCGGAATCTAATTCGATTGACCCAAGAGAAGGTACGGTGTAAATCTATCAGCGACTCCTTCGACATTCAACTAGGTGTAGACAAATCAGTTCCTATGGTGAATCAACTGGGAGAGGAGGCCTTTATGATTCATTTGAATATAGATTCAGACAGATAGACCTACCATACACTAATGTGATTCGCTTAATCACCGTAGTTAGGAAGCAAAGCTTTTGTGTAGAATAGTAAGGGCTGTGCAGCTGGTGGCTGCAATACATCGCCCCATACCTATTCTGCCATACTAACTGAAGTACCTCCATCCTTCATGTATTATATCCAGCTTATACATATATTTACTATATCCAGTCTTTTACTCTTTTAGGTAGGTTGGTACGGAATATAGTCAACACTGAGAAACCTCATGACAGTCACGTCTCAGCACCTACGAACTGAGCATCCTACTGCTCTCGCGCACACCTATTATGACCTTGCCCATGACTAGTACCTTAATCCATCTCGTGACCAAATGTAGAAAGTTGATAACGTCGTCCCAACACCAAGCTATAGTCAAAGCGGTGTCTTACATCTCCTTAGCTCTGCTGCAAGTAGAGTCAAGAGATAGTCAGCTAAGCTTTGACTTCCTCCTTGTCCTACCTCTCTATCGAATTTCTGACAGATCCGCAGCCTGTTGATTTCCATCTTGATGACCAATGAAGCAATACATGCAGAGGAGCCGAGTGCACAGGCCACTAGGGGCACAGTCGCAGCGTAGCAAAGGTATTGTAGGACACTTGGTTGTGTATTGTCACATCCCGACCGCAGTTCGTATGGACATTCGTATCACAGCTGTCCACGATACCAACGAACGTGATTCGCTGCACACCCCAGTAGTAAGGAGACGAAGTATAGATAAGCTCGAAATGTTTTGACTAATGTCAACAATACTAAACACAGAACGTTTACTAAGGTGTATGTTCACGCAGTGGTTGCGCCGGCTGCACGACACGACGATCACATGACTGATCCGTGAGAATTCCGAGCGCAGGGGGCAGTCATGCTGCAAGATGTGAGAAATTCGACTTATGTTCCTTGCTGTTATGACGGCATGAGTGGCTCGCGATGTCATAATCTTGTCGTACTAACCTACATAGACGCATGGTAAGAAAACGATGTTGGTCTAAACTGCATTCTGTTCATTCTGACACTGCATTAGGTTTTGCAAAGATGATGTTTCTCAAAGCCAGCTTTTCCGATGGTAATCATTCACGCTTGCTGCCAATCTACCTAGGTATTATTGTTTCTGTTGCTATAGCAATGTTTTGAATATCCCAATCCCTATCTTCTGTTTGCTCTGATATCAACAAGCTCAGTCAAAACCCATGCTCCAAGTCTTGAAAACTATTATCCTACCTTGATATTATCCACTATCGCGGGTTTAATACGCTTTAAAATATCGATGTCTTTAAGTTGGTTGTTGGTGCTATCACTGGCACTTGCACTCGCGGGTTCAATCCCAGCAGAGAATGAGTCCGCTATCTATCTACCGGAGCTCACAAATCAGCAGCCAATAGCTTGGGGAGCAGGCGATGACTTTAAATCATCTACTGGTACAGAGTATTTGAAGTTGAGCGTGAAGACTGAGCTGCAAAAGCGGCTATCGCAGACAGCTGGCGTCTTCCTCGAGGGAGAAGATGCGTTTTCGGGCCTGGACGCCCGGTATACCAATTATAAAAGACCGGACTACATCGTAGCTGTTCAGGTTGCAGAGGAACAAGATGTTATAGAGACTGTAATGCGACTCGACCTCTTTTTGGTGGATTGTGGTAGCTAATCATGTACAGGTCAACTATGCGCGGGCGAGAGGCATCAAATTCGCAGCTCGTGCTGGTGGTCACAGTCTCACAACTTCCCTGCGGCGCATTCAGCAAGGTATTGCGATCGACATGAGGAAATTGAACAGCGTCAGTTACGACAAGGAGAAGAGACAGATGACTGTTGGCGGTGGTATCACGACGGGCGAGTTCGCCAACGCCACCCATGAACAGGGCATGGAAGTTAGTGAGTGGTTTTCCAATGCTGCCGTGTTGGATATTCATTCTCAGAAATCACAGCTGTGGGGTCGTGCCCCTGTACCGGTGTGCTCGGTGTCTCGCTGGGCGCGGGTATCGGTCGACTTCAAGGGAAGTATGGCTACTTAAATGATAACATGATTGCTGCTCGCCTTCTTCTCGCCAACGGGACGGTCATCGTAGCATCAGACAGCAGCAACCCGGATCTCTTCTGGGCCCTTCGTGGCGCAGGACACAATTTTGGCATCGTACTCGAGGCAACCTACCAAGTGTATCCCCAGCTCAACAACGGTAAGCACTTCATCGCGGACTTCGAATTTGGCCTGGACAAGGTAGAAGAAGTCTTCGAGACCATCAACGCGATTGCAGACCCGATGCCCCAAGAAGTGGCAATATTTGTCATTGGTCGGCGTCGGGGAGCAAATGGCAAGGTCAGTCTCCTACGTGTTAATGCAATTCTACCCATCGTAGGTATTTCAGAAATTCTGACTAATTCTTCTTCTAGCCAACACTTAATGTGAACATCGTATACTCGGGTCCCGAGGAAGAGTCCGCACCCTTCGTCAAGCGATTTGATGCAATTTCACCCGTCTGGAAAGACGCTAAGGTTGCCACATGGGATGCTCTACCATGGGCGACATACAACGGCCTAAACAATGTTCTCTGCACCCCTCAAGGCTGGGCCAGATTTCCGATCAAGAACTTCTATGGAGCCAACGTGAAGCAGTATGACATTCCGACAATGCGCTCGTACTTTGATGGTTGGAGGGACATGAATGCGAAGTATGATGGCGATGCCATGTTCAGCGTCATGTTCGAGTCATTCCCTCAACAGAGAGTTCGTGAGATACCAGATGATCAAACGGCTTATCCATGGCGTCATGGGTCTCAACATTTCCTGTAAGCCATGACTATCCAGCTCTTTACAGCTCGATCCGCTCACACCATTGTCACTAGTATGATTGAAGCAGCTTACAAGACGCCCTCAAACGAGGATGCCTTTGACAAGTGGTTATCAAGCCAGCAGGACAGATTCGTAGAAACATCGGGCTACGGGCGCTTGCAGCAATACGTTAATTATGGGCATGGCTCCAAAGACCCCCCAGAAGCGCTTTATGGCTACGAACCATGGCGATTGGAGAAGCTTAGGCGTCTGAAGCAGGAATTTGACCCGGAAGGTTGGTTTAATGGCTATCAGCCCTTCGTAGAGGAATCTGAGCTATGACCATGAACAGTGCACTTTACCACGACATACGGAGGCCACTAAGTTGGGGCTCCTGAGAATGAGATGCTACATTCCGAACATATTGGGTCACGCGACAGCACCTGATAACCGCTACTCACAGCCAAAAACATAGCTCGGGATGTGTAAAGCGGACAGTCTTACAAGCAATATTGTCATGTAGACACCGTGAGATGCTTGGAAATCGCGGTGGACTCTCGTCGCATTACGACGCAGTCATACATGAGGGGTTATAGCCATTAAAGTAAAATCATCTTTTACCTGATTAGTGGAATTCGCACCGAGAAATCTATGTTACATAGGTACTGTCAGACTACAATGGCTTTTGGCAAGGCTTGTGTACTTTATCGTACGTTTGAACTTTTCATATAGTGTGACTTTCTATGGTATAGGTGAGTAATTACCTAGGCACTCCAAAGTGCCATCTAGAAGAACCCTCAGGTTGACGTGCTGTTGAATCTGACTGAAGACACTACATTGGATTTCGGCGACTGTAATCTTGAACACACTTGCACCCTTCATTACACTACTGACCACGCGCCGAGATTGCATCAGCCAGGTCACCATATCTGACTCTTCAGCGCCCTGCCGGGTGTCGTTCTGTCACTCTCGGAGTTAAGAGCACATACTTATGCGGGTTCGTCTGACATAGGCCTGACATGTCAGAAGTGTCAGGAATGTCAGACTGACAATATGTGGTCAGATTGGTCACGGTCAGAACGAGCCCAGTCGCCAGGTTCCTTGGCTGCCTGAACAGGACAAGCGATGCAAATTAGATTGCCACCAGCTATGGACCCCGAAGAATAAGTTGCGGGGGAAGATAATTCTGGGCTAGCTACAGTAGGTATTGTATGATACCCAAGAAACAAGGCTCAGAATGCCCACTGCCGACACCAATGCTTCATGAGCACGGGTGTGATCACCTCCATATCCCGCATTGTCTGACTTCTACCTTTTGCCCTTGACACGTCGAATATCACAGGTCGCGCCTCTCTACCTCTCAACATGGAGCGATAAGAGTCAATCAGCTTGAGACCTGGATTGTAGGTTCGCGCCATATCGGAAACTGTCCCGTCTAGTTCCTCACTGCGTTCCAGCCGGTCAATCCACTCTTCGAAACTGACCAGCTCTTTGATACGCTCACCGTAGAATTGCTGCACGCTCGGCACAAGGTCGCCCCACGTGCACGTGGCCGGATTGACGCCACTGTAGTAGCCAGTCATCTTCTCCATCGGTGCATTAACGCCCTCTAGGCCGGCGATCTCCAGGACCAAGCTAGCCGCTCTTTCGATAGGTATCCAGTCAATCAGGTCAGCTTGCCCTAGCTCTTCAGGTAGTGAAGAGATGTGCAAGCTACTGGCGATGATGCTCGGAAGCCACTCAGTTTTATTCCAACATGCGCTTCCTGCATCTGACTCGGGCCCTGCGATTTGCCCAAATACTATGGAAGCGGCTGGGAAGTCACCTGCGATACTTGCATCTTCGAGTATCAAGCTCGCAAGTAGCTTGCTTCGTCCGTACCCACTAGTAGGTAGGCTCATATCATCTATCCGCGCCTCGGGCACGGGTCCTTGCTCAGGGTTCCAACAGGCCACAGCGGAAACAGAGGACATGAAGAGGATGGAGACCCTCTTGGTTGATTCAGCTGCAAAGTCGCACAGGCTTCGAACACCGCGCAAGTGTGGCTCGAAAGTCTCAATTGAGTGATTAAAGTTGACGGGCCATGCGCTGTGAATGATGTGATCGGCTTCGCTCAGCAAGTGCTTGTATACAGTATCGGAAAGCCCAAGCCTTGGTTTTGACGCCTCCATGTGAATAAACTCGGTTTTCTTTGTGTACCGCGATGTCAACCCACGATCTGCCATGGCTTTCAATTGCTGCCCGGCGCCCCCATCTTCTGCCCGGTTCAGGCAGATTATCTTAGCCACCCTGGGACTGTGAAAGAGACGGTCCAAGACGTAGGATCCTAATGCGCCAGTAGATCCTGTTAGAAGGACCGTCATTTCATCGCGTGACGCCTCAGGCCGTACGTCTTTCGCAGCAATCAGATCACTTGTGTATTTAGTGTAGAAAGTCCGCATAAAGTCGACATCGGCTGGTTGGACGCCCTGCACTTGTGTATCTATTAGACTGAGTAAAAACCTGCTGAGGCGCCGAGGAGTCGGATTGTTGTATATGGCTCGTGGGGAGAGCAATGTTGACTGGCTACCTCCTCCGGCGGCTTCAAGACTGGCTCGAAGTTTCCTTGACAAGTTCACGACCTGCAGCGAGTCCATGCCCAGAGAAAAGAAATTCGTGTCGGCCGTCAGCCCTGGTATCCGCACGTATGGTACCATGAACTCGACAAGTGATTCGGGTAGGGAATCCGGACTCAAATTAAACATCATTGTGCTTGAAGATAGCTGATTCTGTGCCTCCTGGTAAAGCATCTCGATTTCTTTTGCGAGACTGGCGAGCGTTGCAGCTCTCTGCACCGTCCCTTTACCAGTCCTGAGGAATGGTCGTTCGGGAGGTGATAATGCAATAAAGTCGCGACTGATTTGTGCGTGCGACGATGTTTCTGAGTTGGCCTTTTCGACATAGGGCCACAAGCTATCAAGTATCGCTGTCTCTTCCTCCTTGCTATGAGGTGTTGCGGAGGGTTCTATCAATAGGCCAGGTTGAAATCTGTTTGATCCGACGACGAGTGCGCCCTTCACTTGCGGATGGCTTTGAACAATGCCTTCAATTGTCGCGGGGTTCAGCTTTTCCCCATTAGAAAAAACGATGATGTTATCTGCGCGACCGTAGTACATCCAGTGATTTGGAAGCTCCGGATGTGGCTTGTATAAATCGTTTGTGCTGAACTCCTCGAGCTCGGGGAATGTGTAGAAGAAGCCCTGCATTCCTGGATGCTTGTCTTTACGCACAACGACAAGTTCGCACACGGTGTCATTTTCATCGATCTTCCGCCATTCGCAGCCAAAAAGATCCGAGTTTATTATGAAGTATTGCCAAAGCTCGGGCTTCGGCTGGTAGTATAACGGAAAGGGGGTAAATCTGTTTCTAGTCAGATTGTATCACACAAGGATAAACCTGGTATTTTCGCTTACTCAGTCGAGTTTATAAGATTGAACAACTTGATTCTCTTCTCTGAGAGACTATTGCCAACCTCTCGAGCTAGGCTGCCTGTTCTTATCAGTTGAAAGGAAACGACCGGGGATCAAGACTTAACAACCTCCTGCAATTGGGACAAGGTGGAGCTTCCTCAAGGCTTCAACGCAACCCGCATCTTGGCTCATATCTTCCAGTATAGATGGTGGTAGCACAGCTGATTCTACCTCCAGATGTTCAAGGCACTCCATTGTGAGATCAGAAGTCAATGGCCTGTCGCCAAGTCCCAAAACTACTGGGACTTTCCACCAGATGACATTCAAGACGAACACGTAGAGCGCCGCGGCGTGGAACAAAGGCATCTGGAAAGATTATAAGTCATCTCATCAACTTTGATACTAGCGCCCTTACTGGTACGAAATGTCGTTTAGATGTCTCGGCCCAGGCGCGGACCCAGTGGGTTGAGCCCTGCCATTCCCCCAGATTATGAACTGCATCTCCAATGGCAAGCATCCCCTATAAGATCTGTCAACATCCTTTCCGATTCAAACGAGTGATCTCAGGCAAGAAATCCACATTCTTATCTAGCGCACATACATGTCTCGCGGTGATTGCTTTGGGCAGTCCGGTACTACCACTGGTGTGTAAGACCTAAACCCCTGGAGTCAGTAATTTCTTGTTCAAGAAGGAGCTCAGCTCTGAAGACATGTCTTTGGAGTCTGTTGCAGGAGCCCTCGCGTATAAAGACTCCCGGAATATGTCTTTAGAGTTAGGATCTTGCCATAAGCACCAATTTAGGACTCCAGGGATATACATACACAAAGAGGCTCGAATTCGGCGTCTTCAAAAGTCTTTTTGTATGGAAAATGGGGTACTTTATCGCGTGGAAGCCATTTATCGATGTCTTCCACTTGAATGATTCTCATTTCTCTCTGCAACGACCATGTCTTCACGGCCGGCAGATAGGATTCGGTGCAGAAAATGATATCGCAGCTCGTCTGGTTGAACAGGGAGAGCTGCCCCTCTAGTGAGTTTCGCGGGGATATGAACAAGGCCTTATAAGTAGTTAATTATACAGCTCTGTTTACTAGAGTTATCTACCATGATAGGGACTTCACCTGATACCCGGCCTTCACAGCTGCGACCATGAATATGACGTATCTCGCGTCTTGGGGACCAATGTAGGCAAGCGTCGGAAACGAACGGGCCGGCGCAGTTCCGCATGAGTTCACGATGGTATGAGCACACAGGTTCACGGCGTTACAGTAGTCCTTGAACGTGACTATAGACCAGCCATCTGAAGGTTGATCCGACCGGGGAATCTGAAATGCTTCGCGGAGCGGTTCGGTGCGAGCAATCTCATCAATTGTACTAGGTACTAAGCGGCGCCCATACATGGGTCTTGCCGGCGGTTCAGACTCTGAGCGCATTGCGCGATGAAGCAAGTAATTACACATCCGTTGAGGGTAGCTATCACCTTGATGCGGGGATGGGCGATTCCAATATCTCAAATAATCTTATATCCTATGTCGCGATCAATCACCACCAACGATGTCAAGGTACATGTGTCTCCTTTCGCTGGTACTATCTCCGTCATCTAGCGCCAAGGAGAGCCCAGTTTGGAAACACACACCCTTACGTGTCCAATGAAAACACAATCTTGCCTTAGCGGCGGTAATAACATCACTCAAAATCAGTAGTAGTAATGGCCGAGGACGCAGTTAACTGGATGAGAGCCGTTAATCCCATATTGCTCGGCATGCCAGGGCTTCGGCGTTCTCTGGATATCTATTGGAGCGGGTTATGTCCTCAAAAGTACTGACTCCACTGTCAGAACGATGTATGTGTAAGGATTGGGGCAAAGGAATCGACTTGGGCAGGGATGACTTACAAGATGTCTGTCAGAGTATGAAGCTGACAAGCTTGGGACACCGACTAAAATGGCAATCAGCTTGCCTGCATGAATACTCCAAGTTTCCTTAAAGATGAGCAGGTCATAGCATAATCTATACGGGAAAGGAGACAGAAACTCAATCCTCGAACACTTGCAACGTTCAACCAGCAAAGTTCTTATCATTCACCCAAGATGACTAAAATGCAGAAGCTGTGTGCTTCGGTGCACGCCTTGGCTTCACAACTGGCATCAATGTCCTCTCCAGATGTCGCATATTCTCTAATCCAACAACGAGCCGAGTCTTGCCGATATTACGCGCCCGAAATCTCGAGCCATGGCACCTTGACATTCACCTACCCATCTCCCAATATCACGAGAGCAACAATTAACAATGGTCCTGTGAATTTCGTCGACCGCAACTTCGCCGACGATCTGCTTGATTTCCTCATCCCGCTCCAAAATGTGACAGACTCTACCCCCAAAGTTGTCATATTCGATTCATCGAACCCCAACTTCTGGCTCGGCCACATCGACATGACTTCTCTCAAGACGCCCATAACAGATGCCAAGAAGCAGCTGGGCGCTGACTACATCAAGTTCACGCAGCTGCTCCAGAACATCACCTCCACCATCTTCATCGCCGAGATTGACGGGCGCGCGTTCGGAGCCGGCAACGAGATTGCGGCGCAGATGGACATGCGCTTCGTTGGGCCTCGTGCGCGCACGGGCTCGTTCGAGGAGGCCCTGGGTCTCATAGCCGGTGGTGGCGGCCAGACCTTCATGGGCTCCATCTTGGGCAAGGCCAAGGCGCTCGAGTACTTGCTTGCTGCGAAATCATTCACCGGACCGGCGGGTGAAGCTCTGGGTCTTTACAATAAGTACTATGATGACTCGCAAGCGCTCAAGGACTCAGTGCTGGAACTGGCCCAGCGGATCGCCCTTTTCCCGCGAGTGGCGTTGAACCAAACGAAGTCAGTACTGAGCTTCCTGAATCCGCCGAACGATGCTTTCCAGCTTGACTTCGAGGCTTTCTACGACATCGAGCAGGGCCCAGAGCAGCAGGCCAATGTCAGGAAGTTCATTGAGCTGAGCGAGGGGCAGTCGGCGAATCATTATGAGCTGGGCTTGGGTGACAGTGTCATGGCATTGTATGATCTTTGGGACGGATCGGTGTAACATGGATGGCATAAGGAATAATCATTGGACCAAATGGGAATCACAATGATACGGCCCTGGTGCCTTGAGATACTTCCGTCCGAAAAGCAGATAGTTTTTCTTTGCGCTCAGTGTAGAATTAATCCTAGATTTAGCGACAACTCATTGACAATCACTAACGCCCCATGGCAGAATCCTTAAATAACACACTCCTACACTTTAATGATACAAAAGACCAGTCTCACACCGCTCCACGCCACACATAAAACCAGGTGTCGATGAGTGCCATGTTTTTATTTTTCATTTCAAGTGCAATCCGAACGTTTGCTCGTCTTAAATCCTCCCAAGAAGAAATTATAAGTTCGTCATGTTTTCTTCTGTTTAGGAGTCATACTACGCGTATCACATGCCAACGGCATATTCTTATGGTGACAACTGGAATACTGAAGGCTGTATTGAAGCTTTTGCTTTGGTCTGATTACGATAGTGTGGATTCCACTATTGCCACCTTGACCACCCCGTTGATAACTAAAACCGCTGCGACATGACGGGATATTAGTTCTTATAAGCATTATATCAGAGCTCCCCTGCATTCCAAACAGTCTCAATAACATCATCCTTCCCTTCTTCGCACGCGGGACCCGGCAAGACCTTACTGAACCTATAGTCAATGTAGGAGATTGTATCGCTATTGTCCGAGGGGGCAATGCGAATGTTGGCCACGAAAGTTGACTTTGTAAGCTCTGCATAAGGCCCCGAAGCCTGGAAAGTCCAAGTGGTGAATGTGTCAAGTTCACCCCAGCGCGTAGGTTGCACATCAGTCTCGTTAGCCATGATGGCTTGGACATGCGGGGTGTTGGCTAGCAAGCCTTTGCCGTACAAGCCCAGATAGTGGTTGTCGTCGGTGCGCAAGATTCCTTGGGCATTGAGCGTGTACGGCCCGTCGGCCGAGCCGCGCACGTTGAAGTCGTCCATGTGCACCGTTGTGGCGTTGAGAAAGGGCTCGAAGCCCGGCACCGACACCAGCGTGCCAACACCGTTGCCGTTGGACCATAGTCCGCCGGTCGGCAACTCTCCCATGGGGTACAGCGACCATATACGGAGCTAGATGATTTAAAATTCGAAGATTAGCGTAATGAGTTGATTTTTGTCACCGCAAAGAAGATTACGGAACTGACTTTGAATACCATCGCTGGCACCAGCGTGTTGAACCCGCACTTCACCATGATGAACAAGTATTTGCTTCGACGTTTGGCGCTTGCTTGACAGGGGACAGTGTATGATGATAGCACATTAACATTAAATTGAAACCTTCATTGGGTGTGAATATTGGTACTGGTATTAACTCTTCATACAAAACGGGGATGGTCTCATGTGTGGAAACATTTGCCCATTGGCGCCGAAACTACACTCGACCCATCTACAACGTAGGTACTGAGAACTTGCAAACGATGCGCAAGTACCCATCATTGCAGAACTCAGTGTCAGATCTGACAAGAAGCGCTCCTTTGCATACAGGGGCGCGGTTGGACCGCAGGTCAGAATGTCAGGAAGTCAGACTGTCAGATTGTCAGAAATATACCCTCAACACATAGTGGGACGAACATGCGGAGATTGGAGCTATTAATTCCGTGATTCTCGGCATTATCAAATTCCTAAACGAGATTCCTTCTGTTCACTGCGTCGGAAGATTTGTTCGCTCGGACTACTAGCCCTCAAGCAAGCATAGGACAAATCACTATCTCAACCATCCTATGACACAAATCATTGGATATCGATGCTGAAAAGTGCTTGAAGTTGAATTTGCCTCAAATTTAGTGCAGTCTTTTGATTTCATCCTATACGCGCCCAGCATGAAGAAACCTGGATAGGCATTAGAACAATCTTGGATTTGCAGAAATGCTGACGCGAAAAGCGACAAGAACACACTGTTAACATTAGGGGGTTAGAATTCAGTCAAAGGAGATTGAAAGAGTCTATTCGCATTGATCGCACTTGGCTTGTTGTAGTATTGTCACCTAAGGGAATACATATCAGACATAGACCCAACTCGAGGTCATTGCTGCTCGGTCGCAGACCGAACGATAAGATGAGCTAAAGAAATGTCTAACTTGATTATCAGTCTTTTTATGTGTGGGCACAGTTAGAAGTTTGTGCTTTTTGAGCTTACTTCGCGTAGAACACGGGTAAGTCCTCGGTGACTGCACCTAATTCGCACACAAATGCCCTTAAAGCACATCCACACTATGAGCTTCATGCACGTTGCACGAGCCACTGATAGACATGCGATCCTTATAGTCTCACGAGCGCTTCTCCAATCCCTCCTTGACCCTAATCCTCACCATCGGGCCCTCCTCGAGCGAGGTAAACACGTCACGCTGCTCATGGATGAAGTGCCCATTTCTCGTATCAATACCCGGCAAATTCCCCGTCCACCGGCCACTCCCAGGCCCATCAATAGGCTCCACCTCAAACTGATAAAAGATGCGCGCGAGCACAAACGTCATCTCGCGCATCGCCAGATTCCTGGCGATGCAGTGCCGCGGGCCGATCGAGAAGGGCTGAAAGGCTGTCGTTGCCAGCTTGACATCCTCGGCACTGTACCCAGTCTTGCCGTCCGCGATCCAACGTTCCGGGATGTAGTCGTGCGGTTGCACAAAGTACTTGGCGTTGCGGAAGATGGTGAAATGCGGCACCGACACCCACATGCCCGCGGGGATCTGCTCTCCCGTCACTTGGATCCCGCCCGCGTCTACTACACGCGGGATGCTCGACGGTACCGAGGGACAGAGGCGCATGGATTCGTCGAGGCAGGCGCGCAGGTATTTGCAGTTCTCGGCTGTGTTGGGGTGGATGTCTTCGAGGCGCGGGAAGCACTTGACCAGTTCGTCGTCGAGTTTGCGGCGTACGCGTGGGTGGTTGGCTAGATAGAAAATAGCCGTGTTGATGGCCGTCGTAGAGGTATCCGATCCTAACAAAGTGTAAGTTGCCTTGTTATTCAGTTCTTAGAGTCACTCACCGGCCATCATGAGCAGAGTCGCCTCGCCAAGAAGTTCGTTCTGGCTATACAACGTTCCGGTCTCATCGTCTTTGTTGTTGATGAGATGAGCAAGAATGTCTTCATAACCCCGCTCCTCAACAGCTTCCTTATCGTTTTCGAGATTATCGCGGTCTTTGATACGCTTTTCGGTATAATGTCGTGTGTATTCGCCAAGTGCATGGGTTGCCTTGAAGAGATGTGGAAAAAACACTCTGTCAAGAGACAATTTCTTGAGTAGAGGCTCTTGGCCGACCTTGAAAGCCATGAGCGTGTGGGCGACTTCCATGCAGAGGAGGGATAGCAACTAACCATATAGATCCGAACCGCTCGTGCATGCACATTAGCCATCATCTCCACGCCCTTCCCAGCGATGAAGCCAAACGGCTCTCCGAAGCAGAGACCACCCATGATGTCAAGCATAAGATAGTTGATCTCGTCTGCCATGTTGAAGGTTCTCCACTGCCCGTCGGCAAAATGCGGAGCTTGTCCGCCATTCATCTTGACGGATAATTCGGCCACTTTGGACGATATGAATGGTGCGTAGTTCGGTAGAGCCTTAGTGCCGAATGCCTTACCCATAATTCGACGCTTTCTGCGGTGCTCTTCTTTATCTGCTGTGTTGAAGACGTTCCGAGCATGCTTGTTGACCCGAAAGGCCGCGTAGAACTCTTCCGGTTTCGACACATTCTTGTTAAACCCGTATATATCTGATAGATGCGTGTGTAAGTAAGAATGGTATATTTGAGGCGTTCCGTAGCTACGCAGCTCGGTGGAGTGAGCCACTTACCATTGAGAGCCTCGACTCTATTGATCGACAGTTTGTTGGGCGAGTAACGCACTATTTCGCCTGAATTATACTATCAGTACCTCCATGGCTCGTCGATGTCCTTTAAAGGGTGCTTCAATACCATATTGGTCATGTAAACGATACATGTAATGGTGAAAATCACCACGCCATGCATAATAAATGACCGGAAGACCGCTCAGTCTAGAAATTATAGGTCCTGGGTATTTGGCGTATGGGTGTATTAGGAGTCGGTACACCACAACAGAGAGTAACTACAGTTCGATCAGACATTCTTGGTTTCGTATAATAAGTAGTGTTATCATTGAAAGCATTCGTGATGCACCAGCCCAAGCCCGACTTTCCGGCTCTCGGGGACGCAGCGATAACTCACATATGCTAGCAGCCCACCGACTGAGACAACCGCAACACTGTTAGCAGTAACAGAGTCAGGTACGTACAGAGCAAAGCTCTGGTGAGGCGGGGTCGTTTTCATGATGGGCAGCGAACAATAGTTCAATGTGAACGATAGTCTCTAACAGTTCGTTACAACTTTCACCTGAGCGAAACAGAATTTGTAGACAAGGGTTTTCCCAAATAATGGAGATAATGATGCTTCAAACTCGGCGTTAGTGAGGCACCGGTGTGGCGAGCTTCTAAGACGAAAGCAACGCATCTTCGCCGTCTTCGCCACCTACCAACCCTGCAATCGCTTTCATGAAGCCGATCTGAAGGGGAGTCTGTAGTCACTCACCTCAGATGATAATTCTCTCGCATAATCGTACAAAATACTCATGGTAGCGGAGATAATGCCGCGTATCTAGCACCGCTTACACGGATCTGATGCAGTCATTGAAGTGACGTATGTTGTATGTTCCCAGCGCGTCCAGAATCCAGGTGACAAGGATGACGAACGCTGTCTTACAAGGGTTGTGTGCTATTACAGCATGACTTGCATTCCATGCGGTAATCTGCAACTGTCAGATGGATGACTTCCGTACCCTTGAAATTTCTCCCGTACCCACAGTCAGAACTCATACAGGTACAGTCATGGGTGTCTCTGCACCGGAAAAATCGGCGAGGCGCGAAACGAGGAAGCGGGTTGCGAGCATGGGTTTTCACAATCGTACATTCGGCCATAATGAGTATGCAATGGTTATCGGCAATACACTGTCGAAGTCCACTAGTTGCCTGTTGTCGTAGCCACAGTCTTCGTCTTTCGCCACCAGCTAGTTTCAAGTAACTACCTATCTCTGCGATTCAAATTGACTGCCGGAAAGGCAAAAGTGTCTCAAGCGTAAAGAGACAGGCGTTTGCACCACCAGTGTGAAGAGATAGTAGCTCTGATCAAGCGAGTTCAACACAAGCCATTATCCAATGGCGTCCCGAATCACACACAACAATGGTGTTCTAAGAACAGAGCGCGAGGTTCGCGATGAAGAACAACAGCCTCTGCTTCCCCCGTCGACGGCGCAAGCCTCAACAGCGCCGAAACCTCCGCCAAATGGAGGCCTTGAAGCCTGGCTAACCGTCCTTGCGGGTTTCTTCATTTTCATGAACTCTTGGTAGGCTTCCTTTTCGACTAGTTATTGTACATTGCGCCATGTGTCATCTAACTTCGGCATAGGGGCCTTTCAAGTACCTTTGGCGTCTTCATAGAACATTATCGAACGCAGCTATTGCCAAACACATCGTCTTCGACCCTAGCATGGATTGGCAGCGTGCAGTCGACATTCGTCACTATCGTAGGACTTGTGACGGGACCATTGACAGATCGTGGCTATCTGCGACCCGTCATGTTAGTGGGCCATTTCATGGTCATTTTCGGCATGTTCATGCTTTCTGAGTCGACGCACTATCATCAAGTGCTGCTGGCCCAAGGGTTCTGCGTCGGGCTAGGCGCAGGGGCGATCAATATCCCCGCCTTTGCCATCATCTCGTCCAAGTTCACGACGAGGCGACCGATAGCTCTAGGCTGCGCTTCAACAGGTGCCAGTATTGGCGGCATCATCTTCCCGCTCATGTTCCGACGACTGGCACCTCAGATCGGCTTCGGTTGGGCAGTACGCAGCATCGCGTTGGTTAATCTGGCCGTCTCCGTCCCCACGCTCCTCATCTTATGTCGCAAGCCAGGTGTGCCGTCTCAGAAGGCGAAGATGATCGTCGACGTTCGAGGCTTCCTCGAGCCGGTCTTCGGCACCTTCGTCGTGGCCCTTTTCTTCCAATTCCTAGCCTATTACATCCCTCTCTTTTACCTCACCACCTACGCGGCCGTCAAGTTAGGCACGGGGAAGGACTTCGCCTTTGACCTCCTGGCCATCAGCAATGCTGCCTCATTTCTTGGTCGCACTGTGCCCTATCTTCTCGGCACTCGTGTCACGCCCATCCAGACGCTCATTTTCTGGGAGATGGTTGGGGTCGCGGTGCTTTTTGGGTGGATGGCCGTCACTACGGTGACCGGCATGGTACTATGGACCATAGCGTGGGGTTTCCTCTCTGGTGTTCTTGTCACCGCGCCCGCCGCGAGCACCGCGCATCCGACTCTAAGTCCTAGTCTGGACGTCATTGGTGCCCGTCTTGGCATGAGCTGGTCCACGGCTGCGGTGGGTGTGCTCATCGGCGCCCCCATTGCCGGCGCGTTGGCAGATATCGCCAAAGCCGACTTTGTGCGTGCTCAGGTCTTTGCCGGGAGCGCTATGGCGATTGCAGTGGTGCTCATGGCGGTGCCTTTGATGGCCGCGCATCGCTTCAACAAGCAGAAGATAACTAGTTAGTAGGATATATGAATAGCATGATGTCAGGGTTCAGAGTCAAGCAGTGTCAAGACTTCTAGATGGGTGGAGAGTGTGTATGCGCGTAGAACATTCTGCGGGTGCTCGAGTCTTCTCCACGCATTCTACACCTTCACCCCTTTTTATAAGGGGGTTGCCAAGGGGCGCTAGCCTAGCTAGGAGTAGAACCAATCATCAACAGACAGGTGCCCTTCAAGCCATGTTCTTCAAGTCTAGTGAGACATATGTGTCTAGTTGAAAAATAAACTGTCGTGATCCCGTGTATAATCAGGCAAACCTAGATGTTGAGCTGTTGTTGCCAGCTTCCAAGTTTGCGTAGTGAACTGGCATGTGACGGCCAGCTGACGACCAATTGTCCGCATAGTAACCTCCGACTGGTGAACCGTGATGAGTCAGCACAGAGTCTCCTGCCGAGTTCTTAATATTGCTAAATAGCTTTCTATCTTGTTGTGTTGCATTTATTCATGCATTGTCGGGGGTCTCAGGACGTAGGAACAAAAAGATACACTCTCTATAATCAGAGAAGTCTGAATGCATTCAGACTTCTGACTTTTTAAACCCTGTGCCACAATGCGAGTCTTACTGTATACCTTGTACAGCCCTTCTGACATGTATTGTACAAAGGTCTTTCCAATACTCTCCTCCTAGCTGAAATTTTAGATGCGGACCCTTATATAAAAAATCAAAATATTATACCTTTAGCACGGTTATTGAGATCATTCCCTATTTAGCTTAAATGCTAGTATTTAATTGAAAAAGCAAGGGAAATATTGAAAACAATCCTCTCTATACTTACAGCTTTCCGAGGATGCAAGTCTTAACAAAACGCTAAACCATATTTCGGAGTCAAGTCAAGGGTTTGTTATCAGTTCTCAAAGCATCATCCAAGTTGCAAGCAAAACTGTGCAAATGCGCATGTGTTGTGTATAGACAAGTACGATAAAACGAATGTACAATTGTGAAAGCTCGACCATTCCCATCATCCCAGGCACACCTATCTATATAATTCCAATCCCTGCCGTCCAGTCCTCATTCTCAGTGTCTATTAGCAAATCCGAAACTAGTAAGAGTTCCGGAAGAGCTCATTGTCCCATAGCCGCGTAATGATCTCCTAGATCACTTTGACGATGGTGGTCATATTTCTGCCGTTCCAGATCTGGGTTCCGACAACATCTTCTGCCTTGATGTTAGGGTTGAGAGAGAGCAGCTTCTCGCCATTTTGGTCTTCGAACTCGTATAATTTCAATGGTGTGCCGCGGATCTGAGCATCAACGAACACGCCGACATCATCAACGCCTATAATCGCATTAGTCAACTTTACTTAAAGAAGTCAAGTTTCGCTAAACACCCACCACGGCGACGCTTCGCGTTCTGGAAGTTACCGTTGACGAGTCTGAACTCGCTCCCATCGTTGTTCATCGCAGCATTCTGACAGAAAGCTGCCCCGCCGTAATTCTTGACGAAAATGTCGAACTGTTGGCCGTTGTTAATTGTCTTGTAGAAGTTGCCTAGCTGGCCACCCTCGCCTGTGTATCACAGTTAGCTCATGGTTGTGAAGTTATATGTCTCTCTGGCGTACTGGAATTCTCCGTGCTATCCACGCAACGGAGAATGGCATTAGCGCCGCCTTCCTGGACGCTCGCAAATGGAAACTCGTCGCATGAGTTGCCATATTGGCTGTAGCCGGTGTTGCTACAAGGTGTTCTGTTGCACCCGGATGCTGTGCGGCGAGGGTTGCGGTTGTTAGTGTTAGAGTCATAGGTCAAGACACCAGGGGCTAAGCCATGATTGACAGCGAAGCAGGCATTGTTGCACGTCCCTAGGGAGTTGGTGCAGTCCCATTCGAAGCTGACGGCTGTGACAGCTGTGATGGTGGCAAAGATCTGGATGAATCGAGAATGCATTGTAAATATGCTAAGCTGAAGGCTTGGATGATGGTCTGGGTTGTTTTTCTAGTGCTCCGTCTTGGCTGTTGTGCTTGTTATCATTTCGGGTCATATTGATGGACCATGCTCGTTCTTATAGATGCTGTTCTCGCTTGAGAATATTGACATTGATACTCAGTTCCATGGATTTGAATCGGATAACACGGCCCTCCGTATCATTGTTGTGAGGCTGTGAGGGAGAACCTGATGGCTCACTTATTTTTAACACTGCGTAGATTCAATCTGTCATTGTTGCAACCTTCAGAAGATCCTGTAAGATCAGTCTACACATGTTGTATTATTTTAATTACATGGCGTGCCGTCCAGCCGATGCTCTATACCTAGTTGAGGTTACATTTTCTCTTACCGGGTTCGGCATCACCATTCAGGCGCATGTACTAGGTTATGTAAAGTGATTGACAAGTAATCTGTGGCACACCGACATCTACTGACACAAGTTTTGTCATTGGCACATCTAGAGGGATTATAAGATAAAAGCCGACTCTGACTCAGAAGTCAACTCACTTGATCAGAGATTCCCGAAGCCCCCAAGTTTCATGTCCATCACTGCATAATAGTGCTGATTATCCCCTTACATAAGGGTCCTTACATAAGATTCATCACCTCCATTGTAGCGCCCATCAATTGTTCGATGGACAAGGCCGTGTTAGGTTTCGGCCCTTTTCACATGATTACGCATGCAGATTGTGGAGTTGTATGAGGAGTGAACCAACGGCAGCTCCAAGAACGATCAGTTGGTGTCAATTCATATGATCTAAAGTCTGATTCCCAACCAGTAAACCCAGCCAGAGGATCTCCTATTAATAAGTGATCTTCGCATTACGGTTATAATACTGCCCCTATCCACTACTCCGTGACAGAAGGCTTAGACAAAAGTGAATTCGAAATAGAACACAGTCTTCTTGTATTCACTGAAAGACTATCTGATGAAATGCTTGCTTTGCATAACTCTACTACAATTAATTGTTCGAGCCAGGATGATCCCCACACAAAGGCCCAAAGATTCGTGCAGCCAATCCGCCTGGGGTTTTTGAAACAAGACTTAATTTAACCGCAATACTGTTGCTCAGTTACCACCAAGCCTCATTCGTGGAGCCGGTGCCCCTTTTCTGGGGGTTTCCGCAGCCCTTCCGTAGATACCGCCTTGAGAACTGGCAATACTGCTGATCTCTTCGAAGCCTATGGTTGCCATGGAAAGCGACACAAGGAGGCTCTGAACCGATTTGAACGTGACCCGAGCGGTTGCTAGAGGGCTATCCTTCTGACAATGCACCAGAGTGGCGGAGCCATCAGTTGTAGATTGGTGATCAAGAACAGCAAAGTACACAGCTTTGCCAACATTCTGGGCTGCATCCTCTAGAGAGCTAGCAATGAATGGCTTGAAGTCATCGTTCAATGGCGGTACTGTAACTTTGTGGGACAGTGTACTGGAGCCATCGCTGGCTGCCTCAACAATGGAAAGCTCATGTTCACTGTTTGGCACGAGTTCTTCGCTGCCCGCGTGTGCTTGATCAAGTAGTTGGTTCAAGACCTGTAGACACGCGTTAGGCGTTTTTAGGATTCAATGTCATAAGGACGAGACTCACAGTAAGGGGCATCTCGGCGATGCAGCACACAGGATAATCTGCCATGTTCAATAGGTTGGCGCGTAGCTTGATTGCAAAGGCAAGATTGAAGAGGCTTCCAGCGTTTCTCCAAAAGGATATTGAATTTGGAGACTTGGCGCTGTTAGAGCTCGAAGCTGACAGGTTGCCTAAATTTATCAGTTAAGTGAAACAATGCCTGAAAATGACGTCACCCCATACACTGCTAATTAGAGTCTTGTTTGCACACAAGTGTTTCTTTAATCCTAAGAGTAACGGATGTGGCACGGCTACATGGCTTCAATGCAAGCAATGCAACGCTGACTCAGTCCAAGTTCTTCGCCTCGTCTCATTCCCCCTCATGATCAAAAGCCGATCGCATGGGATGCCTTTCCTACTTGAATCATGTTTCATGAAGCTTTTAGGAGCTGCCGAGCCACCGCCATTTCTCTTGCTCCGATCATCGAAGACCACACTGCCTTAGGTGTTGCCTAAACTTGGAATCAATCGGTCTTACTTACGTCATCTAGGCAGTGCATGTAATGACAAACAAGTCTCATCTCATTTTGTTTAATTTTTCTTTTTTACCCCTCTTACCTAATGAGATTATGCAAGCCTGTGCCCGTGGGCTTATATCCAAAGTATTACCGTCACCATGCGGAGCGTTACCATTCAACAGATGCAAGCTGCATCGGGCTGACCCCCTCAAGAAGTATCACGTGATGACTATTATTTGAGTACACAGGGATTCCAATAAATTATATGTAATCTCATACTCTGAAAAAGAGGCGAAAGCTGAGAGTGATGTCGGAGTCTAAATACCTGGTCATGTCTAATCTCAAAAGGGTAGATTGTAGCAATGATAAGGGGTAAAGTGTAATTAATGAGATAAGGGACAGAGCTATGAGCAATTACATGGCGGTCTTCTATCTATCCTTCTGCTATCATTCTTGGTTTCAAAATTCTTAGTTGTTTGGTATTTTCGAATAGAACACTCGTTTATTTTTGCAAGACTTGATCTTATCCTGAGAATTCATAGGTTTTATATGACACCACTTTCGAGTCATATAGTTTCCTTCTCATGCCCACATCTAGATTGTGTGAATTTTCTATTGTACGTTATGGCGAAATAAAGTTGTAGCAGGCTGTCTCAGGATAACACTCAGGGGATAGATTTCTTGCACTGCCACCAAAGTTTGCTTAGTCATCGCCTAAATTGATCCATGATCATTTCGTGCTGGGAACATCTCAGACCTATGCCACCCATTTCCAGCCCTTAACTTTCCCATCAGCCCATCTGACTCCAATACAACAGGCACTAGCGCCCATTAGAAGCGCACCATCCCAATAAGCCACATGTGAATAAGCCTTCACTCCTTCCACTGAGCCTCCCAGAAGCTGTCCACCAACAGGAGTTCCAAACAAAGTCCCCAGGCCTCTCACAAATAGGATGAATGCATTGACAGAGGCGTACTGTTGAATGCCAAAGACCTCTGCGATAAGTGCGGGGAACAATGCATAATACCCACCAGCAGAGAAGCTGTAAAATACGAGAAATACTAGCCAGAGTGAGAAAGAAGTCGAAGTGGCGGTCAGGACACTGGCTAACCAGAAGGCAAAAACGCTAAAGCCAGAGAGGAGTAGAGTCAACACAACTAGGTTCTGACGGCCGAGGCGGTCGCCCGCGTAACCAGTTAGAACTCGAGAGACGGCATTAATTGCATTGCTAGCAGCTAGGAGGTTGGCACCTTGGGCGGCAGTTTGCCCTAAAACGACTGTGTATGATGGGATGAAAGCTAGGGGAAGCTGGGCGCCAGCGGCCTATGAGAACTTAGTATGGATTCTCAAAATTCAGAGTAGGAGAATTTCTTCAACAAGCTGTGGAAGAATTGGTGAAAGGGGCTCAGTAGGATAACTTTCACTGTCTGACGGATTAACACATGAAGAGGATGATGAAGTTACTAACCTGAAGGAATGCGGCTATAGCGGAAAATATGAAAACTGGACGAGCGGCTAAAGAGCGCGAGACGTGTGTATCACGTCTGTCGGCTCTGGTGGTAGGCGCACTAGACGCGAATGGACTACGCGGTACCGACCATGCGATAGGAAGGCCCGTGACTACGTAGAACAACGCAAAGATTCTCAGAGTCCAACGGCCTCCGACTGAACTTAGTAATGCCCTAATGACAGGAGAGAATATAAGACCACCAGCACCGCCGCCGGCTAGAATCTAACAAGCACATAGAGAAATCAGCAAGGGCATTGACACATGATGACATTTGATGAGTGATACCAGGGAACCGAGGTAAAGGCAGCAGTCAGGATATCACTCACGAAACCCATTGCCGTTGCCCGATGAGTAGTAAAATACTCAGGCGCAGGCGCAAGAAGAGGGAAATACAAAAGCGACATTCCCAAACCAAGAAGCAGTCCTTGCGTCAATAGCAGATGCCATATGGAGGTGCTCAGAGACGCTAGTCCAAACCCAGCAGACATCATCACCACTCCTAAAATAGTGATTGTTCTAGGCTTCAAGAGCCGCGAACCCCTGCGACGCCATGCCCGGGCTGAGGGATTGCTCGGAGCCCATGCGCCGTGTTCGAGTCGCGACATCACCGGGTTTACAAGAATACCGCCCGCCCATGTCAGCCCGTAGCAAAGAGTGCCTACGAAGCTCAGTAGCGCTGTAGGCGGCGAGGCCTGCGTGGCTGGGCTGGATTTGAGGATGTCTTGCGTGGGTGAGAGGTAGTATTCTTGGAAAACGCCGAAGCATTGATTATACCCTATTGTTAGGGCTATAGTTGCGAATGCCGATAGGAGCACCACGATTTGCTTCTTGCGGGGGATGGGAGGCAGAACCGGCTCCGTGGCCGGTGTGTCTTGGCGCTCGGCATGCCGGGCGGAGAGGGAAACTGACTCAGTCTGTGTTGCCATCGCTTTATTGTCACATCAGTTTACGAGAATTGGGGATCCCAATGCGTAGAGTACATGGGGAGAATAAATGAGTTACGAATACTGCGCAAACGGTTTAATACAGGTCGGGCATTTGACCAGGACCACAGTTGGCCGAGGGCCGAAGTCCCATTAAGAGTGGCCCTCAGAAAATAAACCGGTGCGTGCTCCAGACGGGATCTAAGAATTAGCACAGAACACCTTTTGTCCAGTTAAGGAAAAGCAACAGAAGTCTCCGACAGTAGATCATCTGGCTTATGAAGATAGATAGGGAATAGTGCGAAAATTAAACCCGGCTCACGGCAATTGACCAGGCATGGGTAAGCCAATAGGGCGTGAGTGAGTCATGCTGTAATGACCACCATTTGAAGACTTACATCGAAGCAAGCTCACACAATAGTTATCAAGAAAGTGAGCGGGCAATTGATAGAAACACTGCAAATTGTAGCAAGCGCCTGAAAATCCAATCTTCGATAGATTACAGTGTAGGTATGAAAAAGTGAGTCCTACGCTAGTGGTTGGCTTATGGGAGTGATGAGCACAGACAGTCGACAAGAGTGAATCTCAACTAAGCCGATGTCGTAAGCAGATCACAATAGCTAACTCACAGATCCGACACATAAATTGAGTTGGAAAACGGCTACAACGAGGGAATAAGCTAATAGGAATTAAATAGACTCCCGGATATGTACCAGTCTGATCCTCCATAAGCCATGCCAAGACAATGTAGATTGAAGCACATCATAGATCATTACAACTGTATCATCTATCCAATGTGCAAACACGATCCCTCATATAAACTGTTCAGATGCAGGAAAGGCCTTCTCATCTACGCTTACCGGGGGGGTTAAATAGAACAGACATCATAGCCCACGATACTGCCCTATCAAGGCTAATCGTTCATCCAATCTACTTCCGGAGTCCTCGAATCTCACCAACGATAGCCTCACCAAGGGCCTTCGTCATCCCCTTGCCTCCCATATCCGCAGTCAATACTTCCGGGTCGGATCGTCCAAGAACGTTTTCCATTGCCTGTAAAAGCGTCGCAGCGGCCTCGGTATGGCCGAAATGATGAAGCAGCATCTGACCCGCCCAAATCATACCAACTGGATTAGCGACACCCTTCCCAGCAATATCCGGCGCGCTGCCATGCACGGGCTCAAATAGACTTGGAAATTTCCCCTCGGGGTTGACGTTCGCCGACGGAGCGATCCCAATGGTTCCGGTACAAGCCGGGCCGAGGTCGGAGAGGATGTCGCCGAAGAGATTGCTCCCGACCACGACGTCGAAGATATTCGGCCTCTGCACAAAGTGCGCCGTCAGGATATCAATATGGTATTTATCGACGCTGACATCGGGGTAATTCCTAGCCATCTCGCGCACGCGCGAGTCCCACCACGGCATGGTCGTCGAAATACCATTGCTCTTCGTCGCGCTCGTGAGCTTTCTCCGCGGCCGGCTCTGCGCGAGATCGAACGCGTACTTGAGCACCCTGTCGACCCCGAAGCGCGTCATGACGGTTTCCTGCATCACGATCTCGCGCTCCGTCCCCTCGAACATCTTGCCCCCGATCTGGCTGTACTCGCCCTCCGTGTTCTCGCGCACGATCCAGAAGTCGATGTCCCCTGGCTTCCGGTCCGCGAGGGGCGACTTCACGCCCGCGATCAGACGGCACGGGCGCAGGTTGATGTACTGGTCGAACTCGCGGCGGAATTTGAGAAGACTGCCCCAGAGCGTCACTTCGTCGGGTAGCTCGTCGGGCATCCCTACGGCCCCGAAGTAGATTGCGTCGAACTGGGAGAGCGTGGTCTTCCAGTCCGCAGGGAGCATGTCCCCGTGCTTCTTGTAGTATGGCACGCTGGCGAAGTCGAACTCTTCGAAGTGGAGCGGGATGTTGTAGAGTTCGCTGATTTCTTTCAGACATTGCACGCCCCAGGGCATTACTTCTACGCCGATCCCGTCACCGGGGACGACGGCGATTTTCAGCGGTTTTTGTGCCATGGTTATTTAGTACGAGCAGTCAGTTGGTGATTGCGACAGGGCTGAAGTAAGACCATGTAGTGTCATGGAAGCGTTGAGTAGTTCACCGTTCCGTCTCTCTTGGCAGGGCTTAGGTGGTTATAGTAGGTGGGTGAGGGAACGTTCCCGCGCCCGTATGCAGGGAAATGCATTTCCGATGTCAATGTCCGTCGTGGTGTTGGTCGTCTCCGCAATCTATGGAGCTGCGTGGTGGGGATACCCGACTTACTCCGAGACAGGCGGGCGATGTTTCTCATGGATTTTCGTCACTTTGGTTGTGAAATGATACCTATGGTTTGACTGATTAGGCCTAGCAATGGGTTCTTACATGTTCACATAGGAGTTGTTTCTTTGGCTAGTATTTGGCTAGGCAGCTCATCAGACCCAAGATTCTACCAAGACCCCAGACGACTGTTCTCTGCGTGCAGATACTAGAGCGTGCAGAGATACAATATCTAAATTCCAGATCATAACGAGTTAAAATCATCGTCGTTGGTAGCGCAGGGAGAGATCGTTCGTCGGGTTTCATTGGCAGCTCGTGCAGCACCTTGTTTCTTGTCGAAACCTGGTAAGACATTGCGCTTCCTAAGCAAAATAATTCATCTGGAAATACGTTCTTTTGGAGATTGTTCTGAAACTACTTGTACATACAACATATTCTCATATCAGCCGCGACGCAAGCTCTCTACCAGGGCCTCACGCCACCATCAAGATCCACCAACCCATTCTTCTCAATGTCGGCGTCTCTCTTACCGAAAACAACGTCGACAAGGGCGATCGCAGGATCTTTCGGATCCCTGGCACCCAGCTTGATTCGCATCTCACGGCCCTTTTCACCCGTAAGGTTCGACACGCACCACCCCGGATTAAATGCAAGAACTCTGCAGCCCCAGTCGGCATAGTTGTAGCGGTGGCAGGCAGACAGCATGTTCAACGCGGCCTTGCTCATGCGGTAATGGTCCCCGCGTATCTCGCGGTACTTGTACTCGGGGTTTAGTCTCTCGGAGATGGAGCCCTGCTCCGACGAGACGTAGACTACGTACGGCTTGGCTGATTTCTGGAGTAAAGGTTCCATGGTCTCGGTGGTGATGAGTTGTCCGAAGACGTTTGTCTCGAAAGTTCTGCGTAGGGATGTCAAGGCGTCGACTTTCTCGTACACGATGATACCGGCATTGTTGATGAGGACATCCAACTTGCCGAATTGCGTCTCGATCTGATCCTTTGCAGCCTTTATCGAGTCATGGTCGCAGACGTCGATTTGTAGGGCGGATATGCCAGCCTTGATGGAGTCTCCCAGTGTGGTCTTTATGTCGTCTATGGCCTTCTGTACCTTCTCAACTGATCGGGAACCGAGCAGGACATGGAAGTCTGGCGATGCTGTAGCCAGGGCTTTGGCTGTCTCGAAGCCAATGCCACTGTTGGCGCCTTGATTTATCGAAGTCAGCTGCTGCGTATTAAGTGATGGATTCCGTATAACTTGCCTGTGACAAGAATGACGGTCTTGTTAGATACCATCTTGACGGAGTAAGTAGACTGATGGATGATTTTAGCGAGTAGAGTAGACATATAGTCTAGTTATAACCAGTCGATAGATGGGATGATTGATTGATGATGAGCAAAACTTGTATTCTAGACATGAGAGCCATCACCCATATATATACTTATAAGCTTCTGTGAGTCTTTTCTAGACTTACTTCTGCTTCGCACCGTCTCCATCGTCTTCCGTAGATACTTGGATCCCGGAAATAGCATACTTGACGCATTGCCCCTTTCCGGCCTGGACAATTTGAATTGTCCGAGGCGACGAGCAGACAGAGTCATCTGAGAGATGAAACAAGAAAAAACCATCTTGTATAGACATTGTCACATAGATGTCCCATACTCTTGGTGTTGGTCTAGAGAAGCATTCCACCACGGTGAGCTGCCTCTCCCGCGTAACACCGCTAAGTCCGGACACATGCCAAGTGTACTGTGGCAGCTATATTAGTGATACCTAAGTCCGCCGAGGGACCTTTCACGCGTAATACGCGTATACGCACTTACTACTAGTTTGTTTACCTGAGGTAATACTGTCTTGATAAGGTAGTGATTGAGGAAATTGAGGCTAAGATGGTGGAGGGAATAAGGTACTTAGGTACATACATTGTGCCTATGAGGAATGGCCGTTTGTACTCTTGTACCTTTTGCATCGTGCCATAGCAGAATAGTCCAGATATGTGTTGAACGAAAGAAGTGTCGACAACGGTATCCCAGGTACATGGGAATACTTATGAAGTAGCTAAATGCACATGTGGATATATGCGTAGCCAACTCGAGAGAGAGTATCGACTCTGTACCTGCTGAGGTACATATGGACATGGCTCCCTGAACAACATGTAAATAACTTGAACCATGTTTGTTGTTGCAAACATTAGCCCACCAATCCATAAACACAAATTTCCTCCCTTTAGCCTTTCTGCATGAAATGGTTATAAGCGTCTTAGGTTCATCACGATACACCTGGCCATTCCATTGCCTCTCACAGTCTTCCTTTGGTAGCTTCTTACTTACCTCGTATAACACAGTAACAGCAACAGCAAGCAATCACAGCCCAACCGACATCGTCACCACATTCACGATGAGTGCAACCTTGTGCAGGCTCCCGCCTGAGTTAAAACAGAACATCATGTTGGCAACCGGCTCACTGCAAGATATCCTGAATGTAGCGGTAACATGCCGAGCCATGTACAATGCCCTGAAGGACCGCGAAGGCATCATCACGTACACCATACTCTCTCAAGAAATGGATCCTGATCGTCTTGCTATCGCTGTTGCGCATCATGCTGCTGTCAAAGCGCCTTGGAAGTACAGTATTGACATGGCAGCCCCCATCCCTGCCGACCAAACAGCCTATCTAAACCATGTTACGGCATTCTGTGACTTGTATCTGTCCAAGCAAGCCACTCAGCTACTACTCCCAATTCCTTCATTTACTGTTCCAATGGGCTTGTACATTGAAAACTTCGATACGGCCGTCGAGAACATGGAGTTGAAGATTGCATATGAGTTTATTCCTCTAGAGTGGCCTTTCGTCAATATGGATAGCCCAACATGGGCAGAGATGAATAAGGTAGCCAGAGCATTCTACATCCTAGACATGGTGTTGCACCTCTTTCCTCGAAGCCCCGTGACTTTAGAGGAGCATCGTGGAACCGACCCATCAAAGCACGATAAGCCATTTACGAAGTTCTGGATGTGTTTCGCACCCTGGGAAAGTGAGCAAGTTGAGTTCCTTGCATGGTATATTAATGAAGAAATTTGCTATGAAAGTACGTTTCACTTCTGGGACACCAGCTTCGAAAATTAGTCTAATACCTATTTAGTTTCTGACTATCATGATCGATGTGTTTCTCAAGAGGCCAATTGTTATTTGGTATTCAATGGAATCATAGGATTCGAACGCGTGATTGGCAGACGCTACGTATGCGAAGAAAGAACACACCGATTCAAAGTGTTAACTGAATTTCAATTATCTGTATTTTCAGAATCGCCATTTCGAAGGGAGCAGTACCACGAAGACCGATATCGCTGGTTCTCTCCGGCCAGAAGCCAGAACTCGCATTATCACGTAGTCATCAAGCTCGAGACTATTCGCCATTACGATGTTCTAGAATCCTATGGGACGGCCGAGATGTGGGTGGCGGATTGTCTATACTATGCCACTACCCACCAACACATGCTAAGTGAATTGTCGCGAGAAATCAGCAATGAACTGAGACGAAAGTGTGAGGGGAATTACATCGGGGGTTGGATTTTCCAATGTATTGATCGCCTTCGACTAGCAAATCGAGAACTTCTGGGACGAGATTATTTTCCGGAGCTAAATGATTTTCGTGGAATCGAGACTTTGATTCACAATCTGGATCCCAAGCGCCGAGGAGTCTGGTAAGCTGTTGCCAACGAAGATGATCCTATTAGGCTTCGTATTTGAGCCGGACAGAGAGACGCATTGCTTTCGGGCGATGCTTCGATCATCAGCTAGACCAGGATGTTTTAAGCAATGCTGCGCGAGGAATATTCCTGTTTCATCGAGCACGAGGATGGGGATATTGCTAGTAGCTTTGCCGGAAAATTCGAGTTGACGAGTTAACGCATTGTGACGGAAATTGAGTCACTCATAAGATAAGTGATTACATAAGAGGACGCATGGAGTTTAAAATCAAGGAACGATGTCAGATAAGGAAATTCACTTGTGTATACGAGAATAAATTCGCAATGGAAGAAGCACATGTGCGTGTGATTTCGGATTATTTTGTACGGTTGTTTAACACCAGGGTGATCTTCGACTAATCGCCTCAAGCCAGTAAAGGTCGCGAGCAGTGTGGGGCGTTGAAAACCTAGCAGAAGAGAGAAACTCAGGTGAAATCAAAATTGAGCAACAGTGACAACATCTAACCCGTAAAAGCAGCAGTAGTGACTCATGAATCAAGGCTGCCAGACCACGTTCATTTGTATATCTACCCTAGTAACATGCTAATGAAAAGGCATTTCCTCGGCAAAGAAGGCAGATGAGCGCGATGCTTGGTTTGGTAGTATATCAGTTCAACTATGGATGGGCGCGGGGAGTTTACATATTTAGGGATAATTCCCATATTGGAGCGTCTCATTGGATATTCTAGAAATAGCAATGCGTAATGCAGCGCGATGGGATGCGCACGATCGGCGTGTTCGCTTATCGTGGTATATCTTGGCGGGACGGCGGCGTCGATGGCGTCGTGCATATCTAGCCGAGATCTAGATTGGAGATGTTCCAAGGTGGATTATGTGACTTCGCAGCAGACTGTCTTAGAAGGTCTTGGCAATGCTTATAAGCGTCGGTGCGGGACTTATCCGGTGTCTCTTTTCCCTAACCGACAGTCTTCAGTACGCTCTCCAACAACGTTGCCTTGAAGATATCTTGGAAATGGACACCCCGGACCATGCACACTTCGCCGCGATCCCGTGGTGTGCGCGCCATCTCCAAGGCGAGCGCGTCGTCGTCTATGTCCCGACGAATAGAACCCGGAAGCCGTCGGGAGAAGACAATTTATTCGCGGATACGCTGAATTCGAAGCAAAGCATTTCCCACACACTCCAGATCCACGAGAAGCCCTTATCGCCGACGGGTCGGATTGATGAGACCAAGACATTCCTCGCGCTGGGAAGCGGACTGAACGGGTACCCTGATGTCTGCCATGGGGGACTGACGATGGCGATCCTGGACGAGCTCATGGGCCAAATCATGCCCCTGAATCAGCAACGCGGGGCGATCCCGCGGGGCATGTATATGACGGCGTACCTGAATGCGCGCTTCCTGAAGCCTGTGTCTACGCCTGCGGTTATTCTCGCGCGGGCGTGGATTGCGAAAGTCAAGGGAAGGAAGTTCTTTTTGGAAGCGACTGTTGAGGATGAGCAGGGTGTCATCCTCGCGAGGGCGGAGAGTCTGTTCGTTCAGCTCAAGAGCTCGTTATGATGATGCGCCCGGTTAGATGGTCTCGTGCATTCTCATCGATGGCAGGCAATCTATGCGACGCGTTGGTTGTTCCACGAGGTTTGGCATTGAAACTGCTCGAGCTCATAGCCATACCTGTCAACCCGTCATTCTCGCTTGAAGCACCTACGTTGGACTAGAAGAAACTATGTCAAGAGTGGCATGCCATCTGCGACTGGATATAATAGACATCGACCCATCCATCTAGCAATATGGCATCGACTCCCATCAGGCATCCCAGCTTTCGATCTCATAGCAGCAGATACACTGAGTCTAGCGGACAGCAGCTTTATCATGAATGATGAGCTGGATGAGGGATCGGGATGAACTGGATGTATCTACATCCACCTACCTAGGTACTCTAGGCCGTTGACTGCACACACACTTAAACTATACCTGCTTATGTTTCCTTTTACGAAATACCCAAGGGTATATACCCGAGAATATAGATTCAAATAGAAGATATAGACTGGAACACCAATACGTTTGCAATTGGTCTCTTAGCATTCCTAAATCCAGTCCAACAGCCTGACCCGAAGTCCAGGCGCTTGGTGCTTTGCGTGCCGTTAGGCTCGAGTTACATGTACAGTAGCATCGGCCGCCGCAGGGACCTTTGGTCTCATGATCTGTAATGTTTCCAATTTCTATAAGCTCAATTGAACACTGAACACAGAGTCTCTCAATCTATTCGTCCCGGCTCCAAGCTTATCTGCGTTTTTTCGCCGCATTTCAGGCCTGTATTCCTTCCGATGCCTACCTGAGGTACCTAAGTACATGCTCACAGCATCAGCCCCACTCATCTAGGCATCTCACCTCGCCTCACCTACCTACTGCTCCGGCCGATCGTCTCACTCAACTCCAACTCAACTCATAGAAACATCTGACGATGTAAGCAGTGTGAAAGTGCCAACAGCATCTCCCAGTTGCCACAAAACCATCGCCCTCGCTCCTTGATCACCTGGGATACCGGATAATTCTGCACACCGCCATACCACTACAGTACATACCGTTCCCTGGCTAACAGGTTGTTCAAGATGGGCAAGCCGAATAAACCTGACAATTCCTTCTCCGACACCTTGTCGTTGCACAGTGATGTCGGCCAAAGCTCTGCTGCCATCCCTTACGTCGACGACGACGCCCCCGAAATCAACATCGACGATCTCCCACCCAGTTATACCGATGTTGCCGAGTCCTCCGAAGCCGCCCCCATGCTCGCCCACCGCGGTGCCATGGTCGACGCTGTACTACCCTCCGACATTGATGCCATGGTCATTACAGATAAATATTGGGGCACGCAGTCTTGGGTCGCCAAAAGTGTCGAGGACCCCGAGACCCTCGAGGCATATGTGCACCGGCTTGCCGAGATCCCACCCCGCCCATACATGTCGGTCGTCGGTACACACACCGAAACGTCTAAAGACAGCAAGGGGAAAGAGGCGAAGAATACCGTGACGGACTTCGATGTCACCGTTGATATGACGCCATATCTCTATTCAGATGCACAATATCGTCAGTCGCACCGATATCTGCGCACCGTGGACAACGGGGAAAAAGTCCGCCGCGGGACAACACTGGCCAAACGCCAAAAGGGCTGGAATCAGAGCATCGAGGTTGGCGCCGACAAGCCAAGCCTGCAAGAATGGTGTCACCGCTTCGGTGCGAGCTCCGCCGGACTCAAATGCTTCACGTTACGCCGGCGAATGGTGGGCTTCGACGAAGAGGCCGTCAAGGAGCGTCTTGAGAAAATGGTGCGCGACACGAACTATCGAGGCCACCTCAGGGTGCAGCTGATTACCAAAGATGGCCAAATCGACTTCTACAACGATGCCAAGATCAACCGCTGGCGTCTGACGTCTTGGATCCGGTGGCTGTTCTTCCTGACGCTCACCTTCATTTTCACCTGGCCGTACCTCTTCTTCCGCACCAAGAGATGGGAGGTCGCCGTTGTCGACTGGCCATTCTCGTACATCAATGACCGGGGTGCAAAATGTTACGTCAGCGTCAGTGAGGACCAATGGTACAACATGTGGGGGTACGCCATCTGTAGAGCCGTGATGGACAAGAGGCAGAAGTGTCTGGATCAGTCGGATTTGCGGAGAGCTCATGAGGGCGACCCCGCGTTCAACACAGGCAATGCCGGCGTGGATGGAGCGCTGGGGCTCTTTAGAGCAGGCATGAATGCTATGGGCGAAGTGAATCGTCAGCTTGGCTGGGGCGGAGATTGCTAGGAGCATCACCTAGACCGGCGGAAGAACCGGAGCCGGAAACATCTCCTTGTATTACTAGGAATCGCGGTCGCGCTTGTGTCTATTATGATTGCCCGAGCATCAGCCGGGACTGGGACTTTGATTGTCATTGGGCTGTTGGCTAAAGCAAGCGTGGGCCTTCTTCTTTCTTTTTGATTTTGCTTTCTTCGTCCTTTTTTTTTATCTTTTGTCATATTTCATCATTACCTTGCTTACTGCTTGCCAGTCAGTACCGGTCAGAACGAGGTAAAGGCCCTCAATTTCTCTTCTAGAGTCTGTGTCTTAGATATTACAACAATACAGACACAACACAACTGTATATCCCACTGTGCATAGTCAATATTTCGCTGAAGACCACATTTGTCAACCTTAACAAGCCATCCCAGTTGTTTCCTCCACTTAATATACAATAGCCTCACAATTTGAAACGTCAACGAGCAGCAACAGATCCATGATCAATAGAATAAAGAAGGTGAGTTAGTTGATCAAAAATGCTTTGCCTTTGGTATGTACATCCATGCTAAACTATATACAAGAAAGTTGTCCAAAAACGTCGTTCCTCATTCCTCGTCCCTCATCTCTCTCTCATCCTCAAGCTAGCGATTTTTTAAGACCAGCCACCTACGGTCACCTTGAGGAGAGTAGGGTTGTTGCCCGAAACGGTGCCAGCAGCGTTCTCGCCCGCGGGGTTGACATCGTCGTAAGAGAAGGCGTAGCCGAGGCCGTTCACCTCGTACTGGTGGACGAGACGCGCGTAGTGGCTCGTGGGGTTCACGGTGTAGTACGTGTTGGCGGGAAGCGAGGGCTGGACGTTGCCGCCGCCGAGAAGGAGCGTGGAGCGGTAGAAAGCGGCGCAGAGTCGGGGAACGACGGCGCGGTGGACGTCGTTGTCGCTGCCGATGATGGCGAAGGGGCCGGAGTTGCAACCCCAGATGTCCCCGATCGTGGGCTTGGGGTAGGCGCGGTTGTCGCCGGCGCAGTTGAGCTGGTTGTTCGAAACACGGCACGAGACGGTTCCGGCTCCAGTCTGGGTGTTGATGAAGAGGTCCTCGTTGGAATACTTGTTCCATACGTCGTTGATGTAACCGTCGTAGTAGCCACCGAATTGACCAGGCTGGCCGGACTCGTATAGGTTGGGGGCCAGAACGCGGAGAGCTTGGCCGGATCCAGTGGTTACACACAGACGGTCCCAGATGGAGCGGTCGGCAGCTGTCTGCGCCTTCAGGCCGTTGCAGATGTTGTTGACGGCTCCCGACATGAGACCTTGGACAGTCTGCTGCTCGCCGGTGGCCAGAGTCACGCCCATGCCGAGGGGAATACCGACGAAGTCCACAAAGCTGATGTTCGCGAAGACGAAGACTCCGTCGTAGTTGAACTCGATGAATCCCCACTGCACTTCGGCCGATGGGTCAGCGGGGTTCGCGGCAGATGGCTCCACGATGGCGGAGACTCCGTTGCCGTCCCTGACTGTGAAAAATCTCAGGTTTCCGTTAGCAAGGTAGATTCGGGCGGAGATCAGAGCCTGCGGGAGAGTGATCGTGGTGGTCTGGCCTTGGCCGTTCAACGGGATAGCAATGTTGCCGGTGATTTCTTTCGGTACACCGGTGCCGTCCGCCTGGGGGTATACATATTGGCCGTTGGCACCCAGGAGAACCGGCGCCCCTGAGGTATCCCGTCCAGTGATGTACATGAACATGCCATTGCCGAAGTTGTTGTGGACTTCGATGGGGAACGCTCCAGCTTGCGCGGCCTTGATCCTGGAGATGGAACCAGATCCTTCTCCTCCTCTGACAGTGGTGCTGTTCAAGATGTTGTCCTCAGTGATGACGATATCGTTGACACCACCCGCGTGTGCGATGGTGGGATTGGCGAATGACTGGCCTATGAGGCCGGCCATGGCCAGAGCCAAACCCAAGAAAGCTCGCATGATGGCGCTTGCGGAAAGATCTCGATCGTCTGAATGAAGGAAATTGAGGGTTCCGTCCCGTGTAATCGCCGAATGGAGATGGAAAGCGGCTTGTCGAATAATAGAGTTATAGTTCTGGGGATCGTCGCTCGTCTTATATATTCGATTTTCTATCTCCAAGTCAAGAGACGTTTCCGTGAGCCAGCAGCATTATTCTCGACACCAGGGACGATGATGAAACGTTGCGAATCACTTCAATCTCCTTGACTCTCCTTAACGGCCGAGTGGCCGTATAACCTTCCCTTTCTGGACTCATTGTTGGTCTTCTGGCTGGTCTTATTCTGGTCATGCCACCACGTGAGGACTGTATTTCGCCGAGGCCATTTGGGATTCTCACCTGGGTTGTGTTAGCAGGGCCTACCTTGACGATGCGTGGCATTGGTGTAAGTATATCATGTAGGTGATTAATCTCCACTTACGTATGCAGGAACCATGGGTTTACCGATTTGACATCCCGCGCACGGCTTACGCTACACGTTGATCCGGGGTAGGCCGAGGTACCCTGCCCTGTCGGGTAATATACAAACTCACGCCTGGTATAATGCGTTAGGGCTAGTTACACTATATTCAGGGATGAAATTAAGGACTGAAGGCCAGAGTAATTGCCAAGGGGCCTCGTACGCCACGCAAACAGAAGCAAAGCCTGAGTTAACGACGAGTTCATCGCGTCTTGATTCCTCATTGAGAGGTTACTGCAGCTCTCGTTATGCTACCTTGCATCAACCGCCAACTTTTCCAGGTTTTGATCGCTCCAGTTCGGCCTCATTCTGGGATTTGACTTCAACACAACGTTACCAGACATGCAAGTTAGCAACTTAAGATACCCGTCTGATATTCTTTGATTGGGCGCGAACCGGGAATATTGCCTAATTGGATGGTGGTTTGTTGAATTAGACATAAGGAAACATCTAGAAAAAATTATGTTCCTTTCGTCCAGTGTCATCCGCTAAGAGGAAGAAAAGACGTCCAAGATTGCGTTCCCGCGCGGTTCAGTGACAGCACCTTCCTTAAACCAACCACAGCTCGTTCAACGAACTAATCAGAAGCAAAATAGTTAGAAAGCATGAACCAAGTAGCCGAGTAGACGAATCCTTCAAAGACTCTCCAAGGCTTCAAGGAGTGCCTGGTAGTCGGCATCGGGATACATGATGTCCGCTAGTGTCGGACGTCCGAGCCAAAAGGAGCTAATGTTAAAGGATAGGACAGGGACAACATCGCGTGTATTGACCGATCTGGTGTGGTAGCGTTGTAGTTTAATGTGATGTACCGAGCATGGTCGTCATTCTCACCTACCGGTTTCAACAAGGGACCAACTAGGGTGTTACTTAAGTTGGGTTTTTTCTAAAGCGGACGACGGACACACTCCAAGAAACAACCCTTTCCTAAAATGAACGGCTTTTCAAGGGGGAGACCTTGCCTCCTTCGTTCTAATTCTGTTCTGCTCAACCCAGAGCTTCCTCCCACGCTTTCTTGCCTCCCTTATCCAGTTAGCAAGTCCTGGTGATTTGAGGAAGGAGGTTAAACATGTGACCGCTAACCACGGCCCTGGCTGGCGGGATTCATGCCAACTCTCTCTTCATTGGCCCCGTTCGCTTGATTTCCCCTTTCGGGCGCCCACTCCCGGCGCTTGGCGAATTTGGCCGCTCGCTGGGCCCAGCGTGTGCGTTAGTCTCTCTTTTGCCCTGGGAAGGCTGGGAATGTGGATCTTGAAGATCACGCGCCTGGATTATTCTATCACCGACTGCTTCGGAGTCATATTGCGATGCGTGCATGCTGATGGGCGCACAGACAAAATAAACGGCCTGCAAGGAGACAACGTGGGTGTAGAGGCGAAAGCTGCTACGTTAGGTATGAACGTTTCAATGCCGCATTTTACATATAACTTTGATTGGAGGGATTTACGCTGCTGGCTGCAAGTTGTGGGGTATGCGATGCGCCGGTACAACGACTTACACGTAATCGCAACTCCAACTCTGAAAAAGGGCATTACCGCCTCATTCCGTAAGTGGCGTTGGATTGAAGGTCAGTTCGAGCGAGATCATGTAATACTTTCTTTCTTACCGGCATTCGCGACGCCGAGTCACTGCCGAAGTGGTTGCTTGGAGGCGCCTGCTGGGAAGTGAGATATGATAATGTCTTTTGGATTGATTTGATGGCGTGCGATGCCAAGTAGCAGTGGGAAAAAAGAGCGCTTGGCTGGCTGGCATGTGAACCCAATTGTGCCGAAGCCGTGGTTTCCATCATCTGGGCAGATTTATCAGCAAGGCAGAGTGAGACATGTTTTCTGATACCTCGATGCGTATGAGTTTGAGGACTGACTGGATGTCTCTCTCTCAAACAGGCTTCATATTCTGAGCGGTCGACTCATTCACTATATTTCGCACTGGTTTGCTTAACATCGTATCATCCTTCATGATTCTCATTTTAACCCATCAGCTGAGGTCAGTCTGCGTAGAACGAATGATGGAGATGGTCATCCCATAGTACATCACGTAGGCATTCCCTGTTACGTAAAGAAGGCTTAGGTTTGTCTGGCGGGATCTCTCAAGATTGATCCCTGGCCGTGAGTTAAACGTAATTACCAGGCATATGGTCCTAGTAGAGTTAATGTTGGTCTAACCCATTCCTTCACAACCCTGCCCACATTCATCCTTACTCCCGCTAACTTGCTAGATATACATACTTATAGAGATAGCGAAAATCGCGATTAGTCCGTGGGTCTATGGCCGATTTAGAACCGGGTACGTTAGACTAAGCATGCTTGTACTGTAGATTGTTAACTTAGGTCAAAGGTATGCTTGGTTATGTGGGCAGCTACCAACCCACCTTCCACCCCGAGTTTACACGTGCTAGTAAATCACCACAAACCAGAACATTCTGGCTTGAATATCAATACCCCAACCAACTTGCTCCAACAAGGATAAGGCATACGGCGTCTAACATGGCTTCTAGTTGGACAGGATACGACCAAGCAATTCAGTCCATAAAGAGAAGGTGTATACCAGTCTCCAGACAGATAGCAATATTACCTCCATGTGATGGAGCTTTTCTATTGTGTAAGCTGCCAGCTATGCCTGTCCTATTCTACCATGTTACTTCAGATGACGTGGCGGAGTTATATGCGCGACCCGGTCTCGGGACCGACATATTCTAAAGGATAAGTTGAGCTTCAGTACCATATAGATCTTTACTCTTCAGGTTTGTTGAGAATCAGGCATACCAGAGTCAGCATTACTAAGGATGGCAAACGTGCATTCTCTACGTGGTTCTGATATTTACTGCTGCACGAAAGTTTCGAAGAAGCCTTCATGTCAAGACAGGGTTATTTACGGTGAGTCTCCTTATCTGTAGCTCCAGGATAGTGACAGATTTCACAAGGTTAGGCGAAAATCCTAGCTTGTTGTGCTCGATTACAGATGAAAATGCCACTTGTAGTAAGTCTAAGTACCAGGTATAGTTGAAGGACCTTTGGGGCAGCAGTGTTGCCGAGAGATAAACTTTGCTTTAGAAGTAGGTATATAAAGGACTAGGGCTCTCCCTCAGTGCTAGAATTCTTAGAATTCAACAATATCTCCAGCATTCTAGTCATCCAAAAATCTATCAATACCTCCTACCTATAACCCCGCTTTACTCCAGAGATTATTCACGACAGGCAAGCAACAGAAGATTCTAGCTCAACGTTAGGCCCTCATCCAGGAGATCGAGCTGTCTATATTAATCTATCGTTTATGCAAGATTACTCTATTATAGTCTATCAGATTACGGTCCTGTGATACTAGCCACGGCACTATTGTGCCTTCTGCTGTGTGAAGTGCTCTCGCAGCAAGAACAGTAAACAAATTATAAAACCCAGGCTGGAGAGTCCAACACCAAAGTATAGACCGCCTCTATATCCAGCTAGTTTATCGCCATGGTTTACATATATTTCTATTGTGTTGGCAAAACCAACTCCCAGTGATATGGAGTAGTTAACCACTGTGTTGACAAGACTAGCGGCAACTCCTTGGTGTTCTCTTTTGACGGCATTGGATAGAATCAACGTAGCTGCTGGAAAACTCATATCCATGCCGAAAGGTATAATAAGGGTGCATACAAAAATCTGTCCCCAGTAAATTTGGTTCGGAGGTACTGTTGCGATGAGTATAATACCAGTGGTAAAGGCCGCCAGTGCTAGAGTCATGACTACGGCGGGTCTGACCTGAAAAGGGCCGAGAAGCTTTCCCGTAACAATAGCTGCAATTGTACCGGAAATTGGAAGCGGTGCTGAGTAGGCGACGGTCTGTAGCGGAGACAGACCCCGAATTTCTTGAAGAATCAAGACGAGATATAGAATCCATATGCCAAAAGTCGCCCAGCCGCATGCTACCGTTCCGAGAACAAATCCGACTTGACCATTAATGGCATCAAACGGTAATAAGGGCTTTGTTGCGACGTTGATCTCAATCCAAGCGAACACCCCAAAGGTTGCTATGCCAAGGACAAGGGGTACGATGGTCTCTGGCGTGGCCCAGCCAACAATAGGTGCCTGGTTCCAAGCGAAGTTGAACAGAACCAATGATATAACTCCAGTGACAGCGCCTGGTAAGTCCAACTCTTCATTCAACTTTCGCAAGCTGTAACCGTCGGCAAATACGTCAACCTTCCGCGACAAGTCTGGTATGGCGATGTACCCTAGTACGATAAGCACGACCAGCCAGATGCTTAACGCCCACCAAATCCACGGCCACCAAGCTAGTGATATCGCCGCTGCGACAGCAGCTCCCAAGACGCCCCCAATCGGTGCTACAGCACCGAAACAAGCAAAGACCATGGCCTTCCTGTGTCCCGGAGGGTACATAGATCCCAAGATGGCAAGGGCATTGGGCAAGCAGATAGCCGGGCCGATACCCTGGAGTACACGGGCGAAGACAATCAAGACAAAGTTGGAGTAGACACTCAGGCCGACGACCACGGACCACAAGCTGAACCAGGTGAGGCCAATCAGTAGCATGCGCTTATATCCGAACGCATCTCCGAGCCGGCCGGAGAACAGGATGAAGGTTCCGACGGTCAAGGAATAGCCGGCGACAAGCCACGCGAGCTGGCCCGGGTTTGTGACGCCAAACGACCTTCCGATGACAGACAGATGATACAATGCACCGGTAAATGAAGCCTCTACAATCGGTACGCGTTGGTTAGCCCTCAACAATTCAACCTTCAGCGAGCCCTGTACCGACCAAGCAGTTGAATGGGAGAATCAAAGGCACAAAGCGGACTTACGGGTACAGAATTGAGCCATACAGGCGACAAACACCATTAGGTACTCCCGGGGTCGCGAGATGTTTTCGGCCGGCCAAATTGACTCGACGCGGGACTGCTGCGGAGCCATTTCCTCCCCGTCGGCGATGCTCCTGTCGCCCTCCTCGCCCGCTGAGGGCGTAGCCGAGGTATCATAATTCTTCTCGTCCATCGCGGCTGCTTGTCAAACAACGGCGATTCAGAACAGAAGTTTCGACTTCGCAAGAAATTATGAGCGAGCATGGCGGCACTTGAGGTGATTTAGCCAGAATAAATGGGTTCTAAGCGTCATTTGGAATAAGCACTGGTCTCTTAGTCGCTAGTATGGCTGGGCCCCTTATCAACTCCACCACGGCAACTAATCAGATTTGCTGATCATGACCAAGGAAAAAAAGGGTTTGATTCGTTTCCAACCCAGCGACTGTATGGTAGATCTAAGTAGCTGCAGCTTATCTGACTGGCGTGACAAGTCGCATTGCGTTCCGAGCAAATACCTGCTGAATACCTATACGTTCGCTTACATCACTACAGAACCATCGGCAATGGAGAGAGTTGCTACCACATCACTCGGATTTAGGCAAAGCCTCTTTGTTCCGAAGTAGTTTTGCCACTTGGGAGCGGGAGGTCCACAGGTCCTATTTTAATCTGAAGATTCGGTGCACTTGGTATGAATTGCATCTATCGAAAGTGGCATTAACCAAAGGCTAGCGTAATGTGTGGCTTATTCATAAATCCGAAAGCGGAGAAAAGCCGATGGTCTAATACACCGGCGCCGAGCTGACTAGGCAATATTAGGCATCCCACAAGACATCCCACTTCGTGCCGTGAAAAGAGAAAAGCGTGGCAATGCAGAGTGCTCACTAATCCCAGCCTTATAAAGCCTTACTAACCATACTTATATCATATTAGCGCCTTTGAAGATTAGTTGTTGACTATGTCATACTATCCAAAATGCATATTGCTCTGGCTACATACAATACGAATTAACGAGCAACAGTTTGACATCATTGGTCCCAGTAACTTGATACCATCTAGTCGTAAATTTGTGAGACAACGAGTCCCTTCAAGCAAATTACATGTAAAGTATGGCTTGATGGAGGAGACAGTTAGGTCTCCAAAAGCATCGGTCACCCAAAAGTCTGCATCATACACGTGCAAAAGATGTCAAAGAAGACATGTAGCAAAGGTATGTAGCCTACTCGACAGTGTGATCAAAATACAATAGTATGCTAGTAGAGCTTCCGGGCCCGCCGTGATAATTCCTGTGCCGTAGCAGTGTATTTTGCTAATAGCAGTAACGAGATGTTGAGATGAAGCAATGTGGGATACGCTGAGTAACTAAATCTCCCTAGTAATCAACAGACTGCATCAGACTTTGTGGGATATTTCGCTACGGTTTGAAACATTTTATATTGAATGAAGGGCTGGTCAGGGGCTTTTTATGATCGTATACGCATTCAGCAGACCCTTTACGTCATCTCCTCTCGCGATTCTTCTATTATTGGCTTAGAAATTAAAGAAACTCAATGACCCCGAGGATGTCTGCAATTAAGGAGGCCTACATGTGCGTAGTATCAAAGTCACTAGTTAGAATTACAAAACGTAGATCCACTCGCCTACATGAAAGTTTCATATTCTCCATTCTCCCATATACATTCTTTCGTTTAAAATATTCCGAGAGCACCCTAGGTAGCCTTAGCTACCTACATATAAAAGCGCTACTTGTATTTGACTAATACAATTGATATTCAAATAAAATAAATAAAAAACGCGCGATCGTAGTCTCAAAACGATGGAGTGGTTGTTGGGCTCTTTATAGAAGGCCAGAATCTTCATATTGGTATGGATTCATTACGTTTACATACACAATATCCAATGTGGTATGGCTTTTTATTTGACGCGCTGGGCAACACGCCGCTTATGTTTCAACCGCATGCAAGATCAGCCTCTTATAATCTTCGACTGCGGTCTCCAACTCTCCCAGTGTGAGTGCTTCATTAGGACCATGTGCAACCAGTATGGTTCCAGGTCCATAGAGGTATCGCGTATGATTACCCTTAAAGCTTGGAATATCTGTACCATAGTTCACTACAGTTGTCTCAAAGCCTATCAGAAAGGTTAACTTTTGATCGTTCACTTGAAGTTGATTCCAATGCCTAGTGAAGCTAATCGTTGAAATAATGTGTAGGAAACTCTTTGGGGTGAAATAACTAGAGACTACTACTCTCTGGTGCTTGGCATTCAATTGCACTCTAGGGAACTTACCATCAACGTCGCAATTGCATTCGATCGCTCCACTGGCTCTGCTATCACATTCAAAATCGAATGCTTCATCATCCACACACGTTAGAACGTCACGAATCCTACCCTTGATAACCTCACCACCCTCCAGCTCCGGGCCAATTCCCACACGAGCAACAATTGCCGCTGTAGCGCTATCGGCGACCACATTGACCGCAGTGCCACCTGACAGAAGGCCGACGTTGACTGTGGTGTTGCCATACCTCTCGCTAGTTCCTAGATCAGTATCAATGATTTTGATCAAGGCACGCATCAGCACTTCAGTCGCGCTCTTGAATAGCCACGGATATCCACTGTGGCCTGCAGTGCCATGAGCAGTAATCCTACAGCTGATGGCGCCCTTGTGGCCGCAGGCTAAGAGACCTTCCGTAGGCTCGCCAAAGATGGCAGCCTTTGGGGGAATGGGCTGTTGCGCCGTGATATTCGAGAAGTATATCATGCCGTCCCCTGTTCGCTCTTCGCCCACAACATATGCAAGCATCACGTCATTGCCCGTAATAGTGCCGGCTGCTAGCAATTCCAGTACAGCGGTGATCTGGGCAGCCACACTCCCCTTTGCGTCCACCGTACCGCGCCCCGCGATGACGGTGTCAGCAGTAGGCGACTCCGGCGCGGTCCGTGAGTAAGGGATATATGGCGGTACAGTATCGATGTGGCTCGTCACTACAACTTTGGACGAGGTTGAGTTACGCGAGTTCGGCCACGCGACAACGTTAAACCGGGGCGCCGAGAGGTCGGATGTTGGGAGAGTCTGGCGCTCTGCTACGAAGCCGCGCTCTGTTAGGTAGTCGATGAGGAACTCGCCGACTCCAGCTTCACTGCCAGTTGTAGAATTGAAATCTACGAGCGACTTGTGGAAAGAGAGCAGGCTGTCTCGGTATGGTGGTGCGCTCCTGTCCGATGCCTCAACTACACGAGGCCCAAAGCTACACCAGAGCATCAGCAAGGACTTCGGAAGCTTCATGTTGAACCAATTGAGGTGGTGTTATTCGTTGCTCTGAAAAAAAGGGAGAAAACTCTACCAAAAATCTCAACTCAGATGTAAGACTGGGCGGGGTTAGTGTTTGCTATCGACATTTTCACCTAAAGGGGTTTGGTGAGAATTGCCAAGTGCAACCTGCGTGATAGGGCCAAGCGGTTACACTTCTGAGGGGCTTGTACTATTAGACCTCATGTCTTCCAGGAAGATTCCCTATGGACCGTCGCCTCTCAGTGATCTCTTAGGTAGTGATCAATATCAAGTGATGGAGATGAACTTACCATGGATTTGACCAGCATACTTGAGTAGGTGCCTCATTCTATGACGGAAGGTGAAGTCTCAATAAAATATTATCGGATTATAACCATTATCTTGCTGTTAAGTAGTGGTCAATCATTTTGCGTGGAGTGACTGGCTGCTGCCGGTGCCCGGGTTTCAACTGTGTGTCATCGGTATTACCCTCCGTCACAAATGAAGAGATTTTGTGTTCCGTGAGAGTTGAAGCATAGGCTGCGCGCTCGTTGAACATCATCCCTTATTTGTCAGAGATCCAACTGCCATGGTACACTTACCACTCCCTGAGAAAGGAGCAATTACATAAAATAGAACCCCTAGAACAGTCTCAAAAGCCGTAGACAACTCACAGACTAGCAGTCCTGACTCTAACAGTATCTATCAATATAACCTTATGGCCTATACTTTGCAATGTCTATGTACTACGAAACAGCAACACACAGCATAGCTGCTGGTGTAGTCCTGTCAATAGTAGACACTTTCGTAGTGTCTCTGAAATTCTGGACACGCCGGATTCAAAAGCAGCCCCTGAAAGCAGACGACTGGCTTTTAGTGCCAGCTACGGTGCGCAATCCAATCGCTATCTATTCATGCCACTGACCAACTCTGGGGGTACATCACAGATTTTGACCGTCGGTATTGGAGTTGTCCTGACTTATGGCGCAACGCATAAAGCGATTGGATGGCCCCTCGTAGTTCCTCCAGATTATCAAGGGAATATCAACATGATGTATACTGATCAAGTGTCATTATCGCGAAAAGTCTGTCAAAACTACCTCCTTTTCTATATAGAATACTTTCTAAATCGCTACATAGGTTCAATATGCATTTATCTTAATGCATCCACTGGCCTTAGGGCTAACCAAAGCCTCCCTCCTCTTTCTGTACAAACGCATCTTCGCAACAGAAAGAAAAACACGTGCTTTGCTTACCACAAGCATTACAGTCGTGGCCTTATGGACAGTTGCATTCTTCTTCTCGGAAGTGTTCCAGTGTAAAACAAACTTCTGGGCTAACTGGGGAACGACCCATGATATCCAGACACAATGCCTGAAGACGACAAAAATACTATGGGCAGTCTGTCTCACCGACTTCGCCCTTGATCTACTGGTGCTGATAATCCCTATTCCTCTTGTACGTGATACCCCAACGGTGACCACGTAGGCACAACACTAAATGTAATTAAAGACTTTGCGACTAAAGTTATCTGCTAAAAAGATGGCTGCCGTGCTTGGAATCTTCCTCTTGGGAGCCATGTATGTCTAATAAATCCCAAAATCTAGCATATGTGCTAACAGGCAACAGCACAGTAGCGGCGTCTTTGCTTCGGCTCATCGTACTAACCGGGCTTGTCTTTTCGCCTCATAGCGCTACCGCAAGTCATCGATTCGGTCAGTACTACTGAAAATCAAAGCTGCAGTCATCAAGCGTTCGTCTGACCTCATCATAGTTAGTATAACGACTTCGATGTATTGGGGAATGGTCGAGTCTAGCATCGGAATAATCGTTGCGTGTCTTCCAACGATCCAGTTCCTGTTTCGAAGGAATAGTCTGACGGGAGCTTCGAGATCAGTCACCATGCGGCGATATGGTAAGGTCGACATATCAAGGCCAAGACCTTTCCAATCGTCATTTTCTAGCGGGCCTACCAATCAAACTGAAGACAGCGTTGATGTTGCATACTCAAACAAGTACAAAAGTCCTATTGTTGATAGAGCTGTTGTTCTCGTTTGAGTATGGTCACTCCTTTGCGCCGAAATAACAACAGAAGCGAGGATGAGTCAGATTGTATTGAGCTGCATGAACACTCAGCTGAAGCCAGTCGACGCGGGTCGTCATAGCGCGGGCTTCCAAACCAACGTATTTCAGAAGGATAAGGAGTAGAATCGGCAATATGTTTGTTTCACTGGGATTTTAGGCGTTATTATGTGTTCTTAAGATTGATTTAGGCTTGGGTCGGTTGTCTTGTTCACCATCTGTGCCAGCACGATATACACTAGAATGTCAGGCAGATACTGCCAACAGAACTCTACAGACAGCACGCTGTTGCCGCACACCTGGGTTATAGGTTTTTGTAATAACTGAATTGCAATTAGCTCCACGTCCGACGTTGGCGTTGACCAACGAAGTTGACGGAGGACACGCTACTCATCGCAAAAGTCCAACTCTCTAGATAGATCACACCCAATGCTGCTCTGCTCTATGCCAATGCTCTATGCCAACCAGAATATAGAAATAGAAATGCAGGGATGCTTCTATGTTTATAGTTGTGGTTCTCGTTGGGAACTCCTTGCTTCTTTTCGCCCCGTCGCTTCTTACGGTAGGAAACGCCGGGCGCCCAATCCGGCAATCTGGAGAATAAATTACCGTTCCTAATCGTGCGCCTCCGATCCCACCAATCGAGGACCCTCGCACGGGGCCCCGCGGCCGAAATTCAAGGCACCACGAGACCCTTAGCGTAAGATGAATATCGGGTTCGCGATTCCGTGGGATTCCATCGCCGATGGCTACGCCTTACCATCGTCACATCGTGCCATGACTGACAGTCGTCTGACAAGCATGCTGGTTTACGCTTGGACTAACTGTTAGCTTCTCCCGGTAAGCCGGCGCTTCACTCCGTGCCCATAATGGATACATGATGAAGGAATCGTGTGATAGAATGCGGGGATGAACCAAAGTAAAGAGGCTTCAGAATGATGAGAGTATATAGATAACAACGGCCCAAATCATCGGGTCCTAAACACAACCCCTAGCGATCAACACCTTCAGCACGTCTCGCATATCTCAAATCAGCTTCAGACCTCAGCTACAGCATAAATGAAATCGACTCTATACACAGTCGCCGCTGTGGCTTTCGGCGCGGTCAATATTGCTGCACACGCCACGTTCCAGGACCTATGGATAAACGGTGTGGATTATATAAGTTACCCTCGACCCTTATCATCCACCGACGAGAAATACTGACACTCCCAGCACGGCGCAAGCTGCGCCCGTTTACCTAGGTCCAACTCCCCCGTGCAAGATGTGACATCGAAGGACATTGCCTGCAACGCCGGCACATCGCCAGTATCAGGCAAATGCTCCGTCGCCGCCGGCGACATAGTGACGGTGGAAATGCACCAGCAGCCCGGTGACAGGAACTGCGCCAACGAAGCCATTGGCGGCGACCACCACGGGCCGGTGCAGGTGTACATGGCGGCGGTCTCGAACGCCGCAAGCGCAGCTGGGTCGGATGCGTCGTGGTTCAAGATCTTCGCCGACACGTGGGCGTCGAATCCGAGCGGCTCCAACGGCGACGCCGATTTTTGGGGTAGTAAGGATTTGAACAAGTGCTGTGGACGGATGAGCGTTAAGATCCCCAACGATATCGCGCCCGGTGATTACTTGTTGCGCGCTGAGGAACTCGCGCTGCATTCCGCTGCGAGTAGCGGCGGTGCCCAGTTCTATATGACATGCTTCCAGCTCACGGTGACGGGATCCGGCACCGCGAAGCCCGCGGGTGTGAAGTTGCCTGGCGCGTATGCTGCGAGCGACCCCGGTATCTTGGTCAATATCCATGCGTCTATGGCCACTTACATCGCCCCTGGTCCTACTGGTGTGTCGAAATCGAAATGACCTTTTTGCGGAACATATTACTGACTGGAATACAACAGTGTACTCGGGCGGTTCAACGAAGAAGGCTGGCACAGGGTGCCAGAACTGCGAGTCGACTTGCGCGGTTGGCAGTAGCCCGACGACGTCGGCGTCGAATGGCGGGGGCGGCAGCGGACCGTCAACAACGATAAGAACATCGACGACGACTAGAAGTGGTTCTAGTCCTACGGGTTGCACCGCCGCTTTGTATCAGCAATGCGGAGGCATTGGCTATACGGGTTGTACTGCGTGTGCTGTGAGTTATCCCACCTGTTGCTTGTAGAAAAAAAGCCTGCTAACGATCTAACAGTCAGGAACGTGTAATGCCCTCAACGACTACTATTCGCAGTGCCTTTAATTATATAGTATGAATCCGACGATGTGGCTTTATGCGCATTCGGTGTTCTGTGATGGAAAGTGTTTGGAGCAACTAGTTGTGAATATTAGTTGCATCCCAGAGCAGTGGTTGCTGTTACATGTCAACACTGCCTGTTTAAACTGTTCTATATTATTTGTATATTGGGTATATTAAGGTTATATATACAGGCTTTTTCACCTCATGAATGTTGCTTCCATCCTTCACTGTCACGTTGATTGCCATGGGGATCAGAGAGGGTTTTAATCGTGGCGAACATAATGCTTTCACAGAAACGCGTATTTTATAAAAGGGCAAGTTTGGTATCGTAGTTCGAAGCAGGTCAACCCAGACGGGCGCTTGCCGCGAGATGATTAAGTCGGAGGTCCGACGTAGTTTTTGCGGCCCCAAGCCAAGTACCAAACCACCGAGATCAAGGTAAACCCGACGAATACCACAGGGGCGTAGTTGGCTAGACCGGGATCAAGGACGGGAACAGTGGTCGGCATGGAGAAAAGGGGAATGACAAGCAAAGTCCAAGCTGGTTCCAGGTTAGCACGACGGATACACAGGCAGTGTCCAAGACAGGGGATGACGTACAAACGGAGATGATGTTGGCGGCCCAACCGAATTTACCAAGGTAGAAAGAAGCATTGGTCACTGTCTTGCGCCCCTCTAGCATGCTTACGAAGATGGGCGCGCAGTAGGCGGCAGTGAGCGCAATGACTCCAACACCGGAAAACGCATTGAAGGCCGCTGAGGAACCGAAGTAGATGAGGCCGAGGGCAATTTGAACCACCATGCTCAGCATCATGGCATTGAAGGGAACATGAAGCTTGGGATGAACAACCTTCCATAGTCCTGAGCCGGGAATGGCGCCATCACGAGAGAAGGCGTAAACGGAGCGGGATGCGGCAGTAGTGCAGCCAGTACCGCAGAGGATACCAAGGACTAGAAGAGGGATCAACAAGGCAAAGGCACCACCCTCGTGGCCTACAGCGCCCTTGATGATGGCCGGGACGGGCTGGGCGAGTAAGATAAGCTCTTGAATGTCGTCAATCACGAATACAAGCGGGATGAGGAAGACCAGACCAGCTCCCAGGTTGAACAGAATAGTCAGGACCATAGCTTTGGGCACCTGGGTGGCAGGTGACTTGACCTCCTCGCACATGCTGCATAATACGTTAGCATCACGCGGGGACAGGGCAATGTCGTGGAACATTGCGGGAGGGGGGATTCTCCTTACGATAGGATCATGCCGGTCGCAGAGGTGGCGTAGGCAGCATGCAATAGGCCAACGAAGAATGACCAACCGGGCGTCCAGCCCGAATTGACCTCGAAATGAGTAAACACATAACTGGCGTCACGGCGTCCACTCTTGGCAAGAGCCAGTACAGTCACCAAGATGGCAATTAGGCCGGCAAAAGTCCAGAAGATAGCGAAGGTCTGCAGAAAAGAAACGTCAGCACCAGGTATGTCCTTGGGGAGGCGACGGCCAGGAGTCGACGTACATCGAGGATTGGTAGCCACTTGTTGCATAGTGCACACACAGTGTTGCACAGCAAAGTGATGCCGAGGAAGATCAGAAAGACTTGGTAGGCTGAACCGGCCAACACGTCTTGTCCATCAGCTGTCTGGAACACATTGATGGAGCCCACTAGGAATAGCGCGGTCGCGAAGTTGACGGATAACGTAATGGTGATGTTGCCCACGACGTATAACCAACCGCAAATCCAGGCCGAGACCCGACGGTAGTCCACAGGCGCGAGCATGAAAGCTTGGTAGTAAACACCGCCGGCTGTTGGATAGACACTCGTGATCTCTCCGAGCGAGGCGGCGACACAAACAATGATGAGCGAGACGCCGACCCAGCCCCAGATAATGTCGACGGGGCCACCGCATACCAGGGGGTAGTAGAGGGTTGTAGCAAGACCATAGGGAACGGAAGCCAAGACGAAGGACATAAATGCGACCTGGAAGGTAGACCGCGTGCGAACCAATTCGGGAGTATAACCTAGCGACGACAGCAACTGATCTGCCGACTCGGACTCGGATCCGCGAAACTGGTCGTCGGAGACCATGGCTTCTGATTTTACGCCCATCGTCGTTGACGTCAGCTTATGCGGCCGATGGGACGGGAGGTGATGTCGTAGTAGAGATTAGATTCGCAACACCGATTACTCCATGAGGTATGTATGTCTAAATGATCAAGGTTTACAAGGACAGACGTCGGCTGCGCGGCTTCAAACGCAAAAAATTCGAAGTGAAGACAGAAAAGAACGAATGGGAAAGGGGTGTGAAAAGCTAGATAAGGAAGGATCTTAATTGTATATGAAATGGCGGCTGATCACTGGCCGAGAGAGATCGGAAAACTACCAGGCTCAAAGATTGAGAGCAACAGCTACTCCCTACCTAGCAGATCCCTCCTCCCACTTATCTCTACCTAACCCTCCTTTTGCATTTCCATATTTAACCACGCTATTCGCCCCAGCTCACTACTCACCTCGTACTACCGTTAGGAAACACTAAACCCGTCTCAAGTGAGTTCTAGAGGTCTTGAAGGGAAACGAAGGACACGGGGCTACTGGGGTAGCGCAGTGGCACAGAAATACCTAGAGTACGCTAGAGAGGCGCTGTTTCTTCGACGGCCCAGCTTCGATTACCCCCAGTTAGCTCTATCTAGTGTAGCTCCCGACAACCTGGGACGATGGGCTGCCATGGCACGCGACGGCGAGTCCAAAGAGACCTCTGAGGGCGAGGAGGGTAAGCTGATAAGACGTTCGGTCGCTAGGGCTTACAAGCTCGCCAGGTAGGCATCGCTCGCAACAGGGCCAAGGGCCTGGGTAAGTGTTATGAGGGGCAACAGGGGTGGCGAGACTTCATTCGGTGATCGTTCCGCCATGAGTCGCCTAGTGCGTTGTCGCTTGTGGTCTTGGACTGGAAACGGTTGCCTCCTAGAGCAGGGGGACTGGGGCAGGTAATGAATGACCTGCATTTCCATCTCTAGGCAGCGAACCGGCAGTGTTAGTGTGAGCGTGTAGAATTACTTAATTCCGGCTGGGCGTTTATCCCATCATTGCAGAAGCCAAAGGATATGGCAACATACTACCTGTAGTTCTGTAGTGTAGAGTAAGTATCGTATTGAAATGACACTACTTTGTCGATCATGGATGACAGGGACATCCCATCTTGTACAGTACAGCAGATTTCTGCGTTTTGGGGTAGAATCGCATGTCTTATCTTCCTCCTCCATAGATTAATCATGGATATAGGTACCTACTTATCTGTAACAGTCGCTCCTCATCAGCAGATAGTACATTAGACAGACATGGATACCGATCCATCTGTAAGAGACGGGCCTTGTCTAGCGTACAGCAATTTCAAGGGTCTCTAAACTTGACCTGGGCCGAGCAGAGCTCTGCAGTACATAGAGACACTTGCGCGGATTAATCCCTCAGAGTGAAGATCAACTCAGGAGCCTCGAATTACCTGCTAATGGGGAGAGGGTGACGTCAATCTCCCACGTTACAATTAAATAGCACGGAACCACTAGAACGGGTTGAGAACCTTTCGTCGCTCCACCACACATGCCGGTTGCGTTCCATCGATTTGCAAATCGTTCTTTGAGAATGCTACCGTTGAATGACCCGATCGGTTCTGGCTCGGCGTGATCGCTACCACCCTCCCAAACGCTCGGAGCTTTACCGATACCTCCCTACGATATGGTAAAGCCGTACCTCGATTGTCCATAATCTACAATATGTATAAATAGGCGGCTGCTGATTGAAATAACCGTAGACTCACTCACAAGATGGATTGAGAAATATTCACAGGGGCGCGTTTGCATACAGAGACGCAAGATGTCAACCTATTTCATCAACCCACCAAAGCTGATGGTTGAACCTGTCCTCTTCACATCATCTCGCGCGTGTACTCCGCTCTCCTCACCCCATGGATCATGAGATGATAACGTCCCTTACTTATTATAAACAAGCGACGCGAGTTTCAGGCGCGACAAGCTCGACGGTAGATAACAGCTCCTTGACGACGATAGCTACGATAATACGAATTGCTTAATAGCTCGATAATGCACATACCGGTAGGCAAGGCATGGATACCATGGCCACATTCTAAAGTGCCGTATGCCCTGAAGCCTGGCGCGTATCTAGCGGACTGTTAAGCTCAACAAGCTAGCCGGCCATATCGATGTATGTGTATAACATGCTATTAGCGACAACAATGACAACAATTACACACTGGATCAGGAGGCCCATACTGTGGCGCTGTCCTACGAGTCTCGCCGAAGTAGAATCGGCTCTAACGCATGACTGCTCCAGAGCTCCAGAGTCCGTCTTCATGCAAGTCACCCAACTAGCGCTCCAGCGGACTGGACTTGATAGATCTAGTCTTCTGCTAAGTAAGTCTAATTGAGACGGGGTGCGCAGACGTGGAACGACGGTGGCAGCAGACACTCAGCTCTACTTACTTACTCCTTGGCGAGGCGGTGAGCAAAAAAACTGGCACTTCCCTCCCCCCTCTAGATGATTGAATAGGTGGTGTTTTGGGGGGAGGGAAGTGCCAGTTTTTTTGCTCACCGCCTCGCTTGGTTATGTGGGCGTATTCTGGTTACCGTGTCGCGACAGAATGCAGAATGCGGAGAATAATGGGGGACAGGGGACGCCCGGACACAAATGAGCGATATTGTTCTACATAGAGTAGGACATGCTATGTACACTGCGCAACAGATTCTCACGTCAGTACCGGTTGAGCTATTGTCTCTCCGACATCCCGAGAAGAAACAACATGCCGAAGCTAAGCACTGCAGTAGACCTGAACTAAGGTATATTTCATAGCGAGAATGGAACAGTTCTCGAATAATCTTCGCGCCAGAGAGAGCTCGCCCAATCAACGATGATGCCTTTCTCTATCCGCGCCGCATCTATAACGGTATCACAGTAGTAGATCCAATCCAGCCCCCTTTTTCATTCGCCGTCGCCTTGCGCATCGTACTGCTTGAACAGCTCGTCGAATTCCTTCATTCTGGCCACGGCATCGTGAAGACGCGGCCACTCGCTTTCCTGAGGCAAATCACCCGCGGGCGCCCCACTCTCCCACCAACGGGCGAACCGCTCGTACAGCTCTGCCACAATCCTCGAGCGACGTGGCAAATCCTTCTGCCAGTCCTGCCAGTCCCATTCAATGGGAACGACCTCGTCCGTGGCATGGTCATGCAATTGAATGTCGATAGGGTCTTTGTACGAATCCGAGTGGACGTACGCCCCATTCGCCGTGACCATGATCTCCCCCTTCTCGCCATTGATAGTCCAGATGAAGCCCGGCGTTCCTTTGAACTGGTGTCCGGAACGGAACGTGAAAGACAGCGTCGCGTTATCAGCGATGTCTGCTTTGCCCTTCGCTAGCTTTCCGTGAACAGCCACGAGATCAGGGACATCAGAGCGTATCTCCTGATCCGTCGTCACGCCATTGCTGTCCCGGATCTTGAGCACCGGCCGCTGGATCTGCATGCGACTCTGGAATCCGTCGAACTCACCCAACACGTCATGCACGTAGTCGATCGTGTGCGCGAACGCGATGGTCACATGGTTTCCGCCGATGCTCCGCTGAGTGAAATAGGACACTGACTCCGAGACGCTGTCTCTTCGCCCGAGGTTGGCGTAGGTCCGGACGTCGCTGCTTAACACACGGCCGATGCGTCCGGATCTTAAGACGTCCTTCAGCTTTAGTGCGATGGGCGATACGCGGCCTTGCAGCCCAATGATGCTGGCATCGATACGCTTGTTGCTTGTCAAAGATTGCGCAGCTGCGTAGTTCTCGGCCAGCGGCCACTCGATGAACACGGCTTTACCGGCGTTGAGAGACGGCGCAGTCGTGAGAACATGTGTATCGACCCTAGTGTTACATACCACGAGGTCGATATCTGGATCCTTAGCTAGCTCATCGGGGCTGCCGTATGTCTTCACTGTTGCGGGTAAGTTGAAGTGAGTCCGTGCTGCCTTGGCGGCCTCGACGCTGGAATTCAACAGGGCGACTATTTCGTAATGTGATTTGCCCCGCGCCGACTGAAGATAAGGTAGGTGGCCCTGCTCGGCCCAGTTGACCTTGGCTGAAGCCGATAGCCCAATGAGGGCGATGCGTATAGGGGTCATTGGAAGATGTGGTCGTGTGATTGCTTCAGAGAACATGAATTAGATTGGACGGTCGATAGTATGTTAGACCTCTTAGCGTTACAGGCGGCAAGCAAAGGAAACTCATTCGTGGGGATATATCAACCTCATAAATCACCCTTTATACTTCTCATCTGTCTGGAGTCATTATAAATCACCAAGGGACGAGAGGTTTGTCAGTACAGTGACTTCCGACAACTCGCACAGTCATCGTGGTAGCCAAATTGGCACATGAGGTCACAGTACCAGACAATTATCATACTGTAATCTTTCCCTTTTAGGCAAATGGTCCTCTGATGCCTTGATTTCTCATCTCCAACCCACATCTCACTATGAGCTCGCTGATCAGCTCACTGAGCAAAGGGCTAAAGGCCGACTCGTTCAACTTGCGCCTATACCCACACACCACTTTATACCTGAAGATCAAGTTTAAATTTAAATAGTATGGGCTTCCAGGTACCGACAACCGATGTGTGTAATGGTTATCGATAACTAGTCCTTTGTCTCAACGTTAGATGCACATCTTTCGATAGAATGAACCTCACACTCATCGGAATAAGTAAGAAGAACGAGGGAAGCGGTGCCATCATGGTTATATGAGATTAACCTAGGTGGTATAAAGCTAATAGGCTATCTCAGCGTCTGAATAAAACATGTAATCTAAATCATTCTCATTTCAAGTCTGTGCGATGCGGAAACGTCGGATTAGGTCATCAACGACGATGAAATAAGACTGTGAAGTGACAGAAATCTAGCGACGGGGATGATGGTAGCAGGTGGAAACGGACGCGGGGAGGTGATCGGGGAAACTAGGACTAGAAGTGCAGAGGAAACCAATCGGAGATATTTAGTGAGGAAGAAGGTTTAGGAGGAGGAGCAGGAGGAGGAAGATGCTGTTCACGGAGGAATGTGAACCGGAGACGGAGGACTCGGGGTAAATGATGGCGGCAGGCACAGCTCAAACTACACGGATATTCGGGATCACCCCTGACACTTATGATGTCTGTTTCTTGTTTCAATGCTTTCCCCCGCGGCACCAATGCGTGAAGTAATACTCACGGAAGATGACTACAATACGTGTGCGAAGTATTTGAGAAAACACCCAGGCTCTACATACTTACATAACTACTCTCGCATTAAACGGATCGCCACCGCCGCGCATCATCTACCTATCAACTAGGTGAACAAGGTATGCTAGTCCACGACCGCAGACAAGAGAATCCCAGCAGCAGATTAGCGACAGCGTAGGTAGCATGCCAAGAGCCTGTCAAAAGGCCCTCAGCGCGAGACCTCGGCAAGGTCTATCCAGGTTTCGGACGACTTTCTTTTCCTTCCATGGACAGGGAACGATTTCTAACGCCGGCGGCGCACGCAGACAATGAAAATTTTGAGTGAATTCCAAAAATAAAGGCAAAACACGTACGTAGTGTACTACCTATGGTTAGCATAGCATAACACATAACATCGCATATAGCATAACGTAGTATAGTGTAGTATAGTATAGTATAGTATAGCATAGCGGAGAAGAAGTTCGGATTGCACAGCACAGCATAGCATAGCATAGCATACCTAGCATAGACACTGCAAGCGTTGGCGTGAAAGAAAGAAAAAACACGGTTCCTGTCAAATAGACCCAGTGACCATTCCTATCTGCGAGGCGAGTCCAAGATCCTGAAACAACCTCAGTCTCACGAAGCCAGCGCAGCAGTACAGTAAGTAAGTAAATAAGTAAGTCAAGTTTGAGTACTACCTACGTATGTAATGTAGCATAGCATAGCATAGCATAGCACAGGAGACCCGCTCCCCGGCGCACAAGTCAATATAGCATCAAACTGCCGAGAACAGACATGACTTGCTGTCGCAGCGCATCGCATCGTAACGTATTGCGAGAGGAGGACGAAGCGCGACGCAAGCGCAAGCGCACAACTAACTGCAAGCGCACATACCCTCCTCCTCCTCCTCCTCTTTCTGCCGACATTCGTAGTCCATACATACATACATACATACATGCATAGTGGGTAGGGTGACAACAGTATAGTATCGTATCGTAAGTAAGGAGGTGGTTGATTCATTCCTTCATTTTGTTTTCTCCATCGTCCCACACCGATAGGGTAGGTCCCCTAAACCATACTTATGATGCCGACCGGGCGGGTCCGGGGATGTCGTGTTGTGTGATTGATTCGCTCATCCCATCGGGGTCCCGTCAAAGCGGACGGACCATACTTTAACTTATAGTAGCATGGTCATGGGCCGTGGGACATCTTTTGGCGTGGGGGGTTTCGATTGTAATCTGATTCCTCCTCCCTACCCCCAGTCTTCTTGGATGGACTTATGTAAAAGGGGGCCAAGAGGGATTGAAACTTGCGTTGCTCTGGAGAATGTGGGAATTGAATTCTAGCAGAATCAACTTGATTACAATGTTTTTGGCTGTTACTAATACCGTGATTTAGATTAGCTATCTAGACACTTAAATATGAGTGAATGAACATCTGTAAAATCTGCTGAAACGAAAATTCCATGTCGGTCTGTAGGTAAGTAAGTAAGTATGTATGTATGTATACCGGTATTAGTCACTTACTTATCCCAGCCCTTACCTTACCTTACCTTACCTTTCCCAGCTCACGTCAGACAACCAACGTCCTACCACCCAATACATAGTACAACCCAGCACAACACACGCGAGGGCGCAACGGCATTTCGAGGTGAAGTTTCGGGTTTCGACATGACATGCGAAAAGCAAAAAATAAAATAAAGTGACAAAAATAAAAAAAAATGAAACCCGTGTTATAGTCGGCATGTGCCGAGCCTTCACCATTCGCGCTGGTTGGCTTGGACGATAAAAGAAGGGAGAGAGGGTGAGAGAGCATGGGCCTATGCTGTTGGGAAAGACGCACTACACTAGGTAGGTTAGCGGGTCCCGCCGCTCGGGAATGAATGAAGCTGTCTGTTCGTGCCCTCCGCCTCGCCTCGCTTCGCTTCGCCTTATAGGTACTGTACCTCCGGATGGGAAACAAAACAAAACAAAGCAGAGGGGAAGCCCAAGTCCGGCATATATTCAAACAACTCTATAGTATCGTCTTGGCGGGGTCTGGCTCACATTTCACATGAATAGACTTCTTTCGTTGCAGCAACACTCGGCAATCGAAGTGGGGAGGGAGGTGTGTGGGAAAGGAAAGGAAAGAATCGAAAAAAGGAAAACGGGAAAAAAAAAAGAGTAGGTTGGTTCCACATCGTTTCTTCTATTCCTTTTTCTTCGCTTGGATGGATTATATATAAATATATCTATATGTACACGATATATACACAACCCATCTAAGGCTGGGCTAAGCTTGTAAACTGTTTCTACTCCAACATCCCATCTGCACGCTATGACATCGTCGGACTATCCCTTTCACCATCATCACCACCATCACCATGAGAACACATCATGCGGCAGCAGCAGGTCGCCAGATCCGTCAGAAATATCATCCCCCCAAACCTCCATCTCGCAGTTCGAATATGCGAGTATGATTCGATCGGCTGGCCAGAGTGACATGGAAGCTATCATAGAGGTCGAGACGACTTCCTTCCCTCAGATCTACACCGATGTCGGCCAGCTAGCCGACTGCCGTCGACGCGAGCTCGAAGGAGGCTACCCTTATTATAGAATTCTCACGACCAACCCGGAGTTGGGCGATGAGACGGCGATCCACGGCCTCATAATATTCGAATCCTATCTCCGCTCTTATAGGGAGTACCATGATATCGGAACTGGGGAGGGGATCGTACTACCAGCAAATCGTCCGCCAGATAAGAAGCCAGCCTACAGCATCTTGATGGCTGCCATACGCGCTGATCCTGCCTTGCTGGACGAGGAGTTTCTATGTAAGTCTATTCGACGATTGGCAAACCATGTTGCTCACTTTCCCATCGTTAGTTGTTTCAGAGATCTGTATTCATCCCCACGTACGAGAAAGAGGCAATGGGACGAGACTCATGCGTCATATTGTGGATGTGGCCGACGTGCTCGCCGTAAACATCATCGTCCTTGTCGAAGGTTCAGTTTCGGATGCTGCTCAACGGTGGACAGCAGATGAAGCCGAGGAGATCAACGCCGTTGAGTTGACTGCGTTAAGGGAAAGGGAGCAGAGGACAACCATGCCGTTCTATGACAGGTTAGGATTTAAGAAGAGAGCGTATTTCTTCTGGGGTCGCCGAGGTTGTGCCATACCTAGGATTTTTTACGTGATGCAATACCCGGCGTACAGGTAACAGAACGGAGGGATAGTGATACTCGGATAACCATACTAGATATAGAAAAGGACGCTCAAGCATCAGCAAGATAAATCGAATGGTACGCTTTTGGTTGACAGCTTTCTTCGAGTCTTAGTATGGGTACGCGATCATCTCGGTCTATTGCCTGCAACACGCTATGTATGCATAGCACGCAAGCATAACTTAGGAGCAGGGAGTTATGATCCTGTTGTCGTCGCGTGGCATTCGCATTCATGCCGTTCACTTATTCCTCCCAAAGCGGACATCAAATTCCTTCAGCACACCCATTATACTGGCCGTTTCAACGTCCAAAGCAGTACGACCAAGCGTACTGCCTGGCGCAGGAACAGCTCTGAGTTTTGGCAACCATGTTTCGATTTCATCACTTGCACGTTCGAAACCTGGATGGCTTGATAGAGTCTGGTAAGCATCTGCACACGACAAGCTTACCCCAGCGGCCGGGTTGGAGGTCTGCGCTGGTGGTTTAGCAGATTTGCAGCATCCCGAGCCACCTGAGCCACCACAGCAACCCCCAGTCGCGCTTCCAGACTCACGAGCGAAGGTCGCAGCGAGGCTTCGACAAAAGAGTCCCGACTTAGGGTCTCTGAGACACTGAGAGCACGTTCCAGGGCCGTTTGCACCGCAACCGGTGGGCTTGCGTGTGGGTTGGAATGAGTTGCGTTTAAGGGTTTTCAAACTTGGTAATTTGATGGCACCTGTTGAGGTAACTTCCATAGGGTGGGGTCCCACATCATCCTCTGAAGGGGGCGGTGTCTCGACTTGCTGGTTCATTGGGGGTAGGGTCTGGATAACAGCAGTTTCGGCACACACGCAGTAACTACCCTCTGTACAGAAGCCACATGGCTCTTTTGCTTGAAGTGGAGGCTGTGTCATTGGAAGAGGCTCTTCAGAAGGAGGCTCTGCAACTACCACTTTCTTCTTAGACGAGAACATAGCAGTAAAGTCAATTTCGTTGGGATAGGACTCTGACTTCTGTCGCTTTTCCAGAGGCGCCAGCTCAGCAATAGACGAGTGCTTCCGTTTCAGCTCAGCCTCAACAGAGGTTATGGGAGTGCTAAGCGCTGCCTCGAGACATTCACATCTCGTGCCGATGCTACATTTCCCACACTCAACGGTTGTGTTTGCAAGTACACTATCAACACATGAGCATGTTCCTGTGGAGCTGCAATTACCACAGCCAATGACGTCTGATACGCCTTGGGGATGATCCGAGGACTCTGGAGGAGATATCATCTGGGGTATGGAGAAAGCTGATGCTGAATTCCGATGTCCAAGGACATTAGCTGTAAAACTGCCTCTCGAGGCGTGGTGTTGTGAAGAAACGCTTGGAAGCCGCCCATGCTGCGACATAAAACTTCCATTTCTCGATGACGAGATACTAGAGGCACCGTTCTGCCAGTGACGCCGCAAAGACTCTAATTCACGGGTAACCGCTAGCCTTTCTGCACGTTCCTTTTCTAGGTTGTCCTTCAAAATACCGCACTGACTTTGCAGAGAATCCACCTCGCCACTTAAAGCCTCAATCCGTTGATGCAATTGCTGCTGAACACGTTCATGCTCTTCCCGTTGCTCTTCAAGTTCCTCTTCCAATTCACCTACTCGAGCGGCTCTCCGCTCACGGAAGGCCCGCTGTGCAGCTCTGTTCTGAGCTTTGCGCTTGGTAGGCGGAGTATCGGTTGCAGGCTTCCTGCCAGGCTTGGGTCGTGGCGGGATTACCCATTCCTTGCTGGTGATGGAGGTTTTGGGGGGAAGTATCGCCATGTTGGTAATCTGGACACCTGCACCTGTAGGCTTCATAGCTATTTGCGGTGTCGAAGAGGATGGCGTAGACACATTTGATGATGAGGGTGAGAAATCCGAAGCAGGAGAGGAGGCCGTCGTAGGAGATATGGCAAGCTTAGTCGGACATGGCCTCGTGGCAATGTTGGGATTAGAGTTAAGGAGGGCAGCAGACGCCATATTGATTGAACAATGATGATAGCAATGAAAGACAGCTCATACAGCAATCATCCATTCGCTATCAGAAGGACGAATGTAATGTTCAAGGTACCCACGCTGGCTAGGTAGAGACGGGATAGAATTATCTTCTTCTCAAGGCTTTTCACGTAGTACGTAAAATGTTGTACTAGAAGAAAGAACAAAGAGATGGATGGACAAGGGAACAAAAGGAAGTAGAGACTGGTGGCTGGAAAAGAAGTAATGGTACAGAAGAATAAGGGTCTGCGGGCTCGAAATCCGCGGAGGGGCGATGTTCGGCGGTCGGATACTGGTTGCCAAGGCAAGAGTTTGTGCGTGCTTAGTGACTCTGATCCAGAGCGCTAAACCCAGAGATCTAGGGGTATATCAGATGTGCCGAGGAAGACTTATAGACCTTTCCAGAGCAAAGAACGATTGAGGCACGGAGGGTCCGATTCAAGCCTTGTCTGACCTTAGCCATTCGATGTGAAAGTAAAAGATGCTCCAGTAGGCCTCAGATGCACAACAACCGAGCACTGTCAGATTCGTATCAATTCGAGCGTGTGTGACAGGAATTCGTTTGTGCTGGGGCCGTAACATAGACCTGGTTAACCGAGAATGGTGCGTAGAGCCTGTGTTATGACTGATCCAATAATGAGAGAGGGGAGGAGGAGGGGGGGCTCGGAGAGAAACGGCGAGAAGGATTTGCAAGGTGGGATGGGAGGTGAGGGGATTAGGTGACCAGAGAGATGGGAATGGAGATGGAGATGGAGCGTTGATGGAAAATCACTGATCAGATTGATAAGATTACACTGGGTCCTCCCTCGTCTAGGCAAGCGATCCTCTTTCCAATTTGTGGATCCCATGTGGCGGCTCGAAAAGAGCGCCAGGCCAGCCGAAGGAAGCGTCACTGGAACGAGCAGCAAGCAGTGAATGGTTGGTTGGTTGGTTGGTTGACTGGTTGATGGTTCCCGGCCGCCGCGCGGGACCGGAGAAGGCTACAAGACTTTGACACTTGGCGACTTCAGCTATGTCCAGTTCTCTTCAAAACTATGACAGGCGATGGACCAAAGCAGCTAGAGTGACTGGTCCGGCGTGGTGGTTATCCGGGTGGACTGATACGAGAGAATTCTGCGAAAAGAGCGGCAACACTGTGTATGTACGTAAGTATGTACGTATCTCTCTGCAAGCACGCTGAAACACGTGAGCAGTCTCGGCCAGATGGGAAGTTTTCTCTTTCTCTCTCTTTCTCGCCTGCTCTCTCTCTCTCTACACTAGCCACAGAGCAATTCAAGAGTGGACATAGTAAGAGTGTATCCAAGTTGTTTGGTAAATAGGTCTGTATTCCGGTTGCGACATCCCATCTGACGATGTGCTCGAGCTTGAGTCGTAAGTAAATGGTCGGATAGTGCCGGAACAATGATGCCACTGGTCAGGCGGCCGAATAGCGCTAGTGACGCTACTAGTGTCAGTGTCTAGGCAGTAACACTAGGTAATTTCAGGTAACGCGAATACGCAACCGCTTAGGTACGCACCGATACCGGCGCCTGGCCGTGCGACCCAGTGACCATGTTAATATGTCCTAAGAGCGTCCGATCATCACATCAGAATTGCACGGTATCTGCCACAGTTTTAATAATTCAACTTTCTCTTTCACTATGTACGGATGTGGATATATTTTCAGATGCTTCTTAATTGCCAATCCTCTGAGTTAGGACTTAGACACCTATTGGGGCAGTTACTCTGCAAAGACTACATGTGCCGAATCAAATGTTACTGGGTAAGTACATAGTGCCTACTTACTGAGCTGGGAGCATCCGCATGGGGAGGACCAACAAGTTCATGATCCCAGGTATAATAATGCCCTCATATGGATGTAACTGCATGTGAACTATTGTTCTACCGCAGACTGACTACCTGCATATGTGCAATGGCTACATGTAGGATGTTGTTCATCATGATACATGGACAGAGCAGTGCTTCTATGTAAGGATGTACCTATAAGGACTTGGCGAATGTACCTAGGTACATTCTAAGCGGGTGGGTAAGGGTAGGTAGCTGCCGTAACTGTAGATTCTGAATATCAAATATCACCTCTCTAATGAGCAGCTGTTGAATATGCCATTGTGAACGACATCGAACGCAACGAGTCGGGATTTCCAAACGAACAATTAATATCGGATCTTCACATCTATGGTGATACATCAAGTGCATATCAATTTAAAAACGTGCTCCCTCTAAGCCTGAGGATCGCAGCTTCTGCAGCAAGCACATATTCAAGCTACAAGGCTATGCAAACTGCCGACGACACCACATCCCATGCATTAAACCCCAACGTCCTATCAGCCGCATCGTGCACATTTACACGACGAGCACACGTTCTCAGACAGGCCCTCAGCAATCCTCAGGGGAAACCCCAATTCAAACCATGGCACAAATGCCACACCTTGCGGCCCCCAAGCCCAACCGTCCCGCAAAATTCACCATGCCCTCCTCCCCATCCTCATCCTCCAACGCCTCTGACGACGACGACGACGAAGTAGACTCCGATACACCCCTCCCCTTCCCCACCGCGCTCCCACGCACAGATTTCCTCGCGCCCAACTTCAGCGCAGCAGAATATCTCTCCTCCCTCCCGCACCGCCACCAAACCCTCGAAGACCTACGCTCCGATCTGCGCGATCGCAGCGCCGCCATCGGGACCGAGCTCCTCGAGCTCGTGAACGCGAATTATTCGTCCTTTTTAGGTCTAGGGGATGAATTACATGGCGGCGAGGACAGGGTTGAAGATGTTCGTGTTGCGCTGCTTGGATTCAGACGTGCGGTCGAGGAAGTTAGGTCTCGGGTGAAAGATCGCGGGGCGGAGGTGAGGGGTTTAACGAGAGAGTTGGGAGTTGTTAGGGGAGAGATTGAGATGGGACGGAAGATGATTGAGTTGGATGATAGGATAGTTGCGCTTGAAGCGAGGCTTGCGGTCGGGAGTACGGGGGAGAGCGAAAGTGAGGATGACGACGACGAGGACGATGAAGAAGGCGAGGAAGGAGGGACAGGTGTCACGAAATTAACTCTGTTGGCGGGGGATTATGTCGCCGCGGATGAACTTGCCGATGAGATTGGACGGGATACGCCGATAGTGAGGAAGATGGAGGAGAGGATGATTAGGTGTCGGAATACGCTCCTCTTGGATCTCAATGCTGCGCTGAAGGAGGCTAGAAAAGCTGGGACGACGGGACGCGCGAGGCTGCTTAGGCTTATGGGGGTTTATGTCACGCTGGATGCGCAGGGTGAAGCGCTGAAGGCGTTGAAGGGGAAATGAGGATTGTGCGATGGATACTGTCCATTTATTTTACCCTTTGAAACGTATATACGTAAAACGCGCAGTTAGATACCCCATGCATGCACAAATTCCCATTAGATTGGAGCGAGGGAGATAAAGGTTGTAGAACAAGATGACTTGGTATGATACACTTTTATACAGTGCTATTGTAACCCGCTCTCTATATCAACAAAAGCGACACAACCATCTACATCTACATAGCCGTGCTTAAATGAGCCGGTGTAAGATCCTTATCCGTAGACACAAACAGTCCATTCAAACTGAATCCAGGCCCGCTCGTCGACGTGAGCACGACCTCGACGAGATCCTTCCTGACGCGGTCCTCGAGTACCGTGATATTGCCCTTGACGGAATTAATCATAGTCTTGATATTCTCCGAGAGCATCCTGGGCGTGAACTGGATATTGCCAATGGGCATGCGGATGGCGCCGATCTTCTCCCTGTAGTTCTCGGCGCCCACCATGTCGTGCATCATCGATACCACGCTCTTGGTAATCGTGTTCGTTTTCAGCGAGGGCATCAATCCCTTCGGACCTAGTATACGCCCGAGATTGGCCTTCTTGAGCGCGGGCTCGGAATCAGCGTGGCAGATGAGCCGGTTGAAGGGCAGCTTGTTGGGATTCGCCTTGATCATTTCGAAGAGAGACTCCTCGCCGAAAGCCACGGCTCCGGCAGCCTTTGCTTCGTGGGCGGCGCCGCTGTTCTCTTTGCAGATGACGGCAATCCGCGTGTCGTTTTTGACGGGGAACGGTAGCCGTATGCGGTCGCGGAGTACGGGACCGTTTTTGATGGTGCGGACCTTGAGCGCGAGCTCGTATGTTGCTGACGAAGGGGGACGGCCGACCTCGGCAGCTCGTAGATATCTATGTGAAAGGCGTCAGTCTGATATAAACGAGGATATAATGAACGAAACAAGCGGAAAGCAAATAAAGTAGGGACCGAGTCGGCTCACCTCATAGCATCGCATAGCGAAAACTGCTCTTCTCTGCTTGGCGCCGCGTATTTGTACTCTTTGAACCGCTGCTGCCTCCGCTTCTTCTTCAACTTTTCCTTTTCCCTCTCACGTGCCTGCATGGCTCGTGTGCCTACACTCTTCCATCGCACCTGGGACGTCGATGAGGGCGCCAATAATCTAGGTATTGTGGCCGCGGTTGGTCTCGCCATGGATGATAGATTCAGCCTCGCCAATGAGGCGACGCATTGGTTTGTCGTCACCATAGCGGGTGGTGAATTGTGTGGCTGTGTGTGCGTTCTCGTCGTTATCACGGTCGTGAAGTCTCATGTCGGACCAGGAGCTTCAGAGACTGGCTGGATCGACGGGGATTGGTTCGACCGGGGTCTTGGCACTGCTTTTTGGTGGAGCGAATGAATAAAATTGTTGACGCCTGAGATGTCAGGCAACAGCTTCTCTCTCTATCTTATCGCAGCCATTTATCTTATCGGGCAGCGAGCTTCCCCCCTCATCCTTGCAAGCTTCGTCACAGAGTCGGTCACCCCGCCATGGAATGCTATGCCTTTTTTTTGACCCCGCCATCAAATAAATCACATCACTGGTCGACTGATTGACTGTATATTTGATCTTATGTTGGGTTGTTGTTGACTCACACACTCCACGATATCGGGCCATAACAATACAATACGTCAGGCTTTATTGACAGCTTGATACAGTCTTCCTATTCCATTCTGTACTTATACATCTAACCTCCTTTTTTTCTTTTTTCTTTTTTTTCAATTTGATCTGTTCGTTGTCTCATTGTCATATCAAAGGGCAAAATGAAGGTAGACGAGCTCGTCGCCATCTCCGAGTCGCTGGGGGGCGATTTCAAGGCCATCGAGCCTCATCTCAATCGACTCGAGAAGCACTTGACTCTGCGCACTTACCTGTCCGGCTACACGTTGAGCGAGTTTGACCACAAGATATGGGTTGCCATCAGAAGTAACAAGGTAGCTGTATCATTTGTCCGAAAGGGATCTTATGCCAACCTTCATCGATGGTTTGTCTTTGTTGAGCAAACTCACCCCGAGATTCAAACCGAAGTCAAGGCTGCCGACAACGTCCGCAAGGCTAAGGTTCAAGCCGCCAGCCGTGCTGGAGCTAGCTACAACTTAGCCCTACAAGATACGGAGAAGGGGGTCGTCGCTCGATTCCTTCCCGAGCCATCGTGAGTAATAGCGTCAAGTTTCTTAGTGGCTAATATGGAGCTCGGCTTATTGATTGTGTACCAGAGGCTACCTTCACATTGGGCATGCCAAAGCAGCGCTGCTAAGTGACTACTTCGCCCACCAAGCATACGATGGCAAGCTACGCCTTCGTCTAGATGACACAAACCCGTCGAAGGAGAAGGGTAGGTTAATAAGTTGCAGACGTTTTGAACGATTGGCTAAATAAGTTTGAACAGAGGAGTTCCAAGACGCTATAATCGAAGATTTGGCATTGATGGGCGTCAAACCAGATGTCGTCACTTACACCTCTGACTACTTTGACCACCTTTACGAGACTTGTTTAACCTTGATCAAAGGCGGCCATGCATATGCTGATGACACAGATGTCGAGACTATGCGCGACGAGAGAGGAAAGGGTATCGAGTCAAAGAGGAGGAACAGAGCCGTCGACGAGAACTTGGCCATCTTTGAGGAAATGAAGAATGCCACCGAGGAGGGCTTGAAGAACTGCATCAGGGCCAAGATCAGTGTCGACAACCCGAACAAGGCGATGCGCGACCCCGTCATCTACCGTTGCAATCCTAACGATCCCCACCACCGCACCGGTACAAAGTGGAAGATGTACCCTACCTACGATCTGGCCTGCCCCGTCGTCGACAGCCTCGAGGGCGTCACCCATGCTCTTAGATCGACCGAGTATACCGATCGCAACCCGCAATTCCAATGGTTCCTTGACACCTTGAAGCTTCGCCAGGTGTACATGTGGGACTTCTCCCGCATGAACTTTATCCGCACGTTCCTCTCCAAGCGAAAGCTCGCCAAGCTCGTAGACAACGGCAAAGTCTGGGGCTGGGACGACCCCCGAATGCCCACGATTCGTGGCGTCCGAAGACGTGGCATGACGATTCCCGCGCTGCGCGACTTTATCCTCAAGCAAGGCCCCTCGCGAAACGTAGTGACCATGGATTGGGCCGCCTTCTGGGCCACCAACAAGAAGGAAATCGACCCCGTGGCCCCCAGACACACCGCCATATCGAAGAAGGACGCCGTCAAGATCGCCGTCAAGGGCGAGGGCGTCCCCGCGGCGCCCCGGACAGAAGACAAGCCGCTGCACCCCAAGAACCCAGCCGTAGGCACCAAGAAGGTCGCCTTCTCCCAGGAGATCCTGCTCGACCAGGCCGACGCCAAATCTTTCAAGGATGGCGAGGAAATCACGCTGATGCAGTGGGGCAACGCCTTCGTGCGCGACGTCGTGGCCGGCGCCGACCCAATCACCACCTTAACGGCCGAGCTAAACCTGCAAGGCGACGTGCGCTCCACCGACAAGAAAGTCACATGGCTCTCTACGCAGGGACAGAAGCTTATCGACGCCGAGCTCTGGGACTTTGATTACTTGATTACGAAGGACAAGCTTGAAGAAGACGATGACTTGGAGAAATTCTTGAATCCTACGACTGCGACGATGGAGGAAGCGTTTTGTGACGAGGGCGTGACGAATCTGAAAAAGGATGACATTATTCAGCTTGAGCGACGCGGGTATTACAGGGTTGATAAGGCGTATGGCGATGGGGATGAGAAGATTGTCTTGTTCTGTATCCCTACGGGTAAGAATAAATAGATACTTAGGTACGCCGCTGGATATCTGAGGACATATCTAGTATGCTAGAAAGCTATACGTATTGCTAAAGTAACTACCTAGCTACTTATGTTGAAACATAAACGTAAAGAGTCAGGAGATATGCGTACAACTAATTAATCTTGTGAAAGTGATACATGGTATTGCTAATGAATATCTATCACTCACTCACTCACTCACACGCACACACACGCGCGCGCGTATATACATACACTCGTTATCAATAGGTTTCGTTCTACTGGGTATCTATATTACTTAGGTACTTATACATAGATAGATATATCATGGATATCTTTATATATGCCCATATAAAGTCAACAACTGCCAACGTGACTATCTACGTATCGTTTACGGCGTAGCCTTACATAGGCAAGTCCCTTCACATCACGTCACGTAGTTAAACAAGTATCTAAGATAGTACTACGAAAAAGATATGTAAATAGATGAACACAGTGATTAATTTCATTGTAGCTAAATCATCAAGCCTGATTGATCTCTACTTACCTGCGCCAAGTGAATAAACAGATATACCTACCAACTTACTCAGTAAATATGAGGTTGGTATGCCATGGTATAACCGATGGTATATATGTCACATGTACTGAATGGAAGTAAACAGGTGCTTAGACACCGGCTATTAGGATCGCGAGCAGAACAAGCTTGATATACCAAGCACCCAAGCAAGCAAGAAAGCAAGAAATCTCCCACCGTGCGTTCCTCGGGATACCGTCCCTATCGCGCCGTACATCTTGTGGCTATGCTGCGCTACGCTATGCTATACAATTCTGATTCATCCTCGCGATAAGAATCGTTTACGATCCTGCCTACCTACCTACCGAGAGCAAAACGTGTCATTCAACCATGGGTGATCGCTGTGTCGGCGCCAAGTGTGTTTGGTCCTATCGGCGTTATTTTTCATCGAGGACGCTGTTTATGTCGCCTATTGGATAGGATACACAGAGAGAAAAAAAAAGGTCAAGATGAAGCAGAATGTGATAGGTGTAGGTTCTGTGCTCCGCATGAAAAATGCCATGCAAACGAAATGTAGCACCGACTTGCTTGCTTACTCGGCGATTGTACGCTGTGGTTGATTTGACAGCGGTTGGCAACATGGCATGACGTGACGATTCAACTCCCAACCTATTTGGTTACACTATTTGATATGTTGAGGTGTATGCATGCACGTGTCTATATATGTGTGTATGTGTTTTATGTAGTGTAGTGTACAACAAAGGAACGGAATGGAGCAGGCAGGCAAGCAAGCAACGAGGAGAGTTAGTCCCACGGGAATGCTAATGCTGTGGAAGATAGGGAATGTGTTGCGCGAACTATGGCTCCCTAGATGTCTAGATGTCGGGTGTATGCTTGCTTGCTAGTGCAGATCTAGCTATGCATCTACACCTTGACTCCCGTTCGAGGTTAGCTCGCCCTATGTGGTAGATGGGAGCATCGTAGCCTTGGTTCCCGCGCTCCAGCGCTCTAGAAGGTGCGGATGGTTTTGTGATCTTCTTTCATGTCGAGACGGCGACTTCAGCCGAAGGAAAATTCGGGATATCATTTCAAACAGTGAAAGAGTCATGACACCAGATGAGCTAGGAAACGAAAAGGAAGATAAAGAGAGACACGGAAGGGTGAATAGTAAGGATAAGGCGTTGTAATTGGCCATGAGTGATACGGAGACTACTCCGATTGAGGAACGTTATTGAAGTACGGCATATAGCTGTTTACAGCGACACCGAAATGAACATGCCGGGCCATGTCCTTGGAGCTTCGTTGCGTATTTGTCCAGCTGCCGCTTTAAGCTTCTATGACAAGAAGCCGTCGAATAACCGAGACATGTCGAGCAATGCTTCAAACAGGTTATTCCATGATAGGCGAGCAGGTAGCCTCGAGGAAATCAAGACTAAGAAAAACCGCCGATGCGGAAACTCCACCAAGTATGGGGATGATGCTGGGGGGCATGCTGCTGGGGCAAGAGTGACGTGCAGAGACGAGAAGTCACACAAGGCTGAAAAGGGAGATCCGAGAATGGACACGATGGACAGCAAAACAAAGCGTTTCGAGACACGAGAGCGGGCTGGCGTGGACGGCGGACGCGCACGTATTGGCCGCCGGTTCCCCCAGGCTGGGGTATGGCAGTTTCAGTGTCTTCAGCAGCATGACTTTCGCTTTACCCTTACCCTCTGCGACGCCATGCTGTTCGTCCGGTCCCTTGTCAAGCTGTGGGCGTGGAAGCCATGAGCCATGCCACGCGCCCATGGGCGAGCCAGCGGCAGCACCAATGATTGGGGAGGCGGGAAAAAGGTACAAGGAAAAGCGCAACGGGGGTTCCGAGGCTCGTAGCCAACCGTGAGCTACGGAGATGATGCACTCAAAGGGCCGAGGTGGACGCGGGCCGGGTTGGACTAGTGGAGGTCTTGGTTCATAGGCTCTGATGGGCTTGCGGTGGCCATTTCGATGCGTTGGCACTCAGGAATAATATCCATCGAGAAAAAAAAAGAGGAGCACGTTCAAGATTGCCTGTGGTGCGTGGACGACGTGGATTGGGTGGATCGGAGGGGTTGGCAACCCCGTCCGGCTCCTCTTTTCACGTCGTCGTCTGTTTTAGGCTCTCGCGTGCCAGCGCAACGCTTCGCTCCAGGCACAAGAGAGATTAGTAGAGATGGGGAGGAATAATAATAATGATAATAATAATAATAATAATGCATTACCTGGTTGATAGAATTGGAAATATATTTGCAATCAATCACCATAGCATGGTCATTATTGCTGACTAAAAAAGCTACAACGAAATGTGCCAACTCGTTAGTAAGATGCTGTATGTAGCGGTAGATGGTTAGGTATTCGGCCGTCTTCGGACTGGACATCGGTTTATAGACCAGAGAGACAGTTATGTCGGTTATGTCGGTTATGATAGGACAAATGATGGATAGATAGCACAACGAAATGGCGGAGAACGAGATGAGGAACACAGGCGGACAGATAGACAGATAGGCAAGAAGCAGGCAGGCAGGCAGGCAGGTCAGGTAGGTAGCGCAGGCTGGCCGTCAAATGGACGAGATAATAGGTGACTGGCCATGCACGATGCAAGGCCAGCTCAGCAAGCAGCTGTCCGCCTTTTCGCAGTCCTGCTGTCCGCCACTCGCCATCCGCCATCTGCCTCGTCAGAGACATTTGGCAGTGGCGTTTCGTGAGCTGGTGAACAGACTGGAAGCAGAGGACGAATTAAAACAAATTAAATCAAGATCAGAATTTTCTTTGGTTCTTAGGTAGGCTGGAAAATGAACGTCATCTCGTTTTCCGCGCGCTGTGTCACCGCGTTATGACTTGCGCCTGCCGGGTTTCTTTCCAGGGTACGTACTTTCCTTGCATGGGCAGGCAAAGGGAATCGAGTCAACTGCTGCCTTTGTTGTCGCTGCTGATGGTGATGACAAGAGGTGAAGGAAAAAGAAGCGGTGGGATAGTAGCGCCCTCTCGGACGGCTGACCAGCTCATCTATCGTGTCACGGATTTTCTCACTCACGCCCGCACGACGACGACGAGACACGCAGTCGCGTTAGTGTCCTTCCTCCCTTGCGCCTGAATCATGTACAGCATAGTCCAGTATTGGTAGGAATTGGAGAAGCTGAAAGATGGAATAAGCAGGTCTCATGCGCTGCCATGCTTTGCGAAATGGAAGAGAATTTCTGATGGAGAGAGGCGCTTCTATTATTATCATGGGTAATATTGCATTGCCATGCCATTACTATTGCTACCTATCACCTTCAACGTTGTCTTGTTTCAAGGCAGCTGGTTGGTAGATTGGCAGGTTTGGCGGACGTCTACGTGGACAAGACGGAAAACGTGCATTTGATGGAAGAGCTGCGACTTTTCGATGTTTCAATTGGAGCGAGTGATGTACACAACAGTGTTCAAGCATAGTTACCTATCGGTAATGAGCGGCTATTGCTACCGCTATCGAAACATGTCCCGAGGGACGGGATCCATGAAGCAAATACATGTAATACCCTATACCCTGAGAGTTAACACATGTTAAAAAGACAGGGATAGGGATGGGCGGGCGATGGGTGGGAAAGAAGAAGACGTCCGGAGCACGGAGCACGGCATTTCGTGGCACTTGCCGCCTTTGGTAGCCAGGCACTGCATCGGGCCCCCCTGTCTTGCTCGTCTTCCCTGTCTTTCCCCCGTCTCTCCCTGTCTCTTATTCTTGGTGCGTGTTGATATTGCTTTTCTGCCTTCTTGGACACTTCTCGGACACTTCTTTCGAGCATCTACTAGTCCTTCCATGCATCGTCTTTGCCCGTTAGGGAACATACTACTGTATGTGCTAAGTCTTATAGTACCTAGGTATCATGAACGAGGACGCACAGAAGAGAAAACTTCGAAGCGGGGACAAAGAGGCGGACCGGCTACGGATGATACATACCCAAAGTAGGACTCCCTACATGTCACGAACCAAGCTACTGTATACATGCTACACCATACACCACCGAGTGCCACAGATAGATATCGAGGTAAGCAGAAGGCGAACGGAAGCAGGGAAAAGGGAAAAGAGAATCAGTAGGTAGCGAAGAACACGACGATGCAAGTGACAGAAAAGAGACAGTCTATAGTGGGTTCCAGTGGACCGGTATCAAGTGGTTCATGTCCAGTCACGAGGAAACATTCACCCTCCTCCAGCCTCGAAGAGACAGAATCTCGTCCTCTTTTGGTAGTGTTTGAAACATTTGCTGGAGGTTTATACTATAACAACAACATGGCTAACCACATGTGTACCCTCACTACAGCAGCTCCTGCAATATTACCCACTTAGGTAAGTATGTCCATGATATCTGGACGTAGGTCATTTGTGTAGAAACAAAATGCAAAAAATCGAATCCAGCGCACAACCGACAACAGACAACGCGATGACAGCGAGGACAACGAGGACGACGATGGCGCCCGACATTATTATTATCTCGAATGGGATTAGAGACTGGCGTGCGTCTGCTGGCCTTACCGCAAGGTACAGTTGGTGTAGGTATATCTGCCTACCTAAGTGGACATGGCAGCCCACATTTAACCACATTTCGACACATTTTTGACGCCTGCGTTTGACACAACATCCCCGTCAGATGCGGTGTGCTCGTCGTGGATTGGTAGCAGTGCATCTGCTGCATCTGCTGGTGCTGCTGGCTACGACAGGGGAGATGCTGATGCTGGTGCTGGTGCTGGCGCTGATGCTTCTTCTTCTCCTCCTCAGACTCCTCCCTCCTCCGCCTCTGCCTCTCTCGGTACTCGTCGTCCGTCTATGGCCAAGTATCTTTTCTGCGTGACCGATACAGGCCAGGTACATCCCTACTGGTCCCTTGACTGATCCCTACTAGGCCGCGCTCTACTGTGCATGTACGCTACATGTGCGCTGTATGTAGGCCTGGCTGGCTGCATCACAATCCATCACATCAGTCCAGGGACCAGAAAAGGTACATCTGCGTAGGTATTTCATTCACGCATCTCAACCTCGATTCATCCACCATTCCACCCATCCCATCCATACTTATTATATCCTGGATATGTTACATGTATGTAGGTATACCTACCTGTATCATACATATCATACGTCTGTCGATTCTACACTACTTACAGCATATTGCATGGCATCCATCCCCTACAGCAGACATTAATTATATGTACATACGGTAGATCCACAGACTTGTCTACATACCTGATACCTGTCGACCTGCTTGTCTGATGAACATTGAAAGTATTGATTCACGCCCTATACCTCGCTCCCCACCTAGTCCTACACACAATATCTCATATCTCGACACTTGGAACCTCGTCTACACGACACGACAGACAGACCAAATACTGCACCGATACATATACATATACATACATATACGGGCCCCCCCTCTACCTGTAACGAGTACCTACATCATCATGTACTGATTACTGATCTCTGTTTGTATCTTCTTCTCTCCTTAGAACTACATACCTCAGAGAGCTTGCCGCTTTCTTCTGCTATCCCACCCCCAATTTCACGACTCCTCTCTCTTATACTCCTCATCTACTTCCGGGGCTTCTTGGAGGTTGAACACCCCCCCAAAGAGACGGATCGGTAGAACTTGGGACAGCCAGCACAACGGTGAAGGTGACAGGACAGGAATAGAACCGTTCACCACCAAACCATTTGCTCCTCTGCCTCGTTTACCTACCCGCCCAGCGAGTGAGCGAGCCAGCCAGACAGCCCGCCAACTATCCACACCCACTCTCGCTCCAACGCTCACACCCAACTCGATACCTTACTTACACGCATTTCTGCCCGAGCTCCGACGTTGCTGTCGCCGCTGAAATGAGCTAAAATCGCCATCCCGCCTGACCGGCCTCCCTCCATTACCTATTAACTCTGACAACCCCCCTCCCTCTTTCTTACACCATCTCCCGTGGTCCACCCAACCTCCGCCAGCCAGCTAGCCAGCCAGGCCTGCCGGGATTAGCTTAAACAGCTATCCTACCACCACGCGCGAGCCTTGACTGTGTCGACGACTTGTTTCGATTCGATTTTATATCGAAACGAAGTCCTTTTCTGCTTCGATCCGCAACTGCTGCGGCAGAAAAGTCTCTGGCAACCCTTACAGTCCTTACGTATCCGAATCGGGCAGCGCCGCAAAACCCTGGCCGGTCGCAAAGCTCCCCCGCAAACCTGGCTCGTGCCCAAGTAGCTGTCAGGGCGTTCTTGCGACTGCAGACGCTGTTTCCTTGCTGATTGTCCATTCTTTATGGACTCATCATGATCTCCATGCAGCGCTCACTTTCGTCTCCGGTCTGCGTCCATCCAGCCCCTCGTGAGTGATCCCGTACCGCACGAGGGTACCTATCTTCTCTGTCTTGTGCTCGTGGTTGCTGATTTGTTATTGCGCTGCTCTGCAGCTGTACCGACGACCGCAGCGAACCCTTCGAGACCTCCGACTCCGTCTCACGATGCGCTCGTTGTTACGTCACAGCCACGCCGGCATCGATCGCGAAGTCCTGTGCATTCTGCCCCGCCCCCCGAACCTGCTGGCCCAGCCTCAGAGCTGACCAGCGATCAGCCCGACAACGATCACCGAGTCCACGATGACAATGCCGTGAAACAGGACTCAGGCACAAGTGTGTCCAAAAAACCGCTTGTAGCTCAAGCTTCGACTCAACCGAGTGCTGCTCCCCCCAATGAACGCACGAGTACATCTTCGAGTACCCCTCATTCTGCTCTCAAGGACGCTCTTAACGATACGCTCAAGGACACCCTCAAAGACGATGACTCCCCTCGCACACTTCCGCAGCCGCTCTTGGGCGATGTATCACAGTATACACATAATTACGTTACCGTTGAGGATGATGGGACTACCCTTCAGGAACTGGCCCATTTAGTTCGACTCTCTAAATACCAAGAGCGCAAGCGCGCTCATACGCGTGTTCGTCTTCAAAGAAGTCTAATCTCAACTGCTCTGTCTGCGCGCCTGACCCGCTGTGGCGAAACCACGCAGCGGAATCTGGCCGATCTTTTTCGATCTGGAGACACCCATATGTTTGCTAAGGTATATGATGCTGTTCAGGATGTTCGTAACAGCTGCGATGCCACCCGTCGCTACGCTCTTTTGGAACCAGACATGGAGCCTCTCCAGTCGCTGGGCATGGCATCGTCCGAGACACTGGACAATCCACCTAGTGTCGCAGGGAGTATCAGCAACAGTCCTGTTACGCCCTTTCTCGCTGACCTCGACAATTCATCTAGAGAGATAATTCTGCATTTTCTAGCCCAAATACGCACGAACCCAGACTACTTGGCATCCCGATTGTGCGCCCTTAGCGTGACCGAACTCCAGGCTCTCACTGTATTCCATGTTGGATTGGATCCCATAGAATCTGTTCTGCCGTTTGGTAACACGCAATCTAGCGGGCGCGGAAGTACCAGCGCTGCGAATAAGAGCTCTGCTAGTGCTGTTGAGCGGCTTCTATCATTTCAGCGCCACGACCCCTTATCTGCACTCATTTACACTTGCTTCGCCAATTCTGCTGGACCAGACAGTGCTGAAGATAAGCGAAGAACCCAGGTATGGGCCACTGCCTGCTCCCGTCTGATCCAGGCCGCTCCCGTTGAGTATGAAAACGTCCTCGTGGCTATAGTCAATGTTTGGTCCGCTATGCGTGATTGGTCCGGACGATCCAGTATGGAGTGGTTTATCATGAAAGTCTTGAAAGATGGGGCTTTCCTCCTAGACAGGGCCGACGATCCTCAAGGCAACAGATTCCACGATATCGGAGATTGGACTACCAAGGATACAATCAGGATCGAAGAATTCTATGATCAGGTCTTGAATGAACTATTTGACCTCCTTGATGATGAGGATGGCACTGGTATTCCCGAAGGTGTTTTGGAACTAGGAAATGAGATCTTACGCCACCTACAAAACATCGCCCCGTCCAAGGTCGACTCTACGCGACATTGGTTTGTATACAAATGGATATTTTCCAACTGGCTGACGGCAGTCCTAATCCATCCCGAGAACTTTGGAATGATGGCCGAGTACAATATTACCGAATATGGCTGCCAAAGGATACTCAAGAACGTCGCGCTCAAAGCCCGGGACTTGGTTAATGATATGCTAGTGCCTCACCATTTAGGACAGCCCGTGTCTACCCCTTTGAAGATCAAGAAGCACATCGAGAATCTAGTAGGTCGGTTCAAGCCGTCGAGGAGCCCAAAGACGGCGAGGCTACTTCCTGCCAGATCCATCACTTCCTTGCGAGAGACGGCCGAGGTGCACCCCTACCTCGTTGTGAGCCCCGCTGATCTCGTTACTCTTGTCAATGTCCTTTTCCCAGAACGTCGGCCTCAGTCTGCTCACTCAAGCAGCGCTCGGTCTGCCGCGCCATCCATATCAGGCTTCTCGGCCATCTCTCAGCCGATTTCCGTAGCAACATCCAGACGTGATATGGATACAACGTCTATCCTAGGAATGAGTGTCTCGCCTGTACGTAGCGAAACTACGTCTTATGAGCCTTTGCTTGAACAAGCTTTGGGTACACCACAACGGTATTCACCCCCCTTTTCGGATGCGCCTTCCCGACCACCGAACAGTTATGAAGAAGATGGCCCAAAGCTCCGCGCTGCCATACGTGAAATGGCTCAGGTCCTCGGCGCCGATGCTGTGGCTGGCTCATGTCACCCATGTGCCGAGAGGTGGGCGGTTCTTTTCGTGTCTGCCGATGGAGAAAAACTTTCTTTACAGATGACTTACGACCCGGATGACGACGAAGATGAGGAAATCTCGTCTGCAGCTAGTGAAGATGACGAGCTAGAGGAAAAGTCCGTGCTCAGCAAAGATTATCATCAACTCCGCGACTCTGTCTTGAGGCTTGTAGAAGACTTCGAAATACCCCGAAATATCGAGGATGGTGATAAAAACACGACATTTAGCAACCGCGCATCAAGACTGAAGAAATACCGGTCTAAGAATAAGATCATTACCCCGGAGAAAAACATCAGCATGAACAGCCGGAACCCGTACCGAAAACGTGAAGAAAATACTAATGACTCGGGGGATCATTCAGTGTTAATTGCAATGTTAACGGCCGCATCCTCGCAGTCAGGAATCCAATCGGACTTTGTAGCAGCGCATATGTATTGGAAGACTCTCCAGCAGCTGAATGCTCTGGTATCTCCTTCGCTCCGGAAAAATGGTTTCGCATCTTTACTCAACATATTCTCGCGCGGTCCTCGGGATTCACTGCATCAGTCTGCATCAGCCATTGAAGAGTACGACGCCTGGCTTATCTGGTTAAAGCAAAGCCAGGAAAGACATGAAGGTTTGATCGATACTATGATGACCCGCCTCAAAGCCCTTCGAGACAAGATGTGGTATGTAACAGAGGTTCGGAACTCTGAAGTCTACGTCCATGCCCGCACCCTTTGCAGTGCCCTCAAGATTATGGGCGTGCCCCGCATGCCAGGTTCCTTCCAAGAAAGCCGCGCCCAGCTCGCGCGCAACCCTACACTGAATTTCATTCACAAGGCAGAATCACAGATGCTTAGTCTTCTCGCCGCTAGAGAGGATCAAGGAGGGCCTAACAAGCTCACGGATGATCAGGTAGAGAAGACGAAGAAGTGGCTGCAGCAATCAAATGTGAAAAATCTGTGTGCGGGCGAAGAACGAATCCACCGCCTCTGTTGCGAGATCGATAACTGTGTGGCCAGATTAGTTGGCGACAGCGTGACAGCAAACCCTGTTCTTTGGTCCAGCGCTTTATACATGCGAGATCGGAAAACATTTGATGGCCCTCCCCGCCGTGGCCGGGATCGTGAGAGCAGCTATGGAGCCGATGATGCTATGAGCGTCATTAGCAGCGAGTATAACCGAAGATGGACACCGTCTGCCAATCGCCCTAGTTCGGTGTTGCGCAACATGTCCATGCATAATAGGAGTCAGATTTCCATCGACTCGGGTCGCCATAGTCTGTCTCGAGCTAGCACAGCTGCGCTGGATATGTTAGACTCCCGTGAATATCACTACGGCCATTCATCACCATCAATCGATTCCGCCACAACCTTCTTTTCCCCTTTCAACTCAACTATGTCAGCCAGCAGCTCGGCAACCTCTCGTGCACAGTCCCCTACTGGGAGCCGGTCCGGCCTACCAGGCTTGTTTTCCCATCCTTATCAACAGTCGCTACCTTCAACTGCCTCACTAACACAACCCGACACAACGGCCTCGTCTACTGAGACTGTCCAGCAACAACGCCTTTCGGAAGAAAAGCACCGTTTCTTGTCGGACCTTCGCCAAACACTGCTAAGTCTCCTATTATCTGATCTGGGCAACTTCCTTTACGCCTACGGCTCGGAAACAGATGTATGGTTTAACGACTTGGGTCAAGAGTGCCTAGAGCTTAGATCGGCAGAGCATGAAGTTCGCGGGCCAGCGACTCAAGAAGCAAACACTGGACCCTCGAGGCAGCGGGCCCTCGAGAAGAAAAAGAGCTCCATCAATTTACGTGAAATTGGAGACTCCCAAGTTGGACAAGCAATACACAGACGCGATAGCCCATCTGTACGGAACTACAGCAGCACAGGGGCTAATGAGAAGGCCTCGGCTAGTGTCTCTTCATCGGCTCTCAAAGACACGGCTTCTTTTCCATACAGGAAAGCATACCAGAGACTTTTGAGGATGTTCTCTATCCACCCCAACCCATATACCAAACTAAACATCCTGTACGAGCTTGAACAGCTTATCAGCGCTTCTCTGTCTTCGGGTGGTCGTCGCTCACGCTTGGCTCCACGAAATCAGCCGAACTCCAATGACGACCAAGGAGCATCTGCAAAACAAGAGCAGGGTGATAAGGACCGTCGTCCTGCTATACACGCCGGACCGTCAGCATCGGGCCTTGGCATACGGAGTGCCTCAGACGTTGAAACACGATCGATCGCTCCTATCAACAAAGGACACCAAGATTCACTACGCACAGTTTTGCAGTCTCTACTCCGCGATATAGACATTCGCCCCAAGACGTTATTCCGTGATTTACAATTTATCAGTGCCTTTGTACCTTCTTCTGTTCTTGACCTCGATCGGAACGATGCATATTTTGATACGGTAGTGGCAGCCATGTCACTCAAGAAAGAAGTCGTTTCGACCATGGTTGAGGTGGCCGATGGGATAGTAGCCGCCTCCCGCAAGTCAAGCACAGGCAGTAGTTATGGGATGGGCAGCATGGGTAGCATGCTGGACCCCATGTTCACGAAGAGCTCTCTGCATGACGCCGCCAGGATGTTGACGATCGCGGCCAAGGAGAACGATCCGACGGCGCAGCGTGAACTGGGCCTACTCCAGCTATCCAACCCTGAGCTCGTCGCTCGGACCACCCTCCCACTGTCCAAACCGCGCGATGTATTTAAACAGTTGCCCGCTATGGAAACCTCGGGTAGTACCCGGCCTGGAAGTAGCATGCGGCATCATCAGGGAGACCGCGGCGCTAGAACTGGACTGGGTCTAGTGGGTTCTTCGTCGTCAATGCCTGGTGGTGGCGGCAGCGCGGATCCTACTGGTATTAATGGGGATGTTAGGAGCGATCCTGCGCTCATGTGTGTTGCGCTGCACTGGATGGAGACGGCGCAAGAAGGCGGCGATGAACTTGCGAGGAATTTCATGAGTCAGAGCAGAGAGATTTAAGTTATGTGGTGCTACGTTTCGAGGGTGAAGATTTTGCATGTTCACGGTCCTATTAGGGACTATTTTTTCTCCCCATTGCATATATCAAGGTACAGGATTGGGTAAAGGAGCCTAGCATATACATAAGGAATCCGGCAGGGCAGGGCATTTCTGGTTGTATGGGATGGGATGTTATGGAATCCCTGTTGTTTTGAAAGGTTTTGTATTGTTGGTTTTCACTTTATTTTCTGATACCCCTATATAGTTCGCTCTTCTCTCTTCTATATTCTCTTTGAGGTTTGGTGAATTGACTATGCTGGTTGATGTGTTATTTGATGTGTTATATCTATGGTGACTTAGTCATGTATGAGTGCAAATCATGAATACTAGTGTGTATAGTATACGGAATAGAGCTCGTTTTACTACCCAGTTTGAAGGTGTGAGATTTCACTATCTACATACTCCGTGACTAGACTAAACATTTTGTTTATCTTTCTACTTGCTTTAGGTAGCTATTGCAGATATGGAATTCGGTGTGTTAAAAGTCTTTGGATATCTGAAGATCGTGTGCTGTTTCATCCCGTGCTCTGTTTGTTCTCTCTGCCCTGGCAGATCAGATAAGCTATAGCAACGATTTTTTTTCTACCTATTTTCAATTCGTGCATTTGTATATCTCACTTCCTCTTTACTATACGTTTCCTCGTTTTCAAAATCATATATTATCCATTCAATCTAGGGAATGAGCTCTACGAAATAATATCATGTATCGATATATAAGCGTGAAGACGCAGTTTGAGTTAGGTTTGGTCCGGGGGATGCGACTGGGTTAGGTTGACTTGTAGGGCTTTACATTCATTCAGGCGAGCAGGAACACGTGAATGCGTGTGGTTGGGATATCTTGCCTTGATTCCTGCTGTGAGAGGCAGTTCGAGAGATAGATTGAGAGAGAGAGAGATGGAATGATATGATGGTACATATGTTTCCTATGGGCTTGAGCTTAGATCACATGGTTTTAGAGAATGAATGTGTAGATATAGGTTAGTGGCTTAGATATTTCGCTCTTTCTATGGAATATGTAAAATTTGTATACAAGTCTGGTGATTTCAGTGTAGACAGCGTATGATAACCTTCGTGCTTTTCTAGGCGTCTTGATCTGCCTTGCTTTTCTGGTTATGCAGTCCATTTGTTTGTCTCCCTACCCTGTTTGTTTGCTGTATTGGAATGGGGGGGCCGAGGTTACGGTTTTATTTTGCTGGAGTAATCCTCCCTTTTCTCGTCTTGAAAGTTTCCACATATCATCTTACTAGTACTTCGTCTTTTCAATTTCGACGGCCCGTTAGATAAATCTAAGTCTTGTTTATATTGTTCTACGAAAAATAGGGTATCATGGGAGAATTTAATCTATCTTTCTACCACCTATCCTATTCGCTGCTTGCGCGCTCCTCCCTTTCGCATCCTTCGTGTCTTCGTCCATTGCTACGACGGTCATGTCCGAGCGCACGCGGAATTGTCTGCCGCGCCAGTTCACGCCTGTGCCGAGGAAGACGGCCCAGGTCCATATCGGCAGTGCAAGGACCTCGCGCCCGACCCAGGCGAGAAGCCACTCGCCAAATAGTCGCTTTTCAGCTCCACCACGGCTGGAACCCCGGGCGAATGCCGGTGTGTCATCGTCAACTGAGATACTCAGCCCGGCATGTAATCTCTTGAATACGGCTCGGTCGACAAGTATCCAAACCGTAACGCCTAGCACCCAGCACCACAATAGGGCGGACCAAGTCTGAGGGATCCCGAGTTTGTCGTGAACAACAGGGACCGTCGTAAGGCCGAAGGAGAGGTAAAAGCAGCATACAAGACTCTCGACGCCGTGCTCGACCAAGGTCGCGGATAATACGGTCCACTTCCGAGCGCGGAGCCATCGGACTCTACGCGCCGTGTATGCGCGGATAGACATACCGGCCATGGGCTGAATAGCTAGGTCGCCGTAGACGAGGCCGTGGTTCGCGAATCCAGGGATATCGGTGCGCCAGAGGAGGTCACCAATCACATGATCCTCGCACATGTACGAGGAGAAATGGTCTATGCCTTTGGGAAGAGGGATGGACTTCTGAGCGAGGATGGGATTACGGGCGGGATCAGTAGCATCGTCAAGGTGAGACTTGCGGAACATGTTGCTCTTGCCAACTATGCAGGGCGCAATTCCGACAGTATTGATGGCACAGTAGAACTTGGCGTGCGTGGTCGCCATGAACATCTCCTCGAGTCTTCCGCCGCCGTGCGCCCATGATCGCGAGAGCACAGATGAGGGCACGCCTACGTCGCCTGTACCTGAGCCACCCGTCACTGAGGCGCTTGACAGGAGAGCTTGGCCTTCGGTTCCCACGTGGCTCATGGATGTCACGGTGTCGACGACGAGAGGGAGCTGGTGGACGAATTTAAAGGGCTTGGCCCGTCGGCCGTCGGGCAGGAAGCCGCATAGCTTGTCCACCATGCGGCCGGCGACGTCCTTGGCGATCCAGATGTTGCAGTCGATGGGCCATACGATATCCCCCTTGGCCTCCCTGTAGGCCCGGCTCACATTGCGGATCTTGGGGTTTGGGCCGATGTTGTTCGCCTCGGCTTGCTCTTCGGTGAGGTAAGGGTCGTCAGTCTCGATGAAGACCTTGGCGTCGAAGTCTGGGAAATCGGCGACTAGTTTGCAGAGAACGGGATAAGCTGGGTCCTGTCTCGACTCGACGCAGAAGTAGATGGTCAGCTTGTCTCGAGGGTATGTCTGGTGAAAGACGGAGGCGAGGCATTCGTAGAGACCGGGCTCGAGGCCCTTGGCCGGACGAATAATGGTGACATGGGGGATTTCGTGCTTGGGCAGAGTCGGTGAGACGGGTTTCTTGGGTATCGAGGAATAGTTTCGGAAACTGTTGTCAAGGGTATTTGTCAGGTTATACTGTGCCGAACCAAGAAAATGAAAAGGAACAAAATAGACAGGGCATGGGGACGTAATGCGTACAGCGTGAAAGTGCCGAGACCTTGGACGACCAGAACGAGACAGCCCCAGAACAAGCCCACACAGGCTAGCAGGTATATTATCGTGTGCATTAGATGGACATGGTGTAGGTACAAGTAGAGGGAGCGGATATGTATTTTGAGTAGACAGTTGACGGCAAAGAGTGGTGTTGCTGTAGGTTAAGGTAACCTAGATTATATTAGTTGGGATGGTCGGGTAGATTTCCAATCTCTCTGTAACTTCAAAATTCCAATCAAGCTACGCAGTAATATCCCACGTGGCATGTACTATTCATCACCAAACGAGGGGCGGGCAACAGCGAAGAGGAAGAGAGGCCGGAGAGAAAAGAAAAAAAAAATTCAAAACAATGGCATCGTCACATTGAAAATCACTGTCTAGATACTGGATAGATCGCTCTAACTCTAGCCACTGCTCCACACGGGACTCACAATACTGGTAGTCTGCCTCTCTATATGTACCTACCACCTATCCTTGTTCCTATTTAATTAGATTAGCAACGTAAAGAAAGTCACCGCTCCGAATCGTTGAAAATTGTAATTGCATATCGGACGAGTAGACGGACGAGTAGATAGACAAATTAATGAGGCGCTCGCTTAGGTTTGTTGTAGATAAGAGGGAAGTGCTAGTTGTACCTGAAGGCGCTAGAAAAGTGCTATCCAGCACCTGTAGGCGGTGATTAGATCTCATGTTAGCGGTGTTAGTGGGCATTTATAGGCACCGGTCTCAGGTACTGTGTAGAGCTCCCCCCACCGGCGACCCTCTCAAGCTTTAAAAAGGCCCGAACGCCGAAGCTCCCCACAGAACGAAAAAAAAATGATCTGAATTGGAGCTGAGCTTCCACTTCTTCTCTTTCTCTTCCCATCCCTCAAACACAACTCAACTCAGTCATAGACTCACAGCGCAAACCAGTCGCTGGCGTCACCGTCTCTCACCTTGAAAATATGTGAGCTATGTGCTGCTCGCCTGCCACCCACAGGCTACCTTATTCTTATCTCTCAGCTTGTCTAGGCCATCTTTGACATTGCTGTGATTGGCAAACCTAGCCCTGTTTTTGGAGTACTGCTTATTTTGCGCAAATAGACGGTAAGTTGGAATTCCTCTTGCTTTTCTTCTCTCACAACCACGGAGAAAACTTGAAGCGGACGGGGTATGACCGGTCTGTTTTGTACGTGGTAAGGATAGACAATACAAGTCAGGGTTATATCGTATCGCAGTGATGACACCCTTTATTTCGGAACTTAGAGACAAACGGGTTCATTCTCAGTCTCGATGAGTGTCCAAATATAGACTACAACGGTATCTGAGCGATCAACCCAACAGCTTGTCTGTCTCTTTTCAAAATCTACCTTTCAGGCGCCTGACAGAGCTATTGCTAACTCGTCACAAAAAAAAGGTATCGAAATGAGTCATACAGACCATGGCAAACTCGAGAATAGATGCGCCCGGCGCGCCCGGAAATGAAGGCCACAAACAGCCTAGGAATAAACAGGACAAGTCGTCGGCTAGACCTCCGAAGATCCCTCTTCATCAGCTCTATGCCTTGCCTGCGCCGATCCGCACCTTTCCTCTGCCGAGCTTCTATCCCAATAACCCACTGTCGCTTTTTCATGTGCTTTGGGCCTGGACCAACCAGCTACTCTCTCCACCTCCGGCCGAACCTTCGGTTATTCACCAAGGCCGCTGGTCGCTCGAAACACGATCCGCGCACATTCACGATCCCCTTTCAATCAGAGCTCTCTGGGAGCAGGGCTTTTTCGGGAAAGGTAGTTACAGCCGAAGCGAGCCGAACTGGTTAAAACGAGAGCAGAATAGGCAGGGACAGGGTGAGAAGAAGGTCTCGGAATTAATCACTGCACAAAGACGTGAAGAGCGGAAGATGATGAAATGGGACCGTGCGAGGAAAGAACAGGAAGCAATCCTAAAGACCCGGCTTGCAGAAGCCTGGGTTGCACCAGTTGGCCCCAAGGAACTTCTCGCCTTGCCCAACTCACTTCAAGATCTTCAATTATCGCCCTTCGGACTCACTAATGGTCACATAACGTCTAATATCTCGTCAAATACGATTTTACCAGATGGTCAGACCGGCTTGACTCGTGAAACGCCACCTGGGACCATCACTACGAATGCTACCGCCAGTCCTATAGTGAATGGTAACAGCGTTGGTGAAGACGAAAAGATTCCCTTCCCTTTGCTGAACGGGGAGATTACTGCGACAGAACCTGCCACGGGGGCACCAGATGCCGTTGCTTCAACCCTAAAGCGGAGGAAAAGCGTACGATTTTCACCTACTGTGGAGTCGACGACTTTCCAACTTAGTGATCCTCCAGCAAGCCCTCACATCAAGTCATTATCAAATGGCAAGGTATCCAGCATTGATGTCGCAAATGAATCGTTGCGATTGTCACAGAGTGGAGAAGAGGTTCCGACTGAGATGTCGGATGTCCCAGTGGCTACAGAAAGTTCGGCGGCTTCGCTGGATATTGTAGATAGGGAGCATCTCCAGCTGACCATGGAAGAAACCTTCTATCTCACCTTTGGCCTGGGCGCCCTCACTGTTGTCAACCCTACTACAGGCAAAGTTATGGCAGTTGAAGAACTGTTTCCATTGTTTCGCCGGTTGTCTTATGACTCTCCCAGCACGGCTGTAATGCGGCCAGACGACCCGTTTCTTGTACAGTACGCCGTCTATCACCATTTTCGGTCGTTGGGATGGGTTCCCAGGCCCGGGATCAAATTCGGAGTCGACTGGCTTCTGTACATTGGTGGACCTGTATTCGCACATGCCGAATTTGCTGTCATTGTCCTGCCCGCTTACACAGATCCATATTGGAAGACGCACGATCATGCATCTCCAAAACGGTCATGGCATTGGTTACATTCGATCAATCGGGTTCAGACTCATGCTCTGAAGACCATGGTGCTTGTATATGTGGACATACCACCACCTACAGAAACCTCGGATCCCTCCAGCATCTTGAAGCAGTATAAAATCCGCGAATTCGTCATGAAGCGTTGGCTCAGCAATCGTAGTAGAGAATAGCCTCACTCATTTGATATATGATGCCCACCGTTGTAGGATAGAACTGTTGGAGGTTGGAATATCAAAGGTCTATAGAACCGCCACTATCTTGGGCAACTGAGATAGATGATAAATATATGCACATTTTCGAAGTATAATTGTTTCAATCGTTCAGTATGTGTCTATTAAAAATGATGTTCAAGATGTTCAAAATCTACAGTCTTAGTATGTTATTCCAGGCGTGAAATATAGTAAACCCTTGTCTAGCAATTTACGTATATGTACTAATATTCCCAATTCCTTTATCTATTCAATCTCTAATAGTCGTATTAGAATCACGATCACTTGCATCCTCCTCCAAATCAGCGTGCTCATTATCAGGCGGCTCTTCACTTGTCTCGGGCAAATATCTCGTCGAAACAGTGAATCCCAGCGCCAGAAGTACCAATACAATCCAGACCAAATAGCCGTAAAAGAACTGGTTCCCCACGCCGATAGCGAAGATACTCGCAAACAAAGCGGGCGAGAACGACCGCAACCCACTCGACAACGTCAGTGCCAGCGCGTTCAGCATGCCCAGCGTCTCATGCGAAGGCGAGACATCATTGAGCGCGAGCTGGGCCCCTGTAAACGCCATACTAACGCCCGGCCCAAGCGACAAGAACGTCGGCGCCATGATCCAGAACGCGACATCCCCAGCGCGCGAATGCAGACGTAACGCGGCGTTCAAGAGAGGCATGCAGCCTAGGAAGAAAGGGTATGCGTTTCCGCAGGCGCGCATGACGCCGTTTGTACCCCATCGGTGCTGTAAAGGGGGGAAGATGAGCAGAAGCCAGATCGCTTGGGATAGACCTGTGAGAGCCATGAATAAGGAGATTTGGAGGTACGAGAAGCCTAACCCGCCGAGAGAGACGGATGTTGCCCAGAATACGGGGACTACGGCTGTGTAGGCGAAGGCCAGGAGCATTACGTGCCCGTAGTTGTAGAGGACTATGGATACACCTGGGGACGAGACGAGAGAGCGGGTGGAAGTGCGATGGGGGCGTGTTTCTGATGCTGTTTCGCTGTCGGGTTTGGGAATGCTGCGAGGGAGCGTTTCGTGTATGAATAGTGCGCTCGTGAGAACTGCTGTCATACCGAGCCCCGCGACGGCGAAATTGGATAGTGCGTAGGGGAATTTCGTGAAGAATGCCGAATTCCCGAAGACGCTTGGATATTGCGATACGGGATCGGCCAGCGCGCCGCCTATGAGCGGCCCGATGAATATGCCTATGTTGCCTGCCACCGCGAACCATGAGAAGGCCGTGGCTTGCGTTTGCTTGGTGGATAGTTCTGAGATCATCGTCCGGATGGTCACGATGCTTCCTGCGAATACACCTGCTGCGCAACGGAAGAGGATCATTTGCGGGATGGATTTCGCTAGACCGAATAATGCGGTTGCGATGACTACCCCGAATAAAGAGGAGACGAGAACGGGCTTGCGACCGATTCGGTCGGATAAGTAGCCCCAGAATACCATGACGAGCATCTGCGTGAGGCTGAAGAGAGATTCGATGAGCCCGGAGTAGAATCCCATTTCGGATTCGGAGAGGGTGCTGTTGGAGAGGATCATTTGGTTGATGTACGGGAAGATGGAGAAGAATGCTATGGGCTCGACGAGGCGGGCGTAGCAGAGGAGGAGGATTTGCGTTTTGGGGAGGGGTTTGGGGGATGATGTGGAAGGTGGTGATGATGAGGAGATGGGTGGTTTCGACCCTTCGCGGGCATTATCTGATTGTGATGAGGTTGTCAGGAGAGGCGTTGTCTCCGTCGTGATGGCGTTGTCACCACCATCCTCATAGTGTGTTTGTGGGTGAGAGGATGCCATGACGAAAATAGCTGCCTTCTTTGCTGCCTCCTTCCGTCTTATTTGAGTAATCCTCAGCTTGTTATTCGCTAGTTGACTCGAGATAAATTCGGAAGAATTATGAATATATCGCTAGATCACGGCATCGCTAGTTGTGAGTGTGATAAGACTGAATGAATATGAGTTTTCAGATATTTTGGATACCTATGTCGGAACATCCCGAATTACTGCCTGGGGGAGGCGTGGCAAAACGACTGACAGTCTTGACTGTAATCGTAAAGCCGATCGAACGGATGGAAATACCCGCTTGATGCTATACTGTCCCTTACCCGCAAGTGACAGATCGCGTCGGCAGTCTCTCTACCCACTAATCTAAGACGCGCTAGCTCCAGTTAGTGAGGTCAACTAGGTATGATGCCTTCAGCCTTCGGGTACGGAGTTGTACGGGCGTTAAAACTGCAATTCTAAATGCTAAATCCCTGGATAAGGCAAATAAAAGTAGTTAACTAAATGATTACATTCCTTGTTCGATCGGATAATGCATTATATAATTTAGATTAATAGGGTATTAGCGAATCCGAAGGTCTACTATAATACCTAGGGATACCCAATAGTTTTACCCATTAAAAGGCTACCTAGTTACCCATTTAACCTAAGGACCAGCTAAAGGTTGACCTTTTTTATCCGGTATAAAAATTAAGAAAAATCGCTTAAATTAAAAACTATAAAATTATAATAAAGAAAGGAATATATACTTTACGTTATTTTTTAACGTTAATTATAATTAAAAAATGCTATAAAATACTTTTAAATAATAAATATTAACCTTTAATTTATATATACCCTTTAATAAAAAAAAGGATATATAAAGTATAACCTTAAAAACTACCCCCAATTTATATATAACCTTTATTAAAGGGGGAAGTATATAAAGTTTAAATACCCCTTTTAATTTATATATACTTTATATTAAAGGAAAAAGTATATAAAAGGAAAATAACTCCTTTAAAATAAAGGAAAGGAGTAATAAAAAAATAAAGGTATATATATTAATTAACTTTAATAAAAAAATTATAAAACTTTTTAACCTTTTAAAAAGCTTATAGGATAACTATATTAAACAAAAAGCAAAATAAATAAATAAAACCCTTAAATAAAAAAACTATAAAAAGTTAAAGTTTAGGATTAAAAATAAAAACTTTTTAAATTTGGATAGTTAGACTATAGGCCTTAAAGGGGTATTTATAAATATTCCATCCAAAAATAATAAAGTATAAATAATATAAATATATTTTAAAGTATTAAGGATTAAAATAATATTATAAAAAATAAATATAAGTATAACCTTAATTACTTTAAACCCTTAGGTTACCCTAAGACTTTAATAAAACCTTAAAGAATTATAATAAATATAAAACCCTACCCTTATAATTTTAACCTTTATAATATTAACTATATTAATTACCCTAGTAGCCTAAGCTAAAGGGGGAAATAATATAGGAAGGGTAAGCTTAAAAATAAAAAAAAATAATAAAGGGGATATCCTATTTTACTTAAAAGCTAAACAATAAATAAAAAATTTTAAAAAGATCTATAAAAATATTAATATTAAAATAATCCTTTAAACTATATATATAAATAAAATATTATTATTTTTAATATAAAAGTTTTAAATACTTTTATTAACCCTTTAAAGTATAATAAAATAAATATAATAATATAAATAATTAATATAAAATTTATTTAAAATAATAATAAAGCTAACAATAATAAAAGGTAATATAAAGGATAAAAATAATATTTATAATAAAATATATATAGGGAACCTATTAATAGTATTAAAGTTTGTTTTAATTTAATAAAATAATAACGTAGGATAAAAAAGGGGAAGGGTAGTTATAAGCTTTAACCTAAACTTAAATAAAAAAAGATTAAGGTTTAATACTTTAAAGGGTAGTATAAATATAAAAGAAGGAATAATTAATATAATTAAAGGGCTTTTAAATAATATTTAATTATATATTAAGGTTAATAATAAGGATGCCCTTTTAATATAATTATTATAGAAGTAAAAAATTAAAACAATTAAATTATTAAAGATTAAAGCTATAAAATGGAAAAATATAAAAGATAGGGTAATAATAAATAAAAAAATTACTAATACCCTCCTTTTATAATATAACCTAATATTAAGCAATATTATTATTTATAATTAAAACTGGTATAATATCTTTATTACCTAAGTTCCTTTAAAAAATGCTTAAAAATATTACTTAAAAAAGGAAAAAATTAATATTTTAAAAGCTTTAAAACCTTTATATATTTCCCTCTTTAATATAATTAATAAAAAAATATATATTTTAAAAAACATTATAGCCTTAATATAGGTAAAAAGTAAAAAAAAGATTATAAATATAGCTTATATAAATTGGTAAAAAGTATAATAAAGGTTATAAAGCTTAAGGATAAATTAATATAATTTAAAATAGTAAAAGAAAAAGGCTATTAGGAAGAAAAGCTAATAATTATTTTTAAAAACCTATTAAACCTATTTAAACTTTACTTCTTTTATAAAGATAAATAAGTAATAATTTAAAAAAAAGGAAATAAAATAGCAATAAGGCTATAAATTAGGGCTATTAATTTAGCCTAAATGTATTAAACATATAATAATTAAATAAGCTATATAATAAAGGTATATTTTAATATATAGCCTTTAAAATTAGATTTTAAAAACCTATATATACTTAAAAAAAAACCTAATTTATAAATAATAAATAAATAAAGGTACTCACCCTAAACGTATAATTTATTTAAAATATAGCCTATTTTAATAAATTATACTATAGCTTTAAAATAAGAGAAATAAATATAATAATAATATAAAAGGCCTTCTTTATAGAAAAAAGAGCTTTAAAGTTAATAATAAGCTTCCCTTTAATAAAAATAATAATAAATAAATCTTAATAAAGGGAAGGAATAGTAATAATCTTTAATACCTTAATAATAATATAAATAAATAAAGATTAAAAAATATAATATATAAATAAAGATAAAAGAATTATAATAAGTAATTTAAAGTATAAAGGAATTAATAAACCTATAACTATAATAAATATATATATATTAACCTAATTAAAAAATAAATTATTATAATTAAATATTATAAACCATTACCTTTTAATATACCTATTAATACATTTATATAATATAATAAGCGGTAATTAAAATATAGCAATAATATTATATAATAGAAAAAACGGATAAAGGGATATATTTAAATAAATAATAGTAATGATTAAACTTATTATTTAGCTTTTAAAATATAAAAAGGAAATAATAAATATATAAAAATATAACTATTTATATTTTAAGGCCTATTCCTTTTATAAAAAGAATAATAAGGGTATAATAAAGGGAATATTATAAATAAATTATTTATATATAAGGAAAGATTAAGCGGAATAAAATATAAGTTAGGATATAATATCCTCCGGATTATTTATAGATTATAAAGTAATAATAATTAATCTAACCTTTTTAAAATACTTTAAAAAAGGAATAGGAAAATTTAAATTAAAAGTAGACCTTTTAAAGAAGAAAAAGATAATAGATATATGCTAGAATTAATTAAACTAGATAAAGAACATTTTAAATATTAGCTTTAAAAATAGTTACCCTAAAGACCTAGTAAAAGAATAAATAGTATATAAAAAGGATATAATAAAAGTAATAAAAGAATATTTAAAAGCGGAAAATAAAATAAAATATAGAAAAAGGATCTTATTAAATATAAAAAGATATAACTTAAAAGAAGTAAAATGAAAAAACTTAAATAAATTCTTCAAAAGGAGAATTAAGGTAATAAAAATAAAAGAAGATTTATTTTAAAAATTTAAAAATAAAACTTATACTTTAAATATAATAGTTAAGTATTATATATTAAGTAAAAGCCCTATTAAACAATTTTATATAAAAAATAGGATAGATATAAAAACGGAAATAAAAGTATTAAAAGAGAATAAAAATAAGGAACTAAAAATAAGTTTAAAAGGAATTATAAAAGTTATAAAAAACTATTATATTAAACTATATTACAAAAAACAGTTAAAAGTTATAAAGAAATAGTAAACTTTTAAAGTTATTAAAAGAAAAATTAGTAAAGTAAAGGGTTAAAAGATTGTATAAGCAATTTAAAGAAAAGAAGTTTAAAAGGCTATCCGGAAAACTATAATAGGAAAGTTACCAGGGTTAAATAGATTACCAGTTAAATTATACAAGGCCCTTTTAAAACGTAAAAAGTATATAAAGGAATTCCTATTTTTAAACTTCTTAATAGTATTGTATAATTTAATTCTTTAAATAAATATAATATTAAAAAACTAAATAAAGGGTATTTTAGTTATTTTATAAAAAGAAAAAGAAAATTAAATAAATATAAAGAATTATAAACTATTAACATTAATAAATATAAATTATAAAATATTAATATTAATATTAATGTAACGTTTAATAAAAGCTTTAATAATAATATTAAATATATACCAATTAGCATTTTTATTAAAAAGAATAATAAATAATAATATAAGACTTATATAATTAATAATTAAAAAGTATAAAGGATTAGAATCTAACTACGTTTTTTTAATATTATTCCTAAATTAAAAGAAAGTATATAATAGAATAAATTATAAATACCTATAAAATATATTAAAAAGGATAAATATCCCTACTAAATTTATAAAATAGGTTAAAATATTATATAGGGGTACTAAGATAAAACCCTTTATTAATAGATACCTAAGAAAGATTATAAAAGTTAAATTTAGAGTTAGGTAAGGAAATCCCTTAAGCTACTTCCTATTTATAGCTGTAATAAAGGGTTTAATAAGCTTTATAATTAAAAATAGAATTATTAAAGGAATATATATTAGAAATAATAAAGTTAAGCTTATAATATATATAAATAATATTTAAATTAACCTATAAGTATAAAGAGATTTAAATTAGGTTAAATAACTTTTAAATATTTATTATAAAGCTAGTGGGGCTAGGATAAACTGGAACAAGTCTTACATTTTAACGGTTATAAAGCAGCCATTACACATAATGGACTTAAATATATAAAGAGTAATACTAAATAATTTATATTAATACCTAGGTATATTAATAGGTATAAATATAAAGGATTAATTAGAAAAGTTTTAAATAAATATAATAAAAAGCTTTTTAAATATAATAGTAAAATAGCTTAATTATTACCTTTTATTTAAAGGTAGAATAATAATAGTTAATACCTTAATAATATTATTATTAAGATATATAATAAAATTCTTAAAAATGCTTATAATAGTTAAAAAATAATTAAAAAAGGAATATTTTAAATTAATATAGGATAATAAGGTTAAAAAGGACTTAAAAATAGTAAATTTATATATATATATAAAGAAGAAAAATAATGGGATTAAATATTAAGATATAAAAACTATTATTAAAGCTTTTATAATATTTATAGCCCTAAAAGTATAAAAAGAACTTATATTATTATAGGCAATCCTATTAGTTAAACAATTAATTAAATCCTTAAAGGTATAAATGTTATAAAAAAATATAATTATTAATTTTTAAATATAATAGCTAGGCTAAAAAAGTAAACTATTGGATATAATTGTATAGATTTAAAAGGTATAGGTAAGCTATACGGGCTATTATATAAATAATTAAATATACTTAAAGGAATTAAAAATATTAAGCAAAGTATTAAACATTCCTTTATATTATTATCCAAAATTAGGAGTAATAATTAATTAAAGCTTAAAACTATAAGGTAATAGGGTATGGTTCCAGTTTAAGGATAAAGGAATAACCTAAATTAAAAATATATAAAACTTAGATATAAAAACCCTTAGGATATTTATAAAAATATTAAGCACCTTAAGGTATAAAATAAAAAGGTTAATAGAATTATTTATAAAATAATTATTAAAAGATTGGATATAAATATTATAAAATACTATATAACGGATATAAATAAATTAGGGGGAGAGTAGGATAAGCCCTAAATGAATGTAATACTACCTAATAATAATATAAACGGAAAAAGAAAATAAAAAGATTACCTAATAGGGTTTTAAAAAATTATATATTAAAATATTACAAAAAAAACTAAAAAGTATAAATTTTAATAAAAAGATAATTAAAATAAGTAAAGCAATCTTTAAAATTATAAGTATAAAATCTACATTAAAAAAAGTATAAAGAAAAGTTAAGAAGAACTTTTATAAATATAAAACAATTAACCTAATATAAAAATTATTATATAAAATAGTAAAAATAGAATTATAGCTGATTTAAATACTTAATATAATATAAAAATACCTAGTTAATAGATAAGATATAATTAAATAATATATTTAAATAAAGTATATAATAATATAATATACTTAAGATAAGGTAAAAGATATTTGGAACTACTTATAGGAAATAATAGTAATAATAAACCTATACCTAATTAAAGGTAAATTAAGCAAATTATTTAAACTAAATAATAAAGCTAAACTATAAGTAATATTATTAATAAGCCTATATATTAGTTTGTTATATAAAAGATAAATATTAATAATATATAGTTTAATATAAAGCTTATAGAAAGTATACTTATTATATTCCTTTTAAAGAATATATAAATATTAAAAAGTATAATAAATAACCTAATTTTATAAAAATGTAATAAAGGGAATAATTATAAAGGATAAGGCAATATTAATAAATAAAATATATAAGTTTAATATAATAAACCTTAAAATATATAAAAAAGTTTAAGGATAAAAAGTATAAAGTATAAAACTAATATAAAGATTATAGTATATAGTTAAACTATTAATTAAAGCTTTGCTTAAATAAATAAGGCGTAAAGAATTAATACAGAAAAAGAAAAAGAAAAAACTACGCTATTTAATAGAAAGGAGGTAGAGGAAGAGAGATAAACGGGAAGTAATAAAGCTGGCCCTAAGATGATAATATAAAACCGAAAGCAACCATTACAGTAAGACACCTCTTCTAAGAAACATACCCTCCAACTACCCAACACCACCATAAAATAGCCCATCCTTTCTATCCCTAATCATCCTCTGCGTACTATCCTGGACTAAGGGCCCTAATTGAAGACCTTTAAAAATAAGATGGATAATGCAGCCCCTGAACTTCTGCCGAACTCTCCACCCCCACTGTATAAAGAACGCAGACCTACCTACGCACCAAGCCCCTCCGAGAATAACCAAGCCTAACGCCCTAAAGAACCGGACAACGAATGGTCGAGCGAAGATGAGAACCACAATATAGGCACGAATGAAGACACCTCAGATGATAAGGATAAAGGAGAAGAGGATGATAAAGATCCAATTATAATAAATAATAAGGAAATAGAAAATCTAATAGAAATAGATAATCTAGTAAATAACGAGCTTGCTAATAATAGATGGAAAGATATATAGGAGGGCGAAATACCGGAAATCCCCCTAAAACCAGTCCTAAGGATTAGGATAGCAAGAGAATAAGTGTTCTAAATAAATATAAATAACCATATACGGGAATATTTAATATAGAAGCAAAAGGACTTATATAATAACGGATATATAAACTTAAAATGTAAGGAATTATACGTAAAAATCTTAAACGAATAGGAAGAAATCGTATATAATAACTTTATAAAAGAACATTAAATAAACGAAGTTATAGTTAAATATAAAGCAATAAGTAAAATATTCCTACAAATAAAAATGTAGGAACTTATAGAATTAGTTATAATAATCCGCTTTTAATTACTTTTTAAAGAGGTCTTTAAGCAATATATACCGTTTAAACATTAACTAAATTAGGTAACGATTTAGTAAATGTATAGGTATAAGGTTAAATAATTCCTAAAAAGATTAGCCTTTATATTAAAAGGATGGGTAATAATGGTAGTTATAATTAAATAGATAAGGCAAATAATAATAAATGCTAGTATATATATTAACTTTTACTACCTATATATTAAAGATTGGAAAGAACTATTTAAAAGGATAATTGGACAATTATTGATTAAATTAATTATAAAAGCGGCCTTAATAGTGAACTATAAGGAGTTAAAATTATAACGAATTAACCGATATAAAAGGAAATTTAGGAAATTATATAGAAGGAATAAAGTTAATATATAAAAGGTTGGATTAATAGATTAGGAAAATATAAAAGTATAATAATATAAAATACTAATAGGGTAATAAAAACGAAAAAAGAAATATAAGCAGGATAAATAAGTAATAACCTGGAATAAAAAAAATAAAAGATATAATAAATTAAAGCATTTTAGTACTATAGAAAGGTATATTAAAAGTATTGCTATAATCCTGTAATAAGTAGTAGACTTAGGTAAACCTAACCTCGAACCTGGGTAACTGTAACTACTGTAGCGTAGGTTCGAACCCTACCTTCTTTCGGGCGTAAAAGGTGCGGCTACGGCCAGTCATACGTTGGTAGTTGAGTCCATAATAATAAAACTAAAGTACTCGAGAACATCCCGAATTACTAATGTAAGCATGCAAGGGCGAACTTGTCCCGATGCAGATTAGTGGCGGTAATAAGGGTTCTTAGGTAAAGCTTATCCTCAAATGCCTTTCTAGAGTTGGAGTAGGTAACCTTCATTGTGTTGCTTTGGTATGCTACGTGATGTGCTCGACATAGGTAGTAGGTCACTTGTGTCAAGGTCCGCGGCATTAGTTACGAGGAAATAGACGGATTGCGCTTGTTGAATTATTTACTAGTTATATTTAGGGTCCAGTTACAGACTGTAGGTGGAAGGTAAGGAAACCTATCTTCGGACGGTATGCACAATGACAAACTTCTTCCGCCTTACTAACTTCTGGGAGTAAGGTGCTCGCTCGTTCCTTATGTTTGGGTGGTGGTATAAGTAAAGCCATTGCGTCGAATTAGGCGATCATAAACCCTCCAACTGCCGGCTTGCCGTATTGTTGCGTATTATTCCACTCGGATTTACACTAGTTTGGAAAGAATGACTGAAACCATTCAGGAGAGGGAGATCGTTCAAAATCTATCTGACCTGGCTACCTATTATGCTTGGTGGATAACTAGTCCCCTCTGTCGACTGGAAATAATCTCTTCGCTCTGAGGGTTCATTGCCAGAAACCTTGAGAAGGAACTCAATAATATCTTGGCTGACACCTTGGGTCATTTTGGCGTACATTTGCTTTAAAATGGTTGCGCCAGACTCATTGATATCGGTGTCTGGCCCGCGGCACATCGGGATAATTTTCTGGTGGGTTGCGGGTTGGACATAGTTATGTTTGTGGTATCCGAGCCAGTTGTAGCAGAAATAGCAAGCCGGTTTGCTACATCCAATGTATTTGTCTCTGCCGACGAACTCATATCCGCGCCGACTGAAGTGATCGGCGATCTGAAGCTCAGCATGAACCCTCGTCTCTAAAGTCATTCGATTGGCAAGTCTGGCCCGTATGCTGTCGTCACCGTTTCTATTGGTAGGAATATCTAGATTAACAATGGCGTGAAGAACCGACTGTGTGGTCCTTTCATTTTGGGCTGAAGAATCCTTGCATACCCCCCGCACAATTTCGTACGGAGACATGTCTGTTAGGTCCAGGCCAATAGTAACAACACCAGGAGCATCGACAAAGCGGGTGCCTGATATACAGCGTAAATCAGGAACTTGACCTGTTGTTTTCACAATAGAATTCGCCGCAGAACGTGTTGCGCTGATGCGGCCAATGAAGTGAGCGAGCCTTCCGAAGTCATCTTGCCCTTGCGGTTGTGTCGACATCTCCCGGATGGCATCAATCTTACCACCTCGCATCCCGTAGCACCGTTCAATCAGGTTAGCCATGTCTAAATTTCGTGGTGGTTCAGAAAGCGTCTTGAGTTCTCTTCTGAGAGAAAGCACTAAGAAAATCAGCAAGCAAAAAAAAAAAAAAAATCAAAGAGGTGGGAATTCTCGTACCGCCTTCGTCTGGCAACGCCTTTCTTAACTTCATCCTGCACCTTGTCGCGTAAATCTTCAGCTTCCTTTTATAAAACTCAAGCCGCGGCATGCACATATGGACGGCATAATGAAAGATCTCATCGCAAATTCTCGATTCTGTTTGAGTATTCATGCTCCGGAGCATTTGGAGGATTCTGTTGGCATAGGCCTTAATCTCCTCTGAGATTCCCTCATTTGCAGCTAGCCATAACATATTACTATGCTTCAATTTCTGTAATGCTGTGGCAGTCACTGTTGGTCCTCCCTTGCGTATGTCACATAAATACGCAAAAGAATCCAAGAATTGCCGACAGGCATCTGTCATAGTGTCGCCTGATATCGGTCGTCGTTCGGGCTCATCCTTAGATCCTGCAAGAGCCTCGAATAGAATCAATCGGGGATAAAATAACTTGTTCGCCTCCAGTGATGTTTCTTTCATTATTGAAGTTACATCATCATTTCCTGCCTTCAGTGCTCGACGCCCGGAAGGAATAGACATATCATGAAAGAGCGTGCCAATGATTAGGCTCAACGACAACTGGCAAAGGGCAGGATTTTGTCTCCCAAATCGTCGTCGTCAACCGATAGGAAATGAAAATCTAAGAGCGTGACTTACCCAAACCTCTCCAAGTGTCTGTATCACCAGGGAGCCGAATTGAGTGGTTGGTAATGAGCGGGGAAGCGCTCCGTTGAATGCAGCTGCCGGTCACCTTACATGGGCTACTTGTATTATAATGATAAATATCACCGTCAACTACGAAGATTTACTGGAGCAGAACTCTCAAATTCGACAGTTGCAAAAACTCTTATATGTCAAACCCAGAGTAGGTCGCTACCATCAAATGAAGGGCCACTTCGCAATGGAGTAACACGGCGTCTAGATACAATCGCCTCGCTCCGATTATCGAGGCGCTGTAGGCTATGTACACTAGTGCGTTTCGATATTCGCTGGTTGGACTTTGCTTGCTCGGACGCCCATCCGATGGCCTTCTGAGTGTTGCTAGACGCGCGTCCACATGGCGAGTGTACCTTGAACCTGATAATTCACGGCCATCTATAAATCCATGCTACGGTATGACGAACGTTGCGGGGATATTGACACGGCCTTCAGAAGAGTTTAGGTCGATACTTGTAAGCAGGTTCCAATTACCTATGCTTTTATATACCAGTTGTTGGATCTAGCTCTGGCCCAGGTCCGCTTGACAAGCCTCAATCTCCCAATCTCCCTGCTATATCATCTTATCTAACCCTCTTTTCCCCTTTCTTATTAGCCTCTCAAAGGAGCCTCTAGTCTAATGTTGATGAAGTTAGTGCATGTAATACCTAATGAAGATCTGGTACTAGTGCCCCAATTAAATAGGGCTGATTTTATTATTAGAGTGGAGGGCCGTAAGCCTTTTGGATAAGTAAACCTCGGTTTCGTATAGGCGCCTAACTCAAGTTATTTATACTATTTGCACTAGGTCCTTTTTCAACTAGATCTATCTTAGATTACTAAAAGTGATAGACGTTCCTTACTGCTACTTACAATAGGAATAGTAACTTACTGGTAAAGTACGGGAAGGATTTACCGTGGCAACTGATCGGACATGAGGTTCGAAGGCTACTCTGTACAGGGCTATCAATCTACGTCATGGTGTTTTTTTCTGCGTTCCGGGTATAAGAAGCATCGAGTCCTAATGTTTCTCGCAGTTTGAGTATCAGCTTGAGTGATAGCTTGGTCAGAAAGCTGCCTCGGAACCTCATTACAAGCACAATGAATCGATCAATTCGAGTTCTCGCTGCTCTGTTGACAGCCGGTATTTGCACAGCTCAAGGCCAGACGACGGAGCTCCAGTCCGTAGGTTTCAACTCTAGCTTTACACTTACGCAAGCACAGATCGAAGCTGCGAACATTTCAGCTGGCGTTGCGGCCGATATCGAGAATGCCATACGTTATGATTTCTCGCAACTTGCTTTCGGTGGGCCAGGGCAAGACGACTTCTACACACTTCCGCCACTGACACTGAAGTGTAACTCTACGACTCTAAAACCTGGCGTATTACTCAAGGTCCAAGACTATACCAACACAAGCGGATACGTACTGCCACCCAACCTAGCGCTCTCACGCATCCTGTATACCACGAAGAATTTGAACGGCACCGTCGTCCCAGCTTCCGGATTTGTCCTCTGGCCCTTCCAGCCGCGGCAATTCAGTACTGGTAATTCTAAGCAAGGAGCCCCTGTTATCCTTTGGGCGCACGGAACAGCCGGCCTCACCGCGTCAAGGGCGCCGTCCGCACACCGGGCGCTTTGGTATGGCGACAACGCTCCATTCTCCCTCGCTCTAGCGGGATATGCTGTCGTCGCGCCGGACTACGCAGGCCTTGGAATCTCGGCCTCATGGGATGGCTCACCGATTCCGCATCAGTACGAGACGTCGCCGGCCGGTGCTTACGACGCTCTCTACGGTCTGCGAGCGGCGTGGGAGGCATTCCCAGGGCAACTGCAGAGCATGTTCATTGCCATGGGGCACAGTCAAGGGGGAGGCGTCGCGTGGAGCATCGCGGAGCTATTGGAGGCGGAAGTGGAGGCTTTCGCTGATCTGGCCAAAGGGTACCGCGGGACAATTGCCGGCAGTCCGATGACCAATCTCTTTGCTTCTCCGCCTTGGCTTATCCTCACATGGCTCTCCACGTACTTGAAGGGAGTCTATCCCTCCTTCGACCCTTCCGAATGGCTTACGCCGCTTGGGCTGGCGCGCGTGGAATTGCTGCGCCAGGTCCAAGGGGGTACTAGTGTCTCCAAGTCCCTTTTTCTGGACTCAAACATATACAAACCAGAGTGGAATGAGACATGGTACGTCAATACATATGCTGAGCTCGCCAATGCAGGACGGAAGCCCTTTGCAGGCCCGTTGCTAGTTCTGCAAGGTACAGGGGACACAACTATCCCCTACCCCCTTACCAACGAGACTGTCGACGCGACCTGCGCGCTCTTGGAGAAGTCGAACAAGAGTCGCGATCTCGAATTCCTCGTTGTAAATGGTACCGGTCACGTTCCAACGCTTGATGCTACTAGACAAACCTGGTTGCGGTGGATTGAGGATCGTTTTGAAGGTGTTCCTCTTCAGCATAGCGGCTGCTTTAGAACGGAGATCGAGAGCTTCCGACCTCTACAGAACTATCAACCTGTGATAAATTCCTTCATTCAGTGGGCTGGAGCGGCGGATCAGTGGTTTGAGAAGCCGCTTCCCTGATTAGGATGACTACCACTGTTCTCAAAAGGACGTAGTCTCCGTGTATGATAGATCGTTCTATTCAGTACCTAGTTTTGAGAGTTTTCCACGGTCATTATTGCGATAATGAACTTAATCAATAATCATATCCGAGCTTCGTACAATAAGGGTCACGTAAAGGTCTTCGATCAGTAAGGCAAACGCGTATAGGGGACTCCAATTTCGGATGCCAAACTCCCACTTCGGAACGCTTCCATATGAGCGACATTGTGCGACATGGCAGATATGGTGCTGGAAAGTACCTGCGGTCGCCTATACAGCGTATTGTGGTATAAACAAACGCCACACAGCCAGAAAACATCAGATTGAATTTCCATTTTCCACTACAGCTCAGTTTGTTCTTCGCTTGTGAGCCTCATGGCACTCTGCCCATAATGCTTTGAAACCGCGAGCTGTGTGTCCGTATCAGCTCAGGCGTGTAGGTGGTCAATTGGTTAATAACCCAAGCACTGCTGCCCAACAACATCCTACCTAATATCACCCGAGCTGATACCCGTAGTTGATCTTCTTTTTCTCACCCGATTTGCTGCTATCTCTGGGTAGGAACCCATGAGCCCTAGTCAACCCATGACTGCTCGCACCCTCCTGTAGATCGCCCAATAGCAGATGAGTATGTGAGGTCCGATCCGAGGACTTCTTTACCAGATTCTCTCCAAAGTTCCACATCTTTCTAGTGATATCTTCTTAAGCAATATTAGAGATAGAACTGTCGGTGGCCTTCAAAGGAATTCGGGTACTAGCCTGGCGTCTGATAAATTCATGACAGCGTTCTCGCGGCTAGTTGAACTTTGTGTGCGCCTTGCGCCCTGGACCGGGGTATTCAAGATTTCAAATAATTATGTCTTTTCATCGATAGCCTAGATGAATTTGACAATAATTACCCATATCTCTCAATCACATAGAGCGCCTTCAGACATGCTCCATCGTTGGACAATAAGCTCTAATGAACTTGTGAAGATTTGTGTGTCAAGTTGAGTTCAAGAGCCTTTCCTGGAAGTCTTGACGAGCATCAGCGATTCGTACTTCACAACTTGATAAGAGACGACATTGACTATTTTTTCATGCCATCACTCTAGCGCTACCCTAGGTTCTAGGGGCATTAGTAGGCAAGCCCTAAAGAGTGCGGGCCCCTAGTTGATAAGATCTGAGACTCTACAGAGGAAGTCTTCTCCTGGGTGGCCTTAGTTTTGAAGGAGCTGCAGATAGGCCTGGACGACAAAAATCCGCTTATAGGTCTCTAGCGAATCGTGTCTGAGAAGTCCAACGACATGGATGCTTCGCTTGGGAAGGTTATGAGCAACATACCTAAAGTCTCCCGATGCACCCCCCCGGATCTCTGCGTCTCTTCATGCTCACCACAGATAACAACATACAGAAATCACTAGTGAGATGGCTTTGAGGCTTCTGACTCAGTGACAGCAGAGCGGTGACGACTTTCCCTAATGAGTAGTCACGTCGGCTTTGAAATAAGACGCCACTGTTCTAATAGGTACACTTTACATCGATGTGTCATCTCAAATACAAATATCATTGCTATTTCCTCTGCCGATACTATATCAGTGTCAATAAAATGCAAGTCTGGCTCACCTGATTCTACCAACAATACTTTGAACCTGTGGGTCCACGGCTGTTCTGCATACAGTAAGAGAAACACTGTCTCCTGAAGGTAGCGAATCTACGACGGTCCCATAAAGCACTGCAGATCTGTGCTGAAGACCTGCAGCTCAGATTGAGAAGATTCCTGCACGCCGTGCTAACATGCGTTTGCAGGAGGTGGAGGCGGCGGAGTGCCCCAGGTTTTCCTGACGGCGCAGCATAATTCCCATCCTAGGCTTAGAGTAAATGTAGAAGGAGATAATTTAGGTAGTTTGTCCGTATCTTGGCTCCCCCGCTCTTCTCACTCACTTCTCTTAGCATCCTTGGGCCTAGAGTACGATCACCTACGAAGACGATGTCTGTCAACCCATCAACTTCCATTCAAACTTACCATGCCAACTGTCACTGTGGCATGATCACATTCTCCGTGAGATTACCGGACCTAGCTTCATCAAAGGTCGTATCTTGCAACTGCTCTATATGCACGAAGAATGGGTATCTTTTCGTGTATCCCAAGTGTGAAGATGTTATCTTCCACTCTGGCGAGCTCAAAATGACATCCTACCGTTTTGGACATGCCAAGAAGGAACATAAGTTCTGTCCGACGTGCGGGACTAGTATCCTCATCGATTTCTCCCAAGCAGATCGAGAGATCGAGAGGCAAGTCACCGCGATAAATGTGAGTGGAAATAACTCATCTTGTCATTTTGTTATCTGAGAACTAATATTCCGTTGTGGCGGGCAGGTGCGGACATTTGTCGGAGCTGGAGATCTCATAAAGGACCTAGATTTAAAACATGTTGATGGGAAAACCAAGCTCGGGCCAGCCTATATCGAACCTCTCCCTTGAGAAATAAGCATGGTTCAGAATAGAAATCATCGAATCTTAATCTTCTTGATAAATATCTGAAAATGTCTTCACTGTGCCATTTGTCTAGCTTAGATGAGGGGAATGGCCTGTCGGGCAATGGCAATGTTACGAACTCTCTCTGTTGGGAAAATCGCAGATCAGGTCTCATCGGCCTGAGCGCTTAAAAGCTCCTTCCGCTTTCTTCTGTCATCACGTGACTATGATCTAGCTGATCTATGTGATCTGCCTCAGATCACACAGATCACATAGATCACAAACTCCATTCTTCAGTTTTACGCACATACTCTATATTTATATGATATTAATATTCCCCTTTGTATTTAGTCATTCTTTTGTAGTTATTTATTAACTTCGATATGAATTCTATTCATTGACTACTATCCAGACTCCTATCTGTGTAGAATAGTGGTAGGAGCCCCTGAAAGCCTTCATAACGATTACCCTTGTTCGACCCTAGAGTTACCTGCAAATTAAGAACACTTTGACCTACTGCCTGTACCTCTTAGGTGCTGTATAGAAGGTCTAATTTGGCTATATTATAATTGGAAAATGAAATTGTGTTTACGTTAAAATCCCACGCGTCGCGTTCATACTTTAATTGACAACTGCCTATAGTAATGATAGCCGGTGCTTATGTGATCTACACAGATCTTGTGTGCATATTGGGCCCTGTAGGTAGGTGTAAGGGGATAAGTGAGTAGGTATGATGAGTCAGAAGGCTTATGAGGACTTATTGCAAGAAGGCAGCTAACTGGGTAAATAGTCATGGTGAGTCAGAGTCCAAGGGCGAAGAAAGGAAAGACTATAAGCTTAACGATATTTGCTATGTAGTTAGCTATGACCTTTCCTTACTTCACTATTCGATTCAAGTATATTAATAGAATTCACTTGGCTATATTATTTGAATTCATATTTCTACCGCCTTAATCCTGTGGTACAAGCTGCAAGAATGGCCTCAACCACTGAACTTATCGGGATTCCGTGGGGTGGAGTTCATGTGAAGGTCTCCGCCTGGGGGTAAACGTGGTATAGAAGACTTCAAAGTCGGACATCAGAACCTTCAGTTTTAGGGGTTTCTATACCAATACTTTGATATTTGACCTCTTAATGTTGTATAACGAAGACGAGTATACATCAGCCTTACTCGTGCTAGCCGTATCCAGCTTTTACCTATCAGAATTTGGCTATCCTGGGGTAGTACATTCCTCAATCAGTTACCAATATTTGTATGTATGGGGAAATTTTGATCCCAAACTACCTGAGCCTAATTCTACATTAGTCCAGGTATGGTATGCAACGATACACTTAAGGCCGTCAATATTGAGGCGACTTTCGTCAGCGCTAACCTGGATGTCGACACAGCTAAGCGACCCGTGCCTATTGAATCGACAGCTAGTACCTTCTCAGACTGATTTGGGTCGCCATGGATATTATCCTGGCAACCAAACCCCATCTTCTCACTCAGGGTAGTATCCCAGCGTATACGATTACCTCCCAGGTTTTTCGAGCTCGCAAGATTTTGATAACATAGACAGTATATAATGTCACGGTGACGGATCTGAACGGCTTAACACGCGTCATTCAACACGGCACTTCAACGCGTATTCTTGAGCCGCTTCTATTAGGTACGCTGATACTATCCATCATTAACTGGGTTCTCATGCCCACTACAGCCCTACTCCCCAAGCCCTCGACAAGCTTGGCGAGCACAGGAGCGCTTCTAGTGGGTGGGAACATCTTCGCTTGTCTACTGCCAAACGCAGTATCAATGTGCATCGAGGAACTAAAATCACATTTCCTTAACCTAGGGCTTGATGAGTTCTGAACGGGCTGGGGGATCATAACAGTCAATAAGGAAGGGCGAGCAGCGGAAGAGATTCATGGTTAATGCGGTTTCTTCTGAAGAACATCAATTGACAAGTTCCGGCCCGAAACCCAGTCCTGGTGAAATAAGGAATGAGATAGAAGGCTACTAAGGTTATGTTACACGCGCGCACGGCCGAATATGCAGTTCGCCTGCGGCTACGGGAGCATCGAAGTGTCCTTCATAACCTTCAAGAGACATGCAGGTGACATTGGAAGTAAGGGTATGCAGACCTCGCTTCATGAAACAAACCAATTAGACGTAGGCGGCCAGGGCTGACAGTCTAATTGTATGTAGAGACAAAGTCAAGCCACCAAATTCAAGGGGGAATTGGATGGTCAAGCTGCAGCCCTAGCAGATTATCATATTATGAATGGCCTCAAATGCACGCCCTGTCATCTGCCTTTATTATAGGTCAATTTTGCATAGTGCATTAGCCACTTTGGCTAACTCTTTGCCAGAGTCCTGATAGATCCCGAGTACGCCAGTCGGAAATATCAATTCATCTAGGCCGATCTAGCTTAACAGCTATGGGATTTCTGGAAGCAGGAACAAAAGGAGAAGTATAGGTGTATAATCGAGCCTAGATATACTTGCCATGGTGACCATCAAGATGTCAGCTACTTGGTGGTGAAATGAGTTAATCGAACGAAGTGACACGTTATCTGGGGGATGGAGACTCGAAACTGAAAGTTTGAACCTGTCAGGGTATAAAGCAGTACTAGGGGAGAAGTTAGCTTGAAGGAGCGGAGACAGCTCAGCAGTTGGGTATATAAAGGGGAAAGGTCTCCCTAGACTGCTTAGGATAGACGAGAATAATATCATTGAACCCCTATCCCTACATTCGATCTACACTACCTGCTATCCAGGTGCAACCTACTGGTGACCTAGCTTCACTCTGGGGACGCATACTCGTAGAACCCATCATCTCCTCTGTCGACACAAGGAAGTGTCTGGTAAGGAGATTCGTGATGATTGGGGCCGTCCTGATAAAATTGGGAGTACATGGCTTTCATATAGTCTGCTATACGGCACATGTTGCTGCACTTTCGAATTTGCCTTCACGTTGTTTTAGAGAAACATATTCATTCGTAGAGGTCTTCCGCCGTAGCGATAGGTAGCACGTCCCTGCCGAGTCGACGCTGTTTAGTTTGGAAGAGGAAAGTACCTTGGCATAGTCTTGGGCAATGTGTCCGTGTTTACAGCTGCGATATTGCTTTTCCTCTCCTTTCTTAAACAGTTATCTGCACAGGCAAACCGTGATCATCTTAGATGTGGGTATGACCCTGGAGTTGATTTGGCGTAGCCATGAGATGTTCAGGAGGTTATGGCTGATGAGCATAAAGGGGTCCTCGCAACATCAGATGAAGAAGTGGAGGCACCATGGATTGGCTAAAATACTACGATCGCGTCAAGTGGCCTTAGCGCAGTACTTTTGCATATCATTATGGTTGTTGCCGGAGAATATCTGACAGAGCTCGGGCATTAGATCTGAGAGATTTCTTTAGCCGCAGCCAGGGTCCTTTGTGGGACCATATGCACCGGCTTAGAAATATCGAGTGGTTGGAGATATTTTGCGGCAGAAACCGGTACCAGCAATGAGCCTACATAGTACTATATGCTAGCTACCAATGTGCCTGTCTGCCCCTGAAGTGTACGATGGAGTCTGGATACCCTTCCCGCCTCACCGAACTGGGAAAGTCCATGCTGCAATGCCAGCTGGCATTACTGTCCAGGGTGGATTGCTTCGGCCAGGATTCACCGTCTCTCTCAGCATTTGCAGTGTCAAAATGGATCTTTTCGGGTCGTTTCGGATGTTCTGGACGTGTGTGAAGCTCGAACCATGTAAGCGAATACAGGGACTGCCCCTGTTGATAGGACAACTGTAGAAATACTAAAGATAGTTGCATAACGGAGACTTGTCCGACCCAATTCAGCCACCGCAATATCGTTTGGCTAGGAAGTAATATAATTTACGTTTGAGCTTGTAGATATGAAACATGAAACATAAACAGGTGTCTCGATTCGCACACTGAAGGAGAGCGATCTGATCTCGAGCTATCATAGCTCGAACGTCGCCATGGCGTCTAGAGTCTCGGCGGCCCCACGTGCTCGATGTTCCGCGCGGTAACCCGCACGACATTTTTATTGCTGCCCACAGCGGAGACGTGATAGCGAGCCGTAGAATTTAGACCACGTAGGTGCTCGGTGGATGCCACTCAAGGGTACCCCCCCACAGCCGCATGGGGGTCTTTATGATTATAGGTCGATCTCGCATGAATCGCAGTTCGAGCGCTGCGAGGGTATCACCGTGCTGAAGACCCTAGACACAGGAGCTTGGGCCTCTTGAACTCCGTAGGGTTGCATTCTCGAGCATCTTAGAGCCGCCATGATATTGAACAACAAAGCAGTCCTGAGCAGAGCATAATGTTAGACGAGGACCAGCCTTCTAACTCGGCGCTTGAGATGGCGCAGGAAGGCTGCCCTCGTGCGGAACCCGCCGATTCACCAACTGTATTGCATCGTACGACTGTGTTACGGGCCTAGCACGTCTTTGTTATTGAGTGTCCGAGCGCTTTGGAGCTGAGGCACGCACAGCATACGAACTTCACCTTCGAGCGTAGCCAGACCCCAACCACCAAACAAGGGGCTGAGAGCGGCATACACAGAGGCTGTTAGTCAATGAGGTCGAACTTAGCAGCGATCTGAGTGTATGTTCGGGTATGAGAAGTTCGGCATCTTAGCACGGCAACAAATGTGTATATAAGGACAGTCAAATCCCCCAGACCAGAGAGCCTTTTTTCCATCATCATCCAACAACACAATCCAGCTTCACTACCACCACTTCCAACAACTCTTCACTTTCAGTCTTTCGACTCAAAACCCCCAACAATCAAAATGTCTGCTCCGTAAGTGGCTTCATCCTTCGCCTCTTGCTCGCAAAGGCAAGTCTACTAACTGGCTCAACAGCGTCAAGGCCAACTCTTTCGAGGGTGCTCCCTCTCTACCCCTCCCTGGTCTCTCTGGACAGGGCAACAACGTTGCTGGTAAGTGAACAGAAATCCATCCCTCACTGGCTCAGCGACAACTAACTAACATCACCAACAGGCAACCTTGTTAAGGGCCCCGTCGATGAGGATGGCAAGCTCAAGAGCGCTGCTCTCCTCGTCGGTGTCAAGCTCGACCTCGAGGCTGAGGTTCACCTTGCCGCTCGTGTCCGCGGTGACATAGTAGTTGGTCTCTATTAAGTGTAGCGACAAACAATGAAACCCAGCTCACACAGCAACAATAACAATGCCTTGACAACTTGATCTGATTCATCTCCCTCGGCGAGTAAATTCACAATGGGCGACTCTGTTTTCATTCTTCGAGCTGCGCTACACTTTACAATGGGGTTTAATCTGGGATACGAGGTGTTCGGAACTGGGAAGCGATAAGCGGTTGTGGTTTGGATCATGATGACTTGGGAACTGGTTTGGCAAAAAGCATGCGGGAACCGGGCAAAAGAGAAGCTGCACCTTGATCTCTCTATCGTCAACTCTACTGATTGCCACCCCGGCTATCAATAAAATTATATCTTCTTACCAACTCTCTGCGCTTTTCTCTAAGATCTTAGCTTGAACAGTGACTGAAAAGTTCTAACTACCTCTCGACAGCTCGATCTTGGGCAGCCATCCTAGTCTTGATGACAAATAGGATGCTTTAGCTCATCTCAGCAGCGCTCACACTCGAGCAACCCCCGCGATAAGCTGAGAAGCATTGAAGTAAGCTCGAGGTTCCTCCTTGCTATAGATGAATTTATCCGAATGAGTTGATTAACTATATAAGAATAGTACGTATCATGCTTGCACAGCCCACGGTTGTTCTATCTCACACTCTCATTCAGCCACTTGTAAACAACCCTTGCGTCCTTTCCCTTATACCTCTCATCTGCCATCGCCTCACGGAACGCTTCTTGTGTTGGCTGATCTAAAACTGTTCGGGCACCTACACTCTCAGCCAATTTACTTCCCATGCTTAATACCTTAGCGCACAGCTCGATTCTAAACCCACCATTATAATCCCTACTACTCGGGACATTCGTTTGCACCCCTGGGACCGGGTTACTATGACTAGTGACCCAACACTGCCCACCACTAGCGTTTATAACGTCAGTCAGGAGCTTCACGTCTAGGCCGGCCTTAGTCCCTATGTTGAGAGCCTCGGATGCGGCGAGCGATGTGATAGCGCTGAGATAATTGTTGATGACCTTGAATGCAGTGCCGGCTCCGACATCACCGCACAAAAAGGTCTCCTTCTCCTTGCCCATGTGCTTCAGATATGATTTCACGATTGGAAAGACGGCATCTGACACAGCTGGCGGACAACCAACCATGAATGTCAGTGTACCAGCTTCAGCCCCCATAGGACCACCTGAGACAGGTGCATCAACGAACGTTAGGGTTCCCTCAAGTTTCGATGCACTGAGTTCTTGAGTCGCTTTCGCAACGGCCAAGATAGTCTCAGTTTCTATCGTTCCACATTCCATGATGAGCTTAGGCGACGGTGATCCCGACTTCACTGCTGCAACAGCACCAGCGAGGATGCCAGTTTTCTCGTCTAGGTAAACAGTCTTGACAGCGTCTGACCTAGGAAGCATGGTGATGATGGTATCCTTGTTTAAAATAAGTGCTCTATACCCGGGCTCATATTTAGGGGAGTGAGTATGGCCTTACTGCTGCTTTTGCTGCTTCAAAACCGTTGCTGACAATTTTGACGGCGGCCCGCCCTTGTGCTTCATTCACGAATCGGTCTAGCGCTTGTTCGCTCACGTCGCATATGAGAAGTGTCTTTTCTGGCCCTAAACCCGACAGCAGGTTTTTCGCCATAGGGAAACCCATTACGCCAAGCCCTAGACCAAATCTTAATACTTTACAATTATGTAATACCGAGATTCCTTACCTATGAAGGCCACTGTGTCTACTGGAGAAGCCATGGTGATATTCCTTTGCCCCTTTTTCGTGAGGACAGGTCAACGGACCAAACTTAGGATATGCGAATCGATTGAAAGAAATGGAAGAGTGGAAGTATTGAAACTCTACGTCATAGCCGGCGGTCTCGTTAACTGAGGTACTGATTATGTGTGGTAGCACACCTCAAACAGCAACCAAGCAATGAGAATAACATTGATGACTAACGGTTGAATGTGCTAACTAGTTGATCTCACCTTCCGTTCGCCATTGATCAATGAAGAACCTCGATATGGAGTATACCTCACATGCTAACTCTCAAGATCACACCGTTGGAAAGCTATAGTTGACTCTCAAAACTTCAACTGCCGTGACTTGGAGACTCAAGACTCCCCCGCGGGAGGGTCGCAATCATGCACACGCATAACTTACCAAGAGCAACAATGCCGGCTATACTTCTCCTCACCTTCAGCAACAAGGCCCCGACTACAGCTTATCCGGCCAGAACCGATGCCTGTTGTGCTCCCTCCAACCCTTGTCATGCGCGAGCACAACCTCAACATCCGCCGTCTCTCTCAGCTGATTCACTCCCCCATTGATCGCCGCCAACGTCTCTTTCGCCAAAGGCGTATGTACGTGCACGCTCCTCACCCCTCCCCGACCGTCGTCGTACTCGGCAATTTCTTTTTCCCCGCTTAAGATCCTGGTGTCGTGACAGCAGTCGCCGCCAAGATAAACGTACTTCTTCTCGCTGATACGCACGAGCAGGTTGACGTGCCCGTGTATGTGTCCGGGACTGTCGATGACGTAGACGCTTTGATCCCCGAAGAAGTCGATGGTGCGGGGAAACCCAGAAAAGGGCTGCCACGACCATGTATCTGCCGAGGAAGGTAGTCTGGCTTGCGTGTCAGGAGGAGTAGGTGTGTGTACTGGGGCAATCGGTCTAGCATAGTAGTCTTCAAACTGGCCGTTCTGGTTGGGTGTTGGTGGTAGCTCGACTGTACGGGACGCGGGGAGCTCATCGTCGTTGAATAACTCTGCTGGATAGTTTGGTCCCGCGCCGTGCTTCAGGAGGTCCAGGGTGCCTGATCCTACGACGAATGTGGCGCCCGGAAAATCCGATGGCGTACCGATGTGATCCCAATGCACATGGCTTAAGATAACGAAGTCTACGTCTTTATCGGTATTAAGGAGATCACGTCCTTCATCTCCATTGATCGCGCCCTTCCGAAGACTTTCGGCGCAATCCGGACTGGTGATGATGGGTTGTCGCTGAGTTATATGCGGCTGTTGTGCGACAGCGTAGCCCGAAAGATTGCGCTTGACTCCTAAGTCAAAGACGAGATTCGTCGCGTTTCCACTGCTTGACTCTGGGTGCTGGATGAGAAACGATAGCGACGGGACCGTGGTGCGCACGGTTGGATCGGCCCCTGTGACGAAGAGGTAGTCCGGGAGGGTTACTGCAACATCCAGGGTCAGCAGTTTTCATCTCGAAAATAGTTGTAAGAAGATTGAGAGGTCCAAGGCTTCTAGACGTAGATGTGACTTGTTTACGCGTTTTAAACACTCGCGAACTGCTACAAAGTGGTCACAATTTGTGATGGGAACTTACTATGCCCAGCGTCCAGAGCCGAAACTGTCACATATACAGCACTTTCGGGATCCGGGAAGACCGCCATGATTATCACAGATACTACTTGTGCAAATTTTCTGACCGAAAATATGAAGTAACTTGGTAACTATTTGATGCGAATCGGGACCGCTGGAGACGATCTGGGGTTGACTGAAGAAGTTGATTGCAATTGAAGATAATCCCATAGACAATAAATGTTGACATTTACTTTCTAATTATAGGAATAGCAGTAGTGGGGTTTGTTAAATCTTCTTGTGTAGAGTCTATGTAGCATGGCGCTGAAGATAGCAAGATGGTAATTTCACGCCGGCCGTATACAGCTCACCTTGACCTGACTAGCATGTAGAGAGTCCTGAATATTTCTATGTATCGCACACTCGAAACAACCTATCATTATCCGCGCGGTATCAAGAAGGCGCACATGTTGACTTGAAAGTCTTGATCGACGTTTGAAACGGAACGGACGTATCTAGTCATCGGCGAGGGTAGCGCTGCCAGATCCGTCAGCTAGGTTTCATTCAGTGGCATGTATAGTGTGGCATACTAACGTATACCGAAGCCACAGCGGCAAAACGCCAGCAAGGAGAGGGGAAATCACAAGTATCGGCAGTTTTTCGCAATCCTTGTAGGATTGTAGATCCCCCTCACTGAAGGATGTATCAAAGTAGGGGGGTAGCACAACGAGGAAGCGTACGAGAAGCGTAAATCAATTCTGGCAAAGTAACTAATATGTATTCACTTCAATGTATTCTGATACTATGACCAAGAATCCCGAGGGAATGAAAAGCCCAGCATAATGGCATCGCCTAGTCATTCCAATCTACCCGATTATATGAAAGCGCAGTTTTTGGATGCCTTCAACTCGCCTTATGTTCTCCGCTCCGTCCCGCTCCCTGTCCTGAGCTCCCCGCACGATGTTCTCATCAAGGTCGATGCGGCCTCATACTGCCATACGGATGCTGTCCTTGCTGTAGGGCAGATGCTGCCTAGGCCACCTAGTCTCCCACACGTAGGTTGCCATGAGTTTGCCGGCACAATTGTCGCGCTGCCGAATGACCCTCCTTCGAGTTTCAAGATAGGAGATAGAGTTGGTGTCCCAGGTCGCTCGTATCAGCCATGCGGTGAATGCTTCGAATGTGTCGCTGGCCCAACGTTGGAAAGTCCCGATGCCGACCCGCCGGGATACTCGGTGTATTGCTCCACGGCCTTAAACAACGGGATAAGTCGTGACGGAGGCTTCAGAGAGTATGCCGTCGTTGATAGTCGTCAGCTCTCTCCAATACCAGATAGCCTTTCGGCTGTCGATACGGCCGTTCTCATGTGCGCTGGTGTCACTATCTACGGAGCCTTGAAGCGCTGTGCACTTCAACCTGGCCAGCGGGTCGGCATTGTGGGCTGTGGGGGTGGACTCGGACACCTGGGGCTTCAATTCGCTACTAAGATGGGCCTCAAGGTGATAGGAGTTGATAATGCGGACGCACCGCTGAAATTGGCACGAAATTTGGCAACCCCTGCTAGAATAGTCGATGCAAGAGTTGAGAGTGCGGATGAAGTAGCGATCAGTCTCGGAACAGAAGACGGAAAGATGGATAGGGCAGACATGGGACTCGACTCAGTTATCATCCTACCTGAGAGTCAGAAGGCTCTCGACTATGGCGTTGACCTATTACGAAATCACGGCAGATGTGTCGTGGTTTCGTTCCCTGAAAGGGGATTCCATATTTCTGCTCGAGATATTGTCTTTCGGGATATATCTATTGTGGGTAGTCTCGTGGGCAGCAACAAAACTTCGAGAGACGTTCTGCAATTCGCTGCGGAACATGGCGTAAAGGCTGTACTGAAAACATTCCCATTGGCGAAGCTGAATGATTTGGTGACCGAATATCACAAGGGAGAAGGTGGAAAACTTGTAATTGATATGTCTTTGCCTGACTAAAAGTCTAGATAATAGGTAAATTGAATATGAAGTCTCTATCCATATCATTCAAGTTTCAGCTTTCTTGGTATAAAGGTATACAGGCGCGCATAATGACAGGGGCACATGGCCTTCAATTGAGCAATGCAGCACCCTTCCAGCCCGAAACGAACCTCATCCTCAGTTTAGATTAACTGGCTTTGCTCCCTAACTCCCTAGCCATTTCGCCTTTCTCAGCCATCTCATCCAGAACCTTTTCAGCGATTTTAATAGCCTCAACGCCGGCTGGCGCACCGCAGTATATCGTACAATGGAGAATAGCTTCCCTGATTTCGAGCTCGGAGAGGCCGTTATTTCTCGCGGCCCTGACATGAGCGGCCAGTTCTGGTCCACGATTAAGCGCCATGAGCATGCCAATATTTAGCAAGCTGCGCTGCTTCCTCTCAAGCCCCGGGCGTGTCCAAGCATTACCCCAGCACCATTCTGTAATGAGGTTTTGCATGGGCTTGGCGAACTCGCTTGAGCCATTGGCTAGTGATCGATCAACATAAGCATCGCCAAGAGCGCTCCGGCGCACTTTTAGACCTTCGTCGAAGAGCTGCTTGTGGAGGTCGTCGAACTTCGGATCAGTACTCATTTTGAGTTCAGGTGTCGAGATAGGCGATCTTGATTCTAGGCTGTTCGATAATGCGATTTTTTTTTTCTTGTGTTATAGGAATGTTGTTCTGGGGCTCATGTGCCTGCAGGCTAGTCAAAGCAAAATATTGCGAAGTCCCAAATAGCTTCGTGAGGGGACATTGCATCATTATACAATTTGGAGTTACATCACCTCTCGTCGACTCCGCATGCTGTGTTCGGCTTTTGGGCTCAACAACTACCGACACGCATCTACCTGGAGAGATAGTTGGGGAAGATTTGCAGTATCAAAAAGTAGGTATAGCAAATGGAGGACGCCGAGCTACAAGTCCGAAAATCGGATGTCTTCGTCAGCAAATAGAGATAACTTTCAGGTCGGGACTTCTACTAATCGGGCGTGCCTGTCGGTACTACGACTGTACAATTGATTGCAACAAGCTGGAAGATATTATAGCAAATATGGGTAAGATATAGTTATAGTGAGATTCTACGCTATTCATGACGCGCAAACGACGGGATAATGAGTATTGTGGAATGTGAATGTGGCAGCCGCAACAATAGGAGAGGGTGGTGGTAGTCTAGATTAGATATAGGGGCTTGTATCACCCTACGAGTATCTACCATTACCCCTCAGCTGCCTGCAACAGGATTTCTTTCTTGCTTGTGCTTATACAACGGAAAGCTTCAATATTCATTTATGAGCCTTGAAAGGTTTTACATTATGTCTAATGATATCTTAACCGGGAAAGTAGAAATCGAGACACGTGAGTTCGCGGAGAACGGTGGCGGCAGCGAAGAGGAGGTCAATGAGAGACGGAGAAAGGAGAGAGCCCTCGTCCGTCGACTAGACTGTTGCATAGTGCCTGTCCTGATGGTCCTCAACCTTATTAGCTATCTAGATCGAGGAAACATAGGGTTTGCCGCAACTCAAGGCATGACGCGAGATATTCAGCTTAAGGGAAATCAGTTAAACGTTAGTATCTCTTATGCTGCTCTTTTTCTTCTCAAGCCACCCATTTTCTTCCAACTCTCTACTAACAAACAAAGACCGCGGTATCTGTCTTCTATATCTTCTACATCCTCGCCGAGTTTCCCACTTCCATCTTTGTTAAGCGCCTTCGATTTGATCGGGTCATTCCGACTATTACCCTTTGCTGGGGTAAGGATACATCCCTTTCTCTCGCTTTCCACTTTATTGAATATTTGCGGATGGGTAGTATCATGAAAAATGCTAATCATTCCCCTAGGTCTTATATGCTTATTTACAGGCTTCGTTCAGTCATTTGGCTCACTTGTTGCTACACGTATTTTACTCGGCTTCTTTGAAGGCTGCCTGTTCCCGTCTATTACACTATGCTTGTGTAACTGGTACAAACGTGAGGAGCTAGGCTTGCGTATAGCCCTACTGTTTAGTAAGTTTCTTCAGACACGAAGTATTGGTCTACAAGATATCTGACGAAATACTGTAGTTGCATCGGCCCTAGCAGGGGCCTTTGGAGGACTTCTTGCATGGGCTGTGTTTCATCTTGACGGAGTTTCTAACATGGCTGGATGGCGATGGTCCGCTCTCCCCTATCCTGCCATCGCCTACATCAAAGCTAAGTAAAGAGACATAGGCTTTATATCCTCGAAGGTCTAATTACAGTGGTGTGGGCTGGTCTATGCATCGTACTTTTACCTCGAAACTATGAGACTGCGTATTTCCTAGATGATGAGCAGAAGGCTCTCATGAAGAAGCGTGCCGAAGAGATGGGATCCTACGGTGGCGGCACAGGTCACTATACCAAGGCAGATATCAAAGAGGCTGCGAAAGATGTGAAGAGCTGGGTACACGCCCTAATCCAGATTGCCATCGTGACCGTGCTCTATGGTAAGACTAGATATCTAACTTAAAACTCTACAGATGCTGATTTTAGTTGAAAGGATTTAGCACGTTTTTGCCTATCATTATCAAGGACGGTTTTCAGTTCTCAACTATACAAGCGCAATATCTTGTTATCCCGGTGAATATATGGGGATCAATTGTCTACGCCATCGGAGCCATTCTATCTGACAGATACAGTGCTCGCTTCTTGCCGTTAGTTGTATGCGCTCCATTCGGTATTGCTGGTTACGCAATCCTACTCTGCGATGTGCCGTCAGTGATCCGGTACTTTGCTACCTATCTCATCGCCATCCCCTGTTTCTTATGTACTGGTGGCAATATGTAAGCTGTCCTTGCCATCTGCAGCTAGGATGTCGTGGAAAAGGTGGCTAACTTAGTTCTGTACTGTAGCACCTGGCTGTCTGTCAACTGCGCCCCTGATGGAAAACGCGCAGCTAGTTTGGGCATTCAACTGACATTAACAAACATTGGAGGCGTTATAGCAGGTCAGATATACCAGTCCGGCGCAGGACCTTCTTTTACACTAGGTCATGCATGGTCTCTAGGCTCATTAAGCATTGCCTTCATCGGTTGGTGGATTATGTGGACGATATACACAAGGCGCCAGGCGTCTAAAGACAAGATTCTGAATGAAGGGGCTGTATACGCCGATGCATCATTTACTGACAGATCTCCTAACTTTAAATATCAGATATAGATAGAAATCTCATTATATGACCTGCTCATACAAAGCCTCAGCATGAGTCTGTAAGATCCTGCAATCGTTTTCAATTAGAAGCTCCAGTCAGCTCCTCTATGATGGGTGCTGCCACATGGGCTGTGTGCAAACTCAATAGCGTCGCGATCTCAAGCACTTCTAGTATTTCCTGCGGAGTTGCGCCATAACCGAGAGCATTTCGCATATGGAGTTTCAGCCCAGGAACATAGAGGTGCGTCGAAGCGGCATCAAAAGCACAGTATACAAGCTCCTTCAACTAGGGAATGAGTCAGTAGCCATAAAACAGGTGTCTGAGTCGCTGAAATTGATGCGATCATGTGTTTAATAGGGGCAGTACCTTAGGTTCAAGAGCCCCTTTGCCCTCTCCACTGGTACCCTCTACATTCTTGATCCACGGCAAGCTCGAGAATTCCAAATATCCCGCGAAGAATTCAGGATCAAGTCGTAAGAAATCTTCCCAGAAAGTATGCCAATACCCGCGCTTCTCCGTAAACTCTTGCTGCAAATTCTGTTGTGTCTGATCAAACGGCCGGGTTATATCTTCAAGATACTTTCCTTCTTCCTTCAATACCTCCACAAGTAGAGGAACCCCGATATTGCAAGCGTGTATTCCTAGAGTACTAGATAGTTCGATGACTTCGAGGATTTCGTCTCTAGTAGCTCCCTCTTTCGCTGCGGAGGTGACATGCTCACGAATACCAGGCGCGTACAAATGCGTTGCAGCACAGTCGACAGCAAGGGCGATCAAAACCTGTTCTTTGCGTGAAAGATAAGATTTCCGTCGTGGTACGCTTGCCAGTGATACGCTGGCAGAAAAGAAGGCTGAGTCAACTTTTAGGAGTGATTGCCAACCCTCATGAAAAGCGTCTGGGCCGAGCTTGGAGTCGAACTCGGCCTTGAGCTTCTCCTGTTCTTCTTCTATGGCCATAATCGGGTTATGGATCAATGATTCCTTGATTACAGCCCTATGGGGCTCCGATTAGGGTGACTTTTAAGGAGCGAGATTAGCGTTCGTCAATCTGATAACCTTGAAGTAGTCTAGGTGTTGTTTCAAAGTACAGCCCTCAGAGAAACAATGATGGGCTGAAGGCTATTCACCCCTGAAGCTGCCAGGCACAAAGTCCCGAATAGGCTGAAGACGGGATATGCCACTAGTCTCGCAATACAATTACCGAGGGTCCCCGCGTACCTCTGGTGCCGAAGTGTGGTGGAACATGGTTCACCTTGGGGTAACGACTGTAGGAATGAGGGGAACTGGTGTCCTTCACCAGTACAGAGTATTGACCTGAATTAAAACTCGCCCGAAAAACAACAGCGCTCAGATTGGGCAAATCTATCTTATTTGCTTCACCATTGAAAACGAGCAGTTCCACAAGCCTTATTCGCGGAGGCCATCGACGCCAGTTATATTCGTAACTCGTCTCGTGAGAGGTCTAGGGATATGAGTACGTAGGATAAGGGGCGCGGTATCGATTTTACTATCATAAACTTCAAAATAGTCAATTCATTATCTGCTTTTTTACCTTTTCAGTTGTCGTCACAAGCTATACCGTATCAACGAGCAGCCTCAATCTAGCAGATGAAGAGTTTCAATCAGTTCGTTATTATGCTAAAGAAATGGAATACACGCACGTGCTCTTCTCGTTGATGATATCTGTCGTCATTAATGCCGAATAAAACGCAAAGAAGAAAAGATTATCACACGGAAGGATGTTCATGTTTATGTATTTTCTGTGTATGTACACCACGCAAAGTCTAGGCAAAGTTATTGGGTACATTAATGTCAGAAAGACGCCGGTTTGAGGTCATACTGGTGCGAGATATTGAATGGCAAGATAATCTCAAAAATGCGAAAAAATTCTTTGATGTCTCCGATATTACATCAAGGTAGGGCCTGGCATTAGTAGATACCTATTGAAACGAAAAACTGGGAATCAGGTGCTAGCGTATGGTGTTCTCAACGATTGCGAATGCATAGATAGCCAATCCTTCTGTTACTCTACTTCATCCTTTTCAAATTAGGTCAATCAGATAGAATTACCAGAATCATCTGCAGTCATTTTACCATGAGTTCCCCACTCTCGAAGTAGTTTTGCCATGGTCTCCTTGTACCGCTCCTCGGCATGCTGTAACGGTGTCATATCTTTGTCATCTTTTGCCTCTAGACTGGCCCCTCGCTCAAGAAGGAATTTAGCCCTGTCTACAAACCGCGTTCCTGCTGCATGGGATAGCGGCGTTCGAAGATTGTTGTCATTAGACTCGATGTCTGCACCCCTATTCAGGAGAAGTTCGACTGTGCCATGATTATCATTACTAGAAGCCGCGGCGTAAGACAATGGCGTCAGCCCATCATTATTGCGTGCCTCGATATCGACACCTTTTTCTATTAATATCCGGCAAACAGCCAAATTTCCGCATTCTGCGGCAAGGTGCAAGGGCGTCTCGCCACGTGCACGTCGTGACTCAGTCTCAGCACCCCATTCAACAAGGTATTGTATCATTGTCTGCGTGCTTCTGATTTCATTTGCAGCACATAATAAGGGCGTTAGATCATAAATATCCTTTAAGTTAGCGTCGGCGCCATTTTCAAGAAGTAGCCGAACTATAGACTCACGTCCTATCTCGGCAGCATACCATACGGGCGACCGACCCCATTTATCTCTTGAGTTAACGTCGGCACCCTTTTTAATAAGTAGTCGGACTGTAGACTCATGTCCCTCCATAGCAGCATGAAATAACGGTGATTGGCCCCATTTGTCCATTGGGTCAATTTCAGCGCCATACTCGAGAAGTAGCCGAACCACGGACTCGTGTCCATTCCGTGCAGCATAAGCAATCGGTGGCTGACCGTTTTTCTCACACCTCTGTTGAAAATTCGCGGACTGTCCAAGGAGTAGCTTCGCTACAGCTTCAAACCCATACTCGGCGGCATAAGACAGCGGTGTTCTACCTTCGGCGTTCACTCCACGATTAGACTTCGAATCTATGTCGGCGTTTCTTTCGAGCAAGAGTCGTGCTATGGGTTCATTTCCTTGTAGTGCGGCGTATGTTAGAAGCGTTTTACCATCCACTGTAGATTCGACCACGCCGCCATTGTTACATAGTGCCTCCACCATGGGTAAATGGTTGTTCTCGATGGCGTAAAACAGGGGGGTATTTCCATTTCTGTCAAAGGCGTTTACATCGTAGAAGTCGAGAAGCATTGGAGTTGCTTTGTGAAGCCCGAAGATGGCTGCAAGATGTAATCCAGTGAATCCTTTTGCTTTGACATATTTGTCGTAGAATCCTTTTGGCTGGTAATTTGTGTAATCTAATCCTTTCGGTTGCAAATTTGGGTAAGGTTCGAATACGTAACCATCATATACTCTGAAGAGCATTGCTTGACGGCAGGCTTGGACTTTAGATATAACTGAGAGAAGTTTGTAGCAAAATTGATAATCGGAAGCCAACAATGCGTGGATCCCCCAATAATGACTAGCGAAGTCATATAAGGGGTAAGCGCGCAGTCGGGACCGTAGCTCTTCCTCGGTATCACATCCCCCAGATCCGAATGTATCATAACATAGGTACGTGAGACATGTCTGCGCGATTAAGCTGTTTGCTTTAGGAAAAATTGAGTTGCGCTCGCGCTCGAAGTATTCCTGTGTGGTGTAGTGGACAAGTCGAACAACCTGGCCTTCTTCATCAATAGTGACTAATCCGCAGCAGTAAGAGATCATATCTTCGAGATCTGGAAGATTATCGGCGTCAAACTCTTCAGAATCCGGCTCAACTGCAAGAGCATGCCTCAGCTCCAGAGTATTCAGAGGTCTTTTGGTGGAAGTCATCCACATTAGAGTTTGCAAGGCAAGATCAGCCTGGTTCTGTGGCTGACCCTTAATCCGAAGTAATGCGTCTTTATATGCGGAGCGAAGCATCGCATTGCTCTCCTCGGAGTCACTAGCGCTTGACCCTCGTAACAGTTTGTTCAACATATTACGGACTGCTTTTCGCGTAACTTGACCCCTTAAGGCGTCACAATGGAGACGTGCAAGCAAAAACCTAAGGAATTTAGCATCCAAGAAGTTGAGATACAGGGGCAGAACTAACATTCCGTCCACACATTCCACAATCTTCTGCTTGATCTCTGTCCAGAAATTTTCGTCGCGGGCGATGAATCCTGGAAGGGTAGGCAACTTCCCGTCCATATATTTAGTGATGTCATCATTACGGGCACGGATCTCTACTTTCGTTACGCCCTTTTCGAACCTCGCTGTGATTTCTGGTATGAAACGTGAAGTGACGAGAATATTGACTTCGAAGTTCGACCACAGATTTAGAAGCTCGTCTATCAATGTTGACCGGAGGCTATCATTCTGCATTTGCAATTCGTCAAGTGCATCGACAACGATGAAAACTCGAGAATAAGATTTTGTCAGCACATGGAGTGTATCGCAAAGCTCTTGAAAAGATGGCCGACTGTTCCTTGTCTCATGATATTCGTAAAGCAGTCTCACGGGTTCGGCCAGAGTCGGCTTGCTGTTTGCTAGTTGCTGGAGTAGACTAGCAACAAGCTGATTAAGCCTTTGATCTTCGTTTTTTTGATTGTAGCTTAGAAATATGTAACATATACCGATATTCTCATCGTCACGGTGAAGTTGATGTAAACTTTCGACCACAAGAGATGCAATCATCGTCTTACCCGCTCCAGGGATGCCTGGGAAGAATAGCGCTTCCTGTTTTGCTGACAACCAGTGTCTATATTCTGTCGAATCAAGCAGCCATTGGCCTGTTCCAGCTTGGCGTTGGCTAGTCAAGTCTAATTGCTGCGCAGAATAATTGAGCGGTGTAAGCCAGTTGAGAACGTGTTGTTGAATTCGTTTTTGGTCTTGGCCTTCGCGAGCCTGTTCTCGTTGCTCTTGCCGTTCCTGTCCCTTCACCAGCTTGATAATATTCTGTTCATTCAGCATACCAACCAGGAGATTGCAGGACTCGAGAATTCCACCAATACGACCCTGAAGTTCGTGGACATCGTCGGGATCCCAAGTCAATCGGTCCCGTAGTCGTGTTGCTTTCTCTTTGATACTGGTTCCTCGAGATGCCAAGGCAGAATACTTATCTATTAGCATGTCTGCATCCTTCAAGATGCTGTTACATTCTTGGATAATGTCGCGAATACGTTCTTGATGATTTTGCGAAATTTGTCGTGTAGATAACAGCACATCGATATCACGTGTAGTGTTTTCGAGACGCCCGAGTTCTTTGCAAATTTGTGGGAATTGGTCTGAGGCCCTCACGAAGTCTTTTCGGACTCTGTTAATGAGTTCAATGACGGCTAGGAAGTCTCCAACACTAAACCCAAAACTCATTTTGTGGTGGGTTTCTGAGGTTTGCTTTATCAATAGATTGCGCTATGAAGCTAGCATACAGACTCAAAAGCCAAAGTATTATTGTTACCTGCGGGAGAATCAGGCAGGCCAGACTTGGCGCGGGGTCTCTTACGTGAGATCTAATTACGCCACTTTGTCAAGCCAATGAATACCACATTAACTGAGATTATAGAAACAACGCGCCGTTGGTGTGTAACATAGTCTATACTTGATTAGGTACAATTTTCCACTCTTTTCAACCCTCGGACCAAACAAAAGACGATTTCTCCAGCAAATTTTGTGGGAAAGTGCCCTGAATTAGGTAAAGGCTATGTTACACACCAACGGCGCGTTGTTTATAATCTCAGATAATGCGGATAGTGATAAACAAATGGATTGCCAAAGGGTTATTATTGATGTTGTAGAGTAGAAGTTCTAGTTACTGAAGGAATCCACTGTGAGGGGTAATATAGCCACTCCCACCGTACCTGCCATCAGTAGGTAGTCGAAGATTTACACTAGCACTAGAAATAATCAGCAATGCGATCAATGTTGATAATTTAATAGGAGGTTTAAGGCCCAGCAATATAACACGAGTAAGTACGACGTAGTATACAGAGTATTGCTCTATTAACATCAATCCTGCATATTATTCACGTGTTTGCTTACTGCCTAGGCAGGCAGTACGCCAATTTATCGACATAGAAAAGATCAACAAGTGTCAGGAGTCAGAGGATAACGCCATGACTATTATCATGCTCGCGACCGTATCTTTACAAGACATAGCAATGAATGAGATAAGAGTCCCTGAGATTCATTTACAACCGGTCGCGCGAGCTTCACTCACAGATTGACCGACCCTAGGTGCACTTTTAGCATAGTATGGTCAGTGGATGCCACCCAAAGCTTGTCAAGGATTTATGGAAGAAAAAGATAAAGATCCGGTTGCTATATGCTTGCTTACCTAAACAGAACTGCAAAGAGCGGCCACGGCTGGGAGGACTTCATTCTCAGCCGCCTCCTCGCCGCAAGCAGCGACGACACATTCCTCAGCGGCAGGCTCAACTGTATCTTGAGCGGCACCTAGACGATGATACTGATCAGCTTCACACTGGCATTGTGACTGTGTGGCGGAAATGACAGCCGAGCTTCGCAGAGCCAAGCGCTATCACTTGATACTGCATGTTCTGCTCGTGCGTACTTATTTTATGTGACATACAGATGCACGCATAGTCGGTATCAGCGCAGTCGGTGGTACTAGCAGCGGCGTCGAGAATGCAAGGTTGAGCACAAGCCGGGATGTCTGCCCAAGTCTGAGCAGAGGCAGCAGCGACGAAGGTGATGATAGCGAGAGTGATCTTCATTTTCACGGCGGCTTATATGAAGCTGATTGAAGTTTTCGAATGCAAGCTAGTGTTATGAAAGATATGAGATAGTACTTAAGCCTTGATGAAAGGAAGATGGGGTGACGGTGGCAATATAAAGTTCGTTCACCACATAGTTGAGTTTATATACTCGCCGACCTATCTTGGCCTCAACACGGCAGTCAAGACTGATTGACTATGATGAAGGCTAATTTGGAAGGAGGTAGTTCTCCATACAGGCACTCTTGATGCGCAGTGATGCGCACTGCAACATTAAATGACATCACTGAAGTCGTGGCAATTCTTGGACCAAGTGTCAAATCAACGTCTTAGCACATAGCATCTCGCTACAGAGGAACCTATGAAAGACAAGCACAACACAGAGGATAGGGACTGTGAAACAGATCAGACTTAGAAATTGCTGGGTTCGTGAGTGGTATGCGACGTGCTAAGAGTTGCTGTTGAATTCCGCCGAGTAGTGTAAACTGGTACTCAACAAATCTAGACTCATGAGTGAGATTTCCCGAGACCAATAGATGAGCGACATACCGCTGTGGGTTACATACTTGCGCAGATCCAACACATTTTCAGAGAATTAAAGGATTAAAGGACTAAAGGACTCTCCCGGCTACTACCCTAAACTCATCACGAATCAAGATTGATGTCTATCGTTACTAGAATCCTAGTGAGTGAGTAGCAGAGATCAGCGAAGAAACAAGGTAAAAATGTGTCACGTCTATAGGCTGATGGTATATTAGTGTCCTGACTAGGAAAGATGAGATACCTATGCCCCGCGCTCATGGAGGGGTTGTCTGACACGTGGGTGCGGGGAATGTGAAACGGTATTCAATAACAGCACGACTAGACATGTTCTGCTTATCTATTTCAACGAATTTGGTCATAGTTATGAGTGATTTCAGTGAAGAGAATGCGCTGGAGCTTTCTAGAAAGCCTCGACACTTATTTCAAGTGAGACACTTCCCATCGCGCGAAATCAACGTAAAGCGAGGGCTTAGTATATTCACAACCAAGGAGCTGAGATTTACTTGTACACAATTGCGAGGACAACATCTATTTATCAGTTTCAGTATCTCTAGAATTAGGGTTATAGTAGTGCACGTATAGATTGATCCGGCATCTGTCAGGCAGTGCCGCTATCAGCTAAACTTACTTGAGACTCACTCTTCTTTTCCGACTCCCCCTTATATCTCTCCCCAATCTTCGGATCATATCCCTCCAACAAAATCCTCAAGTGGGTCGCCTTCACCTCCAATTCCTTAAGATATACCGCCTCCTTCTCCTGCGCCATCTGGAATTCGTCAATCAATTTCTTCGCTTCAGTCATGATATCAAGTAGACACTCGCTCATCCCCTCATTAGCGCTCTTGGCGCGCTGTGCGGCTTCTTTCCCGATCTGCGTGATGCGGTCTATGAAGATTTGAGCTGTGTTCGCGCGTAATCGGCGACTGTGCCCTGCGGCGTAGTCGCTGATCACAGCCTCGCAGGCCTCGAGCTCGAGCTGCAGGATGTGAGCCTCTGTTCGAAGGAACGCTGCAGGGTATTGCGTCCATTGGGATAGACTGATTCTGAATCGCTCTTGGGTGTCGTAGAAGAGGAAGTTCTTCACTGCGTCGAGCTTACGCGCGTCGAGCTCTGCTTCCACGGCACGGAAAGTGCAGGCTAATAGGAGAGATCTGACGTCTTGTAGACGCTTTTTGAGATAGTCCGCGTGACATCTTGCGCAGAGACCGTTCGGCTGTCTCTGGATCGCGCTGCGATCGATGTTGGAAAGAGATGGAACTGTTAGGTTACCGTATTCACTGACGCGGATGCCGGTTGCGATGCTGGTGATGTGCCCGCATTGCCAGAAGTCATACTGGTAAGAATCCATTGTGACGAGAGATTGGTGATGTTAGAACCTACGGTGAGTTCAGGTTAGTGTTTTGAGAGGTATCTATTGGAATTTATTCGAGCTGAAGCTTAATCGTTAGTGCTAGATTTTAAGAGATCTTCATTTTGCCTGGGTAATTTCTTATATAGATGAGTTTCTACGAGAAGAACGAACCATTTCTAGAGTTTCAGATCTCATCTTGAATATCTGCAACGCGAATTTTGTCTCGAAACAACTCTGGTGTTCGATTTTCTATCGTGATTACTATCAGCAACAGCTCGCTTCGATATCCGAAACTAATAGGCTTCAGCTATTGCTCAACAAAGGACTTGTTTCACACAACTCATATTCCGTAATGAAACGTACCCAAAGTTGTGTTCTGTGGCTATTCATTGATGCCAATTGAAAGAATCCAGCAAAGGCAGCAAAGAATACAAAGAACAATTTCCTTGTGCTTCCAGACTAAGATGGACAACCCAACCACCTTCGAGAACCATCAAAGCACACTCCAGAGTATAATAATCCGAAATCTCACACCTAAGGCATAGTGACCAATCCCAGTCCCTGTTCAAACCTCCTATCCCTTCCTCAATCCAACACGCAAGAAGGATCTCTATATCTTCCCAAGTTCTCAACACACCCTTACCCTCACACTCCAAAATGCCCCTAACCCAGAATTTCCTCTGCAGCCACATCCAAGAACTCCACCGCCGCACTTACCGCTCCACAGAAGATGTACACAACCAGCTAAGTAAAGGGGTCGCTAAACTCCCACTCAAGACATCAACAGAGAATATAACCCTCCGTGTACCCGCCTACTGTCTATCCTGCACATGCACTTTCATTCTCGAAACACTGCTCGATGGCGCCGCTGCGCTACCTCTTCCCCGAAGATATCTAAATGATCTTAAGGCGCATGTACGTCTGCTCTGCGCGAGCGCGAGTGCGAGTAGGCGGATGCGAGAAGAGCTGAGTTCGCTTGTGGAGAAGGTCAAGTCCTCGGATGATGTAAATGAGATCTGCAGAGCGGTTATTGCGCTGGACGGGTTTGTGTATGTTAGTGCTTGGTTTGGATTTTCGTTGTAGAATTGCGTGTGTGTGTGTATAAGAAAGAGAGAGAGAGATTGATTGATTGATTGAAATCTAGGGTGAATACCTAGGATTAGATGGTATATAGGAAATAAATGAAGTTTGTTGAAATAAGGCTATGATTATTTTATGTAGGTGTGCATGTGTGCAGACTATGAATTAACTACCTAAATAGGTATTTTTTTGTTTTGCGGTATATACAATTGGTGTAGCACTCGACATTTTGATCTTCTACACCATCACGTCACATCACAATTAGTATGATGTAAATGGGCCCTCCAAAGATCCTGTGTCATCTAACCAAGCATCCCTGAGTATATGCATGATGATGCCTTATAGAACACCTTCTGGCACCCAATCGTCAATGATGCTGGTGGTGCTAGATGCCTGCGCATATCACACTAAATCGCGTGCTTCCCAAAAATATATGCCATACTACATTTTCGGCGCCTCCAGTCAGTGCCCGTATCCTTGTTGTAGGGTTGAACGTGGCGCTCTTCAAAGTGCGCAAGATGGATTGCGGTTGAGCTAGGGAAAGCAATGTCCTCGAGCGTCAAGATGCTTGGGCGAAGTGCGTATCCCATATAGAATGCATTCATAGCACTTATTCCACAGGTGATATTGCTATGAACAGAATTAGAGGCAGGCACCTTTGATGTAGGAATGGTTTCTTACAGGATTTCGCAAAATCGTGGCGGGTAACGCGCGACCGCGTATAGTGATGGCTAAGGCGGTTCAGGGGCTTCCATGTCGCCAAGACATTCTGAGTCTACAGTAAGCAAGACAAAGACCCCAAAATGTTTGAGACCTTTCACAGCATTCTCATTCATGACGCGCCACCACTGTACATGAGATCCTTGCAATTAGCAAGCCTCTGACAAGCCTCTTTCAATAGTTCCCAGTGCGACTGAGACAAGAGCTTGTACACGACATCGAGCAGGTCGGGTACGCCATCGCTCAGGGTAGCGGCGGTGACAGAGTCGAGTTCAGAGAGTTTGGCCACTCTAGAGAGGTACTCAGGTACACTATTCATGCCACCACGTGTGCGACTCGAGAAAGATGGTGTACCGTGGACTTGTCCTTTGACGGCTTGTGTAAAGGACCATATGCTCAAAGTAGCATAGTACATGATCCACGGTCGGTGGGGGTCAGAATCAGCACGTGTCGAATACTGGATACCGCCCCGACTACCACTTCCGTGGTCTTGGATCGATGAAATCTTCTTCTGACGGGGATCAACGAGGATCCGATGAAGAAGCTTGAATGCGTGCAAGATCGCTCGTCTGCTGAGGAATTGACCAGCCCACACGACCATTCGCGAGTTTACATTCGCAAGATCTCGAGACGATACTTTGCGGCCGACTAAGCGCTTGGCGCCGGCATAGACTTGGCAGTCGATAATATCGACGTAGAGACTAATGTAAGCCAAGTGATATAGAACCGCAGCACTCTGGATCAAGCCGTTAGAAGCAGCCTGCTGTCCTGATCCACTTGGGTCAGCACTACCAGCGCTGCTGGAACCAATGGCGTCGTCGAAACTCGTCTTCCAGTCATCAAATGCCTTTAAGAGCATCTTGCACCATTTATCCCTTGTTTCGGTCGCATTGGGAGCCATATCTAGCCACTTCAGATGCGTTTCGCGATGTCGAAGATGCCATCCGACGCTAAGAAGACCGCACATGATGATCATGCGTCCGAATGAATGTGTCCTGACTTCTTGTCCGTGAAGGGCCCGTTTCAAGCCATCAAGGAAGAAGACCGGTTTCACACCATACATGCGGAGAGTTCCCTCGAGTTGACGCATGTTCTCTTGACTCGTAGCAGACCACAGGGCTTCATCGCATGGGAGAGGAAGACGAATCTCGTGGGGCGCCATATCAGAGGCATGGCCAAACATAGCAGCGTGAACAACATCCATCATGAATGCGGCAAATACAACTCGGTGCATAGCTTCGGTTTCGGCCCATCGGACCCACCAGGTTCGATCATCAGGGCCTGGCTCGATACCGTTTTGTTCATCCGGCGGCGACTCTAAACCCGCTTTGCCGATAAGTGGGCTACCTCGCCTCAGGTAGTTGAGAGTCACAACATGGTATATATGACCTCTTTCGTGTAGTTTCCTTGTTGAATACATCTTCTCATAGAACTCTACAAGCAGCAGCGCTTGGGCAACCCAGAGATCAACAGGGGGTATCGCTCCCTTATCACCGAGGATTTCCAGGCGGATGGCAGTGATGATAAGGTTAGCAAGGGCTTTATAATCTTCGTGCTCCCCGGTAGGGGACTGGTCGTGAATCTGAGCAGCTCCTAGGGCAATCATGACAAGGAGCAAGTAAACAGGACACCTCGTAGGTGAGAATGTAGGTTGATGAACGATGGGCAGGCGTGGCGACACGATATCCCAGTATTGCCGAACGCATTCATGCAGGAAATCTAAGTTAATAGCAGGGAAGTCGTTTCCAGACTCCTGCAGAAGGTAATCCAGTCTGGAGTCATATTCATTCTGTCTTCGTCGGAACATACTTATGCAATTCACGATCTCGAGGCGTCGGTGCTCGGATATGAGCTCATCAGGTAAGTCAGGGTGACGAGGTGGTGTGTGGTCAACCTGAGACCTACTCGTTAAAGATTCGTGATCATAATGGATGTTGTTGTTGAAAGGGGACTCCAGTCCTCCCTCCATGAACGACAAGTTAGCGACATTAAAGTCACCGTAGCTACGCTGGTTATCGAAAAGCCATAAACCAAAGTTGGTCGAAGCGAAGTCACTTGAATCGTGAGGCACCTGTAAATCGTAAGGCATGAATGATGAGTGGTCTTGCAAAGAAGCTTGGCCTTGGGGATAATAGGTAGGCTTAGGCGGTAGCATACTGACTCCCTCCATAGGTCGAGGCCAAGTAGGCGTGTGTACCATGGAGCTCGCCGGCGTTTGCTGAGAAGCTATACTGGAGTTTGGACTCAACAACACGGATGCGTTCCGAGGCATGCTAGCTGGCTGCTGTTGAAATAAAGTTGACTGAGGTGGAGGACCCGAGTGTGACACAGACATGGATCGCAGGCCCTGGCCTACTGGTGGTGCCGGAGCAGGCGCCGGTGCCAATGGTATGGGCGTTGGGGCAGGCTGAGCACTGGTGGTGACACCAGGCGAAGCGGCTGAGGTGCCATCGGATGAAGAGTCCTTGGTGGGGATGCTGAAGCTGCTTGCACGATTCCTGGGGACATAGGAAGTGGAATGACGCTTCTTGTGTCTCATCAGGAGGTCCTGGCGGACGAAGATCTGATTGCAGTCTGGCACATTACACTTGTAGATCTGCTTGGGCTCATCTACACATGGGCAGGGCAGAGACAAGGTCAGCTCTCGGTCAGACGATGGGAGGGGATGGGGGCGCCCCACAGCAGTGCAGGACGATTCCTTACGGTTCAATTGATGTCGTTGGAGGTGCTCGTGTCGCGAGTAGATCTTGTCGCAGTCGGGCCACTCGCAGGCGAACTTCTTGGGCGCGCCCTTCCGGCTGGCGCGCTTATAGGCGGCGGCAGGGCTCGCGGTCGCGGCTGGGGTTGTGAGAGGTGTGAGAGATGTGAGAGTCGTGCCTGAGGCGGCTGAGGCGACTACGGTCTGCTGGTTCGAGGCCATTTGAGCCGCGACATCGCCAAATCACGCAAGGCACCCGCTTTTTGACATGTAGGTACGGTGATCCAACGCTCACTCCCTTCGTCCTCAGCGTGGAGTTGGGGGGAAGTTGGATGGGCTGCTACACTATGGTAAAGCACTAAAGCAGCCAGGAAACTGGTCGATGGGGGTCCGAGCGTTTTTGATCGAGCTCAACGGCGACAAATCGAGCACCCGTCAACGAGATTTTCCCAGAAATATCCCCCGCACGGGGGGTGTGCAGGGGCGCGTCCCCAGTGGAGTCTAGTGTGGGGGGCATTCACACACTCGACACACTAAACCAGACCGTCGAGTCTGGGCAGATCTGGGGAAAGACATGGGCCGCCATGGGTGCCAAGGTTACTACAAAAACTTGAATCATTTAAAGACTATCTAGGTTGCTTACCTAATCTAATGTACATATCCTCCGTGATGTGAATCGTGAACTGAGACATACCTTACATTGTGTATCGCACAATAGAATGATTGGCTTCTGTTAGAGCGCTTCCATTCCTCTTCGGACTCGATGTCTCAGAACTAAGCGCCCCGTCTTGAGTCACCGCTGTAGGCATCACATGCCACATGCTAAGCCATCAAGGATTACAAACACAAACATCATGAGGTGTCCCTGTTTTCCTCTCAAATTTTCTCTCATTCTCTAATTTCTCCGCCGCTTTGTTGTTGTCCTTGAAATCGCTACTACTCATTACGCCCCCTAGTCAGCAGACATAAAGCTTCTAGTGCGTTTATCCACAAAGAGATTATTCACAAAGAAAATATTTGTTCTCCTGCAGAAGCTGTCTCCTCGAGTCTATACATACTAGCCCTTAGCTTTTATGATGATATCGATTGAAATTTACCACCATGGCTCACTTCTCAATTTTTACGCTTCCTTTCAGGATTCTCAAGGCATTATTGCTCATCTTGCTTACGCCAATCTTCCATATAATTTCTTGTCTCCTTTCGGTCTTCACGCGCGTAGCACGCTATTTCTCCAAGAACAAGGCTCCCAGCTTGTCACTTAAGACCTCGCAACAACCTAATGACGTCCTGTGTAATCGAGAGAAGGGAAAACTGTTGAACGCCTGGTCGGCATCGACTACTTCCAAGGTCCTTTTTGTGACCATAGAAGCGAATCTATCGAATGATAAAACATCAGTAATTTCGGAAATCGCTGTATCTGGTTGGTCTCCTGACAGGTCACGAATCTTCGAGCCATCTCTCTGGGTGGTTGAGAACAATGATCTCGATGCTACAGAACACGTGTCACACGGTCAAGACTTCTGGACCGAAGATAACCGACACTACAGGAAGTGAGGCTATAAGCGATTAAATAAGAACAATCTATTAATTACAAAAGGACCAACAGTTAAGGCATAAGTGCCCAATAAAAGGAAGGGAATCATAAATTAAATAAGGCTTAAATAAGTATAAATAGCTAAAGAATCTCCTATTTTAAAGTAAAAAAAAAGGGAAAATTAAAGCTTTAAAGACCTTTAATAAATTATTAATAAATATAATTAAGTTTTAAACCTTTTATAAAAACCTTTATTATAAATAATTTATTATCCTTTTTTAAAATACTTTAATAATAATTTAAACTTTTATATAATAAATAAGCTTTAATAAATCTTTATATAATATTATTTTTAATTTAAATTTTTATAAATATAGGATTACTTTAATAAAATATTTACCTTTTTTTTAATTAATAAAGGGACTTTAAAAATTTATACTTTTATATTTAATAATTTAAACGTTTTTTATTATAATTTTAATACTTTTATTTAAAGGATTAAAAGTAATTAATAAATATATTAATTTTAAATAAAAATTAATTTTTATTTTTAAATAAGTTAAATTTTTATTATTATTATTTATTATATTTAAACTTATTTATTTTAATTAAATTATATTTCCTTTTTTTAAAGGATTATTTTTTTAAAAAATTTCTTTAATTTTATTAATAGGTTAACTTTATAATAAATATTTTTAATTATAATATTTAAACCTTTTTTTAATATTATAAAAATTACCTTTTATAACTTTATTATTTATAAAAATATTAAAAATATAAAAATAAAATATATAAATATAATAATTTAAAATTTTTTTAATAGGTTATAAATATTTATAATTAAATAAATAAAACCTATTAAGCTATTTAATTCTTATATAAATATAAAATAAAAATATTCCTTAAATAAAAAAATATATTTTAAAACGTTTATATAATTATTTATAATATATATAATATTTTAATTAATTTATATATAATAAATGCTTAAATAATTTAAAAGTAAATAAAATACTTTTAATATAATATTATTTAAAAAAGTATTACTTTTTTTTAAAATATATAAAAAATTATTATATATATTATATAAAATATAAATTTTTAAATTAATATTATTAATAAATTTAAAAAGGTAATAAATTATTATTATTAATTTTTATAAACTTTTTAAAAAGAATTAATAAAGTAAAAAATAATTTATAAAAATATAAAAAGTTAAATTTATATTAAAAATAATAAAGTTAAATATTTATTAAAATAATTTTATATAAATTTAAAATAATTAAAAAAATTTTAAACTTATATTTAAATAATATTAAATAAATTTTATATATAATTATAAAATTAATAATAATTTAATATAAACTTTATTAATTATTGTATTATAAAGTATTTTATTTTAAAAGTAACTTTAAAATATTAAATTATTAATAAAGTATTATAAATAATAAAAGCTTAATTTATTATTTAAATATTTTATATATAATATATAATAATTAAAATTTTATTAAGCATTTTAATTAAAGTTATACCTTTATTTAAAGGAAATTTAAAAGGTAATTTAAATAGCTTTAATAATAATAATAACCCCTTTAAAGAATAACCCCTTTATAATTTATTTAAAGAATTACTTTAAAGGCTATTAAAAGGCTTTATTAAAAAACTTAAAGGAAATTTAAATAATAATAATCCTTTTAACCCTTTAATTAATTAATTAACTTATACCTTTTTTATAATATTAAAAAATATTAACTTTATAATTATAATATTTAATTTTATTTAATTTAATAAGCTTTATATTTATAATAAAAAGGATATATTTAAATTTTATTTATAATAAATTAAAGTTAAAAATTATATATTAATATATATAAAAAGTTTTTCCTTTAATAAATATTATATTAATTAAATTAATTTATTTATAATAAATAAAGCTTTATAATAATATTAATTATATTAAAATTAAATATATTATATTAATATTATTAATATTTAAATAATTTATTAAATAGCTTTTAAAGCTTAATTTAAAGATTTATTAATAATATATTAAAATATAAATATTTTAATAAAGGTAAAGTATTTTAATAATATTATTTAATTTTTTATTAAAATTTTTAATTAAAATAATTTAATAAAGTAATTTAGCTTAATATTTTAAACCTTTATTATTAAATATTTATTATTTAAATTTATAAAAATAATTTATTATAATTAAAATTATATTTTTAAAAATAATAATAAATTTTTAAATATTATTTAAAAAGTTAATATTATTTATAAAAATATATTAATATATTTTAAACTATTTTTAAAAGGTATATTTAATTTAATAAAAAAATAATTAAAATTAAACTATTAAAATTAAAATAAAAAGAATTATTTTAATTTAAATTAAAATTAATCTTTAAAAAAAATAAGGAAAAAAAAACTATTAATAAAAAATTTAATAAATTAAAGGTTAATTTTAAAAATAATTATTAATTAAATATTATAATAATATTAAAAGGAATTAATTAAATTATTATTAATAAATAAAAGTAAAATAAAGTTAATTATTAATAATATAAAAGAAATAATTATTATACCTTTACCTATTATATTAAAAAGGATATTAATAAAAAGGAATTACCTTTAACTTTTAAAAAAACCTTTTTTATTAAAAAAAAGCTTAATAATAAATTTCTTAACTTATTATTAATTATAAAAAAGGTTAAAATTAATATTATTATAATTAAAATATTTAATCTTTTATAATATATAAAAATAAAAGAATTAAATTTAAATTTTTAATTAAGCTTTATAAAGTATTATATAAAAATTTAAACCTTTAAAAAGGTAATATTTTTTATATTAATATAATAAAATAAATAAAAAATAAATTATTTAAATTAATTTAAAAAAAGATAAATTTAAAATTTAAAATAAATTATAAACTTATTATTCTTATAACTTTATTATATAATAATTAAAAATATTTTATTAAAGTACTTTTAAATATAAAAAATAAATTAATATTATATTAAATAAATTATTTTTTAATATTAAAAAAATTATTTTATAAAATTTAACTTTAAATTAAATACTTTTAATAAAAATTATAATATTATTTTACTTTAATAATAAATAAAAGAATATTTATTTATTTACTTTTTTAAAAATATAAGGAAAATTACTTTTACCTTTAAATATTATTATAAAAATTATATTAATTAAATTATTTTTAATTTAAAAACTATTAAGGTTATAATAATTATACTTTAAGTTATAATTAAAGTAATAATAAAATAAATATTTAAAAAATTTAAAGAATTTTTTCCTATTATAATTAAAATAATAATTTAATAATTATTTAACTATTAATTATAAAATTATATAATTAATTTTATAAATAGAAAAATTTTATTATAAAAACCTTTTTATATTATAAATAATTATAAATTAAATATATTTAAACTTTAATTAAATAAAATATTTAAAATTAATTATATTTATAAATTTATTATATTATATAAAATACCTTTTATATTTATAAAAAAAAAACTTAAATAATTTATTATATTTTATTATAAATTATTAAAGCTTTAATATTATTATAATATTAATAAAGTATTTTATTCCTTTTATTATTAAATTTTAAATTAAATTTTAAAAGGTTAAATAATTTTTTAAAATTAATATAAAGTTTAAATTTTATTTAATTAAAATTAAAAAGGGTTATAAATAAAAAATAATATTTTATTATAAATATAAACTTTTTAAATATATAATAATATTTATAAAATTTATTAATATTTTTATAATATTTTAATTAATAATAAATTATATTTTTTAAAACTTTATTAATATAAAGCTATTTATATACTTTAATAACCTTTTAATTTATATAAAAATAAAAAAGAAATATAATAAAATAATTAAAAAAGTATTATAATATTTTAATAAATATAATTTAATAATAACCCTTTAAAAATATAAATAATATATATAAAGTTAAATTTTTTAAATATATTATTAATATTAATAATATTTTAATAGTTTAAAATAAAATTAATTATATTATTAAATAAAAAATATTAATTATTTTATATAAATTATAATAATTTATTAATTTTATAAACTTTTATTAAAGATTTATTAAAAAGTTTTTATTAATTATAAAATTATTAATAAATATAAATAAAATAAATTAATAATAATAAAAATAAATAAAAGTTATAAATAAAGCCTTTTTTAAATTTAAATATTAATTTATTATAGCTTTTATATTTATTTATTTTAACTTTTTTAAAATAATTTATATTAAAATTAATACTTTTAACTTTACTTTTAAAATAATATTATTATAAAAGGATAATAATAATAAACTTTACCTTATTACTTTTTATTTTTAAAAGTTAATATTAATAAAAATAAATTATAAAATATATAATAAAAAATTATTTATAATAATAAATAAATTTAATTAATAATATTAATATTTAAAAGGTATTTAATATTAAATTAAAATTTATTATATTTTATAATAATTAAAGTTTTAAATAAATAATAAATATATTAAATATAATAATTATTAATATATTAATTTATAATAAATTATTAATTAAATAAATTAAATAAAAAGGTTAATATTATATTAAAATTAATTTAATATTATTTTAAAAAAGGAAGAAATAAAAATTAATTAATTAAATTAATTTTATAAAAAAAAATATTTTTTATATTTTAAAGAATTAATATTTATTTTAATAATATTTATTTTATTAACTTTTAAATAACTTTATAGCTTTATTATATTTAAATAATTATTAAAATTTATTAAATTTATTAAAAAAGTAATAAAAATAATTTAAAATATTATTTATAAAAGAATAAACCTTTTAAAAATATAAAATTTATAAATAACTTCCTTTATAAAAAAAAACATTTATAAATATTTATAGCTATATAATAAAAAGTAATAAGGATTAAATATAATATTTATATAATAAAATATTAAAACTTATTATAAAGAACTTTTAATAATTTAACTTTAAAATAATAATATATAACTTTATATAAAGTTATTATATTTATTAATAAAATAAAGCTTTATAATATACTTTTTATAAATTATTTTAATTTATAAAATTATATTATACCTTTTAATAATTAATTATAATAAACTTTATTATTAATTTACCTTTATTTAATAAATATAATTTTATTTAAATAATAATAAATTCTTTTATAAAAATAGAATATTTTATTTTATTAAAGGTTAAAGAAAAAAAAATTAAAAACTTTATTAAAATTTTTATAAAATATTATTAAAAATTATATAATATTCCCTTTAATATAATTTTTAATAAAAATTTTAAATTTATAAACTATTTATAAAAGAACTTTTTAAAATTTATTAATATTAAATTATATATAAATATAACCTTTTATTTTTAAATTAATAAATAAATAAAATAATTTAATTAAAAAAACCTTTTATTAATTATTAAATTTATATATAATATTATAATATTAACTTTAATATATATATTCCTCTTTTATATAAATTATAATTATTATTTAATTATATATAATTTATTTAATAAGTTATATATTTATTAAATAATATAAATATATAAAAAAATTAAAAATTAATTAAAAAAAGCTTAATAATATATAAAAAAGTAAATAAATAAAAAATATAAAAATACCCTTTAATATATTAAAAATTAATTAATAATATTAAATATAAAAAATATTAAAATAAAAAAACTTATTAAAAAGTTAAATAAAAAAATATTTAATTCCTTTAAAATTTATAAAATAATTTTATTTATTATTATTAAACTTATATTATTTAAAAGATAAAAAATTTATAATTTATTTTATATTTTATTTATTAAGTTTTATTATATTAATAATTAAATTTTATAAAAAGTATTTTTAATAAAGTTTAAAAACTATTAAATAAAAAAGATTAAAAACTTTTTAAAAACTTAAAGGAATATAAAATATTTAATTAAATAAAAAGGTTAATTAATTAAAAAGTATTAAATTTAAAAACTATATAAATATATAAATAATATTAATATAAAAGTTTTTATTAAATAATTTTATTAATAAAATTTAAATAAATTAATAAACCTTTAAATTATTATAACTTTAAATTTATAATTTATTTAAGAAGTTAAATTATATTTAAAGTTAAATATTAAAAAAAAGGGAAATAATATTATATAATTAAAACTTTTAAATTAAAAATAATTAATATTACCTTTAATAAAAAGTAAGGCTATAAATAATTAAATAAAAACAATTTATTAATTATAAAAGGATTAATAGTTAAAGTATAAATACTTAATAAAAGGAAAGGAGTTATAAATTAAATAAAGCTTAAATAAATATAAATAGCTAAGGAATCTCCCACTCCAAAGTAAGAAAGAAGGGAAGATTAAGGCCCTAAAGACCCCTAATAGATTATTAATGAATATGACTAAGTTCTAAGCCCTCTATAAGAGCCTTTATCACAATACGCTACACACTCTCCTATGTTTCTACCTGGCGCAACAGACACAATACAAGCAGCCGATATATCAGTAAACCTTAACAGCAGGTTTCGAGCATTGAGGAGGCAGTTTGAGAAGATATACTTGTTTGGGTATGAGATCAACAAGACACTGGGTCTTATGGAAGGCATCTGGATGCTACCTCAGGATATAGCGGTTATAGATACAAAGAGAGTCTGGCAAGCCCAATCTCAAAGCAGTAATAAGCTCTCATTTGAGGAATGGGTTGAAGGAAATCCAGATTCAAAAAAATTATCCCCTACATCTGGCAGTACCGCGACCAAAGCGCGGTTAGGCGTCGAGTTCTTGAAGTTTCAGATTCGACAAATTAAGGAGGAGCCTATGTATTCTAATAATCTCTAGGCTCTGACGACAGATGCTTAGATAGATATTGAAGTTACGATCTAGCGAGCTGAATGAGTTACCGAAGTGCAATAGGTGGGAAACTGTATGTCGATTCCGTAAGTTCTTGAAATGTCAGCTGAGCAACAACCATCGCCCGCCCGTACTGATCCTGACGTAGATCTTTTTCGATGTGTATGAAAGGTAGCGCACTTGGCCCGGTTACAATTGTTGGCTGAGCCGAATTCCTCCGAATTTGGTCGTGAATGTACTCTATTTGCCCGGCGTCGCCGCTTTTATCTAAGCTTAAGCTTGGTTCAGTCCGAAAAAGAATATCCCAATGGTTGGCGCTCATCTGGCCAAAGGTGATACCATTCAAGCCATAAAAAATACCATGGTGACAATGCACGGGCTTTCGCTGCTGATGATCCCAAACAATCGAAAAAAGCACGATGTACGTTCCGGCTGAGATAATTTCATGTGACAAAGCGGGCGATCCTCTTGGTGGTAGTTGAGTCACCGCGAAATTTCCAGGTGGAAACGCCTCATCTAGTTGTCTAGTTTGCGGTACAATGCGCCCAAAGCTTATCGTAATATGAAAGCCTGTGGCGGCGCAAATACTACGTGCAGACGGAGCAATCCTCGGTATCCGAGATTGAAGCCGATCAGTACTACTAATTGTAACCATTAACTCAGTGACGATGCAGTTTGCTCCTTCAGGGTAAAAAGGAGAGAGGAATGTACGAGATGCTGGAACACAGCTTCTTGCGTATGTATTATCACCGTCAAGTGCCAGCCATATCCAAACCGGAAAGCGCCAGTAGTAGACTTTAGAAGGTTGAGGAGCCCTGCAAGACCTATACTCATGAAGCTCAATAGAACAGTTCAGTCGTACCAGCATATTCCCATAAACACGTGTTCGGATCATTGACACCGGAAGAGAAATCCCGAGGTTTGTTATTGAATATGGCCAGCGCATAGCGCTTCTATCCCAGACTATAGAGCCACAGGAAGCAAATGGCCCAGGAGATGGTGCCAATACGCCAGTTAAATCCGATTGCTGGTGCCCGAAAAAGTCCCAAGCAAAAATGCTCTGGTCGTCGGAAACTTTGATGATCTCTTCTTGAAGTCTTGTGAAAGCCTTCGAGCCTTCTCCATAACGAAGCGACATATTGATTCCAAATATGCCAAGTAAACAATAGGCAATATCTTCCAGCTTAGAAGTCTGTCGGTCTGCCGCCCAAGACATCCTCTGAGCAATAGAATACTCCGAAATGGTATTTCGATCCTCAAGTGCACCTTTATGGACCATCGTAGCTCTGCAAATAATATCTGCTAAGCTATTCCTATTCGCAATAGACTCCCAATTGGCATTGAAGAATATTACTTCCTTAGGGGCGAGGAGTTCCTGAAGAGTCCAGCCCCTGGTAAACCAACGACTCTTCCTGAACTCATCCGCACCCCTACCTGCACGATCAAAATCACCCACATCAGATAGATAGGCGTAGCAGACTGCCGAATCGTGATACCAAGCGTACATGCTATTGATGGCTTCGCTGAGCTCTGCTGAGCTAGTTTTGTCGATACAATTCGTATCACACCAGAGGTACCCCAGTCTATCGGCGCTTGCACGACTACAAGCACCGAGAATTTTAGCAAATCCGGCTTTTCTCTTAATGTCGCTAGGCCGGGAGCGGATGTATGTATGAGAGCTAGAAGAATTGTTGGTGGCGAGGAGATATTCTTGAAACGTCACTTCTTGATCGCCCCAGGTGTGTGAGAGGATGGCGTAGGGAGGGACCTTATGGTGAAACTCTTTGAGCTCTAGCGTCTTCACGTCGATTAGACGCATGGTTTGGAAGCGAATGATGATAAAATAGTGTTAGTGAAAGTAATAATGTCAATAACGACTTGTAAAGTGCTTTTGGCGTTGAAGTTGCCAGCGATAGTGTACTGGTGATGCTAGCACTACCGACGACAATGATGACGATACCGATCTCCAGGTTGTAACAGATATGCTGGTAAGAATTAGGGCAACCGTCCGAAAAGCTCGAGTTGGAACAGGGTCAACAGGATACTTAAATTAGCTTACTTTCATCACTGGAAAATCTCATTTGATATGCACCTACACACGCTCAACAAGCTCGCCAGATCTATCACCTCACATAACTCCATTCTCTCAGCTAAAAGCTCTCAGCTGAGGACTGTTCACCTCAGCCCTCACAGTGAAGATTTTGATATGAGATGAGATGAAACAGCTAGACGTGTAGAGCACAAAGACGAAATGATGCTCAGAAGCGACAGAAAACCGATAATCTGATAATTTCGAGCTTGAGCTCTGAGAACTAAAGTTTTGCTAATCTACGACGATTCGTAATGACTTCACAGAACACAGCCGATGACACTGACATACTAGATGAATTTCCATTGACCAGTAGCAGCAAGGTATCTAGATTAACTAGTACACGATATGGTCATCTCTGTAGATGATGATCATGTACACCTTAGTAGCTAGGCTCAGCATGAATTGCCGATGAAGCTGAAATCCCATAGGACATATCTTACTGTACTGCTTAATAGAAGCTCAAAATTGCCGTGGCAACCTATCACTTGTTTTTCACTCATTGAGTAGTTGAGACGCACCATACAACTAACTAAAATCAGTACGTAGCTGAGTCTATCCAAAAGTCTACATAACGCCTGAACCATGTCATTCGAATCGCTATAGGATAACCACAAAACACACCGAAAGATTTTATTCTTTGTCTATTTCTCAGCCAACATCCTAGGAGTCGAAATAGGGCAGAATACCATATATCTAGATTCCTTAGCTCAATTACTGTAACATTATATGTCAGTGACCAAGCCAGCCCAAATCATGCAAATCATAACTTACTTGACCGTGTCGTAAATGATGAACGTCACTCGCAATAATCATAAACTCATACACACTCATATAGGAGCAGGGACACACCCGATAAGTGACGAAACTTTCGTACTTCAACAGTGAGGTGAAGCATGAACGACTAAGCTAACCAGATCTCATGGAACTTGACTACTTGACTGTGCAGTATCTAAATTCACTATAACCTATCATTCGCTAAATCACAGCTTCATACTCCGAAGAATTCAGTATTAGAAACATGAAGCAAATGGCGAGGAGAAAGTTGTAGCTGGACTCTTCAAATGAGTACACTGACACCACCCCTGATCTCTCAAACGCTAGAAGACCATCATGAGACACACCGAAAGATTCACTTCTTTGTCTATTCTCCAGCCGATACCTAGGCGCTGAAGTAGCCCAGAAGAGCTGTATGTACTAATGTACGCCACGAATAAAGTATGATATATCATACCACTCACATCATATCGCATCACACCATTGCATGGCATTGCATTGCATCGCACAGAATCGCATACAGCCAACGTCATCAACGACATCAACATGAACTCCTCTCAACAAAGAGGTCATCACATTCCACATTACGCTACCGATCTATTCCGCTGCTATCTCATTTGCAATTGCATTTTCATTTAATCTTCATCTCAGTTTCTACACAGCATCCGGCAACCGCACGGCGATATCGCCTGATTGCGTTATGTATCGGACCCAGGGGAGGGAGGGGTAGTTTAGCTAATCGGCACAAAGCAAGTCAGTTGATTACTCACATGTCGGAATTATTGAGAGAGGAATTAGTGTAGTGATTGTGGTGAGGGTTGTGAAGATTGTGAGAATTGTGAACGATGATAGTGATGCATGACGTACCTTTGGTTCCGTGATCTTGAGGTATCGAACCTGGATACCACTCGTAGTGAAATAGGGGATCTCAAATTTCACCTGGATAGGCCTCTTGGCGCCCTTCGTATTCACGCCGCCCATGCTGCCGCCAAAGCCACCCGTCATACCGCCTCCGTGCTCGTCATCGCCCTTCACGCTCGGCAGACCTAGCTCCGCGCGCATCAGGAACTCCTTGCCGCCGCCGAATTGCTTAATCTTCCAGACTATGGCGCTTTGTTCGGGCGCGTAGTGCACGCTGCCGATGTTTGTCCGGAAACGAGGCGAGTCGGCGTCGTCGGGGACAGGCACGATGATCTCGACGTTGTTCGCTGTGCTTCGCCGTTTGAATTGGGCTCGCGCTTTTAGCATGTACTCGATGCGCGAGCCTGAGTGGCTTTCTACTACGCACTCCACCCAGACTAGGGGTTTGACCTGGGTGTTCAGTCGGTAGCTCATGAGCTCGAATTCGCCGTCAGGAGGAATGAAAGAGATGGTTCGGTCGTTCTCAAAGCGCGATAACCGGACGCATTGATGGAATTTGACGTCCTCCATTTCTATCGCTTTGCCCCTTGTCGTTCTTCCTGTCGTTTCGAACATGGCTTTATCATTTAATCCCAGACGTAGCTCCGGCATGCCTGATAGATAGCATTTCATCTTGATCGCACCTAGAATCTCAGAGCGTAGTACACTGCCGTTCGCAGACACGAGCAGGTTCAAGCTTTCGACGACATCTAGGAAAACCTCGTTCTTCCTGTACCGTATACCTTCTGACCGCCACGACACTGCATTCGTAAGGGCGATTGGCGGCCGTGCTTGTACCTCTAGCTTGTGCGACTCTTGCGTGATGTATTCTTGTAGGATCTTGGACTCGGTAGTCTGGGGGTAGCCAAAGTCCATCATCTCATCGAGTAGCTCGTAAATGATGACGAAATTGTCGCGGATAGACTCTTCTTCGAGGGCCTTGAAGTATTCCGTGAACACTTCGACAATCTTATGTAAGAATAGTAGAATCTCGGCGGCATTGGTATTTCGTTTTGTCAAGGCGAGGAGATAGAGGTTGTTGTGGCGGATGTAGAGGTACTGGGCCGTGTTAGCAGATAGAATTGGTTATCTGAGCGCAGAGGATGCAACCGACGTTGATACCCTCGTGGGAGAAACATGGTGGTACGGCTGATGATTCTTCTTCTGCTTCGCTGAGGAGGATGGGGAACTTTTCGACGGCGGACATGGGAATATCTCCCCGGTAGTTTCGAGCAAGCAGGGTCTAAACGTTGGCTTGTCAGTACAGAAAGTAGGAATTCGGTGCAACGGTAGTTGGTTATATGCGCACCTTGCCCTTCAAATCGAGGAAGAAGACAGCCGACGCCATCTTGTGCGTTGTCGGCGCGGAGTATTGGATAGGGGATATAGGGGAGGTAGGCAGATGCCAATTTGGCGTGGAGCCTTCGACCGCAAGTTCGATATCTACGTATTCATACGACTAATGATGATGTTACGGATTCAGGTGCACAAGAAGTCTCTTTCACATAAACTGTCGTCGCCTTGTCGCCTTGTCGAGGTGTCGTATAGCGCACGTCGATATTGATTTGTTGGACGCCTGCAAAGAGCTAAACCCCACGTAGCTTTAATGCTTGATTAAAGTTGATTGCCCATGTCATGAAGCTGAGGAACTGCCAAGCCACAGAGGCTGAGCTGGATACAGCTCTACCTAGATCCCGTCCAAAGAGCTATTATATCAAGCCACAAATCTCTAGCCGCGCTCATACGCCACGCTTAAGTAATGAGCTGAATACCTATCTGGAAGAGAAGTCACATGATTTACACGCATGGACCACTCAGGGGCCCCCACTGCGCTGTCACTATATCTCCCGCAAATAAATTTTGCAGATGCCTTGTCTTCTTCCTTTCCCTCTTCAACGCGCCCATTAGACAGTGCAGCTCATTATTCTTTCTCAGAAACACACAACTGGATACCGGCATTCTGCTGGTCTTCCGATCGTGTTGTTGGTTAGTGTTGCTTGCGATTTCGAGGCGCGGAGAAGGATTCAATCTAGATATGGTGCCATAAGAGCTGCCCGTGTATTTTGTTGCCGTCTTGGTGACAACAAGTTGCTTGGGCGGCGTCAGAGGGACCGGACATCAACTCTCTCCTCACTTCACTCTGTTCGACTCATTATCTAATTGCCATGTTTTTTGGTCTCTTTTGCCTTGGCTATCTATCGAGTTTCTGGCCTCCATCATTGTTACAGGAGCGTATACGAACATTAATGCAATGCGGCGTAGATACATACCTATGGTTACGTGAGCATCTACAGGTTCAATTGGTCTCGCTGGTCAGCAACGACTAAGTCTATTAATTGAATGATCTTGACACCGATTACATGACCGGTTGCGAGCAGCCCAGGTTACATAGTAGGTACATGGTGAACAGGGCAGCCTGGATAGCTTCGCATGTGAGGGGATCGACGAACAACATTCCTATGGCAGCTTGCGCCCATGTTTGATCGTACCGCTTAGTAATTGCTTGTATACAGAGTCCCACAGAAGGTCTCGCAGCGCAGTGTTCCAGCCCACAAGCACAGTTATCATGGTGCTTCCAGAAGCTAGGGTGCTAGCTGTATGATAGAACACAAATCATGTTGGATTGGCGAATGGCATTCCACCGTTTACGAAGCACTTGCACTACCTACGAGACTACCTACCATGCTGTAGTAAGTAAGCTCTAGGTAGTTATCTCAACTGAAACGACCGGGGAGGAGGGCAGAAGGGGGGAAGGGATCTCGAGTCACGAAGAGCTTTCCTTGTACGGGGCAAAGCAAGCCAGGCAGTATCACTCCAAACCTGTACATGATTAGTAGTCACAATTGAAACGGCAGGTCGGTACTACCTGTACATGGCTGGCTGCAGATTGGGGAAACACGGCGTGAGACCGACAGGGCGTTGAGACTGTTGACATGTGCTTTTGAAGAGATTTAACAGCCCTAAAATAGAAGCCATAGGATAGATAGATACCTATCAATGGGGGTGGGCTCATGTTCGAACTACCTTGACTAGACGGGGCAACATGGACGATCTTCACAGGCTACACAGGCCATTCACGAGCAGTACTGCACGAGCAAAGAAGAGAGCACACATGTATCTGTTGGTATTTACTGTTTGTTACGATGTGGTAGCGGTTTTACGTACAGGATCAGGTCTAGATGGGACTGGATTGGCCAGACACTGATCCACCATGTCGACATCGCAACTTGCATGTGATCGTGGGCAGACCCAGCGCAGACCCAGAGGGTACATCATAGCGCTGATAGCGTCAAGGGCCGGTACCTTTCTAGCGTCAGGCCAGCAGGGGTCTAGAAAAGGAGGGTCTAACACGTGCTTTTTGCCGGGTTTTCTCGTTTCTGTTCGTGCGTTCGTCATCAATATCATTCATTGATCAATCAGCAGCACATGCAGGGCAGAGGCAGAGACAGAGGCAGGGACAAGAGACGAAGGATTGCGATGCAACTCATCCATACTCACCCTACCGGTTGGTGTATCCGGGCCATAGCAAACCGCCGATCCCGTTTGTTTCTTTCATCATCTGTAGCACCTTGCCGCTTGATTTCAGGGTCAGGTAGACTTATGATTGTGTAGAATTCGTAATACCCGACAAAACCCTATGCATCGCATCGCGAGAGACACACGATCGGATCACACACATGGAGGGCCGATGGGGGGATCGAGTCAACATGCCCGATCAAAGTATGGGTTCGGTGTCTTGTGACTACCTAGGTTATCCGGTGGGTAAGTAAGTAAGTAGGCTAGAATCTAGGAAGTTATGAGACCATTATCACAAGCCAAAAACAGAAAGGAAAAGAGGGAAAAAGATAATTCCCCGTTCATGTAAAGTAGAGAGATGGGAGCAATGATGCGAAGAGAGACGAAAGAGGTGCCGAACCGAGCTTCCTTCGCTCGACCGGCCGGTCCACTTTCACGATACAGCGTTCGGAATTGCCCCCGTTGAGAAGTCTGCGTCGGGACCCTGCAGCTTGGCTGACCTACCTAACCTTCACTGCTTTCACTACCAACAGGACTTCACTGCTCGGTCTTATACAATGCAATGTGCTGTATCTTCTGGTATCTCTAGGCATCTTGGACGATGGGCGGTTACTGTAGTGTCCATGTAAGCATAGCGTCTTGTCTCTTCTCTGTCTTTCGGAACAATACTTCCCACTACCTATCGACGTCGCTGAAGTTATGTATGTCTGTCTGTCTGTTTGTCTGTTACCAGCAGTGTTTTGGAACCTGCCTGTCACCGTGACCTTACATACAATACACTACACACATATTCCAATAGGTACCCAGCTATATATCGTAAATTAATTGAGTGTCATGGATGCAGAGAGTCGCATAGGTAGGGTGGTGGTAGCGATGTGGTAGAGCAGGTACGAGCACATGTCATGTCGCTCTACCTACTCTCCGTACTCTGTCGGCACCATCAGCTCATATTGCCATTATTGTCTTGAAGAAAGTATTATAGCTGCAGGTAGGGTGCCGTAGTGGGCAGGCTGAAGTGAACCCGTGCCCTTGTCTCAGACAATGAACCCGACAAATCCTGGTCAGTCTTGGTCAGTCAGTCAGTCTCTCTCTCTCTCTTTCTCCTCTTGTCTTTGCCTTTGCTTCACCAGGTACATGCAGGTACATGACATTACCAGGTACGAAGTAAGTCCCTATAACCCCTACGCTACAGGCTACAGGCTACAGGCTACAGCAGGGTTAGGCTCTGCCTTATACTACCTATACCTACTGCCCTATACTGCCTTATAGTGCCTGCCGCGCACCCTTTCTCTCTCTCTTCCTCTCTCTCTTCCTCTCTCTCTGTGCCCCGTGAATCCCATCAGTCACCTACCTAATTAATGGATTGATTGATCCTCATCCTCACTTCTTTTCTACACACGTAATTAATCTCCATTTTCTCTTCTCTTCACTATTCACCGTGGTTCAGACGAAGGAGCGGCTGTCCATGCGACCCGTCCTCGACCACCACAACCCTCCGACCATATACGACCACTACTTAATCCATCGTCGTCGCTTGGCCTTCGTCCACTGTGCTCGGTAAGCGTATCCCGCTAAAGGAACCCGCCGCCCCAGGTTGGTTTTCTCTCTGCTACCAGAGTTGGATCACCTGCGTTAGCATAGCATAGTCATGAGTCAGATACGCCCTTAGCACTCCACCCAACTTTCATACTTATGATCCCGCCCAAGTCAGGCCGAGCTATCGGGGCAAAAGAGACCTGCGACCCGGCCGAGCGAGACAGTCGAGCCAAACTTCAGGCTCGGCCATAGATACCAGGCCCCAACATCGTGCAGAGACGCCTTGCCTTGCCTTCGAAGACCAAATTCTGGTCAAGATTGGTCTTCATAGAACACCAGAGGCAAGGCATACATAGGCACAAGTGCACCTTTGCTTGCTCGCCTGCACAACCCATACTCTTTTGTCACATGCGCCTCTGTCTACACTGTTGGTTCTCGTCGCCGTCAAAGTCTTGTATTACTCGTCGTCTGACTTACTTTACCTTCACTTCACATAGTTTTGCTTGTTACTTAGATACTTTGAGTCTATTTTCGTTTCGTCGACCCATCTAAGACACCCATCTACGCAAATGGGCCTCCAGTAACAGCTTTTGCGACTAAACCACCCATCCAGAGTGCCTTGCACGTGGGTAACAGAGACATCTGTTACATTACCCAGTTACCGACTATGGAGCAGCCTTTAAATACAATGGACAATCGCATATCACCGCTTCCACGGCCAATACAGGACCAAAAGCACGATTTACCACGACATCCTACCGAGTCGCGAAAGCACGCCCTGCCGTCCGACGATGACCAATTCAGCATCTTTGACCACCACGATCGCAAGCTTAAGCTTCCTTCATACCCTCCCCCGTCCTACAGCCAACAACGCGATACTTGTCTACCCTTTTCCGACCCCCATAAGGCCGAACTGGCACCCATCAAGCACCACGGTGCTAACAACCATACGTTACCGTCGCTTTCTACCATAACAGGGTCAACTTCCTCTTCGCCCTCTTCGTCGTCTTCACCATCTGCGCAGCAACTGGTATCTTCATCACATCGGCCTCAAGAGCCATTACGCAAACCTCCCGCTCCGCCGCCCTTGTCGCATTGGCCCAGTCTCAACCCGCTCACGGCCTATTACACTCCGAGTCATGTTCAGAACCCTGAGCCGCCCTTGCGAATGGATGTCGATACAAGTAGCAGTGGTACTGTGAGCTCTGCCTCACCAGATCGTTTCCATGACGGTCGCGCCAGCAGCGTTAGCCTTGACGACCCGGATGTGCGCATGGCCGCCGAAGCACTCGGTGATCTGAGAGCAGGTTGGTGTTTTGTTTCCTTTGCCCTCAGCGCAGGTCATTCGCTTGTCCAAGTACACAAAGCTTTGTGTGGAAGATACTAACCAGTACAATGGATCCAGACTTCGTTTCTTCCCCGAGACGTAGAGCGACGCCTCCCAGATCACCGCAGTCTCTGGCCCCAGGACAGCAGCCTGAACCGCTCCTATCATTACTCACTACTGCGCATCCGCTCATCGCGACAACAATCGATAGTGCCACTTCTGCCTACACTAGCTCTAAAAACTACTACCCGCGCATTAAGACTAGTATCGAGTATGTTGAGGGGTATGTGATACCTATCGCCAGCACTGTTGGATCTGTCGGGCGTGTAACCGGAGTTGAAAATGGAGTGCGGTGGTTTCTGCGCCGCAGTCAACCACCTGGTAGCGATTCAGGCGATCAAGGCTCTAATAAGCGAAGGAAAGTTGGAACGGGAGATGGCAAGTACAGAGACGGCACATCTGAGTCCGGGTCCGGTGCTCAGACACCCAGAGCTTCATTGGAGAACCCAGACGATCGACGGTCTTCCATGGACACCTTGCCTGCCTATGACGAGTTTCGTTCACCTCCATACACGGAGCAATTTCCAGGTCCCGATGGTCACCCGAATGGGCCAGGATGGCACTCTCGTTTGATGATACAAACGTCGGGATTGAGTATAGCAATGAGTGAGGAGAGTCTGCGAAGTTTGAAATACTGTCTGGGTTGGATCCGATGGGCTAACGTTCATATCGGTCATGTGATCAAGTCACTCACCATTACCTTGGAAAAGTATGAGCAAAGGGGCCAAGAATCCAGCGCACAAGGCAGCAGCTCGAGCGCAGAACTCGAGACGCGGAGTCAATTGGCAGCCAAAATTGATGTTCTGCGTTCTGACGTGCTAAAGACTCTTGAAGACGTGATCAACACAGTCAGTCGATATGCGGGTGGTGCCCTTCCGGATAATGCTAGAGAGCTTGTTCGACGACATTTGACCAGTTTGCCACAACGCTTCCACCTTGCCAGCATAGCCAGTGATCGCGAAGCAGGTAATATTAAGTCGGAGGCTAGCATGGAAGAGGGGCGCCCGGAAAATGAGCAACGAGAGGAGTTGGAAACGCGAGAAAGCGCTAGACGGGTTATGATACTGGCCAAAGAGGGTCTGGATATGATGTCTCAGGTTTCTGGCATATTAAACGGTACCCTGATGAGTGCTGAGGAGTGGTGTGAGCGCCTGAGCAAGGACAAGAGAGAGCAGCGGGAGCATCTACTTGGTATCCCTCGCGCGTCGTCTTCAGATGAACCAACGTCGGGTTGAATTGGGTGAGGAAGACGGGGCTGTGGCGTTCGAACGGACATTAAAGATTAAAAATGGGAAGGAAATTGGAAAAGATGAAAGGATCGGGCTGTAAGAGTCTGAAAAACACGACCGGATAGATACGATTATTTCTACTAGCACGGGTTTGCTTTCGACGTACTTATTACCTTTGCCGAGAACACCAGCAGCGTGTTTTGTTGCGCTTCGCTGACCGCAGACGACTTATTTTTCTCTGTCGACTTTTCTAACAACTCAAACTACCGTATGCCAACCTACCCATGGCCAAAATGTCTAGGGGATTCCTTGGCGAGACATCTTTTATTTTGTCAAAAGAAAAAGCAAAGAAAAAAGCAAAGAAAAAAGCGAAGAACGGAAAGCTCACCCCGGCGAAGCTTTACCTGCCTGTCTATCTACCTCTCTTCTCCAGGTATTCTGTTTTTGCCCCCTCGACGGGCAGTGTATCCTACTAGGGAAACTTGAACTTGGAGTTGCAAAGGCGTTCTGAGACATGCGCAATGTATACGGGACAGGATGGAAGAAGTGCATACGCTGCGATAAAACTATCTGTATTCGACGACGACGATGACATCGCTGCTTGGCAGCAATGCGCATCACATGAATCATCTCGGTGGCCAGTCAGTCATTTAGGCGTCGACATAACACGGCCTGAACTAAGAATTTGATGGCGTGTCTGCCTAGTGTGGTTCTATGGTTGTACTTATATACATTTGTCTGCATACCGGTGGAATCGTTGTTGCGTACCTACTTGCTTGCTTAGTCTGTTTGCGAATAGACATGATGTTAGCGTTGAATACATCAACTTATATATCAAATATCATATCCATTGGCGATATTAGCTTTTCTCCTCATGTTCTGGCGTAACGAGTGACACGGATATTGGACGTGAGGACGTTAGTACTAACTGAGGATACTCTGTTTATTTCCCCGCTTCAGACCTTCAACGTATTTCAAACCTGAAAACTGAAATATCGCAGTTTCAGTTCATTCCTGAAGTATCTCTATCTAGCCCAACGGTTGAGATCAATCATGACACGTTATTACTACGAAAGCTTTCATCTTTCCCGGCTAGATTTTTATCGAATACTTATATCCATAAAGTTACCTATATTCAAAAAGAGAATAGCAGCAAGGTTTACAGTTGGACTACTTAGATCAAGCGGGCAGTCCATCCCTGATTAGCTCGCTCATCGTCTCGTTCGCGCTGATCCACGCTGCCAACGCAGGTTTCTCTTCAAGGAGTAGATCGGCTACTATTCGTCCGAAGACTATGCTTCCCCAGGAGTTCAGGTGTGTGTTGTCGTCGGGGTACAAGTTGTATGTGTGTGCGGTGGCTTCGCCTATTGAGTTGATGTAGGATAGGCTTGCTGGAATGCACGTGGTGGCGTTAGTGGTGATTGAGAGGAAAGATGGTTTGGGACCGTGTATGATGCCTGTGAAGGAAGTAGATGTACTTACCTGCGTTCAGGTCGAGATATGTTGTGTTTGAAGCTGAAGCTGCGGCGATTGTGGCGACGCGTTCGGAGGCGAGGGAGTCTGTTGCGTTGTGTGCCGATGCGAAGTTTCGGCGGGTCAGTGGTGTTAGGAGGATCTTAAGGCCGTGTTAGTTGTTGTGAGCGTTCGAGATGGGAGAGATGAAAGCTTGTTAATGTTTGGATTTTTTGTGCTTGGTGTTTGGGCTTACAAGATTATGTACGCATTATCTTGAAATGGGTAGGCAGGTCGGTAGATTATTTACTCAAGTGCTTCACTCGCGAAAAGACAACGAGAAAATCCTCAGGTGGTATGAGCAAGACCTACAGGCGTGGCCCCTAACTCCCATATCTCATTCGCCAAGTTTACCAGATTGGTCTGGTACTGCTCCAACGTGAGGCCAGACGTATTCTTCTGATCGTTGTGCCCGAATTGAATCGTCACATATGTATCGTAGCTTGCGATGCTCTCGCTTACGAGACCCGTTACGACGCTCCAGTCCCCACCATCGACGAATGACTTTGTGGTGGCGCCGTTGTGGCCCTTGTTCACGCCCCAGGCTGGACTATTCAGGAATGAGATGAACCCGTTGCCCCAGCCGCCGCCGCCGGTGCTTTGCACGGCTGTTGTGCTGTCGCCGGCTAGGATGAAGGCGGGAGGATTAGCGGCAGCGGTCATTGTGGCGGCGACTGTTAGGGAAAGGATGGTGGATTTCATCGTGGATTGGATACGTGATTGCATGTGTATGTATTGTGATCGCTGTGAAAGGGATTTTGAATGTCGCTGTCGCCACCACTTACGTATTGATCTCTCCTTTCCTTCCAAACGATTGCCTCCATTTACTTACTTTCCTCCTTATCTTATATACTACGCCCAGCGATATACCTGGTATGTCCCTGAATTGCTGACATACTCGCACCAATAATTCCGTAGATCCATTGATCGAGGAATGACATATGCAAGCATGGATAACCTAGCCTTTTTTAATGAGATTTTCCGTCCTATCGGAGATGGGTCCTGGGGAGATTTACCCCGATCGTGAGAATGCATTGCCGAGATGCAGACAAGACTTTTCGCTCTCCGCTGACCAATTAACTAGCAAAGTACTATATTGGGGTTGGCATTGGGTATCTATTTAGTCTCCGCTGCGAACGTCACTCCCGCTTTTCGCTAGGCGATATACGTAAGGACTCTAAGTAAGATTGATTGCTTTTTCTGGTGATGAATCGGCACTATTGGGTATGAGGTGGCGATAGAAGACCCTGAATTTGATGGCTGCTGGATTAGGAGGTCGGAGATGTTTTGTGACGCCATCGTGGAAACCCTTCTTGCGTTCAATGCTGGCATGTGATAAATGCATACTTTAGTTAGAAGACAGCGATATTGTTTCAGGGACAATCGATTTGTAGCTAAGACAGATTGATTCTAACCGTTATGCTAGAGGTACCTCTGGAACTGCGATAGTTTAGCTTCAGCTTTTGTGTAGTTGAAGGTCGCCCAGCAGAATCGCCTCGTATGTTCGCATAGCTGTAGAAGGTTTTAGCTAGAAACAGCATCGCAAAGGAATTGTAACAATTGTTTCATGAACAATGGAACTGTTTTCTTCCCCCTGCAAGGATATAAAATATGTCTTTTGGGACAGGAGTCAAAATTGGCTTTGTTTTCTTCACCACTAGTCACCTTCGACTTATCACAACTTACTTCATTGTTACACTCCCACCAAACGAAACCAAATACTGTCAGAGAATCGAGAATGTCTGCTAACAACGCAGGTAACTCCAAGCCCTCTGAAATGTCGAATGTCCGACGGTATGACCCCCAGTTACTTGAACATGATATGGTAACGTATGAACGGCCCAACAGCGAGCTCTTCCTTGATGTGCCTCTGAGTCCGCCTTTGGGCCCATCTTCTCAAGATCCCTTTAAAAGTGAGTCCTCTCAGCAAAGTGAACCTGCAACACTTATTCAAAGTTCTTGTCGGTTTCCCCTTGAAAGTGTATCTTCCGAGGAATGTGAACCTACAACACCTCCTCAAGCACAAAGTATTCCACAGAATGAACGGCAACATCCCCGGCTACACCAACCCAGTTTAGGAGTAAGTCTTGAAAGGCATATCAGTGAACTCTCCCTGACTCCAGTTCAAGATGGGTTCCAGCCCCTTATTCCGCAATTCCCGGGTATACCATTAGATCTCAATGATGTAAAGCAGCCTACGTCGACGTGGGACACCTATCCATTCGACTCTGCCGAGCCCGGAGGACTCAGAGCTCCCGTCCCCGAGCTTAATTATACTGCCTGGTTAGAAAGCGTTGAAATCAAGGATGAGACCTGTAAAAGGAACCTTGATAGATATATCTGGGGGCCCCGACTGGCACAGAGTGACGAGGAGAAGGCTATAGTTGAGCGAGTGTACTCGTACTTGAAGCTGGAGGACCATGTGGTTCTTTACTTTTTAAGAACTGAGGGGTTAAGGGATGAGGGCCTGGGCAGCTTTTGGCTGCCGGATGAGGTGAGGACAAGCTTTGAGAGTGTTATTGAGATGCATGCGAAGCATGCAAAGAAACGTGGCGGCGTGTTTAAGGTGAGTGATGCTTAAAAAAATGGTGATGTAAAAAAACAATAGGAGTAATAGTATTTGATAATAATGATAATAATAAAAAGAAAGGAAAACAAAGGAGAAATTTGAAAAATTTAACACATGACTGTCTGCTGCTGATGAGAGGTACTTGTAATTCGGTGATCGACAATGTAGGCATCTTCCCTCATTGGAATCTACAGTCACAGAGGTCTTGAGAAGTAATTCTTGTAATTGTGAAATCGTCATTCTATTATTAATTATGTGCGATGTGAAACTGATTTCCGGCTTTTCGTGTGCAACCTTGCCTTCTATGAGAACCCAACCTATAAACGATAGTAAACTCGTAAGCTCGTACATACTCGTAATCATACAAGATGTTTCCCATGTAATCAATCATGCCCTCCGCGCACGTATTATATGTGTAGCTCCAAACCCGAGGTGTACTGCACACTCGATCCCGTATGATGTGTTCTACCCTGAAACGCCAGAACGCCAGACCTTTTTGTATCCTTCGTTAATGGCACCTGATGACTATACCGAGGCATTATCTCCCGTTAGATGACAGGTTGTTGATCCCTTATCGTTACACATCATCTCCTCAAGCTCAGCTCATGACGAGAGAAACCTCAGGCCAATCACTATTTATACCACCTTCGAACAGACCATCGGTCTCGTTCTTGAGGAATTGGTTGAAGAAGCTCTTCGTAAACGTCGATTGTATCTCGATCATCCTGGTGCCCGTGACATTACCCAAAATGCCACCGGTGCCAGCACCCAGGAGTTCAGACAGGAGGGGGAAGTCGTCAAAGGAAAGATGCAGCGACCCGGCGACGTTGAACCACCCCTTGGCGCTCCGTAGTAGGGGCCATGTGGTCGTCCATTCCGACTCCCAGTACGCGTTCGAGGGCTCGAGGGCAGCCATCAGCATGTATGGGGCGTCAGTTCCCGTCTGGTTGGCGGACCCCCAGAAAGGTCCGTCAAAGCTCGTTCCTGCGATGAAGCGCGTGTCGTTGGCGGTGGACTGGAACGTCGTAGCGCCGCCGAGGGAATGGCCCAGGATGCCGACGCCAGTCGTCTGCAGGCGTTTGTAGGACAGACCCGGGATCCTGGAGGTGATGTTCTTGTTGCCCATGGCGTTGAGGGCGAAGATCATGTCTTGCACACGCACGTGAAGGGCTTGTTCGATGTCATATGGTGCGTCGTCGCCGAGGCTGTTGTACACGAAGCGGCCGTCGGGATACTCGACTACTTGAGCGTCGGAAGGGTGGTCGACAGCCAATATGTTGTATCCGTAGCTAGCGAATTCTTGGAGGAAGCCGGAATAGAGAAGTCGTGAACCCCTGTATCCGTGGCTGAATAACACGAGAGGTAGATCTGGGCGGGCAAGGGAAGCGTTCGCACATGCTGGCAAGGCGAAGTCTGTGAAAGTCCCTGGTGGGGTCGACAGCAGGCCGTCTAAGTAAGCTGCGAGATGAGGCCCGAGAAGGGGCTGGATGGTGCAGGTCTTTTGGGTGTTTTCAATAGGGTAATAGAGAGTGGTCATGAGATCGCGAGGTGATGGGCTCTGTGCGAAGATGTCCGGCCTCTTGTAATCGACAAGCTCAAGGTGCTTGTACCCGACTCGGTAAGGGCCGGTAGTATTGGGATAGAAGGTTCGGTCTGCTGACACGGCCACGGCCGCGCAGAGTAAAGACAATTTGATAGTGTTTTGAAACATCTTGAGATTAGTTGATGGGTTGGGAGTCAGATGCAGAATGTGATGCTAGTCAAGAAAAGCCATTAGTTCTCAGGATGACTTCTACTTCTTATACACGTCTTTAGTTCTGAATAACATCACCGACTCTGCGAGATTACGCCGTGTATGACGTGCTGGGCGTAGCTTCGCCTACTGTTGATGAGTTCATTTGAGTAATGTCAAGGGATGATCACGGTCGAGATTGCCTCTTGATGAGCAGACTGCTCAATCGGGATATACCACCCACCGATCGTCTCTCATAAATTGCTTACCCAGCCGTTTGGACTTTGTGTTCGGGCAATGGAACATTGGCGATCCGATGGTAGAGGTTTGTCTGTCAGTGTCCAGAGCGCCTAGGTCATGTACGTTCGAGTTAAGCGAGCCAATATTCGAGGGTTACAGTTGTATATCAGTGGTATATATCTATACACATGTGATAAAATGCCACACTATCATCCCAATTCCGTTGTCTTCAGAGCCGCAACACCCTTGGCGAAGGGGTCTGGGTTGGAAATAATCAGATAAGGCCTTGGGGCGGGGCCTAGATCAGCGGGCGGTATGCATTGCAACTCCCATAACCATTGCCTTACTGTGGGCCTAGATCGAGAGTGTGCGCAGGATCCAGGCCGAAGATCCGTATATATGACCTTGCTTGATGGCAATAGGCTGTGCTTGAGGTCTAGATCGAAGAGACGCCCAGGGCCTGGGTCAGAGACTTCCCTATATATGTTGCAACCCCTAGCAACCCAACCTTTGCTGTGCAGCTGGATCAGAGGTCTGGCAGAGTCTGGCTAGCCCAGCAGCACCGGCGTGTTGCAGAGAGTCCGAACCCGCGGTGACGCCTTTACTCGGGGTCCGGCCGTCCCTACTTTCCTATAAGTATGTACTCCGAATGTGACAAATCGTCCCACTTGGTAGAGATTTGCGAGATTTGCGTAACGAGGCGATATCTAGCCAAGTTGGGCGATCTTTTCTCGAGTTATTGGGTGCTTTTTTTTTTTTTATTCGCCTGGCACGGATTGGTTGCCAATCCCACTATGGGACAGAAAATTGCTTCGCTTGCACAGCCATTACGGGACCTAGCCAACAGCTTATCATGTCAGCTAACAGGGAACCAGGTGGTTTTAAAGAACGCGCGTCCCTTGGGTGCACCAATTGCAATGTAGCAAGAACATGCGGTGGATCCGTGACGGAGTGAGAGTACTGCATTCGTGAGAATCTCATCCGAAAGCAACAGACAAAGGGCAGACAAAGGGCATCGAAGACAAAGAAAGCGAGGGCGGATTGGTTAGCTATGTGATGGAGACTGCGTTTGTCCATTCTCCAATTGGAAAATTCCCCGGTTTCCGAAGAGAATGGACAGAATGAGGGTTTCTGAAATGGGTACTTATACATCGAACAGGCTGTGCTCGAAAGGCGCGAAAGCGCGGATAGAGGCACGATTCTGAACTGAAGTCCATCTAAAGCCCATGTATTACCTAAGGACGCGGGAGGATGGAGGTTTGGATCCCAGTCATAATGGCTGCTCCGTTATACTGGCTAGATCTCGACATGGTACCTAGGGTCTCTCTGTGGCTGGGGCTTGCAATTAGCCCCCGGATCGACAGGCACATAAAGGAAACCCGGTTGATATTTGTTCGCTAGAAGGGGCAATTCTCGTTATGGAAATGAGGCCTGAATTAAGATAGAACTCTCTGATCAGAAGACAGGACAGACCTTGGATTGATACATATATATAGGTGTAGACATCACACACCTAGGTGAGATGCTTGATGGTGACGGTGATAGTGATAGGTGCCCAGGTGATGGCTGGAGGGAGATAGACATGTACTTAGCCGTAATATGCTTTTAGAGGTATTATACCATGCATCTGACGTCATTTAATTGCATCTCATGCGCGTTTCATGTGAGCACCTTCCCGGTAGGTGCATTCCGCTGAAGCCACCTAGACAGGCACCTCTCAAAAGGCCCCCAATACGTAAGAAGTCTCACCTACAGAGGTACCACGCGCTTGACCAGCCCCGCGACTCCAGCTTAGCTCTCGGTCTATCCAGCAGCTCTGAAGGAACCGCTTCGCTTCACCATAACAGCCCTACATCTAACGTGCCATAGCGATTGGTTTGACTGCGTTGCATACAGCTGGTCTAGCGAGCATCTACGGTACGCATTCACGAAACCATCAATTGGTGAACCTGTCGCATTCTTCTCTTTCACTCACTCGATGCCATCGACGATGAGCCTCGGCTTCCCGACCTAACCAACCTCAACACACTCCTCGCCACATCGTCTAGACCGAGCGCTTTTGCCAGTCACTGTGTATAGTACTGCGTGTACACTGGGACAGACTTCATGCGCATGTTCGCGTCCATGTGCGTGACCGTTGTTTAGGAGTAGTCACCGGAGAGATTCGTCACCGGCCACGAGACACACATCACCATGGCCGACACGGCGACGACGTCGTCTACGAGCCACAGCGCGGCTACCACTCACAGTAGTACCACTACCTACAGCACCACCACCGGCCACACCGCGGTCGGCGATGTTCGGAACGAGGTGAAGAAGCCGAAGAAAAAGAAGGTCCTGCTCATGGGGAAGAGCGGTTCCGGCAAGTCGAGCATGCGGAGTATCATATTCAGCAACTACATTGCAAGAGATACACGGCGATTGTACGTTGGTCACCTTGACCATCTTCAATTCTCTTCTTTTCCTTCTTCCTCTTCTCGCATGGGAATCTAGGTCCTTGTATCTTCCCGCTGACCGGTGTACGTCACATCAACAGAGGCGCAACCATCGACATTGATCTTTCACACGTCAAATTCCTAGGCAACCTCACACTGAACCTATGGGACTGCGGTGGACAAGAAGCCTTCACTGAAAACTACTTATCACAGCAGCGCGTACACGTCTTCTCCAACGTCGGCGTGCTAATCTATGTCTTCGACATCGAGTCCAGAGATGTCGACCGAGACATGGCCACCTACGTATCCATCATTTCCGCCCTGATGCAGTACTCGCCGACCGCCAAGGTGTATGTCCTCATTCACAAGATGGATCTAATCAACATGAACGTGCGAGAGGCCGTCTTCGTCGACCGTGTACGGTTAGTGCAGCAGAAGACCGCCGAATACACACAAGCGGCCGGCCTGTCGGGCGAGCTAGACTTGATACCCTTTGCGACTTCGATATGGGATCAGTCTCTGTATAAGGCGTGGGCGAGCATCATCCACGACTTGGTGCCCAACCTATCCGTCATCGAATCGCAGCTAGGGTCGCTAGGCACTATCATAGAAGCCGAGGAGATGTTGTTATTCGAGAGGACGAGTTTCCTGGTCGTCTCCAGTTGGACATCTGAAGAGGGGTTGCACAACCCCACTGGGGACCGACAAGAGCGCATGTCCAACATTCTGAAGCATTTCAAGCAAAGCATCAGCCGCTTCACTGGAACTCCCCGTAATGCTGAGCAGTTTACTTTGATGGTAAGTGAAAGGCTGTCCCCTAGGAAGAACCCGATAAACTGGTGGAATCTGCTGTTACGACAGGCTTCCTGTAGTTTTGCACCGATGTCATAATTTTGCCTTATTAGAAGTAATATACTAACGCGTAATTGAACAGGAGCACAAAGCTGGGACTAGATTCTCTATGTTTGTATGCAAATTCACCACCAACACATATCTCATGGTCGTTTTACCTCCAGGAGAAGCTCGGTTCAATTCGGCGAGGTTCAATTGCCAGATTGCGAGGGAGAGCTTTAGGTTTTTGGATGGTCCTGCGCCGGGGCAAACTCAAGGCCAGCGAACGTAATGTGAGACGATCTAATAATGACTGGCAATCTGATTAGCAATTTGTGTTTCGCAAATATACCCATCGTTTGTTCGCAGACTTCAACCTATAGGCTTCTATTTGTGCTGGTGAGCTGAGAGCAGGCCATGGCAGCATGTCTAAGCAATCTCTTCTCGGATCCGATTCTAAATATCGAAGATAGCATCTTCAAGTAGCAGCTTGTAACTGGTAAAGCCCAGCATAGTACTTATCAGGTTGCAATAATGAAAACCACGCTTAGCGATGTCGGATTCGGGTTACCCATAATCAAATGCGATGTTCCGCCCAGTACCCTAGATCGGAATTCATGACCTACACTAGTGTTGTTGGCATGTCGCATCTATCTATCTGATCTCCAAACAGATCGGCATATTCCCCGGATTAGGAAGGTTGGTACCAACGCTATATCAACCAATAAGCGACGATATCTCTACCACAGGTTCAATGCGATTTAGTATTACCTACCTAACCTACATATGTATCTATCCCATTCGGTACGGTCGGCAGAATTCAGATTTCGAAAAGGAAATGTATTGTTCACAGGTTCCGTCTGGCCACGAGGTGCAGGTATCACTTACAGAGATACGAATCAAATCCTCCGATCTACCCATGTGTACCGTCCCGCCATCTACCTACGGCATCTATCAACACCACGTGAAAGAGACACGGGCCATGAAAGGTGGAGGACGGCATTAATTTGAAACTTAGTGCTGGGAGGGACTAAGTTATAATAAGTGTGAGCAATTATAGTCCTAGCAGCGATATCATTCGCATCTAGTGTATAGTATAGGGTACCGGAAACCACCGACAGCTCTATCTAGGTATTTGTCTATCTTTACGTTAGTTATATAGGGTATCAGGCATATCGCAAAGCTACATTGTATCATGGATCAAACGAGTCTCCTCTTTAGTATGAATCTGGCAGGTCAGAGCCAACGAGCTACTTGCCAAGCCTGGATCGACACGGCTTATTTCGTGGGACCTTGGGCTTGGGGTTCCATGAACTGTCACTCTATTCCGCACATTCATTCTACTTTCCTTTTCCATGGTAGGTATTGTTGATTGGTGTGGTGTGGTGTGGTCTCAGTAGACACCGGAGAAAACACGCAACGGGGTCTACACTTCTTGGTTCAACCAGGAAGCCACCCCCACAACTGAAACAAATCGTACACTAATTCCGCTCCTTGCTTGGCCCGTTTCCGTCATGCGATGTACAGGTGGATAGGAGGACTGAGGCGGAGGACACGCAGAGCAAGGTTGCCCCGAGAGAGAAGAAGCATTATCGTCGCGGAAGGAGAAGAGGAGGAGCGGCACTTATCGCTTCCCGGCTTTGCTGCATTAGTTGTCGATCGTTTCTTCCGAAGCCTTACTTTCTATCGGAGCTGGAAAGGGGGATCTGATCTGATTGATCTGTATGTTCCGCTCACAGCCAGTCAGCAAGCCATGAGTTCGCATCTGTGTGACGACCTACCTGCCCTTGTGTATCCCTGTTGTGTACCCGTTTTCGATTTGTAGGCTTGTATGGGCATTTGCTCTCATCGTGTAGGTATATATAGATAGTTCTCTTCCTCTGTCTGTGCGCCGTGAAGGTTTGCGCTTTATCGAGTTTGCTTCTTAGGGCTATACCACCTGCATATAGTTTATCTATATTGTAGGTAAGCAGGAAAGTGAACTTCTTCGGTGTCTGTCTGTCCCCGTTCAGTATACCTGCCCTTAGATTCAACTGCCCGTCATGAAGTCCTCTTTCGCTCTTGTCGGCGCCTTGATATCGGCCACGGCTGTCGTGGCTGCGCCGGCGCCTATGCCTACACCTGTATGTCTACCCTTCGATACTCGGCTTGAATAACACCTGCTCTTGTCTTTACTTGTTAACACATCGCCAAAGCCCGGCATCCCCTCAGCATCAACAGCCCGCTCGGCCCTAGCTGCCCTCACCGTCGGCACCAACGCCGACGACGGCAAGTACGAGCGCGACCTGTTCCCGACGTGGATCACCATCGAGGGAACCTGCAACACGCGCGAGTACGTGCTCAAGCGCGACGGCACCAATGTCGCTGTTGGCAGCGACTGCTACCCTACTAGCGGCACTTGGACGTCGCCTTATGACGGGGGTGTCTGGAGTGCGCCTGCGGATGTCGATATCGACCATATGGTTCCGTTGAAGGCTGCTTGGATCGTATGTTCCCCCTTTCATCCTTTGTTCCATCGCTGTCCCTCCCCCCTCCCCCTAACTGCCTACCACTCTTTCAGTACATAGTCAGTAGAAAGTCGCAATGATACTGAGCTAACGTTCCCAGGCCGGCGCAAATAAATGGACAACAGCCAAGCGCCAACAGTTCGCCAACGACGTCACACGTCCGCAGCTCTGGGCCGTCACGGACAACGTCAACCAGTCTAAAGGCGACAAGTCGCCTGATAAATGGAAGCCGCCCTTGTCAAGCTTTTATTGTATTTATGCGCGCTCGTGGATCCAGGTTAAGAGCTACTGGGAGCTTTCTATCACGTCGGCAGAGAAGACGGCGCTGAGTGGTATGTTGGATACTTGCTGATGGGTCGAATCGTAGTTTTAGGGCTGGGAAGTTGAGCTGGGACTGGGTTGTTATTGTATTTTATTTGATCTAAATAATGAGAGGGTGTAAGCCCGGACTACCTAGTACACCGCATTACAGATATAATCCCTAGCAGAGGTATCAGTATCAGTGCATAGGCTTGCGTGCAGATTCGGCATTGCGCCATTTGAAGGCATTGGTGCGAAGATGCGAGGATGCGAGGATGCGACAGCACTGCTTCGTCTTGCTTGACTCTTTTAACAACTATAATGTGAGCACCTTCACCGACCTGTTGTGGTGTATTTCACGATGATTAAGTCATTTCTTGAATCCTTTTCGGCGTGCGAAATAGGCAGTTACTTATTTCTAAGTGCTTACTGATGCCTTTTTGGACTCTGGATAATGATGTTATTGGCTTCTGCTTAAATACGCCGTATTTTTATCCCAGAACTGATTACACTCAGAGCCTTCGGAGTAGTAAGCTATATGCGAAGCCTCCGACAACATCAAGACGATACTCACTCACTGCGCTGCGTCGTGAACACATATGAGAGGTGGGAGTTAATAAACACTGCCAGCAACAGCTCTTGGCTATTTATGAGCGTCATTTCCTCCTCCAATCCGACGTCACTTTTCACCCTTTTAACCATCCATTCATTTAACTGTCTAAAGCTAACGGATATCATCAGCCGACAAGATGAAGTTGTTTACAGTTTCCGCGCTTCTCAGTGCTGTTATCCTGGTCAAGGCTGACTATACCGCTTTCCATTTTCTAAATAGGACCATCCCAGAGAACGTCCCGGTCGGCACGGAAATCGATCTGGAATGGGTGTCTAAGGACTACACTGGCCCGTTCGACTTGTCGGTTCTCGCTTTCAACACGACCCCATACGGCTACACACCGGGTCCCTTTGGACAATACCCTCTCTTCGATAGCAAAACACTCTATCTGGCAAGTAAGTCGACTGAATCCTGCTCCTAGTTATCGCCAGCCGTTTCGAGTCCCTCTGACCTCTCCGTTAGAAATTCCCTCGGCTGCGGCCGGGACATATATCTGGATCGCCGAGCCCGTAGACGATGCTGGCACGTGGACTGGCCCGGAGTTCTTGTATCAGATTGATGCGAGCTTCCCGGACCAGAGCAGTGGATCTGCAGGCGCTTTCTATCTTGTCTAGATGTCGGTTCTTCTAACTGCTCCTAGGCGTGACACGTCCAAAGCTGGCCCCCTGAGGCTTCACGCCGATGAAGGCGTGTTGTGGTATTAGGGTTCTTAGCTCCATTTGGGGAATAATCGTGGCGGCGGCAGCGGTATAATAAGCATACCAATGATATACTAGTGTAGCTTTCAATGGGTTACAATATAGGCTACGAAGTGTCTCAGCAATACGCGACCAGGATGAATGAGCAAAGTGTCAGGAAACAGTTGTAGAAATCTGCATTGCGCCCCCAATGCCGACGCTGTAGATGTAGGTATATGCCCAACACTGTGATACAACATATGGGGGCGGTATCATAATAATTCCTAAGGGCCTTGAGGCTGGTTTTCTACTGGTACAATCTAAGCCCCCCGATTTAAGTCGTATACTATGATTTCCGTCCTCGTCTGAGTGATTTTGGCTGGGTAACACCGGCACTGAGAACAACCATAACAGGGCTCAGCATGCCCCATACTACATCGATGGAAGCAGTAGAGCCGTGGTTTTCTCTCTGAGTAATTACTCTATGCGAATAGCTAGCTCTATTTATTATACTTATCGAGTGCTATATATGTTTGCCATACGACCTCAACTTCATATCTGCCCCCTTCCCTCTGAACTGACCCTCATTCTGTTATCAACCGCTAATATTCATGGAATATGATATTAAATTGGCTGATGTCTGGGATACATATTGAACTCGAAGACTGTTTAAGGTCGATAGTACCTCTTTCTTTCTATTCTATTTTTTTCCTTTGACGAATATACCCTAGAGCGCATGCTTCTGAGATACCTCTGGCCACAACATGGATCAACAACGTGGTCATCCGTATGAACAGCTGACCCCTGATGTCGAGCTTGAAAGAATATCGACAGCAGATGGCGCATTAGTCGACTTACCAAGTAAATACCCGACCAATTCAGATACACCGACTGCAGCTTCTAATCTCAGTGATTCCGAAGCTAACTACTTGCATGATGGGAAAGTTGACGAACAACTTACACCCGTAGCGAGACCCTCTATAGATCCTTCACCATCAAAGAAACTGGCCTAGCTACCATACACTCTACGCTATATCCCTCTATATCTGATACTTGCCTTTTTATTGCTTTTAGAACTCGCTGTTGTGGTAGTTCACGGGATTTCGTCTAGCAACTCGGGGCTCGTCGAGGATAATGGATCGCCGTCTTCATCTTCTAGGTCGTATCCCGATATCTCCTACACCTGGCCAAATAGCCTTGCTATCAAATGGATCCACGAGCGGCCCATTGGGGGATCCCGAGTCGTTGAACAATGGTCGGACGCTGATACGAGGCATCTCTTATGGGTTGAGCCACCTCAAATGATGGCTTTAAACTGCCAGCCCGTCATCGAAACCGCCAGTACTCGAATTATTCTAGATTGCAGTAGCAAACGGGTGCTCTCGTATAAGGTCCTGGATACATTATACGCATACAAATATGTGTGGAACGCTCCCTGGACCAAATATCGCACAAAATTCTACTGGGACGGTCCCGTGCAGAAACTGAAGATCACAGTTAGCCACGGAGTGCTCTTTAAGACCGCACTTCTTGGAGCCGCAGATGTGAGAAGATTTGGGGGGAACTCAAACTTCGATTCAGCCGGAGATGGAATGGAGGACACTTCAGAACAATCGTTCAATTTCCGACAGACCGGGCTCAATGTCGATTATATGACTTATTCAATGTTATCATTACAAGACTTTGGTCACCGAAAGCTGCTTGATGCCGCCGTATTGGAGCGAACCGCGCAATGCGCATTCTCAACCATATATAAACACCTCGTCAATAAATAATTATCTCTAACAACAGGTGGTTATGTCTATCGACGGTTCGGGGGAAATATTTCCAGATGATATCGGGCAAAGGGTCTCCGGGAGGAGCAAGAGAGAGTTGAGCGCAGGGAACAACACTAATAGGAGCGATCATGTCATGTTGGAAGTCTCCAGCCCCGTGGAGTTATTGAATATATCGAAGCCTGCCGCATGGATCTGTCTAGCGATTCTCGCGTACCTTATCGTCGCCTGCGGCACCTTGGCCATCGTCTCGAGGTAATATGCCCGCATGGTACCCGCGCTTGTCGACAGCATCGCCGACACTGCCGTACTCGTCGCAGGGAGCACCAAGCTGCTAGAGCTAGTCAAGCTACGATCTACTCGCGACATCAAGAAAGACAGCCGTGTCCGTGCTAAGCTGGGCTGGTTCAGCGATGCAGAGGGCCAGAAACGATGGGGTGTAGAGCTTGTGGCACAATGAGTAGATTTCATTTGTTTGCCTCCTAATTAGATTACGCGCGAGAGATGGGGATACTCATCACTCGTGTCTAGAAGTGAGATGAGCAAGTGGATAAAGCCTATATCTGCAATGGGTAAAATTCTACGTGATTAGGTACATTCAGTGGAAAGACAGCCTTGTTTTGAGTCATCAACAATAGGGATTTCATTTAAAAGCTACTGCTACGAACGAGGATGTAAATTAGGTGTGTGAGAGATATAAAGCTCAAGCCCAGACCGGAAGTGTTGTGAGCACATATTTACAATGATATGAACTATAAGCTGGTCATAGACATTCCTTCCTTCATCGGTCGTAAACTTATAGATGTTGGCATCTTGGTACAATATAGTCAAGTCAAAATTTTTGTTCTTGTTGCTCTAGTTTCCGAGAATATGAGTAGTACGGTCTTTATGTTGCGTTTTTAGGCTCTCGTAAAACTTACCAGGAAGCGGACGCCTTTCTACCCGAATCTATACGTACAACTATTTCCTTCATTTCTGCCAAGGGTGGAGGAACACCCACTTCCCACCTAGCAATTGACGTCTATCAATACTAATTCCGTGGATCTGTTCAGGCACCTCGCTTTACAACAGCGGTACCACCCTTCTTGAATTCCCCCATATCGCCTATAACCAAAGTCTTGTCTGTATGATCCTTGTTGGGGAAAGTAGTAGCCAGGACCCAACCACCCTCTCTCAGTTCAGGTGAAGCCCGGCTGATGAAATCGTAGATATCACTGACCGTTTGCGATGTGTTGAATCGGGCAGGTAGTCTTGTGCCATCTGGCATTTGGATTCGGATTGTCACAGAAGGTTGGGATTCATCGACGGGAGCAGTTGGAGTGGTAGCCGACGATGATTCAACTGTACGAAGATTCGATGTAGCTGTTGTAGAAGATGTAGCGGTAGAAGCAGCCTCGCCGGGCACGGGACTACCGAGACGTCTACCTTCTCCACTGAATGGTTTATACGTCTTCGGAAGCGGTCGATAGTTCTCATCATGTTGCTTTACCTTGACATCTACGGGGTCGTCGTAGCGCACATTCATCAGGTGGAGAGGTGCGCGGCCCGACTGAATCATGCGTAGATCCTCGGCGTTTGCGGGGTCATCGAAGCGATGCAGCTCCCCATCGTCGATGCTAAAGCCATCTCGCCAAACGTGTAAGAGTCGCTCTTGAGTTTCAGCGCTTGGCTGTGGACGGGCACGGCTTGAAGAAGCGCGTGGATCCGGGATCACACGACTCTCGGTACCTTCGCCACCTAATGTCTGACCACTTCCTCGGAAAGACGAAGAGCTGGGGGCTTCGGAGGGAGCAGATGCTTCAGGGCGCCGAGCGTTACTGTAGAGAAGGAGTTAGAAAACACGAACGAAGACTGGTAGAGGTGTGATAAGCCAAGACAAAAAAAGGAGGGAGTCTCACCTCTTGGCTTTGGAGAGTAGATCATTGATTATACGTCTTGGATCGGCACGTTGGGTTGGGTCTTGAACCGCCAAACCACTCTTCTCACCACCAGCATATGTATCTCGGCGAGCAGCATCGTCACCACCATCATCATCGCGTTTGTGGTCATCGTGGTCGTGAGCATGACCGTCTCCTAGGGAGCTCAATGTTGCCAGCCCTGTCTTCTTCTGTGGTCTTTTCGAAGAAGAGGAACTTGATGTGGTGGGAATAGCTTGGGGAACGGGGCGGCCATCCAAAGTGCGAGGGCCGGTATAGTCGGGAGGGGCAGCAGAGGAGCTGCTGGCGTCACCGCCACTGGCACCGGCACGAAAAGTAGCGGCGGCGGCCTTTATTTCCGCGTCGTCGTCCTCGTCGACGAAGTAGGATTCAGCAGCAACCATGACGTCCCAGTTACTCGCAGTAAGATATTGCGTGGCCTGTCAAGAACACAAACACTGGTTAGACCGAGTCGACGCCAAGGAAAGAAGTAAGAAGCTGGATCCAAGGCTATGGAAGCAAGGGAGGAGACTCACCTGGTCAACGGTGGCGCCTGTGGCGCTTATGAATTCGCTCGTGAGAGCGTCATGATCTATGGCACTGCGCATGGTTGTTGTTGTCGTCGTGGCCGTGATGACAAATAAGGTAGCTTCAGCACTCTGGAGATCCAAGGTCGCGCGGAAGCAATGTCGCTCGGCTAGAAGGAGGTCTGGCTTAGCTGGTGGCGCTAAAGGACAAGAGGCAAAAGAGGCAGGCAATGGACAGGCCAGGTAAGATAGAAGTGATGATATTTTTCGATGGTCCAATCTGTTCTGTGCTGTTCTGTTCTACCACCTGGCAGGCAGGTCGATGTAGATCCAGGCAGCTTTGGTGTCGACGTCAAGCTTCGCCTACCTCTTGGGGTCTTTGTCTCTGGAGTCGGCGGTGTTTGGTGGGGTTGGCGCTGTGCCATTGTCTGAGAACCCCGCTATCCGCGCCTGCTTCCGGGGGTACAGAGTAGGTACCGAGCCTAACTTAATTAGGCATCCTGGGCAGACCTGGCAGACCTGGGTACTGCCTGGGAATGCCCATGTGGGATGGTTATCTTATCTATATACCTGTTTGATGCATCATGATGGAATTGAATATAATTATCCGTACTACCTAGGCCCACTACCGGCAAGGTACGTACCTTGCGTAGCTGCATCGATCCAGCACTTCGTATTCCGCTTGAAGATGGAACCTCCGAAGCCGCTAACTAACTACTTAACTACCTACCTAACTAACTATGTAGGTAACTAGAACTTCCATCACTGCAGACAACTCCCGTTCACGTCACCACCCTTCCGATCACCGTCCTGCCGAACTCTCTGGTATCACGACCGACGCCCGAGCTATGACCTGAGATAGCCACCCTCAGATCCGCCATCATCCGCCATCACCCTCTCACGACCCTCTTTCGCCTGTCATCTTTCGCCTGTCACCATGGCCTCCGAGGAGCAGAACCCACTAGCCGAGTCGGGCATCACGATACACTCCGACAGCGAGCAGTACTCGGCCGGAGACGATATCTCTACATCACCCGACGACTTCTCGTCATCCCCGCCCCTCATCCTCTACAAACCACCCACCACCTGGTCCCTGATCCGGGGCGTCGCCATCAACCTTCTTCTGCCTTTCATCAACGGCATGATGCTGGGGTTCGGGGAGCTATTTGCCCACGAGGCTGCCTTCCGCCTGGGATGGGGCGGTACCAGAGTACGTCGCTTAGGTCTCTCCATTATATTCCACAAACGATGAATCAATGCCCAGTTTTAGCTTTTTTTTTCTTTCTTTTTTTTTTTTTCTTTTTTTCTTTTTTTCTTTTTTTCGTTTGTCGTCGTGGTGATTGTTGTCGCGGTGCCTACTGACGTAAACCTTGCAGGTTTTCCCGGCGTCTAGACGAAGGGCACACGCGATAGGTCCTGGTATCGAGATCCGCGAGAGACGGAGAGCGCGGCCCGGGAGTTTAGACGACCTGACTACTTTGGAATGATGGATATACCAAACCTAATACTTCGAAGCCAACCAGCCATATATCATAAAAGTACATACACTGGGGTGGGGAGCACCTATCATGGATGAACCTCGCCTCCGAGCCATTCTGGGGAAGCCTAGGGAAGAGGCAGGAGTAATGCAGCTTTCACCGATTGACCCCATTTACAAACGATGCAAACTTGGCACAGCTACCTAGTGTGTCTCAGTCACTAGACCACTTGGTTCGATATGAATGTGTATACCTCTTGTATGTGTGCCAACATAGTTAGGTGTGAGACAGGCCAATTGATTGATAGATAGAGGTGGCTTTTGGAGCAGGCTTCATCTTCTGGACACAAATTATGTCTGTCTATCGGATGGCAACCTTTTCATACATACAAATAGGTACATTCTCTTGCCTAGGCCGGGGAGGTACCCGTGTACATCGGGTCCATCCATCCGGGCCCTGGTCGGGACCGGGGGTTGAGGACTTCAATAAATAGTGTCCTTCAGTTGATGCATATCGCTCTGCGCATAACAGCTATCATAAAAATAATTTCAGAGACTGGGACCTACAAATGATTGCGAGGATATGTAACTTCGAGGCTTGTCGCGACTCGGGCCGGCGACAACACATCGCTCACAATGCTTCCGAGTAGAGGGCTCGCGAGAAACCCGGCCATTGCGCTGAGGTATGCATCAACGGGCTGGGCAAAGGTATGACCGATTGCGCGCTGTATGATATTTGCGCATGCCGGGGCCGAGCACACAGGCTGACTGACTCTTGAATCTTGCAGCCCACGAGGATAACATCCACCCGACAATTCTCTCAGGCGCGCTCGCAGTCGTCTGTGCTAGCGAGACATGGCCAGATATCGCCCTCGATAACGGCGGTCAGGTCTGGTGCCACTATAGGCATAGCATCCAGCGTCTTTGCCCAGCGTTCTGGTGCCACAAGAAACCTCTCTCTATGGCCATCCTCGCTATGGCCGTTCTATTCGAAGCCGCAGACCTCTTCTCCCGAGACGGTCGAGCCGCCGCAACCGCCGCCATCAGAGCCACCTGCTGCTGCCGCTCAATCACCTCTGGCCGAGACATCGCCCTCGCCGTTCACGCCAGATGAGCCTGCGAGCAACTCCACCCCCGATCTCAGCCAGCTCACCGAAGACATCCTCCGCGAATTCGACCCCCAATCTTTCGTCGACGTCCCCCAACACATCGGCTTCCTGAGTGAAATGGGTCTCGACTTCGGCTGGGGTACCACGACCCTCATTGAACGGCTTTTGGAGTTTGTTCACATCTACAGCGGCATGCCCTGGTGGGGCTCCATCGCTGCTGTCGCCGTCCTCTTCCGCCTTGCCGTGTTCTATCCCACCTTAGTCGGAGCGAAGCACTCGGCGAAACTGCAGAAGGTTCAGGCCAATCCGGAATTCAAGAAGGCTTACGCCGAAATGCAAGAGGCTGCTTACCGCACTAAAGATCGTCAGGCCATGATGGTGGCCCGCAGCCACATGAACCGTATAAAGTCGGAGACCGGTGCATCCGCCTGGAAACCCTTCATCGGCCTCGCCGCTATCCCTTTTAGTTTCGGCATGTTCCGTTTAATTCGGGGCATGGCCAACATCCCCGTACCTGGTATGGAGACGGGAGGTTTGGCCTGGTTTACCGACCTAACCGTCCATGATCCCTTCTTCATTTTGCCCATCGCTGGAGTTGGTCTTGGTTCGCTCACGCTCATCGTACGTACTTCAATCTCTTCTCTATCCAGTTGAAAACATGATTCACTAACACATGATACAAGTTCACGCAACGCGCCAACGTAGCTCAGCCTACCTCTATGCAGCACAGTATGATGCAGGGCATGAAGTACATCCTACCGCCTCTCATGTTCGTAGGTACCGCTTGGCTACCCGCGGGCTTGCAATGGTTCTTCCTCTGGGTATCCGCAGGCACCGTCATACAAGGGCAAGCAACACTCAACCCAACTCTCCGTCGATGGGTCGGTCTCGATCCCCTTCTCAACACCAATAATGCTCCAGCTGTCCGCGGTGCTTCCACATTTCCACCGGGTGCCGGCATCCAATACCAGAGTCCTTCCACGAGAAGTAGTCTCAAATCTGGTTTTCGGGATGGCATAGCATCAGCGACTAAGAGCTTCAAAGAAGCTACGGGTGCGACTGAGGAGAGGCAGAAGTGGCAAAAAGCCGACGAATACGAGGACAAGCGTGCCCTGGAGGAGAAACAGAAAGCCTTTCGACGAATGGAGGAAGTCCGTCGACGCCGTGCCGAGCGACAGCATTGAAAAGTCAACCGAATTATCATTTTCGTGACATGCTGTGGTGTGGCGCAGCTCTTCATTACCAGCTACCTTGCCCTCTAACTAACTTAGACTCCCCTACTTGTAAGATAAGTATATATGATAGATACCAACTTCTCTGGGCTGGGCTTCTAGCTTGTACTATTACGGAAACTGGTATGGTATGGTATGGTATGGTAGAAGAGATAGATAGCAGATCTCTCCATTCATAACGGCCTTGGTTGAGTTGAGTTGAGTTGAGTTGAGTCCTAGTGTCACGAAGACCAACCTAATCTAAGCCAGCATACACACCCATGTACATACATACTTCCATACTACATACAATCATACAGGAAGGACCAATGAAGCATAGCAAATGCATTTTTTACTGCAGAATGCATGTCATGTCTTCCTGTGTGATTTCTTCAGGACAGCGAAGGAATGAAGCGATAATATTGCGTGAAGCTTCTAGCTAGTATGGATTTGTCACTTAACGTATTTGCAAAAAGCAGAATCGAAGTTATACCAGCTGTAACACTCTGTCAAGCAGGCTGACTTCGAGTAGGGACTGGTACATCAAGTTCTCATCGTACAAGTTTTCATACTTGACTCAACTAAAGCTGGTTCCCTTAGGAATAAGAGGAGCACTGTCCGAGAAATACACTGCTGGGATGCAGACCAGTAAACTATTAATGATTTCTCTCACTAATGTAATCAGCAAAGAAGGGTAAATTAATCAGCGAGGATATAGAATTAACGCCGGCCCCTGTAAGAGCACATTTATGAGGTTCTATCGGATGGGAATGTCAGGTGCACAACCATGGCAGACAGTGTTTATTACTCAAGTGATTTGAAGCTTTCGTGCCTAGGCTAAGGTTATATACAGAGAGTCTCTTTGTCTTTAACCCTAGGATCGTAACGAAGAAGGACTCGGCGGAGGAAAATATTTGCATAATAGTATTTACGGCTGCTGAAGATCCTCTACGGGAAACGAACTTGATTCTCATCTGCTAATCGAGAGGCTCGTGAAGGACTATAGCACGGACTTAAACCTGCAAAGGTGCCGTAAAGATATAATTGCGGAGAAGATACCTTGCTCTTCGCAGTAATCCAGTTTCCAAGATATTTCGTTCTAGCGAATGTACCCATGATGTCCATAACATAACATGTGATGATTGATAGCTTGGGCGTTGTATTAGCATGAAATAGCCGACTACTTAACAACAACATGCCGGTCTTTGCATGTGATGGTTTGTAGTAGCTCAACGCATAATTCCCAGAAGCATTGAGTAACCTCCTGCGTTTTCCTATCACACATTCAAGGCCATGACCGGCGACATCATTCCCTTGCTGATTAGTACCACGTTCATTCATACGCTGATCAACCTTGCCGTTACATTTTCCCTTTATCAAACGGCAAACTTTGTCATTGTTCGCCCCCGCTCTTGCACCTCTGGATTGAGGAAAAAATATATCTAGTCGCACCGAGTCTATCCCTTACGTATACTCCCGTTGTTTGGGTAACGATGACTTTGGTTTCCCGGCCGTACGCAACCCGTGTGATGAGGTTGGCTATCAAATGCCCGCTTCAGCTACCCCGATACTATCGCGATACTCACACGTGAGCCTGGAAAGATGTTATTGTAGTATTGGCATATCTACAGTGTGCGATAAATGCTGAAGGCTCTGTGGTGATGTCGGCGAATAGAAGTTACATTAGATCAGGCCGAGTCATCGGTATAGCTAATTAGCGTACAAGACTCAGTGTAGACTTGTATCCCAGGACTATGGATTACATTGAAATTCGCATTCGAACCCCCAATACAATCCAGCTACCTCCGCGTACAAGAAACCGAGGTTGCCATTTCACTGTTATATGCCGATAGTGTTGAATTGCCAGGTTGCTCGTATGTTTCTACTGTCACCCTCATAATTCCCATCGGCGTTAGCCTCGAGTCAACCTCCAAGTAGGTACACCAAAGCGAGGATACCTACTGTATATATCCAAGCTCCCTACTTAAGCTAGCAGCAAATAGACGGCACCTGTACCGGTTGATCGGATTCTTGGAATTTACCATACTGGCGCCTTCTTCAACAAGACAGAAATGTGACCCCGGTGAGTTATCTTCCAGCTGAACCTGCGTTATATAAGAGCCCCTGTTACCTGGGGATTTAGCGTGGGAAATACTAAGTACTCTACAGGTCATAAGGATGGTAATTGTTAGCGCGGCGCTAGAACAGATCATTTGCCATAACCAGTTAGCATGTACACCCTCACCTAATTTACTAGAGAAGTTACATACCCCTTAGTTTGCCACCATATTTTCAACACCAAAGCTAAAATAAAGCTCAAAAATCAATGGTTTAATTGCCTTCCGCTATTATCGCGAAGTTCTTTAAGTCTTTTATACGAAGAAATTGCTATTATTTTTAAAAATGCCTTTAGTACTTCTTCCCAAGCCCTATATATAATAAAACAAAGGTTTCTTTCGTTTAATTTTTAAATATCGAAGGTACTTTTAAGCTAATCTTTTATTTAAGCCTATACGTTCTTAATAGGGTTTAGATTAAAGCTTCTAAAAGGCTATTATAACGTTTTTATATTTAATTAATTAAGCCTTCTATATATATATTATAACTTATAAAAAGGTGCCCCATTATATTAAAAAGTAGTTTAAAATCCAAATTAACGTTGGAACTTTTAAACCTTTAAAATAATTTCTTTACAATATTTCTTAAAGTTAATTTTACTAATCCCTTTATCCTATATATAATACGGTCCTTTTCATATTCCTTATATTTGGCCCCAAAACATCTAAGCATTAAAGTCCTACGTATAAAGGAGTTTAAAGGTTATTGGATCTTCGTAATCGTGAATTATAATCTAACAATTGTAAATAGGTTAGGTTATTACGTACATTTCATTTAAAAAAATAAAACTACAATCGATCCAATCTTTAAACGTTAGCTATTGTTCTAACCATTTATAAACGCGTCGATAACAAAGTTTATAATCTTCATTAGATAATTCAAGCTTTGTACAGCTTTATTTCCGTTAATTAAAGCCCAGATTATATATAATACGATAAATTGAAGATTAGCTAAAGTTTACGATCTTAAGGATTAATAAACGAAGGTCTACCTATAAAATCTTACAGTATTAATCGTTAGCTTAAAGAAACTGCATTAAAGCGTATTTTTAATTATTATTCAACAACTTTAAGCTTCCGTAGCCCTTTTTACAAAGTATAAAAGGTCCTTAAAGGGTATACTAAACTTACCATTATATAAAGCCCGTTTTCGTTACGAAATTTAAATAGGTAAGGTTAAGAAAATGCTTTTTCAATACATAAACTTTATAATGCTCATCTTTATTAAGGTCTTTACTCATATTATAAATATCTTAAAGCTTTTAATTTCAATAGTATACGTATAGCAATTAAAGTTATAAATAGCAAAGCTAGGCTAATTCTTAAAGAGGTTAACGTATAGAAAAGTTCTAATTATGTAGTTCTTCTAGTATATTTAGGTATTAAGGGTCATTTTTATCTTAAATATTCTCTAAACGTTGAAAAAGCACCTAATTTACCGCGTTTTCGACGTCTATAGCGAAATTGGTAGAAAGGGTAGGAAAAAATAGCTTGAAAAACACTAGGTTAAGCTTGAATAGCCAAAAAACAGCTTCAAAAAACAGCTTCAAAAAACAGCTTCAAAATCAAGCCATACAGAAAAATACGTCATTTTTTCAAAATAACTTCAATTTCATAGTGGCAAACTAAGGGGTATATAACTTCTTTAGTAAATTAGGTAAGGGTGTACATACTAACTAGTTATAGCAAATAATCTGTTCTAGCGCCGCGCTAACAATTACCATCCTTATGACCTGTACGAAGTATGTAGCCATAGTAGTAAATAAATCGCATGCTACGATGCTCCACACTGTATAGCGTATATCGTAGCATACATAATAGGTAGACTAGACTAGGTACATTAGATACACTAGATACTTGGCATAGGTAGGTAGATATCTTCCGTTCAACGGCTAGAACTTCCCGACTTCAATATTGCTCCGTCTTTGCTTGTCGGGCCTAGATTGATAATACGGCCGATGGGCTAGGACAAGGAACCCAACTCAACCCTGCACAACTGCTCTCTCCTGTGCATGTACAAGTGCTCATAGGTTGACGACGACGCTAGGACGGTTAGGTCAGTGTGGAGATATGATGCTACTAGGTACCTAGGTAAGTAGTGTATGTACAGCATTGCGTTGTTCTTCTTACGGAACAGGTTTGTGCGCTAAACTATGGCTACATGTGATGAGGGCTTACTTACAGGAGTACGGTACATGTAAGTAGGTAGGTAGGTATTTAAGAATCGTATGATGGGTCTCCCCGGCTCGAGATCAAATGTTAGGAAAATGCGTGCTCGTGTGAGTGCTGTATCTGTAAGTAGGCCCTGTGTACTTACACGTACAGTAGGTCGTAGCATCACAGCCAGGCACGGGCAGGGAAGGGCAGAGAGAGCTTCAACGGTTTTCGCTCAAAGGGTCTTAACGCGACGGAGCCGAACACGTGCGTTCGCCCTGGCCGTAGGGATGCGTGCATACTAAGTAGGCAAGCAAGTATGTACTATGTATGACTCTCCTGATAAAAATCTTCATTCTCTGATGTAGTGTACACGAGTGCCCATCCTGTGTATGATGGCATGACAGCATACTCACTCACCTCTTACGTATAAGTAGAGTCTTTAGCTCAGTCATGTTTATTTAATATTTAATGTAGCTCTTTGTCGTCGTCCTCTGGGGAAATCAGGAATAAAAAAAAAGCCGTGCGACTGGGAACTGCACAAAGTGAACAAATCAGAAAATCAGCAAGCAACCGTTCCGACGCCGTCAGTAACGCCATCGCGAAAAACAGCCAATAAGCAGCATCGGGGCTAATCTACTCGCCTAGGTAGTTGCTACTTATCCCTGGATTGGGGAGTGATAGAGAGAGTCTAGAGAGTCAGAGAGTCTCGCTCACGGCCCTTGTCTGGCGAGCCCTGGCAAATTTGGTGCCGCCGCCCCCCCCGCCCCAGCCCAGACAGAACCGAGAGTTCCCCAGTGCCTGGCGATCTCTTTCCCTTCTTTCTTTCGTGGCTTGCATGGTATGCCATGGGGCGCTAACTCAGTGCAGTAGTTAATGTATCTGCAATGTAAGCAGAGGAAAAATCAACGAAGTGCATAAACGCCGCCATCATCTTCTTTACTTTTCAGTAGTTATACTTATATGTATTGCAAGGACAAGACTCGAAATAGGAGATGCTTACTCGCTTTTGATAGATAGGGAAGCCAGCCACTGTCTAGTCGCTTATTCGAGCTGAAAGAAGGGCTCCAATCATATCTCGTCGGTTGAGGAGATTTCGATATCAAGTATCAATCTACTATGAAGTATGTAGGTGGTGTATTTCTGTCTAGGCAGGTAGGTAGGGTACATATGTCACATTGCCACATGACGCTCGTTGGCTGCTACGTGCGCCTATTTCCTGGACTTTGACACTTTAAAGCTAGGGGGGAGCGGACCGTAGATACTTAGGTAGGTAGAAATTGCGACGAAGGTTTTGAGGAGTTGGGAGTTTCCCTTCTTGTCTGATAACAGTCACCCCCTGGTCTCTCAGATCTTCTTCCTTACCGCTTTGAACGTCATTTTCGGCTTCGGGAACGCCAAGTATGCCGAACAGGCAATCGATGCTAATCAGATCAGATCAGGAAGTCTGATACGTTTCTGAGAAAAAGTTACCTATAACGATATCCATGCGCTGTGAGGTCGAAAGAGTGTTCAAAGGGATAGACTGCCAACTCGCAGATACTTGTATCAATGTGAAATAGGTAGGTGTGTAATGTAAGTATGCTAGAAGTAATCGAGAGGGCTAGATTCTTAACTACTGTACACTACGTATAGATTAGAACTTGGGACCTACCTAACCCTGGCTAGTACGAGATTATAAGTATATCTACTACTACCTACGACTACCTTAAAGCTACCTAGGCACAAAAGAGCTGGCTAACTAACTAACCTAGATACTTGGTGTAAGTAGGTAGATCTGTCGAGGCTTGATGGCATCATCTCGATGCCCACCTACTAAGTGAGCACCGGTCTGGGGTCCGTGTTATACACCGCGACAAGCCTTGACCTTACCAATGGATGTATATACGCGGTTGGGGGGTTCATGTGACGTTTTTTTGTGATTCATTTCTTTCCCTACTCATTATTCTTCATTCTCTTCCTCCCGCAGCAACGCTCAGTTCCGGGAGGATCGTGGGTACTGTGTAGATACCATGTTCGACAAGGGATGAAAGATTTAAGAGATGCAGAAAGATGCGCGAATCACAATCCCACGTTACCAGTCAGAATCCATCTACAGATAGATTCTTAAGTAAGTACTTGCTTATATGTATCTGTACACTACACTCCAAACCCCCCTGTGATGCGAGCCAAGAGGCGAGTGTGTAACGATGGCTGCGCCGCCTCCAACTGCTCTTCCCCGCCGCATACCTACTTACATCGTACATCTCTCTCTGATCTCTCCCTACCTCACTACCTACCTGTGCTCTTTCCTGCTGAATTTCTAGTGGTGTCGAGGGCTCTCTCATCCCTACACAGATTCCCCGTTCATGTACTGTAGCACTTCCCTCCCATCCTACCCATCTACCTAGGTAGGTAGGTACTTGCTTACAGTAAGTGTTTGGGCAGCTGGATGACGTCCTCGATTCCACCTCGGCAAGTGTTCAGGATCACACGAGCGACAGCACGGTGTGGACTACCTAACAAGTAATAATGCAACCGTAACAATGTTTCACGAGTGGAATTCTTTGGTTCGGTACTCGCAGCGGAAGTTTTTGAACCGATACGGCTCTACAGATTATAGATTATAATGGGAGGGCATATAAGGCAATATTCCCTACTACCTACCTATATGTACTTATATACCTAGTTAAGTAGGTACCTACAGTAGGTATATAGATACCTAACCCGCCTGTACATTACACTAACCATAGTGCTAAGATAGCTGCTGCCTTTTGCCCGCAACCAGTAAGGCTGGGTCGCTAGAAGTATACATAGTACTGCACTTGCTTAAGAGGTACTTAGGTACATAGGTGGGCAGGGAGAGGGTAAAAGTCGCTGCCAGGGGTTGCAGCCCAGCGTACAGTCAGCCCTGAAAATCAAGTATTTGCAGTGTAGCCAGGGCGCCTTCGTTGGTCATGAACCACCCATCATGCTACCTGCAAGGTACCTGAATATATTGAAGTGGTATTTTCGGCAGGGGACTTTTTAGCCCGAGAGTCTGGATTCTAAATCCCACCAAAAAGGTACGAAAGTAAGTAGGTAGGAAGAAGGAAAGAAAAAAAAAAAAAAGAGAGAGAGAGAGAGAGGAAAGGTGAAGGCGAAAGGGTCTCTCTTGTTGTTTTTTGGTAGACTCCCCCTCGCACTACACAGTCGTCAGAGTTTCATCGAATTCATCCTCCTCCTTCTTCTTCTTTCTGTGCCCGTGTTGCCTGCCTGTCTTTGCCTGTCTTCTTGTTGCTGCTGCTGCTGTTGGTGGTGGTGATACTTCCCTTAGGTAGAGAGTGGTGGTGGTGGTGGGCAACTGCTAGACTAACCGTAACCGCTGTCTCCAATCCCGCCGCCCTCGACTTGTCCCACCCCCCAAAATTCTCGATTTCTCGATTTTCTCCAGCATCCCTCGGCATCCCTCAGCATCCCCCAGCAGCGTCCCAGCGGCGTCTCCAGCATCCAGCATCCATCATCCATGCATGCCATGCTGTCGTAAAGGTAACCTATTCGTATTTTAGTAGCCAGTAGTCACCAAGTAGTCACCAAGCTTCCCCCATACTATTTCCCGCTACCCACCATCCCGGTTCGTTCTCCGGTTCGTTTTCCCTGGTCGCCTGTTTGTCTAACTGACTCGCCTCGCCTCGCCTGGGCCTGCCACTCCTGTGTACTTACCTATTTCTTGTGTCTATCTGATTCCGTCTGTCTGTCTGGTCTATCTGGTCAGGCGTGCGTGTGTGTGTGTGTGTGTGTGTGTGTGTCCGCCCGTGTCTGTGTGTCTTCTATTTGTCTGCTTGTCTGTCTAGTTATCAGTCAAATTTGCCCACCTACAACCCACACGACGGGAGCTCCTTCTTTACTACTGCATTTCAATAGTCCGACATTTTCTTCCGTCATTTCTGCAATTGTGTACTGCTGCTCAATCACCAAAGATGAGCTGATTCTACACCTCGATTACTTCCTCACTTGACTTTGACTTCTTGCCTACCTGCTTATTATTATCTCTTTCTCTTATCCGGAGAGGGATTGGATTGCCTGCCTGCCTGTTGTATAAGTGACTTATCCCGACCACTGGCGGCACTCGGCGACGCATCTACCTTTCCTACTTTGAATGGTTCGCCGGCTGAACACCCTCTACCTACTAACGAACGGTACCTTTCTCCTAGTCGCTTCTGCACACCGACACATAAGTACGAGGGGGGGCCAGGAAGAAAAAAAGGGAATAGGGAGAGAAAGGAAAGGAAAGGCTAGGAGAGCTAAGGAAAGACGTTAATCCTCTGTTGGAAACCATCACTCCCCTTTGTTCCTCACTATCTTTTTTTCTGGCTCGGCACCAGCCAACGACTGGGATCCGAATTACCACGGCAGAAATACTTACAGCGCGACGGGAATTTCCTGCAAAAAGAGGGCGGCGGTTCTTGGGCATTCCGAAGTGGGTAGACCTGATTTATCAATTGTTTGATAGCAGCTAGCTAGCTAGCTATCTTCTCTTTCTCTTTCGTCGCCCGGATCTGTTTATCCTATCTACCCATCTATCCATCTATCTGGTCGATCCCGCTCCGACCTTTGTTCCTCCCTTGCTCGGCCCGTTAGTCGGCATTGATCGGTCGGACGCGGCCTTCACAGCACACGGCACAGCTCTCTTTTTTAGCTCCAGCGCGAGAGAGGGGAGGGAAAGCAGAGGAGAGATAAGACCAGGGCCGAACAACCACGACGAATCAGGCCATTCCCCAGCCAAAAGGGAGCAGACCGCAACGATGGGTCTGTTTTCGCGGAAGCCCAAAACGCCCCGGCCTCTGACCAAAGACTCGGCCAGCTTTGACTCGGACAACTCGCACCACAACAGCAACAACTACATCAGCAACAGCCAGAAGAACAGCAACGTTAAGAGCATTCGCTCCAACACCTTCAGCTTCAAAAGCAACAGTCGCACCTCCGCCTCGAGCCTCGGTGGTCTTCAGAGCCCCTTGCCCCCCATGACGCCGCATCTGCCCAAGATCAACCTCCCCAAGCCCCCAGACCCGTCGCTCGATGCTGCGGGCTACCTGAGGAGCCTGGGCGCCGTGCGCGAGAGGAGCAAGATTATCACCGAGAAGGCCATGCACAATCAACTGCATCACTTTGATGTTGACCTAGCTAAATTCCCCGATGTTGTTCAGTTTGTCTGTCGCATTATCAAGGTATGGCTCGGTTTTCTCCGTCTTTGATCTCATCCAACATACATACCCGGCCAGCGCAAGCGCAACGCACTTCCCAATGTCTGAGACATGACTATTACGATCGCCCTTCTGCGTTCATCGCTTCTATCACGTCCATTACTATTTTTCTCTGTACTCTATCTGCTACATGTCCCATACGTATGAACCTGCCCGTCTCTGTACCCAGATCTACCAGGTAGACCTCAAGGTAAACTTCTAAGCTTAGAGACACTGCTATATATAGATGTGTGCCTACTTCGGCATCTAGAGCATAGCGACGGGCAGCACCGCATCGCATGAATTAGCCCATGCATGCTTCTATTTCCTTACATGCGTACCTACATGCTTGAATCAAGCAATATATCCCTAACACACCATTTCCTACCCTCCCCAGACCTCGACCTCGAAACCCCTCATCAATCCCCCACATATTGAGCTCCTCCCCCTTGCCAGGTACGGCCGCCCAATCTTGGCGTGGCCAGCACCCCACCATCGCATCTGCCTTTCCTATATGCCCTCTTATACCTGTATAATGGAACGAGACGGGATCACAACACAACCACTTTGGCCTTGTACGAAGATAGAAGAAATGTCCTGACTATTTCCCTCTCGCAGCGCGACTACGATGCCCCCTTTCACTCGATCCCAGCCCACGGGCGTTACCAGCATTTCGCCGTCGGTGGCCGCGACCGCATCGCCCATTTGCTATCTACCTGGCCTGATGACGCCGTTGATAACACGGAAAGATGTCGCCGTCTGATCGACTTGTTCCTTGTCAGTGTACTGCTTGATGCCGGTGCTGGCACGACGTGGAGCTTCAAGAGCGCCGATAGCGGCAAGATATACCGTCGCTCAGAGGGTTTGGCTATTGCCAGCTTAGAGATGTTCAAGGCCGTAAGCAACAGTTTTTTTTTCCCTTCCTTTTCCCCTCCCCTTTTCCTTCTCTTTCTCTTTTTCATTGTATATGGCGTACTGTGTGGAATTATTCTACCATGTGTTACAGCACTGGGGCGTGAAGGATGACGTGAGGCGGGCATGCAAGTGGAAGGGAAGGGCATCTGACAGGACACGTGCTGATCGAAGTTGGACAGGGCTTATTTTCCAGCAACCCTAGCAACAAGTACCAAGTTGACAAGGATGGGCTGAGGAAACTGACTACCGAGCAATTAGCCAAGGGTTTACAATCACGGCCCGGAAATGAAGTGGCCGGTTTAGAGGGGCGTGCACAACTGCTTATTAGGCTTGGTGATGCACTGGCTGAGAAACAAGAGTTCTTCGGTGAGGATGGGCGCCCCGGAAACATGATAGGTGCGTTATGGATTCTGATACTTCTTGAAACCCCATATGCCAGGACCACGTCTCGCGGAGAATGTTGGCCATCTGGTCTCCCCGATCCATTTCTCGGCTGAGGGTCCTTCATATAATTAGTCACCAACTGACCACACCACGGTACAGATTATCTTCTGGCGCACCCAACAACACAAGCTGCCTCAAGCCCCGTCGTCGTCCTCCCAGTCTTATGGAACGTCCTCATGGCTGGCCTGGCCCCGATCTGGCCGAATTCACGTACAGCCATAAACGGCATCTCTCTAGGTGACGCCTGGCCCTGCTCGTCGATGCCCCAAGTGCAACAGCGTACAGTCTCGGGCTCACCAACCTTCTCGCCGTTCCCACAACAATCGAGTCACGCCACCGAACCATGGGAATCCATACTCCCTTTCCATAAACTCACACAATGGCTCACCTACTCGCTCATGCAGCCTATGCAGAGTATTCTAAATATCCAGTTCGCGGGCACGGAGCTGCTAACCGGGCTACCTGAGTACAGAAATGGAGGTTTGTTCGTCGATCTCGGCGTTCTTACACTGAAGCCAGCTGATATGAAGCGCGGCCTCGATAACTACAACAATTACTGCGCCCGGACCGGTACCAAAGGTGTCGAGGTCGCACCCATGTTCGAGCCCGGTGACGATGTCATTGTTGAGTGGCGTGGTGTCACCGTCGGGTTCCTCGATAAGCTGTGTGCAGACGTCAATGCTATGCTTCGAGAAGAGTTGAATGGTGGTGAGCTTACGTTGCCACAGTTATTGGAAGCTGGAAGCTGGAAGGTGAGTTTGGGCTCTCTGTTTGTTATCTGTGGTATTATCTCTTTTTCCATCTCATGGGTGGGGATTGACCTTTCGGGACCCCCAAGATACCTTGTGTATTGCTAGAGAAATGTGGACACAAAATTTATGCTAACATCCAACAGGGTGGTCGCGAGATCGCTGAAGTCAGCCGGCCGAATACTAAAGAGCCACCTATCCTCATTGATTCAGACGGAACCGTTTTTTAGACTCGAAAACGCAGAAGGTATCCTTTCCGTGGTGAAAAGAAACGCCACATAATGTCTATTCTCTTATAGCCAGGGGATGCACATACAAGCGAGAGGAGAATGGAACAAGGGAAGCGCGCGCAAGACATGTGTGCCTAATGAATAAACAGATCCGTGCGGCTTGCGAGCTCCGAGTTGCAAAACTCAGGAGTATAGTCAACTGTTGTGCTACGTAACCTACTCATTCTTATCCAGGTACCTACCTACCTAGTTGGGCAGCATCTATATACCTATGTACTATCATACTCAAAAGAGGAGTATATTTATCACGCTTGGATATAGGGGTTTGAAAAGCGTGGTAAAACAGACAGATAAAACAAACAAGGAAATACTGGACAACGAGCCGGTAAGGATTGGAAAAACCAAGAGCAGAAGCATTATCTCGCCTACCTATACTCAAGGTGGAAATAGCATGACATTAGCATTAGCAGTGAGAGTAGGGGTAGGGGTAGGACTAGTTTAGTTGTATGCTTACTTACTCCCTGAATATCAATAAGTATCTGTATAATGCATGCGTGTCTTCTTTCTGTAAGCGCTTCTTGATTTGTCTGTATTAGATGTCGCCATTTTATACTTGTTTGATAATTAATAGACAAGGAGCATATAAGCTCTCTAGTAGAATGATTGAATACGATAAGTTAATAAGGTAATCTAAAGAAAAATAAAGGAAATCAGAGTATAGGTGTAAATTTGCCAATACAGTAGGAAGGCGTTTATTTGTTATAAAGGAGAGGAGAGTATGATAATGGGACTTATGTAAAATGTAGTATTGAAAGTCAGCGCTCTGGTTAATAAGCTGATTGAGACTGCATATATGTATATGGTATATGATTATCCGATTGCATGACTGTGACTGACATCAATTCATTATACATTAATGAATAAGGACATACATTGGTGATTGTTTCACAATGCCCATTTACCTTACTGCATCTTATGTCAGTTCATCTCAGGCCCCAATTATGTATACTTGCCTCCTTGCTTGTATCAATCTCATAGGGGCTGAGAGGGAACCTAAAGTATTCCGAGCATCTTGACCGTATAGGAGGTTAATATATGATTTTGTTTTAAGGAATACTGAATAACGTTGTCCTGTGTATCTGTATCTGTACTAAAACCCCATATTCTCACTGCCGGCTCTGCATATGCTGTGTTTAATCGGAGAAAGTCATGATATACGGACTCAGGTGTTGAAGTGGATAAGAAAAGTTGTTGATCGAAGGCATCCATACCTAGAGGGATAAACGGAATACCTATACTTCATTAGCTGTCCTTAATAACTTCAATCATTAGGGAATCTTAACGCCGCTTCAGTATGTACGAGCAAACCCTGCTGAAACCATTATTCAGAACTTGATTGGACATCTTTGTTCTAACAAAAGTCATGCTGGGGAATCAGCAATACTATATTCACCCCAGACATAGCCACTGAGAGTTACATGGTCTATTATGCATCTTATAACAGGCTATATGAAGAAACAGGGACAGTCAAGATATGGGGATTTCAAATACCACATTTGTAGTGCAAGAATCTTAATACGTGGCGAGGCACGTTAAGGGCTATTCTCCTATTCACGTTGGGATTATGGAGACATTTGGCCTATATATTCAATCAGGGCTTCAATCAGGGCTGGTCCACGCGATGGAACATGGCCCCCAAATGAACTATACGCTACGGAAATTGTTTGATGAGCGTTAAGGCCTAGAATCCCTAGTAAGTACTATCAAGCACAGCCCTACTGAATCTATATTTAGTTTGATACAGTTGACGCTAGTTACTGGTGGGTTTAGATGAGTGGCATCCTTGTAAACACAACTACCTTCTAGTCTTAGCGCCCGGTGCGATATGGGGTGGGATATTAGATAAATACTTGTAATTTCGTCGTGTGAGCTCACTCTAATTGCTCGTCGCCGAATTCTATGCCTATGCTTATTGAGTTGTGTTGTGGAACGCGTACTGCCGAGATTGTTATAGCACGCCGTCGAAATGAGGCTTCTTCATACGACTACTTTTGAATTGCGCAATGGCGAACAGGGGAGCTTTCGCCAGGAAGGTTACGCGATCCTGTCACACCGTTGGATAGGACTCGAAATCACCTTTGACGAACTGAAGAACTATACTGTTGAGCTCAGAACAGGGAGTAGACCTCTGAGTTCCCCCCAGGCGGACAAGATCCGCGGTGCCTGTGAGGCGGCTCGCAATCAAGGCATCAGCTGGATGTGGATCGATACTTGCTGTATCAATAAAAACAGTGCAACGGAGGAGTCTGAGTCTATCAACTCCATGTTCAAGTGGTACCGCGAAGCAAATCTCTGCATTACCTACCTGGCAGATGTCAAAACGGACGCCAGACACCCTGCCACAAGTCCCAGTATCTTCAAACGCACATATAGCGAAGAGCCCTCAGAGTGGTTCTCTCGAGGGTGGACGCTACAGGAACTGTTGGCTCCCCAGCAGATGCAATTCTACGATATGAATTGGAAATACATGGGCACAAAGATGGAATTATCTAGCGCCCTCGCACAGGTCACCGGAATCAGTGCACATTATCTCACTGGTACTCAAAATTTCAGAGAAGCTGTAAGTACTTTTAGTCGCTGTGCTGAGTTCATTCAAATGAAACAGTTCCTGTTATCTTAATTCGCAATAGTTAGAGGCATATTCCAGGACATATGTAACCTTCTTAACGCTGTTAACGAATCCATTACTCAGGGGGCATGACTAATTCGTATAACTATAGTGTATTGCTGTCAAGATGAGCTGGATGGCCACACGTACGACTACTAGGGAGGAAGACATGGCATATAGTATGCTGGGTATCTTCGGTATCACTATGACGCCTCAATATGGAGAAGGCCAAGGCGCGTTCATGCGCCTGCAGGAAGCCCTTATGACAACATACCTTTTTGACGAATCCATATTTGCGTGGACAATGCCAGACCCCGAATCGGGTGTTAGACATGGCATCAGGAAAGATAAGTGGCAAGCTGGTGAATGGGGTCTCCTAGCACCCTCTCCTGAATGGTTCAGGGAATCCGGCGACATAGTGACCAACAATGAGCAAATGGCGACTCGCAGTTTTACCATGACGCCACAAGGCATGAGAGCACCTATCCGCAGAGCTGTCTACACGGGTGACATGAAGGCTCTGCACGGCGCATTCGGACTTCTCTGGGTTACAATCATTGGATCTATCCCTGCAGCTTTTGGATTTCTGTATGTCAGGCATAAGCTCAACAAGAGAGCGAAGGAGGATTTCGCCTTCCCACTGAATTGCTACAGGCGGGACGAAAAGGGAAAACTTGCAAATGTAGAGATCTACATGCGACCGACCGCCGTGGATAAGGTACGCTTTAGATACAATGCTGCGCCACCGTATCTTGTAGCTAAGAGGATTCGGTGTAATGAATTGGGCATGGAGAAGAAGCCAATTACCGATCTTGGTGAAGGTGTCGTGCTACAACCACGGCCGGGCTTCTGAGCTGATCAAGGAGTTTTCCTTGATACTGTCTATCTTGAGAGAACTGTTAAACGAGCACGAGAGGTAGTTATCAACTAGCTCGAAGTCGCTTGGTGTTTTACTAACAGAGAACCAAGAACAGGCATCCCATGTAATGCAAGACTAGGTGGTTCAGTCGATCGTATATATTATGCACCACAAACCACACACTCTCATCAGGATATCTAACGCAGATCACTTAACTCTCGCATGGGGAATGTTGATGTGGTACATCTGACTCATTCACCCTTCCAAGTCCGGCGGCATTTCCTTCGGCTCGCTCATGTCGAACGCAGTTTCCACACGCCACTCCTTCGACAGCTTGAGCCGGGCTTCTCGTGTAGTCGTGGTGCTGTCCTCGCGGTGCACCGGCGTCTCGTATAAATGGACAAGAGGCTCAGAGGGTTGTATTGAGATCTAATTATTGATGATAAGCATGATTGCAAAATTGCTAGAAAGCACGTAGTGATTCATTATGGCTAGTTGCGGCGATTCAGCTCATACAAAACACTTTGGCCTTCCCGGAGCTGCACCTTTGACTCGAGTCTTCTTCCCCAGCCCACACATCGAAGACTTGGATGATCCTTGGATTCCAAGATCTTCCCATTTCGCCGTTACCGTCTGAGGGCTGGTAAGCGACGACCCGAAGCTGTCTTGCCCATCAGGGCCGTAATTTGCAATGACGGCTACGGCCTCTGTATTAGAATCCTGACAGGCGATTCACGTTTGTAGTTCTTGCGCATGCTGCGCGCTAGTCCTCGGGTTGCGGCGCTGCATTGGAAAGCTTGCGGTGAAACCTGCGACCGCCAGCGCGGCGGCATTCGTTTGTAGATTCAACCCGACATCATCCAAGTTAGTCAGATCGGATCCGATCATGATATTTGCAGCGGCCCCGATCCAATGTGTCATGATAGTCTAGCGCTCGTCGTTACTGACGCCAGACACTGAGGCAGCGTTGCCTACAAAGAGATTATCCATATCCGGATAGATCGTGAGGGTTGTGTCAAACGCAGAAACGCTGGCAGTGTATTGTCGGTAGTTTTCGATAGCACGCTGGACGGTACCCCATGACACGGAACTCGTAGCACCACTGTTGTTGATGTCCCGGTCCGTTCGCACGGAGTCCACATTTGTCTCCCAGATGTAGAAATATTGCTCAGAGCGACCTAGCGTCCAAGGCCCGCATTCGTGCAGAGAATATCGCATTGAGTGATAACACCTACCTGGTTGAATGTGAATCTGGGGTCAGTGGCTGGATTCGCTTGGATTCGCTTGGATGCCAAAGGAGTTCCATCCTCGCGGTAGAGCGTTAAAATCATTTGGCGTCGATGAGATTTAGATGATTTCAAAACTAGACTGCGAGGCAATTGGGACAGTCACCGCAGCTAAAATGCTGCCGGCAGCCAAGATGAAAGACATTGCAGATGTCATGGCGAATTATAACATGTGAGCTAGAGTTATCAAGGAACAACTGAAAGCAGCGTGGATGAGAATAAGTACTATACCAGTCAATTATCTATGTGCTTAAACTAGTCTTATTCATAGGTTAACTACATTGGGCTACCTTAAAGGATACGCGAATATGGATTACTTAGATAGTTTCTGGTCGCTTTTGACTTTCCGTTTGGAGAAGCAGTTTGATGATCTCATTTCATGAATATTCAGCTAAGGGCTTCATCGGAAATATATTCTCTCAACTGAAATAGTTTATTGCCTTCCTAGTAGCTTAAACATTAGGTGCAAGGCCGATTACTCACAGACCAGTAACATCTTATGGTGCTGTGGTTCGGAGCTTCGGAGGACACCATTGTGGCTTATGGGCGTTCGTATTGATGACCCTTCCATGGCAAAAGTAGCAAATAATAATTCGTTTGAACTTTAGGGTACTCGATAGGTAACCAAAATGGTGATAATGAGCGAGGTTTAGGTGACGTAAGCCAAGGAGTGGGTTGTTGCTGCACCCTTGTGTGACACTATTAGTGAAACTATTATTCATTGCCACATTTATTCCCATCAGTTCTCTCCTCCAGCATTTTTAATACCTTATTTTACCACCGCAATGTACTTCATACTAGAAAAAGATGCACATGACTGTAACATGTTGCCATTCATAATTTATATTATAAACATCATGTCAATGAAGGTTAAATGAGTGTTGTTCATTTTGAGCGTTTCTTATAATATAATGTAAACGAACGAATAAGTAGTCCTTAGATGGCAACCTGATGCCTGCCCCCATCCGTACAATATCCACAGCACGAAATGCTAACGAATGTACCAATTGATTGACCTATCCCAAGTCTGAGTGATGCGTGACCGCGTGTTAAGTAAAAACGATATTCCAGCTTTCGAAAAGCACAGTATTGCATGTTCCAGCCTTTCCATTGTCGGTAATGATAGTGTTTTGACATGAAAGAGAGGAATACAGGTTCAAGGCGAAGCTGACGCCGGTTTGAGGATCCGTGCTGGAAATGACACTGTAAGAATTCGCTTGCCCTTGAACTGCGTCACAAGGCTCGCTTGTGCTTCCCTCGTCACTTTGAATTTGGGTTTTACACAACCCATCTTTATAGAACTGGAATGTCCACCCCGCGGCAACATCAGTGCCGTCCGGTTCAGTCAGGTTCGCAGGTAGAGCTGTAGCTGTCTGTGCAATTGTCGCCGCGAGAAGCAGAGATTTAAGGATAGTTTGAAGACTTCTCATTTTGAGGTAGTAGGAAAAATATATGTATCGGGATATCTTGTGTGAGTGGAGGTATTTTAGTAAGTGTTGATGATGAGATGAAGCTATAGGAGGGATGGTAATTGGTATATGAGCCGGAACAGAAGGGAAGGGTCATTTTATAATGAACAGAAGCAGTTTCCTGCTTTATCGTTCTTCACAGTCCTCTAAAGAGTCCATGCATCCTTGACAGATAAAAAATATTTGCCTTGTGTATCCGATGCTATTTCCCAAGTAATATTGGTTCAGTGAATAGGGAGCATGATATTTTGCTTCATGTCAACCTCGGGAATTGTCATGAATCTCTCTCAAGGTAACGCCACATCTTCTAGTAAGCCAACAGTAGTGCGTTAATATAAATCAGGTGGAAGAATAAATAACGTGGCTTTGCGATTATCACCTCGTATTGGATGGTATGACGACCTTGCGACCACCGATAATTACTATGTCCGCGTCACCTTCGAAACATAATCGGCAATCGGCAATCAAACTTATACGATTCTGATAACATCATGATTGACTTCAACTGAGAGCGATATCTCTCATGTGGGGGTTCGTGTTGCACAGGCTCAATTCGTAAGCAATAACCTAAGCTGAAGCTGCGGGAATACCATTATCTAACTCTTCTGCCGCCATTCCCCCTATCTTGATTGAATCGAGGAAAGACATTGCGAGGTATCATATAGCTCAAGTCAGAATATAAAGCTGATACCCTTTCTACTGTTTTCAAGACTTACCAGACAACTTCAAAACTCTTGAAACATTCAGACACACTTCGATTGTCCAGAGAAACAGCCATGCAATTCATCACTCTTTCTACCTTTCTCGCCACCGGCACACTTGCTGCTGTTGCGGGACTCAGTAACACTCTCAATGAAGAGCTTGCCACTCGTGATCCCGGCTTCAAGGTCAATTACTAGTATGAAACTCTTGATTCACTCTCTCCTACATAGCTCTTTGTTTTCAGCGCGACTCTCTCTTTAGACATCTTCGTAGGGTTGAAACCCACGAGAGAGACTTTAGACTACTGTTTCAGCTCGAAAAGGGGCCACTACTGACTCCAGCGGTGGACAGCACGGACGGGGGCTGTATGGATTATCTGCTCTCCCTTAACCCGTTCACAGACGGTAGTTGCTATAACTATCAATACACTGGAGAGAATAGCGCTAGCATCGCTAATTGCGATGCTCCCTCTGGCTCGACATGCCTATGTACCTTCTACGTATTTGTAAGTATTAGATGTCTCCCCCTTTCTGGCGTGGGCTCTGGAGTTGTTCTTTTTGTTTCTATCCTGAGGGTCAATCAGAAACTCTTGATGAACCGCCAAATTATCCAAGAAAGAGCAATTCGTAACTCCTGATTGTGAAATAGTCTGATTGCACAGGCGCAGCGCAGAGCGTCTCGTACCAAACCAGCGGCTGTGCCTCCAACTATGGCCATGGATTTCAATCGATGGCGTGCGAGATTATTGCGATCTGACGAAGAGAAATGAAGATAGTGTAAGGTTGGTGCGATGCCTGCAATTAGGTAATCGGTACAAGTTCCCGGGCTTTATCTTTTACTATTGCATGCTAAGTGGAGAGCCCTTCTTGCGAATTCTTAGATGGTTTTAGCTTATGGGTGCAACTGTTGGGTAGTCGCTCTTTAATGGTGTTGTTTTATACTATAGCATAGCAGGTCGGAGCTTACGTATATGGATAACTTTTTTACGATTTGCGGCTCTGTTAGAGTATCGCTATCCGATGGAGGAAATCCAAAACATGTTAAGCGTAGTATTTGATATACTATGTAGAAATGTAGAGTTGAGCCACTTGGGGTAGCATGCCTCATTGTTTTCCTGCTCAGTGAAGAACCTCAGCTCGTTCCCAGCATTACTGCATACTCTATAGATAGAGACTGAATGAAAACATATATGATAAGTGTCATTTCGTAACTGAGACTGTGGAGGTGATGAAATAACATATAAGTAGATCTCCATCACTATTCTAGAGGCCACAAACTCTTGCTAAGCTTCTAACAATCAGGGTGTCTGCTACTCAGATTGGAGTAACTTCAACTCCACGTGGTCACAGTACCCAGGGTCTTCTTTAGATCCTTCACAGGTTATTATAATATCCATCACGTTCCCCAAATTGTAGACGCGCTCCTCCTCTCGGGGGTTTAAGCCACCGCGAAACCAGTCCAGAATGAGAGATTCATCCAAAGTGTCGACAAATCGCCCACCGACTCCTCAAATTACGCTAAACTCATAAGCAAGGAAGAGCTTGTCGGCAATGGTGCTGATCCATTGAACTCCGAAGTTAGCAAATGGCAGAGCTGTTTGACGATGCGGTTTGAATGTATACGGAGATAGGTGCTTGTAGAAACCTGACGCTTACCGCTTTTATCTTGTTTCTATACATCGGACAACACAGTGATTCCAATGCCGAAATATGCGATGAATATGGCCGAGGCACCGCTGCTATGAACTTGAAGAGATGGGAGATGAGCTGAAAAGTAAGAAGAATCTGAGGATTACGCCTTATCCCTTAGTAGAATGCAACCTTGCCACGCAGAGAAATCGAGAGTTAGCTTAGACCTGATAACGAACAATATTGAAAAGACCCGTAAGAGGATCCCCTTGATGGAGCGGCAGAGCTCGGCCTCGCATGTCCCTGCGAATCGTAGATAGTCTGGAAATATAACTTAAAAGGGACTCATTAGGCCGACGTTCATAATGCCCGGTAAGCCTCATTGACTCTTCTTGGATACCTGACCAACATCGAAGTGGCGGGCTATTATTCAAATCTTGAAAGGTACAGTACTCGAGTTTAGGCTGCTCAATGAATTGCCCGACAAGTAACCATCGTATAATCTTCTCATGCCCATTCGCCATTTGAATCGCACTTGTGAGACCACATTCGCCATGGTAAACAATAGACGCACCGCGCTTGACGAGGTGTTTTACCGCTCTAAGGCGGCAGTTTGCACACGCTGCCACTATTCAATGGAAGATATTAGTAGCCGATAGGATTTTATGAGAGGCAACAGAACTGGTTCAGGTTTATAGTAGGAAAGAAATGAAAAGTTACACACTTAATGCTGATCCATATGAGCTACCCTCGAAATCAATTCTGGCACCCATCTCGAGACAACGGTCAATGACGAGTAAAGCATCAACCGCAGCAGCGCGGCAAAGGGGGCTTATTCCTTGATCCGGATGAAGATTCATCATCCTCTGGAGGTCTGGAAACGGCATGCGTCTCTTGAAGAGTCTCCAATGGTCATTAAGCCACGCCAGGTATTGTGGATGACCCGGGTTAGAATTCCAAGGAAAAGGCTTGCAATCGATGATTTGACACAAGCTAAGAAGATAAGTTGTTGATCTGAATTCCATCAGAGAAAGATGTATAAATGTCCTCCCGCCGTGATCCACCCAATTTGGATCTACGCCGCATTGCAGAAGTAGAGAGAGAGGTTTAGGGTGGAGAGCGGTAACCCTCCTTGTACTGATACCCGAGAGGTTCCTCGAGCCCTCCATCCTGTGATTCCCTATTCGTTCTTTGAATATATCCAAACAACTCTTGGTAACTAAGTGAGGCACGCCCATGACCCATTTCCATGACTTATCGTCGAGCCATCCGCATTTAGAACCTGCAGCAATAAGTCGAGCAATGATTTGTGACTTGTCTGTTACTTGGATAGCTGTCCGGTTCAATGTATCTAGCGCATCAACATCGGCACCAGCCTCAATTAGAATGTTCACTGCTCGTAGGTCTCCTCGAGCTGAAGCCTCATGTATAGGCGTTCTGCGTCGGTGGCGTCTGCTTACCATACGCGCAAGGACGCTTTTCTTCGGGTATCTAGTAAGTATACTTTTATTGTTAGTTATAAACTTATAAGTTGAAATGGTACATACCTATACTGTTCTAAATTGTGCCGAATATGCTTTAGAATTAGGCTGAGGCTATCGTGATTATTAGATTGAGTGGCCGAAAAGATTGGTGAACCAAGGGAGTCCAAATCCCAAGCAGTATCAATACAGATGTCAAATATTCGCCAAAGATATGGCGTAAGTTGCCGCCGCCGAACGACTATGTCCATTATGGACTCTCCACCGTGTATATGGCAGGCCTGATGGAGTATAGAGGCACGCTTCTCAAGTAGCCACTGAATGATATTGGTCCTCCCTGAGAAAATGGCCGTAATTAAGGGAGAGCACCCACTACAACTGGGCATTGACATGTGTAAAGGGGCGCCCTGACTATGAAGATTACGGCAAGCATCCAGGTTACCCTCGTTGATAGCTAACTCTAGCGCCTCGAGTAAGCGCTTCAGCCCTCTATTTCGCACACACTTGGTATGGTCCATATGGGTTTGGGTATCTGACTGGCATTTTCCCAAGAGCTTTATAATGTTCGGATACTTAAGGCTCTCAGCATGCATCCGGGGAGTCATTCCCAAGCTATCTGCATGGGTGAGAGAACCAAGTTCCATCAAAGTCTGCACTGCGCTTTCTTTATTAAGTCGGACCGCAAAATGGATTGGCAGGTCCCCATCGTTGGTTGGTTCATTGATATTGAGACCAAGTGAGCAAAGATAATGGATAATTTCCGTAGAGCCACTTATAGCAGCAAAATGCAAACAGTTGTAACCTTCCACTGTGGTTGATTTCGCATCCGACAACAGTTCGTTGATCAGAAACTGCAGGGTTGGGAGATTACCTCCACATGCAGCAAGGTGTAATGCGTTGAGCGAAGTTAAACTCAGTTGTTGTGATGGTCTCACATTCATTATAATGCCCGCTGTTTCTTGCCATGGAAATTCCATCGAATCAGATTTGAACTTCCTCCAAAGTGATTTCAGGAATTCAAGCTGTCCCCTAAATGCTGCAGCATGCAAAGCGTTGAACGCGTCATTATAGTCTCTCAGGAGGGGATCGGCCCCTAGTTCAATGAGTGATAGAGCAGCCGGAGTTGCCCCAGAGAGTAATAATTGCGCCAAAAGCGAATTCCCCTCCCGGCTAAAACGGTGCTTGTTAGGATCCAGGCCTTTGCTCACTAAATTTTCGATCATCCATGATGAGCCATGGTGATAGCCTTTTTCTGCAAGCCCCAAAAGATATCCACCTGTCTTGGGCTGTGGTGCGTTCAGCTGTTCCATGCTAGCCCGGCTCACTATGTCTGTGAACACTTCACGTTGGACTCCATAAATTGATGCAGTTGGGTCAAAAGCTGCAGTGTCTCTTTCACCGCATTCCAGTCTTCGACAGGCTTCTTCTAGTATCGAGGAAAAACCTTCACGCAAGTCAATGCCGACACCCTTATTAAGAAGGATATGGATACCCTTTACTGCGCTTCGTTGAAGTGGGCTGACATTCGACATGGCAACAACTACGATGAAATCCTTGACTTGCTTAATTGTTTCTGGAGCAACGCATGCCGATGACCAGAGTCCTGTGCGAGACAGTATGTTCTCCAAGCAGCAATTGTCAAGCCAGGGTGTAAGCTTGTTGCTTACCATGGAAGAGAAGAGGGGTATAATTGCGGATTCACATTTTACTTCTTCATATGCCTCAATAGCCCTTATCCCAAGAATGTCCTGGAAAATGGTATCAAGTGAAGTATGCGGGTATTCCACTGAGAGTGTCGTAGAACCTAGAATGCCTTTGCAAAAATAATCCCATAGAGCGCAGTGTGTTTGAGTTGTGCTAGTAGTAGTATCAGCCAAGCTCTCAATAACTCCTAGCGGAGGGTCAATGCGTTGTATAAAGCAGTTGTAGATGAAATGCTGCAATGGTGTTCGGTTCTGGTGTTGAATACTATCAGCAGTAGGAAAAGCAGCCCTGAGCAACTCAACACATTCCTTAGAAGCCATGCTGTTGAGAGCGTGCAGCGGGGTACACTGGCCTTCTTGAATAGTGTCTGGAGTGACACCGCTCTTTTTGAGTTGTTTGATAGCTATTACGGACCCAGATCGGGCTACAAGATGCCAGGGTGACATGGCACACTGCCAGCATAGTGTATCACACCCGCAGGCATCCAGTAGGAACTGAAGCGTTGCAGCCGCATCTTCGCGACCATCTGAACCATCCTCGGAGAGAGATCCCATCTCGTAGATGGCAAGAGTCAATGGCGTGAAACCTTCTTTATTTTGCATATGAAGTGCCCTTAATCTTTCCTCCGCGGTTGATTTGCGAAGAGCCGAGAGCGTATTGTATTTGAATCTTGAAGCTGCCAAGTGCCAAATGTTGTTGCCCCTGCTATCAACCTCAAACTGCGAGGCGCCAAATTCGAATAACAGCCTGATCATGTCTTCGCCGCAACTCCATGCTTCGTGAATAGGCAATAGACCGTCCCAAAAGGGGCTCTTCAGACTGTAACCACGTTCGGATAGCAGTCTTACTACTTTGACCGAGTTCTTGGTGATAGCTCGACGCAGCAGTGAATACCCACATCCATCTGCACCGTCATCGCTAATTTCGGGACCTGTAATTCGTATATCTCCCAAATATCTCTGCATTAACTCGACATCGTCGTTTGAAATGGCGACACCGCATTTGTGTATGAGTGCATCTAATGATAGGGATATACGCGTGTCAATTAAATGGACGTCTTCAATAAAGTCGCATTCGAGTTTGACAGCTGTGTTCCAAGCGGCAACGCACATCTTAAATCCGCCTTCGCTGTCATATGCCCGGAAGCTGTTGAGCGTGGTTATCAATTGAAGAAACGAGGCTATCAATTGGGTGTGGTTGCCTGGGACATAACTGTAAGGGTAGCCTCGAAGCAATAATGCCATGTTCTTCTCAAAGGCAACCGCTTCTGTCTCGGAAATGACCCAGCGCATGGAGACTAGGTTAGTGACTGGTGAGAAGTCTAGCGAAGCAACTGCTGAGAGAATGGCTACCTCCATAAGGGACCATTGTCCAAGCTGACATGGGGAATCTTGCATAACGCAGCCTGCTTCTTTCAACATTGAAGTCACCTGGCCTGGGCGATGTGTAGCATATGCCAGGGCAACCACGTCGCTGATTTCATCAAGATCTTTCAAGCCCTCGGGACAACTGCCAATGAGACAAAAAGGCCCGCCGATCGAACATTCTAGGGGTGAGCCAATCATTGAAACCGTGTTCCATTTGGTGTCGACGTCAATAAGATATTCACATATCTCTGGCATATCTAGAGCAGCAGCGAGATGAATGGGTCGAAATTCCGGGTCTAACACCATAGAGGCCGCGCGCAGGAGATGACTTGAGCTGGCCTGAACAGAGGAGTCCGGAGCCAGCTCCAGCAGACGGGCGCATATTTGGATAGCCCAGGAGATGAATGATGGACTCTTATGTGGGTTGAATAGGCACTTAGCAAGTTCCAAACAACAAGGCTCTTGAGGGGTGTATCTTAATGCAAATATCCAATCAATAGTCGCAGAGACGTAGAAAGGGTCTTCCTGAATTTTCCGGAGATATTGTCCCAACCCACTTTTATCCAGCTCTGACATGTGGTAGAAGTTGCGAAGCAGCAAATACCGTAGGCTTTGCTGGCATAATGCAGCATGGCTTATTGGTACTGATAAATGATAGCTAGCAAGCTCATGATCCTTAAGTAGTCTGTCGCGCTCTAGGAATTCACGAACCGTAAAGTGTGAGAATTCGAAATATTTTGCATCTTCAGATTTTCGAATAAAGCTGCTGCATTGGATTAAAACCTCCACTTCTGTGACAATGCTGCCTTCATCTAATGTTACGTTAATAGTGTCCGGTACAGAAATGGCACAACACAAGGCACGTATATGCCATCGAAACCCTTTGATGGCAAGTAGCTGAAGACATTTCTGCACAATATGACGTGCTCGTGGGTGACCGCGATGAATTCTCCTTAGCATTCGGTCGTATGTTGCGTCAAGCGTGGGTGGGAGTTCTTTCAATGCCACCCTGCGGTCAGCATCGGTAGGGCATCCGCAGATGTAGTCAAGTTGGCAGGTAACCCACCGAAACCTAGGAAACAGGTTAGCATGCACCGTTCTCTATGGTCCATTGATGTCCAACTTAATGACGAACATGCCATCAGCATCATGTGAGAGCTTGGTAAGGATGTCATCCTTGATGCTCATATCGTTAATCCGTAATCTGCCATCTCTGACCCGCCTATCAATCTCAGAAGCGACGTAAAGTATGATATCTTCTCTGCGCGCACTAACTGGAATCTTTGTGAAGCTATCGCGTAACTTCAGATCAATCTTGTACTCATCTCGGCTAGCTAGCGCCATGGTGACGTTGGTTGAGTAGTCAGCAACGTTGACTAACCATTCGATAGTCTCGTCTGTGTTGTCTCCACATTCATCCAGTCCGTCAACCACTAAAATTATCTGCTCAAAGTGCTTGAATATCTTTTCAAGGCAGTCTTGGAGAAAATCTGAGTCGAGATCTCTTGTTAGCCCATTTGGAGGGTGTAATGACTCGTACAACTTCTTCACTTCGTCAAAGGCTTGATTGCTTTGACGGCCAAGTTGCGACACTATGGCTCCTAAAATATTGGACGAGACAGTAGCCTTCTCATCTTTATAATCGCAGAAGAAGAAAGCCACACCAACCTGAGGTGAGTTCTTTCCCTTATCTAAAGCTTTCTGTATCACAGCTCCGGCCAGTACTGTCTTTCCAGCTCCTGGAATGCCAGTCAACCACATTTTGGAACCAGCTGTCTCGATCCACTGTTGAAATTGGAGTGACTCAGTTAACCAAGTTCCGGTGCCAGGATGTCTGAGTTTCCTACTTGTGTCGAGATTTGGTTGTGGGTTGACTTTCAGAAAGGAATCTAAGATCCGCTTTCGCTCGGCATTGATTTCGACCCTGGTGAGCACTTGTAGGTTTTCGACGCCCACCTGTATCGATGAAATTTTCTTCTTCATGTCCTCACTATTACCCAGAAGCTCTATCAGACTACTTAAGGAATCAGCCTCTAATGCTAAGCTGATGATCTGTTGTTGTTGAGCTAAAGCATTAGAGAGCTCCTTAGTGTGGGTCTTTGTGAAGGGCCATTTGAGCGATCGTTGAATGTTACTGAGCTTGGTACTGTTGTTCTTTGACATAGATTTATTGAGACGCCCTTGGATCTCCCCGAGTAGGGTCGTAGCGTCTGAGATATGAGTCATCTGAAGTGTTGTATGCGTGCCATGTTGTTCAAGAGCACCAGCAAGAAGTACAAGACTATGTAAGATTCCTGCAAATGACTGGAGCTGGCTGGCCAAATTTTGAATCTCCTTAGAGGCATCCGACACCGTTTTATAGTACTTGTACACACCACGGAATACAGCATCTGCTAAAGTAACGAGGCCGGCAATAGACCCTGCCACCGATAATGGATCCATTGCAGAAATTGAGAGCAATTATCGTATAGTATGATTCCGTATAGGGATTCCACAGCAGTGTTGAAATTGTCTTCAGTGTTGAGCGGGGTTATGTACTTTACATCTGGCGATAATGAGGAGCTTGGAGATTCTATTTTGGGGGGGCGGTTCAGCCTTTAATATCAACCAAGCCCTCTGTCATTTCTCCAAACGGTCAGCGGCTCTTTCTGTAAGCCTGCATGATAATGCCCAATGGGGAGGCTGGTTACAAGAACATAGCTACTGCGGGCAGAGTAAGCTTTATGATAAAACGCCTAGAAAGCTGCCATGAATGGGGTATACCATTGTTTTGAGAAGCTAAGCCCCATGAAAGTTTCGGTGACACTTTGTTAAAGCCTGCATATGGGGGCTTATCGAAGCAGCACAGCCCAAGGCAAATTCACGATCAATCAGTAACATATCGAATAGCCAGTGCGCTGAAATCGTTCCCGAACTCAGGCTAGTATGCTATTTAGTATGCCTAATGCACACCATTGTAAGATGCTGGTATACAACATATGGTGCAGAGTGCTGGCAGGCTCATCAATCCATCAATCCCAAGCTTGGATGCTCTTATAGTGATGTGTTGAGCTACGCCGCCCCCGATATAACAGCATCTCTCCTAAGCAGTTTTATTATTCTATCATAGTGCAGATCACCGTAGGATTAGAAGAGCGCTATATAACGAATTGCAAAGTTGTTCTCTAAGCGATAAGGGTTATTCCCAGGCTGCTACCCCATTGCTAGATTTCTATTGTTGGTGTTATGTATGAGATAGAGGTAAGTACCTAGGTAGTGTTAAGTAGTACTTTGGTAACCTACCGTCGTCGTCAGGCTACTGTTAGAACCAGGCATTGCATCGTCTCTATATTTCCCCGACCTGTTTTTGTGCCTCACTAGGCGCTTGAACATCGCCAGCCAGCCCAAATGCCGTCTCTCCCCTTTTCCGTAGCTCTATATGTTTAAGGAAGAATACAACCAGAAAGCCCAGACCCGCTACTGCGACGAAGACGAGCCACACCACGTGCAGCGCTTCGCTGTACAGACGCAGCACTTGACTTTTGCCTGGCTCGGGCAGTGATCCAATCGAAACCTGACCGCCGATGGTGCCAGAAGCAAACGTGTACGCATTTCCGTCTTTTAGAAACGGATGCAAGTTGCTATCTTCGACACGGTGCAAGTTCTGCTGGACCTGGCCATTGAAGATGATCAAAGACATGGTCGTCACCCACATAAGCCCGAAGGCACGGATGAAAGCAAACGTGCTCGTAGCCGTAGCCATCATTGTCTCAGGCAGTGCAGCGAGCGCCGACGGGTGCGACACCGTGAAGATACAGCCCGTTCCCCACGCGACGGTAATCTGATAGCCAATCCATTCCTTAGTGCTTGACGCCGCATCGAGTGTCGAGAACAGCCCGATGCCTACCGTCATCAACACGAATCCAGCCCAATGGAATGCTTTGTAGTGACTGGTTTTGGCCAAGACGGCCGCAGAAATACCGCCAGAAGGCAGTAGCGCGAGGGCAAAAGGGAGAAAGTAAACTCCCGACGTCAAAGGCGACACACCTTTAAGAGCTTGAAAGTAGATTGGCATGAAGTAGCTGACAGCCTGGATTGTGAGAGAGGCTATGAACATCAGAGCGAACGACGCAGCCGAGGTTCGGTTCTTGAAGAGGCTGGGAGGAGCACTAGGTTCGACGCAGAAAGGGAAGATTGGTGTACATGGAAGACAATCCAGCCGGCAACTCCCAGAACAAGGGGAGCAAGAACGCGTCCGGACCGCCAGGGGTAGCTGCTCGTACCACCCATTATGAGGCCAAAGAAGAGTAACACCATTGAGGGGATAAAGATGACACTTCCTAAGAAGGCAACGTGGCGCAATATAAAGAGCTACGACTTGCTATGTGCTTGACGGATATTGACCAATACTATAACACCTATGGCGCAAACTCCCGACATTGGTAGATTTAGCTAGAAGATCCAGCGCCAGTCGGCCTGAGCCAGTGCGCCGCCAACGATGGGGCCGATAGTGCTTGCAATGGCGGCGGTTGACAGCATCGCGCTGAAATATGAACCACGGTGGCGAGAGGGAACCAAATCGCAAATGATGATCTTTGGGATCACGTTGATACCTCCGGTCCCCAAGCCCTGCACGAGGCGCCCTGCGATCAGGGTCGCGACGTTGTGCGCTCCACCGGCGATGCCACTCCCCGCGAAGAACAATAGCACGGAGACGAGAAGAGGGACCCGGCGGCCGAAAATTTCCACAACCTGACCGTAAAAGGGCTGCGGTATCGTACAGGCAAATAGGTAAAACTATGCGATCCAGACATATTCTCCAACACCTCCAATCTCGCGGGTAATAGTGGGCAGAGAGGTGGTGATGATGGACGCGTCAAGACCCGAGAAGAATGTTAAGATGGATAGAATGATGGCGATTAGCAGAACACGCCAATCGTGGTGAAACTCTTGATCTGCATGTTCTCCGTCACTCCCAATCTCGACAGCGTCGGGGTGCTCTGCAGGCACCGTGCCATCGAGAGCCGCCCCCATGGGACCAGAGTCGAAAGTATTGGTGCGTGTAGGACAAGCGCTGGGGATGCGAGAAAAGTTGGTTGTTTTGGAGTAATAAAGTAGAGAAATGTAGTAATAATAATCGCTAAGCTGCTAATACACGTAGGTAGGTAATATCTATTGACCAACATGCATGCGCGCCTCACCATCCCGGCTTAACTGGACATTCACGCTATGCGGAGCCTCACATGTATTTCCCGTCTCCACGTACTTTTCAACACCGTTCTTGTTCCTGCGGCGCCCCTCCTCGCGTGTCTTCCGCATAGACTATCCATCCATCCTCCTCAGCAATACCAACGCGCTATGGAAAAACACTTTAGCCTCCGACACATCCCAGCGCTTTACTTTGCATTTGCAAATTGCTCCCCACTGGCTATGGCGCCGCTCTAGGGTTGCCGCGCCGTCATGGAGCTCTACGGCATTCCGCCGCACATTTCCACCATCCCCGAGACCTGGCCTGTCTGGCAGGCGGGCCAGGGCCGAACCATCCTGCTCGGTCTCATCATGCACTACTTTTACTGGCGTGGCCAGTACGCCGAGTGTGATGCTCTCTTGATGGGCGTCACTTTCCTTGGAATCAACGACTATCTAGTGCTCCGCGACCACGGCAATCCGATATGGGCGTGGTCGCGCATCATCTTCTCCGTCGCCTTTGCCTCCACTGGGTACTTTGGTCTGACCCAAGGCCGGCGATTCGGTGCCAAGACAGCGAAAACCAATTGAACCGCTTTTTTTTTTCTTTTTTTCCCTCCGCATTTCTTTCTGACCTTTAAAATAAGCTAGGTAACGGACATGTCAGCAACCGTCACATGCCGGGTTCTATCGGTATATGTGGGGACGGGACTTACTGGATACAATATGCGAGGGAAATGTAATTACCCCAATTCTGCCCAATGTTAAGGACTGTGCAGTTAGTTACCTTAAACCTCAGTCTACCTTGCGTACATAAGGAGTATACCTAGGTATTAATAAAATCTACCCTGAACATACCAGACCAAGAGACTCGGCCTCGTATCTGCTCGCTCCTACTACAGTTTCTAAGCCCTGAGACCCGCACCAGGCGCGACAGCCGGGCAGGCGGGTAGTTTGATATTGATGAACACCGATGTTACCTGGTTGGGGCCAGGTACTGGTCACACATAAACATACCATACGTTATGATGACTTGTAATTATCATGTTCGTCAATAGAGGTAGATTGGGCGATCTTACTGCTGGCGCCTAACACACAATCTGCATATCAACTGTGCCAGGCTCGTGCAGCAGTGAGGTACCTGCTATGCACCGAGGTAACAATTGTTAGGTGTCTGCATCACCTGCATCCCTCCAACATGTTTACTTTGCCCAACCAGACGCCTTTTTCTTGCAAGTTCGGTAGTCCTGTTCCTCCGAGTCATGCTGCTCCTTCTGCGCCGAACAATGGCGCTTTTACTTAGGGTACCCCCCTTCTTTACTCTTTCGCGTAATACCCTAGACTTACTAGCTGATACTACAATTGTGCTGCCGGGGGTGCTACTCAAGGAACTAACAATAATAATCTAGCTTCTATTCTTTTCTACATATAAGGGTGGTACTTGAAAAAGGCTAAACTAAGTCATGCTGAGGGCCGGTGTAGGGGTTAGAAGTACGTATCGACCCAGCATTTGCTAAATTGGGGTTAGAATGAGGTGCCATGAGGTGAGAAAACTCCGGCCGTCGTTGAATCCCGGGAAAACCATGCCGCAGGAAGTGGAACTCATCTGTTTATGCGCCAATTAAAATCGACCGTTGAAGCATATTCAGTCTAATAATTAACTAGGGGTCTCAGAGTAGGTCCTTGGTCCTCCCTTCTCTCTTTGAGGGGAATTCCTTGGGCTATTTATGCTCATACAACATTGGGTCCTTCTCCCTGTTGGGCATCAAGGCCCTAACTGTTGGTTCCAATTGCATATAACAGCGTTGTTCTCATGATCTTGCCCATCCAATCGTTTGTAACCTTGGGAGGCTGTTGGCTGCGGATGGCCTACAAGGGTCTTGACAGTCTTGGCAGTCTTGGCTGTATAATAGCTGAGATGTTGGATCCCATGCGTGAACTGTCAAACTCTTTTCTTGGATCTCGTTCTCAAACAATTCCCTAAACATCATCACACTCGTTTACCTCTAACTTAGCCACTCGTTGATACGATAATAATAAGATGAAGTGCACATCTGCCGTCGCGCTTCTGCACCTGCTGGCCTCTGCAACCGACCTTGACGTGCGCCAAACTGCCGACCTGAAGTACGAGATTAGTGATTTCTTGGTAGACTGCACGCTTCAAAGCGGCTATTGTGTGTCCGTCTTCCCCCTTACATGCGCATAGTCGCAACTATTGGTTATTGATGATTGACACAATGTAGGTACGAACTCGACATAGTTACCAGCGACAACCCCGAATTCAAAGTGGGCTGTGAGGCGTTTGGGACGACCGAGAAGGGCGAGCTGCCCGCCGTTAACGAAACCCAGTGTGGGACATATACTGTCGCGGTCGCTAAGTCGGATGACGGTGGATTGATTCTGACAGTTAAGTCGGATCGAAAACGGCGGATGGGAACATACCTCATCCCTAGCGATGACATAACTACCACAATGTCGGGTGGGCAGTCGTACACGGGCAACAGTTCTTTTACCATCGACGTCAAGAACGCGTCTTCTGGCTCCGCTTCTGTCTCGGGTACTAGTACTACTGTTTCTACCCCTACTGTCTCATCAGTGTCATCTGCCTCTTCATCCCTCTTATCTGTCGTTTCCACTGCTACCTCCGAGCCATCTACCACAGGCACTACGACTTCCAGCTCCGACAGTCCCGGCGAGACCAATGGGGCGACTCAGGAGAGTGCATTCGCCAGTGTCATGTTCGCTGTCGGTCTGATGGCTTTTATCATTTAAATACAAACAGATGAATAATAGATAGAAGAAATTCATAGGATATAAAGCTCGAGACAATAAGACTAAAGAGTCAAGCGAGCAAAAATGTAGATGAATTGAACATTGAGATATGAACAGGTATATACCAATATAAAAACAAATTCTACAAGAATATCAAAAATGACCGAAACCAGTCAACGCCATTACCGAACCCACCCTTCCTTCCTCATCACCTCACCAGTCCATTCTTCCAATCTCTCTGCAAGTTTCACGTCCTTCGCCGCACCGCTCTGCCACTTAGGCTCCAGAAATCGGCCGAAGATTTCAAGATACGCGCCGCTCTGCTCCGCCTTCATGTCCCGACTCGCCGCACAGAACAAACTATTCCACGACCCCTTGTCGGCAGGCCATAAGAATCCAGACACACGCAAGAGGGAGAAAACACTCATTATGCTCGATCCTGAGTCTTCTACTGAATTAGCAAGATTTGTCTCGACGATACCCGGGTGCACAGACGAAAGCCAGATTTCGCCCTCGCCGTTTCGTGCACTGGGAGACCCGGGGCCGTACGTCGTGTGTAGAGTCTTGGCGTGCAGGATGTTGGCCAGCTTGCTTTGTCCGTACCGCGCCCATGGGCCGCTGGCCTTGAGCGAGAGGTCGTTGAAATTTATCCCGCTCTTGGGGGCAGCCAGGTGACCGGATGAAGTGAGGTTCACGATGCGCACGCTGCCCGGTGTGAGTGTCTTGGCGGTCTGCAACATCAGGGGAAGCAGGTGCTTCGTAAACACCCAGTGCCCGAGGTTAGGGTTAGGGTTAGGGTTAGGGTTAGGGTTAGGGTTAGGGTTAGGGTTAGGGTTAGGGTTAGGGTTAGGGTTAGGGTTAGGGTTAGGGTTA